TATTTGGCATGATAATTCAGGTGATAAAGGCAAGGCCTCTTGGTTTTTAAACATGATCAATGTGATGGATTTACAAACAGGCGAAAAGTAATATTTTGTCGAAAAGTATTTCTATGAATATTTTTGTGTTACTTTTCAATAGAAATTATTTCATTTGTGATAATTGGCTTGCGGTAGAAAAAGGTGATGGTCTTGTTGATCGTGTTGTACCATTGGCTTCATCGAAAGAATTGAAAAGTTTTGCACATTTATTCACTCAATCAGTCAAGAAGAAATTCAGTGATGGTCATTTATGGTATTCGGTGTTTTCACGTCCTGTACGAAGTAATTTCACTCGATTACAACGCATCTCTTGTTGTATATCGTTACTTTTCTGCACAATGATATCTAATGCCATGTTCTATCGGCAAGACACTCAAGGACGAGCAAATAAAGCTGGAGTTTTAATGAAAATCGGACCAATTGAATTTACTTTAACACAACTATGGATCAGTTTTATTAGTACTTTGGTTGTACTACCAGTCAATCTGTTGATTGTCACATTGTTTCGTAAAGCAAAATACAGTCAAAAAACATTGGTAACGTATCATTTACAAGAACGGCAACGACGAAGTAAAGCGCGTGAAAATGATGAACAATATCGAAGAACAATGAAGTATGTTCTGGGCTTTTCTTCGAGAAGAAGAAGAAGAATACAATCAACTTGTTGTTTAGTTTCTTTTCTCGACGAAAACATCAACCGATACCGTTGGAAGATGGTAACGAACAAGGCATTGAACGCATTGGCGCTATTCCATCAATTGAAGATAAAACCAGATCATTTCCACATTGGACTATCTACATCGCTTGGGCATGTGAGTTTATCTTGAAAAATCTTAATCTTCATCTGAATAATCTCTTTCGCTAGTGGTTATGCTAAGTATATTAACATGCTCGTTCTTTATCATACTCTATTCGTTGGAATGGGGAGCTAAACGTGCTAATGAATGGTTAATTACAATGGTACTTTCATTTGGTCAGTCGATACTCGTTATCGATCCATTGAAAGTATTTCTCATCACGGCAATAATAAGTTTTCTAATTCGTCGACCATACGATGATGAAACTTTGGATTTCAATGATCCGTTTACCGGAGCTTTAATTTCGAATAAGAATATTGCAAATATTGACGGGAAAGATGTATACAGTGATGCAAATGTGAAAGGTAAATGCTATTTAATATGAAACTGTAAATAGGAAAAAAAAACAAGAGAATGAGAGATTTTCTTTTAGAAATTGCACGTCAACGTCGTGTTCGTTTGTTTAATTTACGTCCGATAAACTCAGATGAGATGGTTCGTGCACGTGAACAGCGTTTACGCGAGATAAAAATGGGTGACGTTATCCGTGAAATCGTTATTTACATATTCTTCACAGTCGTCCTTCTATTTCTCTCATATCAATCACGAGATACGAATTCTTATGGTTTATATCGCGATACAAAAAATCTTTTTATCAACGGAGATTTCAATAAAATAGGATCGATAACAAATTGGTGGAATTATTGTGATAATGTTCTACTAAAAGGTCTCTATGCGCAAAAATGGTACAATGAAAAAAATTTAACTTGGAGAGAAAAATTAACAACTGGTAGCCGTGTTTCAATGCGTGTTGGTGCACCACGAATTCGACAACTACGAATTAAAGAAAATAGTTGTCGAGTACATCGTCGTGTCAAACATCTTGTTTCACATTGTCGAGATGATTATAATTGGTTTGATGATGATATAAAAGACTATTCACCACGTTGGGAGAAAGTTTTGACTAAGGAAGAAGCAAGAATGAGCGATGAAAATAATAACGGAACAAAACGTTGTCGAACACCATGGTGTTATCAAGTAGATTACAAATCTTTTTATATAGATTTCACATTTGTTCGTTTGTAATTTTCTAGAGTAGCACTCGTACAAAAAGTGGACCTATGAAAGCGCTTTATAAAACCTATAAAGGCGGTGGTTATGTTGTTTCATTAGGTCGAACTTATGACAAAAGTCGAACAGTTCTTGCAGAACTTCGTTCACAAAATTGGCTTGATCAATTAACACGTGCAATTTTTATTGATTTTTCATTGTATAATGCCAATGTAAATTTATTTGTTTCTGTTACACTTTCATTTGAAATGACATCGATGGGTTCAGTTATTCAAGATTATCAAATCAAAATCTTTCGTCTATACGATCATATCGGTGGTTATGGCATGTTAGTGTACATATTTGAACTATTGTTTGTTATTTTTACGATATATTCAACAATTCATGAAGTGCTATTATTGACTAAACAGAAAAGAGAATATTTCTACAAGTTCTGGAATGTTATTTCGTTCATAACCGTCGTGTTCAGTATCACAACGCTTCTTATGTATGGAACAAAGAAAACTCTAACACGATTAGCCATCCGTTCATTGAAAAAGACTGAAATGGGTAAGTTGGAAGAAAGAGAATGATATTTGATCTGTTTTATTATCTTCTTCAGGTGAATTCGTTAATTTCAATGCGATTGCCAGTTTCGATGAAGTATATTCCTATATTGTTGCATTAATAACATTCTTTACAATGCTGAAATTTTTGAAATTACTTCGATTCAATAAGCGTATTGATATGTTGTCGAAATCCCTTCGTTATGCTCGAACAGATTTAAGTTCATTTGGCTTTGTTTTTCTTATCTTTATTGTTGCATATGCACTCATGGGTTTTGCTATATTTGGTCGCACGCTTTCTAACTTTAAATCATTTGCAACGTCATTAACAACATGTTTCCGAATGCTTTTGGGTGAAATCAACGCACCGGATATGTTCGCAGTTAGTCGAGCTTATGGTATGTTCATTTCTCATATAAAATTCATAAAAAACATTTGATTTTTCTCTAGGTATCTTCTATTTTCTTTCATTTGTCATGCTTGTATTTATTGCTCTATTAAGTATCTTTTTAACAATGTAAGTAGAACAAATGTTTACATTGAATGATTATTTGCATCTAATGTATGTTTAAGTTTGAATGATTCGTTTGCACATGTAAAACGAGAATTAGCAGCCAGTCAACATAGAAATGAAATCATGGATTTTATGTGGTCAACGTTTCGCAAAGTTGCTGGAATTAATAATCGTAAAGGATCAATAAATGATGATGCAATGACGAAAATGGATGACGAACAACAAATTCCATTGGCAAAATTTGATCGAGAAGATTACTAAAAGACAAATTTCTTGTTTGACAAGCAAAAACAAATGAACATTCTATTCTATTTTATTTTATTTTATTTATCAATTGTATCTTATAATTATTTATGCTTATTATTTAGATTCAGTGCAATGACGAAGAAGGACTCAATAAAATTGACTTTCGGTGGAAATTTAAGGTCATAAGCTGAATAAATTACCTATTTTAATATTTGCATGAAAATACTTTTCTAAAAGTATAAACTAAATAAGATAAAATAAATGTAATGGGACTAAGTATGTCTATGTCCATCGATCATCATTGTAAATAATGTAGTTTTTATCATAGAGAAGTCAGATCTATTTTGATATATTTAAGAATAGCAACAGAGATGAAACAATAGAAATATAAAAGATTTTTGTGAATTGATGAAAATAGTGTAAACTTTATCGATGAGGAGAACATAATTAAGTCGGTTGATGTGAGAGAAGGTAATTCTTTCTCATTCGGACTCGAACACAAGAAATACGTAGTATGTTTGGAAGATTCTAAAATTTCTAGATTTTGTATGATTGAGTATTCAATTTAACTTGTTCTAACAGCTGTTGTGTAACTGTGTTGCATTTGACAATATGAAATACAAATGGAACAAATTCTATTTTAAAAATCTTTTGCTTAGAATGATCATCTGACATTTCTATCAAATTAAAGATTTATTAGGTTTCATTCGTGTACACTTTTCTGAAGGGTAGAAAGTTTTCTTTGTTGCGCAATGCTTTTCATACCTAATGTTGACTTGTTTCCTTGTTGGAGCATCAAGATTGATAAATATGGAGTCGGTGTCTAATAGAAAATAACAAAGCGGTACGAAATAACATCGTATTTCATTGCATTAATTAGTTTATGATTCTACTATTTTCATCTGATCACGATCACTTTCGTGGATAGAATTGACCAATGATTAAGATTTTTTGTTTTTCGTTTAGTATCGACAAGTGTCCATTCATTATTCATATGAAAATCAATTGCACATATACAAATTTACAGATATCTGTCGAAGTTCATATCAGTCTATCCCTATAAGTTCATGTGAACAATGTTTACTTTTGGGAGTGTGTAATGATTATTATTGAGGAGATAATAATAAGGAAAATGTAACAGCAACTAAGCTTATTTGAAGTTATTTCTTTTGAAAAGTGTCGACATTTCGGTATTTTGCAGACCATTATCAAGATAAGATGAAATTACACGATAAAAGAAAGAAAGAAAGAGTGTATTTATACTATTATATGAGTCATTTTTTAGAATAGCTACTGGTTTTCGTTCGCCTCGTCTTGATAATGGCATGCGAAATGTCGAAACGTCAGCACTTTAACTGCTGTTATCTTTTCTTCATTATTTACATTTTTAAGCGTATACCCGGGCAACTTTTTCAAATCGATTATACAAACTTTACATCTAACACTTCTCGGAAACAAATTTCTCATTATATTAGTACATTCATAATATATATATATATTCATCTATCTGATCTGATTAGATAAGATCCTGTTACTTAGACGTCAATATGTATTCGGAATATTTCTTGAGAATTTACCGTCTATGCTTATGAATCAATTTTATCCATTCTATATTCGAATTGAGAATATGGGCGTAGATAAACACCATCGTTCGCTCGTTCGTCAAGTATAAAAGATAAAATGAGTCATAGTTAAGTGTAACATAGTATACACTCACTGTCCTATCTATCATATCGTACCTTGTATTTAAGTTACATTCGCTTATCTTCATATATCGAAAAGAGAATGGCTGATCATCGACATCATCGAAAAGAAACGACTAAACCAGAAACAAGTAATAGTGATTCTCGTCGAGCTGATGACAATGAACATGATGAAGATGATATTATTGAAAAACCAGTTCGAACTAATTTAGTTCATCAATTCAGCATACAAGGCGCTGATGAAATTCTAGATGTTCAAGGTCATGATGAAGACGAACAAGCAACAAAAGTTGATCAACGACGACGTCGTTTTCTTGTTCATCATCTCAGAGAATTATTCGAAGAAAAATTAGGCGCTAAACATATTGATTATGGACAATCTACAGCATCTATCGTCAAGTAAGCATTTAACAAACATGCCGGCGTATCTATGAAATATTTATATGTTTATTTAGAAAATTTTGTGAAGAATTACCTTCAGACAATGATGAGCCGTTCTATATTGTGAACCTCTCACATTATGCACGTCAATATCAACAATGGATGCATTTTTTGGGTCGTATACGTCCATTCTATGCTGTTAAAAGCAATCCGAGTAGTTTTATCATAAAAGTTCTTGCTGAATTAAATGGAGGTTTTGATTGTGCTTCGGCAGAAGAACTTGAATTAGTACGAAAAAGCTGTGGCGATGATTTTGATTTTGCAACACGTATTATCTATGCTCATCCATGTAAGCCGATTTCTCACATTCAACAGTTTCGTAAGGCTGGTGTACAAATGACCGTTGTCGACAATGAAGACGAATTACATAAATTAAAGCAACATTGGCCCGAAGCTCGAGTAAGTCAACTGAAAATTATCGATGTTGCAAAAGAATTCTTCTTCGTTTCGAATACGTACAGGTCCTTATTCGTTTAAAACCGAATGATACGCATTCAATGAGTCCTTTTTCTACAAAATTTGGTGCCAATGAACGTGAATGCATAACTTTACTTCGATTAGCACGTAAATTGAATATTAATCTTGTCGGATGTTCATTTCATGTCGGTAGTCGATGTCTCGATCCTAATCTTTATACTGAAGCATTGAAACAAGCACGACGAATATTCGATATAGCTCAACAAGATGAATATAAATTTAATTTCAAAGTATTAGATATCGGAGGTGGATTTTCAGGTCACAATTGGGATAAACCAAGTTTTCCTGAAGTAGCACAAGTGATTAATCACACATTAGACAAGTTATTTCCAGAATCAGAAGGTTTGAAAAATCAGTGAATTAGACTAAACTTCATCTTCATTTTCATCTAGGTATAACCATGATGTCAGAACCTGGTCGTTATTTTTCTTCAGGTGGTATGACACTTGTTACACGCATTACTTCTCGACGCATTCATAATCTTGCTTATAAATCAAATGAACCAGTTGTTCAACTTGATCGGCAAATGTCTTCGATTGCAAGTTCATCTGAAACCAAAGATGAAAATGAAGAATCTGAAAGAGCATTGATTGAAAGTGCTGAGAATATTTACTACATTAACGATGGTATCTATGGAACGTTTAATGCAATCATATTCGATCATAAAATCTTCATTGTACATTACATTAAAATGAATAATGCAAAGTCTGGCAATAAACAATTTAAATCGGTTATTTTTGGTCCTACATGTGATTCAATAGATTGTATTGCACATTCAATTGATTTACCATTGCTAAGTATTGGAGATGTTCTATGGTTTCCTGATGTTGGCTCTTATACAAACGCATGTGCTTCGAACTTTAATGGATTTCAAACAAAGAAATTTCTCTTTATCTGGAGAAATTAATGTTTCCAATCAATTTGACTATAATCTATCTACAGTAAAATCTTCTAAAAAATATGATGGACATATTGAAATATAACTAAATCAATTATGATAATGCATATATTCTTAATAAAGCAACACAGATTTCCTTAGAGATATAAACTTCATCTTTGATGTAGTTCTATTGACTAGATTGAATATTCACTGGTAGACTTATCTTGTCTCGTTTTGTTTGCACTTTATCAAATCAAGATTTCAAATTCGACATCAGACAAATCCTAACAAAAGAAAGGTTTTGTTAGTTCGTATAATAAAGTGAAAGTGCACAAGTCATTGTAATGAACGATATGAAAAAATACATATTCAAACTAATATGATAGATAAAAAACGAAAGCACAGTAGTTACGATTAAAGAAAATGAGATAACGAATAATCGAATGATATTCGAAGAATGCTTTATCACTACAGACATAAATAAACCATTTAATGCTTGTGTAAAAACAATTATCCAAGTATAAAATGTAAAACCATGAAAAAGATGATTGAATTGAAAATTTGTCGTTAATAACCGAAAAGTTGGTATCAAATTGAACAAAGTACCATACATATAAAGAAAAACATTTTGTAAATGAAGTGATTCATTATAATTTCGTTTTAATATCCATTCATTGTAGACACCAGCAAGGCCACTCAATATACAATAGATTATTATCATTGGAATACCTAATGGACGTATATACATTTCTCGTATGATTAAACTTGAGTCAATACGAGTTTTCGAAACAAAAGATGAGTTCTTCAATGTTCCAACACTATAAATAAATCCACCGAATAAGAGTAATGTCAATGCAAACCATTGTCGTTTGGATAGAATTTGTTTAATGACTAAACGGTAAAGTAGAGCAGTGGTAAAAATCTTAAAATTTGACAGAATTTGATACGAGGTCGGATCCATGTAAAGTTGCATATGTACAGCGAGATTGTTGTTAATGAAATAAAGAATAGCAGGTATTGAATATGGGATCGACTTTTTCATCACTGAAAGGAATGACTTCTCGTCGAATGTGAATTGTTTTAGAAGTATAAGAGCATTGAAAGAAAAGATTAATTTCAAAAATTCAATCATGAAATTCATTGTTGATGATGAAAACGTGATTCGACCATTTTTTTCGCAAAGATGAACTAAAACCGAATAGGAACCGTAGGCCATGATTTGAAAACCGATCATTCCACGAAAGATCAATGAATGTGAAATACGTTTTGTTGTTTGGAGAAAATTCGATGATTTGTCCGTTAATGATAAAAGAGATATTGATGAAGACTGAGCTCTACTACTGTTCAAAATAGAAGAATCAGACATAGTTGAACTAAGGTTAGTACTAGTATGAATCGACATTGTGTGCAGCTAGAAAAAAAAAGAAGAGAAAAGGAAAAGAAACAAAGATGACTATCGTCTGCTATGAATTCACAGAACAGAACAAAATCTATCTGCCCGGATGTGAGATTACTCGGAGAAAAATAGGGCAGAATTTTCTTCTTCTTCTTCTTTCCATACGGAGAGTTGCACAAGAACAACATGAGCCTTTATCGCATAACCACGAAAAAAGCATGGCACATCAACAATACTATGATCACTAAACTCAAGTTTCATATGACCGAAATTATAGAAGTCTATAGAACGAGCAAATAAAACGATGGAGATAAGTTATCTGCCATGATGAAAGATATCTAACTAAGCCATTTTGCTTGTAATAATCATCACCTTCGTCAGTGCTACAGAGTACAATGACATCATGTGAAAATGATCTTTTCATGTTTGAAATCTTTTCTTTTTTTTTAACTAGAAATAGCGAATCATTGTGTATATTCAATATAGTCGAACAGAGTTTGCCCATCGTACAATCGTATTAAAATAAATACACGTTCAATTCGAATGATCAACTAAGCTAAAACATCGTTCAGAATTCGCTTTCACATAGTTGTGCAGTAAAAAAAGACCTTTGCAGCGAGAGAAAACAAACGGATTGAGTTCATTTCTTTATCTTTAAGAATAATAATCCGAACGCGTTTGTGACACTTTTACATTTGGTGGATTAAATCGTTCTCTCATCAGATCTTTGTCAGTTATTTTTGCTACACTCATTGCATGTTGAATCGTTCGTTCTAAATCTCGTGTAGCTTTCGTTTTCGGTTGTTGTTCAAGTTGTAACGGACGTCGATCAACTCGATTATGCATTCTATTCAGCTCTCTCGCATAATCGTCTTCTACATCTTGAATGGATTGTCGAACTTTGCGAGTCTAAGAAGAATTGATGAGGGAAAAAATAGGAGAAAAATTTCATTAGACGTTTACTTACACTCTCTTCTTTTCTCGCTTTGTATATCGTTGATTTATCATTCAATTTCGCTCGTTCATGAATGCCCTCTTTCAATCGTTTTTCTCTCGCTGATCTTGCTCGTTGAAATTTTTCTTCGAATTTATTTCGAACTTCATGCTCGCGTCGTTTTTTCTTTCCCATTGATTCACGTAACTGTTGTACATCAGTTTTCTTTACTGGTATTGCTTCCGGTTGTTGAAGATTAGCTGATAAATTCATTCCTGATGTTGATCTAGTGGGAAGTTGTTTGCCCTTGATTTGAAACGATTGTAAATATCGCATTTCTTCTTCAGCGCGAATATCACTCAGTACACGCTCTTGTCGTGACGGAATCATACTTGTGTACAATAAAAATGGTTTACATTCTGTTGGTGGTCGCGAACGCTTCGCTTCTTCGGTTTCACGTAAAAATCTCGAATGTAGTTTATCATAATTTGGTATATAATAACCATTTGTTTTGGGTTTGAACGTGCATTCTTCAAGACCGACACGAGCTAGATCAGTAGCACTTCGACAGCGACGTGTTTGTTTCGTACGATGTTCGCGTCGTTGCATACTAGACGGAAGACGTGATTGACGAAGTAACTCATTCGCTCGAACTTGTTTCTTTATTGAACGATAGAGAGAATTTTCCTTCATTCTAAACAGAAAATCCAAGTATACATTAACTGACATGGAAAGACAATATGACATACTGTTCGATATCTTTGCTGGTTCGATAGTAAAAGTCAGGTATTGGCTTAGCTCTGAATTGTGGTTGACGTCGAGGCGTGTCCCCATCGGAAAATGAATGTCGTCGATAGGCTGTTCTTGCTCGGTCACGTGATTCAAATCCGAATGGTTTTGAAATTGAATTTAAATATTCTTTTGTCATATGTCGGACTTGTTCACGCCGCATACGTTGTTCTTCTTGCAATTGTTCATATAAAGGCATGCGAACATGAGCCGGAACAGGAGTGGCTAAACAAAGCGATTTTGAAGTGAATTACCAAAGAATTTCACGGCTACCTTTGAATGAACGATTCAACATAAGCTCGTCGTCGACTTCCTTTTGTATTTTTGCCGCTTCTATTTCATGCATGCATTTTCTTCGATGAACATTGTCCACGGATACACTATTGGTTAAATCGAATGGTTGTGGTACAGTGACACGACCTGCCCAATTGTCATTTAAAGGTAAACTCGGTCGACGACGAGCTCTTTAAGAGAAGAAAGGATTGAGATCTATGATCAGACAATATAGTTGATCTTACTTCTTCTCTTCAAGATAATCTTCCAATTCAAATTCGTTCCATAGATGATGTATGTGTCTTTGTACGTCAGTTGTTGCCACATCTCGATCACTTGTCATTGTATCGTCGGCAGATGTTCGATGCGGACTTAAAACTAAATTCTCGTCAGTACTATGTCGTCGAGTTACATTCGTCGATATAGGACGATGATAAATGTGATGCGTTTGTTCTTGTGTTACCAATACAGGTGAAGGAGAACGTCGAGATGCGGTAGGTAAGGGTGGCTTGGATGTGACAATTGGTTCATATTTTTGTTCGACCTCATGAGGATAGAATGGAACATCGAAGGATCGTGTGTCCTTTAAATTGTAGTAATCACGTTCAATTTGAACTAATTTCGCGCGTTGTTCACGACGAAGTTCTCCGAGTGAATCAAGAAATGCTGTATTTTCATTTGGAATTCCAGTATCGACTTTAGCAAGTAGTTTTTCTTTATACTCAGCGAAATCAGATGATGTGTTATATGCTGAACGTATTAACGGATTGATTTTTTCAAGACTTGTATGCGAATTGTAATAATCATTTAATGAACTAGTTGCCATTCGTTTTGATATTTTACTGAGTGAAAGCAGAACATAAACGATGAGAAAAGAAATATCGAAGGTTGATAGTTACAAAACAGACATTATTCAATAGGTTGTTGGGCTTCTCGTTGGTTTCAACCTCCAGAATTTCAATGAACACGGTGAATATCTCGTGTTGCATAGCGACATCTTCTTGACATTTTTCTTTCATCTACGATCATTTTCTACCAAATATTTATTTATGGTATTATGAAACATTAGAATTAATTATTCGTGATTTACTCTCTGCGAAGAATAATGATATCTGAACAGCTGCAGATGATGGAAATGTTTGTTTAGAAAGAGTTCTGTTGTACTTCGAACGCGATCATGAAGTACAAATCTGCTTATAATTGCGACTGATCCGGTCGTTCTAATGTTGTCGAATTTGACTGGATTTAAATCGATTTAACGAGGAGAAAATAGATCAGTTCAGTGGACAATAGACAGAAGTAAAAATGTACAATCCTTGATTTGATCGAATCATGTATCAAATGATTGAATAGTAAGATAGAATGACGTTCATGAAGAAAATTAGTATGTTTTGGTGTAAATACAAATAGTAAAGAAACAGTGCCCCCCCCCCCTCTCCCTACATTATCTGATACTAAACAAATAGAAAGAAAAAAATCACGCAGAAAGTAAAGGATGTGTTCTCATACGAGTAATTTCATTTAAATAAATAGATGATATATAGTTTCAATAAAGAAAAATTGACTTTACATTGACCAATGACAATTTCAAAACTAGTGAATATCTTTCTCTCTCAATGTACTCAAGTATACAATTTAGTCATGCCGCGTGCTTACATCATGATCCACTTGATGATCTGTTGTTCAATGTATTACATCAAATAATTGATTTCGAAAGAAAACACGATGTCAAGTATATCGCAGGAAAAAAAAGGCATACCGCGGTGTCTCTTTGACCTCTCTTTCTAATTCTATTTGTGTAGGTGTGATTTCGAGTGACATGTATACAAAAAATTAAAGATCAATATATCCATTCGTGTTCGTTGTATTGTTGTCGTTTTGATTCTTTGTGACTTATCAAAGTTAATGCCTGAAGAGAGTTTGACCAATCTCAAATTACTTTTTTCTCTCGTTGTCGCCGACGATGATAACTTCGACTACTCTTTATTCGATATGACACGGCTTAAAATTCCACTTGTTCAACATATCGTATTGATCTATCATATCAAGACGGGCTGTGTAGAAGAGATGTGAAAGAGAAAACGAAAGAAAGGAGATGTCGTCATTAAGAAGGCAACTAAAGAAGAAGTATTTGTTGTTCTATCTGACGAAATCAAACGAATTAAGCGCAAAGAAACAAACCATCTGCCATACAAAAGCCAATTAGATACACCTTTCTTTTGTTACATTATTTACATTTCACTGATCCATTGATCAAAACTCTTGTCTTTTTGTTCTATCTTCTCATACTTTGTTCTTAGTTTTCATATCTCTTGCACTGTTGGATTTCGTTTCGATATTCTCATTTGTGACAGACGCGTGTAGAGATGCACTTTCATACATTAGACTAAAACAACAAATAATGATCTTCGTCAAACATAACAATCAATCTGATTAGCTTACAAGAACATTTTTCTTCTTCGGCTTATGTATACCATTATTTTCTAAATACCAACCACTGTGCACGATAGAAAATATCAACCATTTGTTGGTCTTGTATATTATTTTCTTGTGTCCATTAATGGTTAGATGTTCTCTTACATTAGTAATGATTTCCGGTATGTGTACGCCTCCGCGTATCTATCGATTTGACTACAACAAGCATCTTCCGACATGTTGTTAATTTGACAAGTACAATAATCTCCTTGCTTGATGTTCTCGAGTCGTTTGTCTTATTCGAGAAGAAAGAGAAATTCATTTTTGTCTTCTTTTTTTTGTCTTTGTGTAGAAAAAAAAAAGATCAAGTATATCTTATCTTGATCCACTTGTTGAAAAAGCAAAGCACAAATCCGAAATTATTTCCGTTTGACTGCCGGGCAGATTTATTGAATCAAGTCATATTTATTTCATCTCATATCACATATTTTTTTGTCAGTTTTTCGTATCAATCATTTTTCTCGTCGAGGTGATCAAATGAAAAGAAATCAGCGCAAAAAAAAAAGAATCAGAGATGAAACGTTGTTGTAAAGAATACGAAAATTGATACGTTGCCTACACTGCTAAAAAAACGAGAACAGCAGTATTAGCATGTTCTTATATTAAAGAGTGTGTGTGTGTGTATAGTCTGTATTCTCTTATTTCTGCGTAAGTTTACTGATGGTATTTCATCAATCTGTGCGTAATCGATCTTTTTATCGATGAGTATTGTTGTTGTTATACACACACGTAGTTGTTGGGGAGACCGTCATTGTATTTTTTTTATTGACAAGTAATGCTGATATGAAGAAGAGAATACAGAAAAAGAAAAAGAGAAACGACCGTTTGGCACCAATCAATGATCTGTCCGATTGCTCGAGAGAGATATTTTGATTCGTCAATCGGAAGATTTTTTTCTCTTTCGTCTTCTCTCATTTTTCTCTCATCGATTGTGTCTACAATTTGATAGATTAATCACAATTTTTCATCAGTTATATAGAGCGCATATACGATCCACATATAGACATATCGATTAAAGTATGAGTACAAGTCCCTCATCGCGTCACAATACGAAAAAACTCAATAAAACTGCGACGATGAATTCGGCAGGCAAACATCAGCAACAATCGTCATCTTCATCATCATCGTCAACGAATTCGAACGCTTTCCCACGTTATTTACCTCATGCTCTGCTTTTACGTGCTACCGAACGTTATCAACGCACACCTAAGTGTGCACGATGCCGAAATCATGGTGTTGTTTCGGCGTTGAAAGGTCATAAACGTTACTGTAATTGGAAGGATTGCATTTGTGCTAAATGTACACTTATTGCTGAACGACAACGCGTCATGGCTGCACAAGTAAGTGGAGAAAAAAAAACAGACGAATTGTCTTTCTTTTCTAATTACAAATCATTTATTTTCATTGTTTTTCAGGTTGCATTACGACGACAACAAGCACAAGAAGAAAATGATGCACGAGAACTGAGTGCGATCTATGGAACACCACCAGAAGCCATTTTAGCTCTACGTCGATCACTCAATGCCACGGCTGATGGTTTAGCAACAACATCATCGACTGTCTTAGAAGACGATGAAGGCAATACGAGTAACGACGAAGAGAATTCGAATGATGGTAACTACACCTCTAATGATCTTATGAGAAAGAGAAATTGAAAATTATTTTGTAGTTGTTTCAGTTGAAAAAAACTCAACATACAATGGTACCAATGGAAAAGAGGGTAATGAGGATGACAATGACGATGAAGACACGAGTAGCAAAAGTCCTCATCCATCATCACCAATAGACAATCATTCAATAAAACGCGCATCAAATTCACCAGCTGCCGTACGATCATCCGATGAAATAGCTTCACGGCGGGCCTCATCGCCCATTTCACCATCATCATCACCGCAAACAAAAGAAGCAGTAACAAATCAGCATGCTCACCACCACCAACAACTTTTCCCTCTTCCATCAAATGAGCACGATATGTCTGAAGCTGTTAAACGTGTTATCGCCAGTGTCTATTCCGAAGCCACTAAATCAGCATTCAGTCCAATCATGGCATCAACCTATTTGAATCATCACCATCATCAGCAAAATCGTCTTTTTACTTCCCCTTATCCTCCACCTCATCCGCTTTATTTTCACCATCCACCACCACCCATCCCATCACCAGCTTCAATGAGTATTCTCTCACGGGCAACATCACTTGCCGCTGTGCCAAGACATCCATCACATCATCGATGCATATTACCATTCTGTACATGTAAACTTGTTGCTCCGTCATCATCATCATCATCAACAACAACCAATTAATAGACGATGATTTTTCTATTGGAAACAAACTACTTCTTCTTTTTCTTTTCTTTTCTCTCTCTCTCTCTTTTTCTCTTCGTTGCATATTGTGTGTGCGTGTGTGTTTTCACTTATATAAATATAAATATCATTAAGATAAATAAAACTATAGGACTCTCTTTGTCCATTCTTCAATGTATTCTATTGTGTTTTCTTTATTCATCAGATAATTTGTATCCATATTGATTTCTTTAAGATCTCGGAATATCTTTTAACTCATATTCATCTGATTAATAGTAAATGACGAAGAAGAAGAAGAAAGAAAGATTAAAAATCTCGTGACTATGTCTTATATTTCTTTTATAACGACATTTCTTCAATCTTTTGCCTTTTTGTTTTTAACTTTTCAGAACAAAAGATTGCAGAAACATGTAACATGACGTAAAGATTATAAAAAAAAGAAGAAAACATTTGTGTAATTCTATCTGTCAAATGAATATCATGCATTAGCAACTGGCATTCCCTCAGCCTAAATGACAAAGTGTGACAAGATTGTTTAATCAATAGAAATAGATGGTCATACTTTTTTAAAATCTTTCATATTTGTTGTTGCAATTGGTGTTCCATAGAAAGTAATCGATTTCATTATTGTTTGATCAGAGCCTGATTGATTATTTGCGAAGAAGAGCTAAAGTAATCAAATGTGTGTTTCAGATGAGAAAAACGAAGAGAATTACTGAGAGTGATTGAACATTCTGGAATTTAACGAATCGTAATTCAACTGGCGAACCATCGACAAGATGTTTTTTCTCGAATCTAAACGAATTCAAATAGATTTCAACACAAAAATCATACTAATCGGATTAGTTTTACTCAAGTGTTTGTACAGCTTCGTTACTTTTTGCATCATTGAAATCAATCGCCTGTCGATTTACAAATAATTTCACTGTCTTAGGGCCATTTTCTACGAAAGAAATACAAATTTAAGTCGATTGACTTTGCACATGCCCAACCTTCGGGTGCTTCAATTGCGATTGAATGAATTTTTACAACTTGATTGAATGCAACATGAAGAATTAACTAAAATAGTCAATAGAAGTCTTTCTAGAACGGATTTCTATCGTATCCGGTTACTTCTGGATCATCTTCATCTGATCTAAACATGCCCGGTTGATTTCCAAGTACAGCATTTTGCCATTTATCGATTTCATTCAAAGCCGTACAGCTCTTTTCTTCAACAAACGGTTTCAGATCAGTCTGCAAACGTCAACAACGGATTTTTTTTAAAAACTTATACAAATTTCAATCGATTCGATCGCTTACGTATCCAGCATCTTTTGTTGGTGTATCTTTATAGAATTTCTTAATCGTTTGCTCAATCGGATCTTTACTTGCGCCTTGTAACCGAGCCACTTCCTTTCCATGTTGAAAAAACACAAACGTCGGCATAGCTTTAATGGCATATTTTGCTGCTTCACTCTATGAAATCGATATAAATCTCATTGTAAAGACAAAGACTTTCTCTTACAGTGCATTTCTCTACATCAGCTTTGAGAAAGACAGCATTTGGATATTGACTACTTAAATGTTCGATATGTGGAGCGATATTTTTACATGGTCCACACCTAAACATATGCACATGAGTTTGTAAAATCAAATGACAATTCGAACGAACCATGTGGCGAAGAAATCCACCATAACAAGTTTATCACCCGCTGATGTTAATTCACCATTGAGACTATCGTTGGCAATTTCTCGTACAGGCATTAGAGCTATGTCAGTTCAAAGATATTCTAAAATAAAAAACGAAGATTTGGGTAAAGTTTCTTTTCTTGTTTTTTTTTTATTGCCGGCCAAGAGAAAGTGAACGATATATGTATAATATATATATATATATATGTGAAGGAAAAAAAAAGATTCTAAAACGAGCAAGAATAAAGAGGAAAGATATATTAAACATCACCAACAGATTGAGGAGAAGACACAATGAAAACACTCTTTGTTTACGGGTCGGATGTTTTTCTCGGGATTGAAAATAGAGAAGAAATTCGAAAGAGAAAACAAACAAGACGAGAGGAAAACGAAAATGGAATTAATAGTTTGAAAAGTGTCTTGACGTGAGAAATAGTCATGTTTTCTGTTCATTTATGACTTCGACTAAACAAGTCGGTATTGTTGTTGTTGATGTTGTTAGTTTGGTTTATTGTGCGAAAAAGAAAGAACAACATCGAGAAGAACAAATTAAAAAAAGAAAAGGAAAAAATGTTTGAAGAATCGCAAAAAATGTAGAATATAGATTAGTTATGTGTGCATAAATATCAGCCGGCGTTATTTCTGTGATTGTGTTTTCTATAAAAAAAAATTTTCTCCGTTCGCCTTGTTCTCTTATTCCTTCTAACAACAACCGCCTGATGATTGGACTGGTTTGCCTTGCGTAGTCACATTAACACTTGTTGAAGGTTTACCCGCTGATGTTGAATGAGCTGATGACATACGAGACTTGATCTCTGTTGCCATGGTCATAAATGCCTGTTCGACATTTGTCGAATTCTTAGCCGATGTTTCCAAGAATGGAATACTCAACGAATCAGCATATTCCTACGAAATATTGAACGAATGTCAAGAAGGATTGCAAGGTGTGTTCACTTTCACATACTTTTGCTTTACTATATTCAACAGCTTTTTTTGCAGTTAGATCACATTTGTTTCCGACTAATAACTTGTTCACGTTTTCGCTGGCATATCGATCGATTTCTTGAAGCCATTGTTTGACATTGTTGAACGATTCCTTAATGAAATTTGAAATAGACTCGTATTTAGAATTAGGAATTTATCATACTTGATCAGTTACGTCGTAAACTACGATGATTCCATGTGCACCTCGGTAATAGCTACTTGTAATCGTACGGAATCGTTCTTGACCAGCAGTGTCCCACTAGAAAAATCATTTTCGAATGGATTTATGTCTATCAGGGCGTTTTTTTTTCGCTTACAATTTGCAATTTGATTGTTTTTCCATCGAGATCGATTGTTCGAATTTTCTACAAACAATAAACAAATGATCTTTCTAGATTAAAAAAAGATTTTCAACATACAAAATCAACACCAATTGTACTAATATAACTTTCCGTGTAGGTATCATCCTAAACATCAGAAAACTTATTCGTATTGAATATCAGTCAAATCAATTTACCGCGAAACGTAGTAAAAGACATGATTTGCCTACTCCCGAGTCACCAATAAGTAATAATTTAAAAAGATAATCACTAGAAGAAGAAGAAAATCACAATTTCGTTGGAAAAAAAGCAAACAATTGAATGACTCACTATTCCGGATTCATCTTGTTTGAAGCAAAATCGTATCTGGTATTGAAAATGAATTCGATAGGACGAGAGATCTATCTCGGATCTAAAAGAAAAGATATGAATCAAAGTACAACAATCAACTGAAAGAAATATAAAACAGGTAAGAAAAGAAAAATGGGGATGATGATAATAATAATGTTGATGACTCGTGTCTACTTTTGTGTTACAGGCAACCTTTTCGAGATAAACTCGGCCGCTACGAGGAGTTTCTTTTTGCCTTTTCTTACCAATAAAATAATATTTAAACAGGCAAGAATGAAAGATAGAAACAAAAATAAGTTTAACATTCAAAAATGTTAAATATTGGATCACGAAATACAAGAATAGGGACGATATCAAATGCATTTGTATTTTAAATAAATGAAAGAATGAAAGATTCTCATTGGCTAAAATGCTAACCAATAGAAAAGGCAGTGATTCATATTTACAGACAAACATCTGGTATATGAAAATAGTAACGGATCTTTCGATCGGTTATTGTTCGAACAGCTGTGACAAGAATAATCCAATGATTACGGCAATGATAATATGTGAATATCTTCGGAAAAAAAAGAAACAAAACACTACACAGAAGAATGTTCACATAGATAACATTCTTTCGATACGAATAAGAAATAGTTGTGATTATTGTTTGAAATTGTTCTGAACGTCACGCATTTTATTTGAGAATAAGATCACAACAAGAGACAAAATACTCGAGTACAATATTGATAAATGAAAACAAGCAACAACAGAGATTCTGCATAAAATCGATTGAATGGAGTCAACGTATGAAAAAAAGACGAATTATGCAAGAGAATAGAAAAAGAAGAGAATATCACTGTGAAAAAAAAATTGTTTATAAATAAGAAAACAAAAGTGAGGAATGTCGAAAATTGTTAAGCGTCGTCTTTCGTTTGACTTGTCAATAAGAAACTGTCGCCATTGAAAAAGTCTGATTGATTATCGTTGGGATTCTAAAGACAAGAAGAACTTGTACATTTGTTTAGATTAACTTCTTTTTTTTACCTTTCGAATAGCATTTCGAACAACATTCATCAATTTTTTCGCTTTCGATGGTTTCTTGAAATGAACTTCATCACCCGAATCTTCTTCATCACTAATCTGAGCACAAACATTGTCAACTGGAGTATCATCATCTGGATTCGTATTTTCCACTAATTGCATGTAACGATATTCAAGTCTGAGCAACATAGAAAAGACATGAATTGACAAATAGAGTTTCGAAAAAAAATATATTACTTTCGATTTTTTCTCCAAAACTTGATCAAAACTAGGATTAAGATCGTTGCGACGAGAAGAAACACAGCAAATACGATTTGAACTTCAGTAGATAAGACAGAGCATCGGCGAATGTCAACTTTTTCTGCTAAACTATTTGCGCAGTATCTAAATAACAGAGAAAATCAAGTCGCTAAAAGAAAATAGTCGAGATAATTTACGGATAGGGAACTTTTCGAACTTCTTGTCGTCCAAATCGACAAGGACCGACGAATGTTCGATAGCCACTTGAATTGCCATCACATATTGGACAAGCTAACGGTGTACGTAAAAGAAAATGAAATGTACATCCATCACAAGTGCCTGGTGCGCAATTGCTTGGTGTTTGTAATTGGTATGTAGCGTTGGACTTTTGCTGTTCATCATTGAGAATATGATCACAACGTAAGGATAAAAAGGTCGTACGCTGTAAACATGTCGATTCTGCAGATGATGTATTTGCTTGATAGACGAGTGTAATGTCAGTTAAATTATAATCCGAACGAAGAGGTGGAAAGTATTTTGATACGGATAGAGAAACACTGACTAATTCTTCGCCGAATCTAGACAGAAAGTATCATTTGGAGAGACACTGAAAGCAAAAATATGCTGACTAACTCATCGATGTAGGCAACAGATGTAATATTATCATTTTGATCGGGTACAGAACCAAGTCGGCATAACTTAGAATCGATAATTTTTTGACTGTTTCGATTCTTTGTGTCAGCCGATGCCTAGACAGACATTATCAAATATAATTTGTGTTCCGTGAATCTTTTAATACTTACTAACGATGTCAAACAAGTCACACTTGCTTTACCACAAATGCTCGCATTGAATACATGAAAATAACCACTACCTTTATGTGTAAACAATTTCGAGCCATGAAATTGAATTCTACAAAACTAATTTTTGAAGTACTCATTGAATTTTTCGAGTTCTTACGTTGATATTGCATTTAAATCATATGGAATATCTCCACTAAACATTTGCTTACATGGTACATTACACGAAATACCATCATCGGAGATGGTATTATTTGGACATGGTTTACAAATTGTCGGAACAGGATCACGCGATCGTATACGAGATGCAATCATTGAATTCGGACAAGCCGTACAAGTATTATTATTATTTGTGAGAATATGTCCCGGTGCGCATTGTTTGCATCTATTGAAGAGAAACAAAGATTTCGTGGATTAGAAAACTGCGCGATTTTTACTCAGTTTCTTTATCGTTTGTGGTTAAACACGAAACACATCGATCAGAACCTCCCAGTTCTGTATTGGTAACATGAATTTCGTAAATACGAACTTCGTCACCACCTTGATCTTCACTGTCGGAGGTGAACATCCAGTTGAAAACAACTTCATTTGGATTCAGGATCGTGTAACTAATTAACAGAAATATTTATCATGCAAAGACAATTGTAAAGAAACACGTCATACCTAAAATTCTGTGTATCTTCATGTTTCTGGTTTTTGATAATGTGCCATTTGTGAATAACTTGCCAATTACTATCATCATCATCGTACATATCCTAATCGACAGAAAGATTCGTATTCCAATGAAAAATATTGGCAAGAAATCTTACTTCAGCAACTAAAAACAGCATGCAACTTGATTGACATTGCGTTGAAAATTTAAAAAATAATGTTCCATATTCTTTTGTTGCTCTGGCGATATCTGTTACACGAAAGCCTTTGATAATACTTAACGTTAATACAGATAATGTGTCAGGTATTGATTGAGATGAAATATATTCAATACTTGGTATCTAGACAAAACGAAAATCTAGTTCAGATGTAATAGAATCAATGAACACATACCCAACTTTGATTTGCACGAAGTTCACTGACTAAAATAGAGAAAGAATGGAATTCAATGGAGATGAGAAAGAAGATTTTCTACATACCACTGTTCATATCATCGAATGAAAGGTAACTTCGATTTAAATAATCAGGTAAATCGTTCCAAATTTTATAATACAAACCCGGTACAAGTGATAGATCATTAACACATGGCAAACAAGCGCTCAATGTACCATTCGAATACGTTTTCGGTGGACAAAATTCACATTTACCACTGGTGGTACTTTTAAACATTCCACTAAAATATTTTCTTACAGTCGAATAGGAACTTTTGTTGGAAAATATACGTACGGATTACATGTTCCACATGGTAATTGTTTATCAGCTGGCAGAGTAACGTCACCAATACAGATTTTCGGTTCAATAGGTCGATATGTAATTGTTGCCTAATATAAATATAAATATATATTATATAATTAAAGAGACAGACGCTGAAACAAACCATATTGGATGTACCACAGCCTGTAAATACTTTTTGATAATGTTTTTCTTCGCATTTTGGTCGTTCAGTACATTTTAACGATCCTTCATCTGAAATATGCATATTGATTCGAAATCTCATTCAAAAAAGAGACATATTTATACCCGAATATTGTGCTGCGCCGCAAGGTATGCATTCGGTGGATCCGCTCTTTGCAGTATAAGTATTTTTTGGGCAAGGTGCACAATTACTCGCGCCCTTCTTAGCGGCATAGGTACCTACAAAACAGAGAATCATGTCAGGTGATCTTTCCTAATAAGATTTCTTCTGTAAAAGCTTTTTACCTGGTGGACATTCAATACAATCTTGAAGAAAAGCATTTCCTACGAAGAGAAAAGATCATTGACCTCAAATTCATCCTTTTCTGTCTTGATTGCTTACCTTCAACAACAATGGATCGGATATAAAACGGAAAATGAAAAGCATTCACGCCAAAACTAAGCAAAGTAAGGACGTATTCTCCTGGTTCATTGATTACAATCTAAATCAATACTTTAGTATCGAACGAACAATTTCTATCAACTCTTATCCTACTTGTTTTTCTTTCCATATACCATAACCTGTAGGATAAAACGTGACCTCTGCTTTCTTCTTTGGATTGCCATTGTCATCACCATCATCATTGTTATCAGCATCATCGGTTTTATCTTTTTCATCAATACTAAAATCACATCGGGATGAAATCTAAAGGAAATTTTCCAAATGAAGAATGTTTCCTATCGATTCTGTCAAAATTTCGTTTACCGTTCCAAAAACAAAAGATGTAGGTAGATTATATGTGACACTAATCGATCCAGAACGTTGAAGTTTGAATTGAAGCGAAAGTGTTAATACACAATTATGTTGCACTTCACCTTGTAAGAGATTACCTTTAACACGCCAATTACTTGAAAAAAAGAGAAATTCATCGATTGGAAAAACAATGCTGAAGAGTAAACAATTTACCTTTTCTTCTTACATTCGCCATCATATGATTCTACTAATGAAGTTGTTTTCAACCTAAGTTCAGGCATGATGACTTTCAGATCATCCAATTCATTGAAAGTGTATTGATCACCACCACCAAGAGAAAATGTTCCTTCCGAACAACTTTTGCAATCCAAATTAGCCTTATTAAACGTTTGTCCTTTCGGACAAGCGAAGTCTAAAAGATTGTCGTTAATATGAGATTGTTTTCCAAATCTCACTTACCGCATCTGACACGAATGGGCTGAGCAGTTGTCTGATCCTTGCAAGAGTCTTTACTTTGTGGTACTTCAATTAGCCATTGATAATCTCCATGATTATAACATTTCGATACGATAGTTCTCGTGTTCACCTAGAACAAACACAAATGACTCTTTCAACGAAAGCATCTCTCAGCATAGCAAACAATTAATTAAATAATAAATCAAAAAGAAAAAAAAACACCAGAGCCCAAATTCTATATATTAGAAGCAAAAAAGGTTAGGCCAACTTTGTCCTCACTTTTGCTGACCAGATCTTTCCTGTTTAGAGATAAATAGCTGGAATTAGAAGTTATAATAGATTATCGAAGCGGATATTAGTACGAATTCAGTTCAGAACTCCGACTCAACTTACGCATTCCGTTTCACCCGACACGCCATGAAGAGCTAGAAATGAGATAAGAAGGATTGCACTTGAAATCGACATTATCTAAAAAGTAGAAGTTAATCGCCATCTTACAACTTCCACTGCTATCAAAATGGAATGCAAAAAAAATCAACCAAAGTTTATTTAAACTTAACGAAAATAACAAGAATGAAAAATTTAACAATCATTCAAAAACTAAGATTCTTTTTTATATGATTGCATGAATGGATTTGATTGTAATTACTTTGGTTAACCACCAATTAAAATCATTGGTCGATTCTCTTGTGTGTGTAAGACATCCACCGGTAAATGTTCTTTATCTTTTTTATATAAAGTTCGCTGAATCAACGAGTAGATCTCTTCATCACTCGCACCGGATCGAAGAACGTCACGTAAAGATACTTCTTTGTTATCAAATAAACACACCTAAAACACAAAGATAAAAAATCTGAAAGCAAAGATATTCTTGTTACCTTTAGTTGTCCATCTGCGGTTACTCGAATTCGATTGCAAGTTGAACAGAAGTGTTCGCTCATTGAAGTGATAAAGCCAATTCGTCCTTTATAAGAGTCGTCTTGCACGCGGTACCATTTTGTTGTATCATTTTTGTCCATCTGAGCTAGTTTTTGCAAATTATATTTTTGTTTAATGATTTTCAACATTTCCTCATAGGGAAAATATTTCTTTTCATTCCATTTATTATCATCGAACGGCATGTATTCAATAAAACGGACAGCTAAATTCGGTTGATCACGAGCTAATTCAACAAAATCATTCAATTCATCTGTGTTAATTCCTTGCATAACTACACAATTGATTTTCACTAATGGATATGATTTCGGCATATCCAATGCTAAGCGTATATTCGATAAAACTCGGGCAAACGCTGCACGTCGTGTAAGAAATTCGAATTTCTCTTGTACTAAAGTATCCAATGAAATATTTAATGAATTCAGACCAGCTTCAGCAAGCGGTTCGAGTAAACGATGTAGAAGCACACCGTTCGTCGTTATTCCAATCGTTTTCATCGTCGGATATGATCGTACTCCACGTACGATATCAACAAGATCCTTTCGAATTGTTGGCTCTATGTCAGAAAAACATGGAGATTCGGTTTTAGAAAGAAAGAAGCATTCGTTTTGTAAAATATCTTTTCGAAAGCAAGAGACCCACTCACCTTTGACTAAACGACGTACCTCCTCCGGTTAAACGGATTTTGTTAACGCCACCATATGTAGTAAATATTCGAATTAGATGTAGAATCTCATTAGTACTTAATAGATGACTTGAAGGAGAGAGATTGACTCCTTTTTCTGGCATACAATATTGACATCTATTCACATTAGAACAAAATTGATGAAGTTTAAGAAAAAAAAGCAATCGATCTTTTACCTTAGATTACATCGTTCTGTGAGGGATATACGCAGATAGTTATGCAAGCGATTAAAACTATCAATAAGTACTGTTGATTGACGAGAGACAGAACTCATCTAAATAGGAAAAAAACGAATTTGCATTACGAGAAAAATAGGCGATGTCAGTATGTTTTAACTTCGCATAAATGTATCGTGTCAAGATAAAAAAGAATCGAAAGAACAAAGTATATTACTCTGTTTAATAAAACATGTTCGCAATAGCAATAATAGTACATTTCACGTCCATATAGAACGATTTACAGGAAAGAACCAATGATAAAGTCAGAGATAAACAATCCAAGGCGTATGGTAAACGACTATTCTGCTTCAATAGATGTCATACAAATACAATGTGTAATTTGTTTTGAAGTTTGACGTGTAGAGAAAAGTTAATGAATACATTTGTCTGATCGATATTTGAATGTTGTTGTTAGAGAAAGATCCTGTCTACAACAATATGTCTATTGTTTCATTTGGCATTGATTTGATTGCGAGAAATGTATGCTTGTTCTACACAATATGTATCGACATACTGATTTGATTATGAACATCATCAATGTTTTTTCAATGAAAACAAATATTTCGATGGTACTGTGTGACAGTTCTTTTTCATTTTAACAACTTCGTCTGTAATCATACAGGAAGCAAATTCTCAGTTCTTATCTTCGTTCTTCAAAACAATTGAACAGTATTCATGAGTGTTCTTCTCGAATAATGATATACTCTCCTTGTCTAGGATTTCCTTTCTAAGCTCATTTCATTTCGAGTGATTGTAACTTACAAGAGCAGATAAAGTACATCAATTCCATTAACATTTACGTCAGAAAGGGGGATTTACTTGAGCACAAGTGACGAATGCTTTAGTACTATAAAGCGAACGATCAATACAACTGCTAATGACACATTAGATGCGCTCAATAGAGATACTTTATCGAATTCAATGTCATCAAACAACTATGACGCAGCTCGTCATGCTGTTTGATTTATCCTGCTCAAGATGTAGATCAGGTAAGTTTTATTCTTCACAAATACGGATCTTGTTTCTTTTGATATTTTCCAATTTGGTCTGTTGTTCGAGAAGTACGATGTTAGAAAGAAAAGGACGTTCATCACAAAATCATGCACGACAAATCAGACACTTCATTTTTGTTATTGGTACCTTTTCAAGTCGATTAATTTTGTAAAATTAGGTAGAAGGAAGTCGATTTAATAAAAGAAAATACTTCCTATTTCTCATAGAACACTTCTTTCTCAAAAATTAGATTCATATAGTACAAAACATTTTGCTTTCAAACAAAAGAAGAAGAAAAAAACAATCGTCGAACTTGAATATCTCGAAAAACTCTGCGACGAATCCTTTTGATCTACTTTTCCCTTAATTTAATCTTCATTCGTTCGTCAAATGGAAAGTCTGCGATGTAATTTATCCAGGTTCGCTGAGAAATATGTTATTCAATTAGTTTCCTTTGAAACAGAATCAACATAATGAATAAAGAATTATCTTCGAAATTTCTTTTGACATGTGGCTTGCTTTTCCCCGTCTAAGAATAAATTATAGTTAGTTGGAGGTGAAGAGCGCAACTCTGATTATTCCAAACTGATATTTATGAAATGTATCCCTTGAACTATCAAATGGCCAATCAAGCGTGATTATCATGATGTTTTCTTTGTTTTCGCGGATATACATTTTACCTTAACTATTGTTTTTCTTGAAAGAGAAAAAAAATATCAGAGAGATTTTCCGAAGGAAATGTTGCTTCCGCTCGAATGAGAGCCTTTCTCTGTGCATGATTTTTGTTAACTAGTTAATTGAAGGAGCGCAAGAGGAAGACAAAGAGAGAGAGAGAGAGAAAGAGAGATGATAGTGCATTCAAGTTCAACTAAGAAAGAGAAAAATATTAACTGAGCTCCAGTGTGCAAATAATAACATTTGACAGAACTGCAACGAATTCTATGACATATATATATTCAATAGTATTTGAAATCTCCTAACTACTTGTGTTTTTATTCATGTAACAGAACATATTAATCAAAGTAAGAGTGTGCATAGATCGAAAATCATTTCGTTTTCTTGTTTTAGTATTAAAACCATGAGTAATACTTATCATTTGATTCTATTCATTTTGATTATTAACGTTTTTCTCGTATTCGTTTTGCCACTTGTCAATTGTGAAGCTGAACAAACGAAAATGGATTCAATTGACAAAATCATCGAGAGCAAGACAATGAAAAGTCGTCTACATGACTCCGAAGACAAAGATCGGGAAATTCTGGAATATTTCCTTGAACATCTGTTCAAACCGTATCCTCAACGTCGAGCCTCGTCATTTCACGCTATGCGAGGCAAAAGATTTCTTAGACAACCTCTCTAATCTTATTCATATCGACTTATTTCAAAAGAGTTTTTCTTTTATGAAATAAAAGATCTTGAAGTTCAAAATAAATTATATTTAGTTGTATATAAAATCATACGCACATTTCTTTTCTTCTGAATAAAAACTGTTACCTTATCCTGATCCAATAGAACATCTCTCCTTTCTCAGTACATTGTCGAGGTAAAAACAATTCTCTTAATGATCTGCTTATTGAACATGCACAGTCATTTGACTTACTCTCTAACGAGTCTTCTCGATGATCTTTGAAAGACTTGCAATTCTTTCGTAAATGATAAGTAATTCACGTTAAGTGTCTTATTAAACATATCCGCAGAAACTCCCTTTCGAGAAGATTCTCAGACTTTCTATTCTGGCTTTGAACTCTCGTCTTCGGTTCAAAGATAATGGTTCACAAGGAATTTATAAATAAAACACTTCTAGTACATATTTATCTCGACAGCAATTTGTCCCCAAGCGTCACACAAAAGAATTTCTTATTTTTCGAAGAAGAATTCAAGTAGAAAAAAGAAGGTTAAATCATGACATTTCGTCTAAGTAAATTTAGATGAATTGATCTCGGAAGAAATTGAATTGAATATTTTGTCGACCATTGTATGAAGTTCAAATGAGAAAACTTCGAGTTTATCATGTCGTTATGGTCCAATACCATTCTATGGGAATATTCATTGACAACGACACTCTTCTCTCGGATATTTAATACGATAATTTTTATAGTTTCAAATAACTTCTTCAAGAACAATTAAAGGATAATGATGAACGGTGAATATGACATATACATTAGACAGAAATGAGAATTGAATAATGACGAAAAAGACTAGGCGTTGAAATTTTATATTATTGGTTTTGCAATCTTTTATCGCTGGTTGATCGAATTACAAATAGGCGAAGTCATACAATAATGTTCTTGAAACATATAGTAACCTTTGTTCGATATGTTTCAATGAGATCAACAGGTCCTCAACGATCTTGAAATATTAATTAAGATTTATTAATGTTTATATATAACCTGATCTATCGATGTTGTCAGGTCGACTGTGACCTAGCCATTAGGCACATTTTGCGTAAAAGAAAACTATACAGTAGTGATATAATATTGATAGGGAATAAACAGTTAATGAAATCTCATTTTCGTGAAAAAGTATATTTTCATTGTTTTGTTATTCAGTGGTAAAAAGACAGATATAGAAACGAGCACAATATATATTTTCTACTTTTAAAAGTCAATAAATAAAAAACGAAAAATCAATATCGTTCCAATTTTATTTTGTGGAATTAATACTTTGATCATATAAACCTTGAGAGTACATTCTTTCTGATATACTCAAAAATTATATCTCGATATAAAATGTCATCCTTGCTCCAAATTTGTGCAGATACAATCTAATGAATCTATTCAGTATCGCTCTCGTTTCTTGGCTCGTGATTGCCTTCACTCAATGCAAGGCAACACCATTGGATGATTATGTGAATACTCCCGACTCCGCCTTCGGATGGAAACGCATTAGTACGTATCCACAATCACTTTATACGATTTATGTATTGAATATGACATCACAACAGTGGTTCGATAGTAAGACGATACTTTGTCGATGATAGAAATTTCTAATTATGTCGATGATAGGTTCATTCTCAACACGACCAATTTGGTGGCATTATGTCACTATCGTAGTTCCAAAAACGTTCCGTCGTCCCAAGACAGCTTTTTTACTTGTTGATGGAGGCTCCAATTCGGATTCGTACGTTTCAGTTGTTTTATTGCTATTGAAGAAGCAAAGTTTTCAGAAAACTAATCTATTTCTGAGCTCCTACAGCAGAACATATTCGATTTCAAAGGATAGTCCTCAAATTTCACAAAACATAATCACCTACTGCGTAATTTCATATGTTTGTTATGTGTACTTAGACCACCCACGAGTAGTGGAATAGCATCAATGGCTAGTGCTTCCGGTAGTGTCATTGCTACTATTCGACAAATTCCCAATCAAAATATTCGATTTCTAGTACGTGAGTTCTCTATCTTTCGACATTATAGAGAGATTCATTTTGTTTTTTCAGAGTGATCCGACAAGTAGTTCTCGCGCAGAAGATTCATTAATTGGTTGGACATGGAAACGATATTTAGAGACTAACGGTAGTGACCCACGAATACTTCTTCGTTTCCCAATGACCAAAGTTAGCAACAATCTATCGGAACGGATGATCTTTCTCAAATTTCTTTTCTTCTACTAACAATAGGCAGTCATACGAGCAATGGACACTGTCGAACAATTCTTAGCTCAAGAAAACTATCCGGTGCCACAAGAATTCGTACTTGCTGGGGCTTCAAAAGTAAAATTTATCTGTCATATTCCGTATGTTTAGCGAAATCTTTGTTTTATAGCGTGGATGGACAAGTTTGAGCTCCATGAAATTGGTTTTCGTTTGATTTACTCAATATTTTAGCGTGGACAAGTGCTGCTGTTGATAATCGACGAGTTGTGGCTGCAGCACCGATCGTCATGGACTTACTAAATCTTCGAGCCGTAAGAAATATTGAAAAAGATCAATCATTCATACCTCCTTATTGTATATGTATAGAACATGATGTCACATTATCGAGTGAGACCTGATGTTGTTAACTATGTATGTAAACGAAATTGATTCTTAGTCTCTCGGAGGATGGACATTCGCTTTTTATGACTACTATGTGCAAAATATAACACGTTACATGAACAGTCCTAATTTCGATAAATTAGCACAAATGGTTGATCCATATTGTATAAGTTTTGCATTTTATTTTATTTTGGTCTGCATTCGATTTGTATAGCTTATATCGATAGATATAGTAAAATGAAAATCTATCAAATACAAGGTGCTGGTGATGAATTCTTCCTTCCTGATAGCGAAGTAAGATAACTTTTTTTCCAAAGTGTAACTACGAAAGAAAACTTTTTCATTTTTCATAGGAATTCTTTTGGAATGATTTGCAAAAAGCAACAGGTGGATCTTATTTAAGGTGAAAGATCTCAGAAAAGAAAAAACCTCAACAAAATCCTCCTTCCTGTCCTCTATTAATAGACGAATACCAAATACTGGTCACAACGCCGGCGGTTATCAAGATAGTTTATACAGTTTCTATCTGAGCGTAGCTGACGTAAGCTAACATCTTGTTTAGTGTATGTTGTTTACTTACAATTTTTAGAGAACAATTTTACCGGCAATGACATGGACACGAATGACCAACACAACACATGGTACTATCCGTGCTGTTGTCGATTTTAGTAATGGGAAGGCAAAAGCCAGTGCTGTAACTGCCTATCAAGCTCGTACTAAAGATACATCGAAGTAAGATCAGATAATCGGAATGTGACATACTTTTCTGCTGTTTCTCAAGACGCGATTTTCGACAATCAAAACTCGATTCATCGGGAAAAGTTGTAAGCTCCGGCATCGTTTGGGCAAATACCGCTGTTCAACTCGAGGTAATCGAATATTAAATTCTCTGAATATACAAATACTTCATTTCGATCTATATACTCAAAAGAGCCAAAGTGCTACATCTGCTATCTACACAATCGTTGTTCCTATTCCAACAGACGGATATTGGACTGCTACTTATATTCAAGCTTCATTTCCTGGACCTGACTCAACAACACTCATATTAACAACAGAGTCACTTATTTTGCCAAACACTTATCCAATTCCGGAATGCAAAGATCAAGGATGCTATGGAACATTGGTCTAATTTTAGAAGAGAAGAAATGAAACGAGTCGTTAAATAAAAACTTCTGTTTTCTATTTATTTCAATATCAAAAACATTGAGTGTATCCACAAAAAGCACAAAATAGGATCAATGAATCTATCATGGGTGTAGGAAACAAAGTTGATTAGAAATCAAAGAAAATAATACATAACAAAATGACATGTTGTTGTCTATTTATGATCAGTTCGTTTTCTTCCTGATGAATTTCTGTTGGATTTAGATGACGATGAGGTTGACGAAGACGACGATTCACGACGACGATGATTTCGACGAAAACGTTGTCGTAGAAATTCAGGCGTCGGTGAACGTGATTTACCTACTGGCGGTCTTTTTCTATTGCGATTTTTCGAGGAATGTCGAGATGATGATGAAGATGAAGAGGATGATGATGTCGACGACGAGGAAGATCGTGAAGTTGAACGACGATGAGGCGGAGGACGTCGAGGTGTTGGAGAACGACTAAATAGATTTAATGAACATTCGACACGGTATTCAACAAAAGATAGTACGTGGTATACCTTCTCGATCTTGTTCGTGATCTCGATCGACTACTTGAACGATGGTGCGAACGACGATGGCGATGTTTTCCAAAAGACTGACGTAATTCGGATTCTCGAGCTTCACGTTCTCGCTCTTCTCGTTCCTCACGTTCACGTTGTTGATCTTTGTCCTTTTGAACTATAAATCGAAGAAAACTGAATATTTATCTTCATCTACAGTATAACTATTAATTACATTGTTTTTTCAAAAGTGTCTGCATTCGACGACGAAGTTTCTCTTGAGGTGTTTTAACCATTGAACTCTACACAATGAAATATTCAATTTCGATTCAAGTTTTTGCTTATGTGATTTTACCTTAGATGATGATGATGATGATGATAATGGGTTAGAACCATTCTGTTCTTTGTGTGCGACTGATGTTGCACTTGAATCTTGATTACGTCTGGAAAATATATAATAACTTTAAATGAAAACAATTTGTTGCTATAGCTAGTTTACTGTCGAGCTTCTTTCCGTTTGAGATATTGTTGAAGATAGTTATCGTCGTCTTCTTCCTCGTCATCATCTTCATTATCTTTTTTACTATTGATATTTTCTTCTTTCTTATCTAATTTAACGATTTTGATTGCCGGAATTTCATCGTCAGATAAAGCATGTCGTTCTCTAAATATTCAATGATAATCAAACAAAACAAAAAATAAATTCAGATATACGGTGATGAATCTTCTTTCAATTTCTGCAATGTTGATAGAAGAACTTGACTCTTTCTTTGGATTGTTCGGCACGGAACAAATGTAGTGCTAAAGAAATCGAAGGACAAGTTCAGATTGTAAGAAATCTTAGTGTAAATCTTACGTTGGCTCTGGCAATCGCGGTGGTGTGGCTAGACGATGAGTACGAATGGAAATCACTTGTGGATCAGCTTTCTTTTTTGCTTCTCGACATTCATCGAGTAGAGACTTTTCGAAAGATCGTTTGCGTTTCAATTCATTTGCTTTCGACGCATCGTCCTCACCAAACGCAGTGATAAATTCGATCTTCTCTTTCACTGGTGTGTTATCCACAGGCGATGGCGAACGAGATTTTGATTTCGCTTGCACAACGGGTAATATCGGAGTTTCACGATTAAGATAACTATAGAACGAAAAGGTTGAGAAAGAAAGATAAGTGAAAAAAACTTACTTTGGTGGACAAAACTCTCGTTCTTTGATTCGTCTTTCCTTTGCTAAACGACGTTCACGACGTCCTCGGCGACCCTGAAAATAAATCTTTCATAAAAAGCGTGAAAAAAAGCAAACTTTTTTCTCACCTTTCCCGGCACATCTTGTTCTCTATCCAATTTATTTTCTCGAATTATTTGCATTTCTTCTCGATCAAGAATCAACAATCGTGCAAAATCTCCAAAAGCTAATCCATAATGTGTAGCGACTTTATTTAACGATGCTTTGTTTTCACTGGTTAACTGTGCGACATCGATTTCAATGTCTAAATCTAAATCATCATCGTCATCATCGTCGTTGTCACTATCGTCAAGTATTGATTTCTTCGATGATGTTGTTGCAGGTGCATCATCATAAGCGAAACCGATTTCCGCTTTCTTCCCAATGGATCTAGATCGAAATGGAAAAGAAAACAACGGTGAATGCATTTTATTCTGCGAACAAAACGTGCTACTTGTCGGACGCTCGCTTCCTAAGTTTCTTATGGTCACAGCCTACTTTTTCTTTTTTGCTTCTCGCGAAGCTGGATGTTCATCTCGAAGTGCACCGAATTTTTCATCATTTTCAATATCACGTAAACATTGTTCTTCACTAACTAAAATTTTTCAGAAAAGAATCGTCAAGTGTTTTCTTCTTCATCTATCGACTTACCACTCGTTGATTCGTTATGAATTAACACTCGATAACGTTCATAGTTACATAAACGTTCCTCATTTTGTTCCGTTTCAGTTAACAATCTATTAGGGATAAAATAGAAATCAGTTCTGGCCTGTGTTCGATTCATTGGAGATCGTATGCGAAACAAAATTGAAAAAGTACCGACTCGGAGCCTTGTTGAGTTCTTAGAGAATATTCATCAATAATATCCAAATGGGAACGAACATCAAACCGATCAATTAATGTACTTTCATCATCTCGCCATGGTGTCCTATAGCAAAACGAGAATCAGATCTGAGTGAAGTGATGAAGATTCGAACTTACAAGGTCGATTCAGCAGCAGTAGCGACCGCTGGATCTAGATGAATCTTTGCTGGTCGGCCCCAAATTTGTAAGAATTCTGCTGGATCCCGTTTCTATATGAAGACACACAAGATGATAGAAGAGAATTTATGAAATTCAACGAACAATTCTTTCGTAATATTCTTTCCGTCGTTCTGATCGTTTTTTATAATCAACAATCATTCCGCGAAGTTTCTTTTCGTGCTTTCGCATTTCTTGCCACATGACTATTGTTTTCCGATCTGCAAGCAAAAGAAAGAAAAATACTGTGGAATAGAAAAAGAAGATCGATCGAATAGAGATTCATTCACTGTATTCATTCGAAACATTGGAAAAGAAAAGAAAAGAAAGATTAAAATTATAAGAATAAAAAAAGAAACGATTAATTTTCTTGCTGTTGACGCTTCATCAACGCTTTCATTCGACTAAGTTGGTCAAGAAATTTTAGAATACGCTGTTGATCTTCGTCGATCTCCCGTACCGTACAATCTTTGATGTTCTTCATAGAATCACGCACTTGAATGTAATCACGTGCAAGAAAATGCAATATCGTAAAACAATGGTAAATTTTGTTCGATTCTTGAACGGTTGTTGGGCCGTGGGACGTTTCGTGACGATAAGCTAATAATGTTTGAAGTGTATTATGTGCTTCAGCTTCTGTGGCTAAGTCTTGGAGAGAAGAAGAGAGATTTAGTTGAAGTTAGAAACATAAATGAAATTTGATTTACCAAGTTTGGACGGATTTGTTGTGTTTTCTTCGTCATCTTCATCGTTGTCTTGTTTTCCTAAAACGGCTTCCATATCCGAGAAAACAACTCGCGATTGAAGAAGACGACGCAAATGATTGTACCACATTTGTGTTACTTGAGTGTATAACGATTCAGTCACTTCCAAACGGTTCATTAGTTTGAAGACTTTACCCAAAAGAAAATAACCTCCGGCTACTTTATAATGCTCTGTACCGTAAAACAACGAAGCATCATAAATCTAAATGGACAAGAAATGAATGAAATCAGTTGAACGTTCGATAATACAAACATCGTTTGCTAAATGTCTCGCTGCTTCGTCATAATCTCTTCTGGCAATACTTAATTGTGCCATATTTCGTGCAACTTGTGATGTGATTGCAGGTGGAGCATGATCTTGTTGTTGTAAAACTGTATATTGTGCTTGAGATAAGTATTCCCAACATTGATTTAATTGTTTCAAACCTAGACTTGCTTCAGCTAAGACTAAATACGATGGAATAAGTTCGACACTTCGTGGACCATGAACCTCAATAGCTAATTTTAAGGAAGCAAGCGCAGCTGGTATGGCAGCGTCATAACGACTTTGAAAAACCTACGATAAACAAAGAGATTTTCGAAACAGAAGACGAACTTTTCATTCTTTATTACGTGTCTTTCCCCAATCATTCGTGTAACTTCGATTAAATGAAGTTTCTTCTCACGTATTTCTCGATCACGATCACGACGTTCTTCTTCCGATGGAAGAAATGGTTGTTTCGCTCGAATAGTTGCTAGTGTCGAACAAATTTTATCATGGATACCATTACTATCAGTTGCTTGATGTTCTTCGGAACAGTAATATGTTACACGACATTTGGTACATATACGTGACGCTGTTTTGCCACAGATTTCACATTTATGTGAAATAGATTTGGGAAAAGCGAGAGGATAGACGATTTCTGTTGTCGCCATCCCTTCCTTTATTTTTGTCAGTAACAAACAATGATCAGGAGGAGAAATGAAAAGACTTTCTCGAAACAACCAATGAGAATCAAAAGAAAACTACACTGACATCTAAAGACACTTGGATACCGTATACTGTTTCAAATTTTCTTTTGGAAAAAAACGTAACATTCCTTATACAAGATAACATTGACACAGTTCAATAATTCATTGTTATTTTATTACAGAAAATCGACTAATTCACTATATACATATATAAATACGTCAAGAAAATATGATACAATAAAATTTCCTTTTAATTGTTCAATATCGGATCTATTCTCTACCTTCGCTAATAAATAATCACGCATTCGATTCATCGATCAAACATATTGAACACAAGTTCGAAGTTCTCATCCTTCTCTTTCATATAACCAGATTATCACAGAGTACATCCACGCCATCTAACGTTCATATAGATAATCACACAAGATGCTTCTCAGTTATTCGTTCAGACAACGAATCAAAGAAACCATGGATGTATCTATGTTTGCGCACACTCACATTATTTGTACACATAGCTTTAATCCAATGCAACAGTAGAACAACACATATGATATGTCCTAACATTGGATAGAGATTAATAAATACTCGTTCCGAAATGATTCTCGAGAAGTATTACATATATGTGTTGTAATCATTGTAGTCGTTATATGTATCTAACAGATCCTTAAACATACTCTCTTTGAACCGACGATGAACAAATCAAATATTATACGAAAAAGAAAGATTCTTTCATACGAAAGAGTTAATTGAATTGTTCACAGAGAAATTAAATCTATTTGTTCGTAAATTATAATATACAATCGTCGTTGTTATTGTTCAGATAAGTGATGAATAAAAATTACCGATTGATTTATCTTGTAGAATATTTCGAATTTTCGTCAATTCACATATTGGTATGGCTGACGAAATATCTGAAAAAGATATTCAAGGATGTGTAAAAGATAAAAATGGCGACTTAGATGCAAATGCACCGAATCCTGTCAATCCACATCCTCAGAATAATGAGGATTGTCCTACACCAAAACCAACAACGACGACGATAGAAGATTTACCTGCTCCAACACCGGTCTCATTGAAATCACCTCATATTACTCGTCCACCTCAACGACCTGGTCCAGCCCTTGGACCTTATTATCAATTTTTAACTACTGATTTGAATCAAATGCTATGGTACGGTAGTGCACTGATATTTCGTGAAATTTCTTTCGATCAGCCAACAATTGATTTCTTCTGTGAACCAAAGTTAGACTATAGTTGGGAAGTTTTATATGATAATATTTTTAACATGCGTGCTTATCGTGTAAATATCTCCATAGAATTACGTGATGGTGAAGGTGATGATAAAATTCACTGGAAAATGAATTGGGGTGATCGAATAACCGAAGGTGTATTTCGTATACCACGCTACAATCAAAAATGGCGTGGTGGATTTTTCTCTTGCAATGGTTTTGATGCCACGGTACCTGAACAAACAAAATCCGATTTGACATTCGGTGACGTTTGGGAACATTTAAATTCTGTTCACGATGAAACACCTCTACATATCTTAATATGGGGTGGTGATCAAAATTATATTGATTTTATGTTTGAAGATATCCCGTACCTCAAAGAATGGGTGGAAATGGAATGGAATTCAAAGTGGACATGTGATTTTCGAGATGATTTACGTGAACAAGTTGAGGAATACTATTTCAATTCTTATGTGCAAAATTGGGAACGACCAGAAGTTAAAAATGCTTTAGCATCAATTCCAAGTGTGATGATGTGGGATGATCATGATATATTCGATGGAGCAGGATCATATCCTCCTTTACTTCATGATAGTCCAATGATGACGGGCCTGTTTAATGCAGCACAAAAACTTCGTCTGCTGTTTCAACATCAAACAACAAAAGAAAAAGCTCGAGAACATGGCTTATTCGGCTATCAAGGATACAATTTTCTTTCTCAATGTGGACCAGATTTACTTCTGGTTGGCTGTGATGGACGTACAGAACGCAGTACAGAGACAGTTCAACACGCGCAAAGTTGGAATTTGATATTTAATAAATTAGAAGAACATGCATCAAACATTACACATTTGATCGTTTTATTTCCTGTTCCATTTTCGTTTGTTCGATTTAAATTAGCTGAGACGATATTCGAGCATTTCAAAAATCTTCCTAACAAATATCGACATCTTCCCGTTGTTAAACAGACGAACTCAATATTTGGTTTACCAGAATTATACGATGATCTTCTCGATGAATGGACCCATAAAGCGCATATCGACGAGCGTAATCGTGCCTTAGCACAATTTCAAGAATTAGCTGAAAACAAACGAATTAGAATAACGTTTTTCAGTGGTGACGTACATTGCTGTGGGATAAGTCGATTTCGAACAAGAAATCAAACAGGATTGATACCAATTCATGATAGTAAATTGATGTATCAAGTTATCTCTTCGGCCATTGTGAATATTCCACCATCCCGACGAGCACTCCGCGTCGCTCATTATGTTAAGACAAAATGGCATCCAATCGATAATACTGATGAAGAACTAATTGATTTTTTTCCACGTTTACCTGAAACAGGAAGAAAGATAGCACACAAAAAGTTACTTTCCAATCGAAACTGGTGTTATTTCGAAATATGCGAAGAAACTAATTCAACAGTTTATAATAATTCAAGCACTGATCTGTTCCGTCGTCATTCGAAATCGAAAGAACAGAATGCAGCTGCGACAGATTTAGGTCCAACATCAACGGAGGATGGACAAGGAGGATCGAGATCTCCAATACATCGACATTCTCATCGTGGCTCTTGCTCAGCGAAGAGAGAGGTTGGAGAAGAAGAAATCGGAACAAAATCATTGAAAACTCGACTCTGGTTAGAAAGCGGCAAAAAACATAAAGAAGGAAGACGATTTGTCAGTTATGAGTTATTAATTCCAAATCTTATTTAGACTGATCAATGCAAAAGTAGTTTTTCATTTAATTGCCTTCGGAAATAATTGTGAAGTTACAATACCTCTTCTTGTTGTTTGTTGAATAGTCTTTGATTTTGTTAATAAAAAGCGTTATCTTATAAAAGTATAGTATAACTTAGCAGACTCAATTAATTTTTTTTTATTGTGAAGATCAAAAGAAATTTTGAAAAGCATTTTGAGATGTTGAATTCATCACTATTTTGGACATGATTTTACATACTGTTCTGTTTCTTGTTGCATTGGTATTTTGTCTAATTCACTTTGATAGTTTTTCGAAAGACATTTGTTTCTTTCTTGATCACGTTTGTACGATGGTACACCTCCAATTCGCACCATCGCGAAAAAGTTCGTAGCAAACACTTTACAGTCGTTTAGCAGGCGATTTTCACATCGATTCTTGATACATGTATAGAACGTGCAGTTGCATGTCAGTCGACTCATCGAACAATTGCGATAACATGCATCATGGCTGACACAGCATGGAATGATTTCTCTTCGATCGATTTTGTTGAGAGCCAGATCGATATTCATACCCATGGGTCCGCATCCAAATGAATTATCACTGATGATAGAAGCAGATGACACCAGACTGGTCATCGATAGGGTTTTGACGATGAGCGAGTATCTTTTCAACATAATGTTGCAGAAGACTGACAATGACAACAACGCTATATGTTTGATTTCGCGTAGAAAATATTTGACACGAAGTAGGCGGTAAGGTTGTACGCTGTGCTTCGGTTATATAGTGATCAAATCGAACGATAAGTCATGCTTGGGTATGTTGAACGTCAGTAAGTGATTCAAGACGAACTTTCTAATAATTCTCCATGTTGATAATTTATCATGCTCGTTGCTTTGTTTTACGATGAATAATACATAAGAATCAATCGTCAGTAATACATGATAAACGAGAATAATCGCGAAAGGTGACGATATACATCATTATGATGATACCAAATCTTAGGAAATCTGGCAAAGAAAAAAATGACAGAACGGAGGAGAATCGAATGGAAATCAGTCTAGATGAAGAAGCATCATCGATATCTTCATTCTTGAGACTATATTTATTGTACAAGTAATAAAAATATTCGTGTTCAATTATAATTACATTCAAATGAAAGATTTAAAGTGTTTTTTGTCAAAGCATTATTTAAGTTAATTTAAAATGGTGAAGGAAACAGTTATCATTCATGATTCAATATGTACTTCTCTCTTTCCTTTCTCAGCTATCGATATAAACATTGAAATTGGATGAATAACCGAAGAAAAGTTGGAACAATGACGAACAACATGATTGTTTTAGTTTAACTTGTATTATTATTCGAAATCAGTGCCGTATATTGAAGAGAGGAAGAAGACGAAGATTTATTCTAATCGCTAGTCTATGGATAGATCATTTGTTCAGCACCAAGTGGTGAAATCTGCATGGAAAATGACACATTATTCCAACAAAACTGTTGTCATAAATCAGATATGAATAAGTGATGTTGGTAGACACGGATGATTTGTTTATACTTGATGATCAAAATTCTCCGAGAATTCTGAAGAGTGAATATACGGTGCACACGGAAATGTAAATTTTACGAGGTAATGTCTCTCGATGTGTAATATATTTCTAATGCTGCTCTTCACTACAGTAGATTCAATATACTAGAAGCGCTGGTTGTCGAAATTGATCAAACATTATTATTTATTTTTCAAAAAGAAAACAAACAATTGATCGTTACTGTTTATGAAAATAGACATGATTTTAGTTCTTTTTCAATGTTTTCTTTGTTCCAAAAGGTCTCGAAAAAAGAGTTTGATGGACAGTTACTTCTTTGATCACGTTGGTACGATGATATGCCTCCAGTTCGGACTAGTGTATAAAAATTTATTGCAAAAACTGCGCAATCGTAGGGTAACTTGTTTTCACATTGGTTTTTAATACATTTGTAGAAATCACAATCGCACTGGAATCGAGACATTGAACAGTTACGATAGCATATGTCGTGAGCAACACAGCATGGTATGATCTCTTCTCGATCAATTTGATTGAGACCTTGGTCAATATTGATACCCATCGGTCCACATCCATATGTACTACCACTATTGACAGGATTGGACAATGTTAAATAGATCACGGATAAGATCGTGAAGATAATCAAACAAATTTTTAACATCGTAGTTCGATTGGTATAGCAAGAATTATGTAAGAAACTGTACTTAAAATATTGTTTATGAAAACAATTCTATCTATTGCACTGTATTTATATGGAGAGTGCTAAGTAGTACTGTAAGTCATGGTTGAGTCTCTTTTACGTCAATGAATGAGTCAAACACTATTTGAAATACGGTTTTGCATTTATTCGACGCGCAAAATACGTATTACTCATTAAAAACGTAACACGATAATACAGTACATATCGGATTCATAAAAGTATACGACCGATTTGTCGATGAAAAATACTAACTAGTACTTTGATTGCCTATATGTCTATTGTTCTGTATGTACCATCAATAACTAAACACTTTCTGGCATTACCTTCGAAAAGAAATTCTGTCTTTATTTAGTTTAATAATCTTTGAACTGTTTTTCAGATCTGTATATCAGTAATATAATTCGAAGTATTCCGATTTTGTTTTTTCAACAACACTAGTGAGGGGAATCGCGGAAGATTCAACTGCTTGTTATTAATTTAATTTTTGTATTATGCAATCGATTCATTTTTGAAATACAAATAAATATAAGGATTTGACTGACTTCACAAAATATTCATTTAGATTTTATGATATTGAGATCGAAATATTGAACGTTACGTTGACGCTAATTATAGTGGTTCATTATCATTTACGAATGCAATTTACAATAGTGTCGAACTCAAAAGTTGAATTCAATTATTCTCCTCGCCCTCTCAACATCCATCTTACATCTTCGTGTTGAACTCTTTCTTGTCAATAAGTTTTCTGATTATTTCAGTTTTTCTTCATTGACTGTTCAGTAGTGTCAATCTTGATAGTCGAATTCCACTATTCTACTCCACATCCATCCCACGCCCTCAATTATATTCTGCTTTTGTGTATATGTTGATCGTTTCGCTGGCATATCCTCTGGCGCCATCTTTGAATGGAATTTTATGTCCATCCGACTTATTGACCAATTGATTACTTCTTCTGTTCGGTTCTGTTTTTTTTCTACTAGTTACTTAAATAATGATTCAAACTAGTTTACCACTCGATATGTAGAGAACAATTCTCGACCAATGTTAAATTAACTAATTGTATGTTTATATCTACATGAAGTTGACAAATATTGTCCGATCTGATTTTCAAGTCAATTCCAACAAATATCGATAAGTATTATGACACAAAATGTATAATTATGATAATGTTGATGAAAGTACATTTCTAGCAAAATACGAGTTGTGTTTTTGAACCGCAACATTCTTCTCGTTGTAGAGCCATTTGTGCTCTGGGAAGTTTTCAGTAGTTTCTATCAATTCATATTTCATTTTTTTAAAATATTTACAGGTCGTTGATTTTGAATGCCTGAAGTCTTTTCCATTTTGCGTTGATTGACCATAAAAATCACTCTCTATTGTCGATAGATAATATGTTTTGATTATACAGATTTTCAATAGTTAAGTAGAGAAAAATGTCGCTTAAGCATAAAACTTTAGTTTCATTTTCATCGACTAAATGTAAATTACCGTCTATCCGGTCGTATTGTGATTATGAAAAAAGAGCAAACACCTACCTGTTCCTTATTCTGTTAGGCGACTTTGAAATTGTTTGTTCTCCTCAAATAAAATATCTCATTGAAATCGCTTTTAAATGACTTCAGCATCTAATCGTACACAAATTACTTCGCTTGATGAGTTAAATCAATCGTAGTTTCGATCCGGTTTACAGAAATAGACCGTCTGAAAAAAAAATACAATCCCGATGTGTATCCCATTACTCAGAGTCAATAGAAATCGATCTGTTATTAAAAATAAAAGTGATATGTACGTACTCGATGTTGTTAGTATCACTGCCATGTTTTTCTCATTTGAACTATTTTAGATTTAATTATTCTGTTGATACTCACAATCAATTCATATCGAACAAATGAGCAAAGATCACGCAACTGCAATACGAAATCGTCTTTTTATTTCGTTTGGTATAGCATGGGTATCCTATGCACTGACCTACTTTTTACGCAAACCATTAGGAATTGTGAGTAACTGATTAATTTTATACATTCTATTTCGTATTCATCTAATTCAATAGATCAAAACTGATCTTGAACATGATCTAAATTTTTCGAAATTTCAATTGGGTCTATTTGACACTGCTCTGTTATTACCCTATGCTCTTATTCAAGTAAGATAAAAGTTATTTAATCGATTGTCGTTTCAAAAGATTTGTTCAATTACATTAGACTTTCTTCGGCTCGGTTGGTGATAAATATGGTTCTCGACGTACATTTGGTTATGGTTTAATTGGTTCTGGTATTGCTATGGTATGTCATACGAATCAATTGAATTAACTATCGACTATTGAATTATTTAGATTACATTCGGATGGTGGAGTGACTATCGACTTTTTCTTCTCTTACTTTTCTTTAATGGTGCATTCCAAGTAAGAACTAAGGGGAATATTTATCGTATGCCTTGCTTTTGCGAATTTCTTTAGTCGTTGTGTTGGGCAGCAGCAGGCAAAGGTCTCGGTGCTTGGGTGACTGATGTTCAACGTAATTCTGTTTTTGGTTTGTTTGGAACATGTCCATTCGCTGGTGGTATTATTGGCACGGCTCTGGCTGTAAGAATTTTGTATTTATGATTCTTATTTGACTCACATAGTGTATTTATTAGGTTTATATTCAAGGAAAGGATGGTTGGCGTCTCGTTCATTTTCAACCGTCAATCTTTTGTGTAAATGCACTCCTTATTCATTCATTAAAAATGAACGTTTTCTATGTAGATTGTTGCTGGCTTTGCGGTTTTGTTCTCCTTTCGTGAACCATCAGAATTGAATATGATTGTGCCTGGGAAAGGTATTTACATCTATTTTCACTGGTGATTAAAGTCAGTTGTCTTTTCATAGATACCGCTAGCAAAGGAACGGATCTCCGTACGAAAATGACTCCTATGGAATTATGTCGACTACCGTAAGCTGAATATAAAGTACTATCAATTAGAATTCACATCTTGTATTCATAGCATGGTCAAAGAAATTGCTGCTGGTGTTTTCTGTTTAAAAGTTGTTCGATATGCCATTTACTTGTGGCTTCCTTTATATTTAAAACAAGAAGTAAGTGAAATAGATATTACTTAAAGAAGAAATACATTCGATTGTGTGTTGTAGTTGAATTATTCGAAATCCGATGCTGGTCTATTTTCAACTATGTTTGACATTGGCGGCGTTGCTGGAAGTGCAACGATTGGATTTGTTCTTAAACGGTAGTTTACTTGTCAGATCTATCTATGTATATGTAACCTTTCTTTTTGAAGTTTTTTTAATAATGAAGGATGTGTTGGTGCCGGCGCGGAAACATTACTCAGTGCTGGTACTCTTCTTCTTTTCTTAGTGTTTGCTCAATCAGGCGTAACAATGAATTCAATTTTAATGTTATTAACTGGTGCATTAAATTGTGGTGCTGATATTATTCTTTGTAAATCATTTGAGAAAAGTCAAACTATCAACATTTCGCTTTGTTTACAGGTAGTTCCGTCCCTATTGAAATCGGTGAAATGGATGGTCGTAATGCTGGTAGTGCAGTGATTGGTTTTGTCAACGGTATGTGTATTTTTAAAATTCATTCTCCGCACGTCTCAGAAAATTCATTTCTTCTATACAAATCACATCATTCTCCTTCTCTCTCTCTCTCTCTCGCTCGCCCTTTTTCGCTATGTTTGACGCGCATACACACCGCTCGGAAAATGAGAAAATGGAAACGAAACACGATTGACATAAAACACGAGAAAAGAAAACTCTTTGGAATGACAAAACAAATTGGAACACATGACAACAGCGGAATGAAATCAAAAAACGAGATCAGAATTTCTTAATTAAAAAAAAAACCAAGAGAACGAATCAAGAAAAGCGGAAAACGAACGACTAGAAGGACACATACATGCATGATCATTTCACTTGAGAATTATTGACTGAATGGAATGAAATTTGTTGTTCGAACGAAAATTTTTTTTATACAATGATGAACTCGATTGATTCTATGCAGTATTTTCAAGCATTAATAATGTGAGTAAAACAGGCAACACATGTTCGTAGTGTTCAATAGGAGTACCTTGTAGTTTAATATGTGAATTCCGTCGTAAGTATTCGTAGAGTGTCAAAAACTCGACTAAACCAAGTGTTTCTTCGAGATATTTACGTAGAACATTCATTTTCGATTGTCGAGATGATTTCGAATGTGCTGCTGAATAAAGTGCAGTGAATGTATCATGTGAGGTTAATTTACGTTTATTATGATTATCATTATTGTTTGATGTTGTCGATGATGATATTGAAACGGATGTTGGTGTTTGAACAACCAATGATGGTAGATCATCGACAATTGCAAGCGAACGTTGTTGATGATTTTGAAGTTGTTGTTGAAGTGGAAGCATCGATGTTAAATGTTGGTGATTGGAATGTGTACTATTATTCTAGAGAAGTATGAAAAAAGAATTTTTTCTATTTAACATTTTAGTAGAAGTTTTTGTTTTACCAAAACGGAAGATGGCATTGGTAAGAGAGCTGCTGGTGAATTTGAGTCTCGTTTAATTTTTTTTGCTAGATTGATAGCCGTATGATTACTATTATGTGATGATAAGTCGAGTAATTCGGAACAATTAGAATTGGATGTTGAACTTGTTGATCGTTTATGATTATTTGATAACGATTGGTGGTCATTCGATGATGTTCCATTCGTTTTGGGTTTTTCATCTATAGGCATTGTTATTGGTGATGAAGAAGACGATGAATTATCTGAAGTTGTAACGGAAGCCATAGTTGAGGAAGTTGTTGGAACAAGTAATCCTTTGATTTTGCCCTTACGTAAACTCATACATGAGAATTTACCGCTGACACCCGCTTTTTGCATAGCTTGCTGGAGTAATAAATCTAACCGATGGCGACCAGCACGAATTGTTTTGTACCAAACACGTTGATCAGCTGATGTACGTGGTACGAGATAAAAGGGTGCATCTGCATTTGAACACTGTGGTGGACGATGATAGGACAAAAGACGTAAACCAACAACTGGACATTCATGCGAATGTGACGGTATTGCATAAGCGCGGAGATTAGTTTGGAGATCATTTGCTATCGAATCTTTGTTTGTTGATATTTGTGGTGTTCGTTTGTATTCGATATATTCTAGTGAATTAGTTGAATCGACTTTGATTTCTAAATCGCCCCATAACAATGATCTATTAATTGTTGATTCATAACCACGTTGATCGAAATATTTCGAATTGTTGATTAATAGTTCTAATAGGAGACCTTCAGGTGTATCACGTGTGATGATATTCATTTTTCGTAGTAACGCCTCGTGTTGAGATGTAAATGCTTCGACTTTGGAATTGCACACATTTTTATTTGGTTTCGCCCAAGTATCGCGCTTTTCTTGAATCACTTCTCGACATGGTGCAAAAACCGGTGATTCAAGTATATTACACGGATACTTTCGAGATTTTAAATAACGTTCAATTGATAACATGAAACTTCGTAACGTATCTGGTTCGTATTCAGTATTATCCGCTTTTCGAACGTTGCCAAAATAGTGTTTGAGATACGTGCATAGTTGTTCAGGTTTTAACTCATCGATAGGACAGGTTTCACCAAATGTGTCCTCTAAGTATAAGGCAAAACGTCGCACTTCGTGTTTGGTTTTACGGATTGTGTTGTATGAATTCGTTCCAGAACAGATTAAAAATCGATTTGAATCAATACGCTGGTTAGCTAAACGAGATAGACGTGCAGCGGCTGCTGCTGACGAGATTGGTTTTGTTAATGATGAATCATCCTTGTTGATTTGAACTGACGAAGTTGCCATTGATGAGTGTGACATAGTTTCTTCCCCGCCACTTGAATTCGGTGATTCTTCATCTAGTTGTAATTCAGCTTCATTATCATCATCATCATCCTCTTCGTCATCGTCATCAAGTTCATTCGTTGATACAAACGTTGCTGCTGTTGGTATCGTTGGTGCTATCCCACCATTGGTGATTTCATCCGTATCAGCACCAAATAGTTTTATCATTTGATGAAAATCAGCAAGAGATGTAGCGGCTGTAGCCATATTTTATCGAGATATATACATATACTCACGAACACAAATATGGCCTATTAGTTAAACGACAAGAAACACTGAATGAGAAGAGATCTAGAAACAAAAAAGAAATTGTCGTAAATACGATGAACAAATAATGAACAAGAAGTGGAGGCCGAAGAGACATGAGCAAAGCGCACGATATCCTGAGCATACAAATGTGAGTATCGGTCTATGCATCCTGGTATTTACTAAACGAGCGACGGATGTGCGCACGAATATACAGAGAAGAGAAACGAAGTGGGAGAGAGAAAAAAAGATCTAAAGTAACAAATTGCGTGATATAGACATGTGAATAAAGCTCATCCTTTGTTCCCTATCCTTCGTCAATATACGAAAAGACTATAGATAAGATAAAAAGGTAACAAATATCCTAGCTGCATCGAACAATCAATCGTAACTTTCTTTTCTTCACGACGATATGACCGAAATTTGGAACTATTCTCTACTACTTTGAATATTCATTGAAAACAGTTGTTTATCGCTCGATATTCCTCGATTAGTAGATTCTCTTACCATTATTCTTCGACAACTAGAAAATAACGCACCCAAACATTGTTTTTTTCTCCACACGATGCGTACCATCTGCTTACTCTCGTCGCATACAAGCGTCTGGTGCTGCATATTAAACAAAAAAAAGTTATTCGATATCTGATTCTTTCGCGATATTTCTTTCACTAGTTGCTTGCTCTTCGTTCTCTTCACTATTCGGTGGCATACAGATGTTTGAGATATTTACTGAGTGATAGTGAAGACAAAAGACAAGACTGATATCAAGATGTCATTCAGACGATTTAGCGCATCTCATCTTCATAAATATTGATTACATTTTTTACGAATTGCGTTGTTTCTCGACTGATAGCTGGTACGATGTGATGATCATGATCATGATCATGATTATCATCATTTTGTATTACCTACCTCGCTTCTCCGTTTTCTGTCTGTCTATATGTAAAATGTAAGTGTCAACTAGAGTTCACCACTAGCATACTCAAATGAGGATATATCCTTCTCTCTCTTCTTTTTTGCGTCCTCTCTGCCTATGTCTTTCTTATTCCTTATTGATGTCGTTGGATTTTACATTTATATATACATGCATGTCGCCCAGTTGACAAAAGAAGAAGCAAAAGAAAGAGATGAACACATCTCGTCTCGCACATATCTCTATATCCATCTTTGGATGTTGTCGTTCACTTCTGTTCTCAATAGATGCTGCCTCATATTTCCTTGTCGGTCGTCATCGTCTATCTTCTTTTTTTTCTGTATGCCCGAGATACAGAGTTCAGGAAAAACATTAAAAAAAGAGAGAAGGAGAGACTACCCATTTCTTTCCTTATGTCTGTCTTCGTTCCATATCTTAGGATAGTGAACACATACACAGTTTTTTCCATCATTTCCCGATGTATATCATCAGAACGAACAAAAAAAAACTGACTGATGGAGAATGTGTGTGTGTGCGCGTTCACACACATACAAAAAAAACGCAGAAGAAGGAAGGATATACACCCGAATCGAGAATGGCAGCACTAGTATGGGATTAAAAAAAGAAAGAAGAGAGAGAGAGAGGAAGAGATCGGGTAGGCAAGTAGTAGACAGATGAGTGTTCATATATATTCATAGAAAAAAAAATCTATACCAATGAATACCTTTTTTTTCGTTCCCGTTTATAAGCATTTGATTGATAGCGATAACAAAGTAAATCAATGAAAAGGAAAAGAGTAATAGCAACCTTCGATTTTGACCAAATGTCAAATATAAAGATATCCCCCTGTGCTTCGATCGAGTAGCAACGATGTTCGCGCGCGTGCATTTACGTCTGTATGTTACGAAACGAATGTAAACATGAAATCTAACGAAGAGGATACATCACCTTCTGACGAAGTGTATGAAATTCGATCTACCCAAATGATAACAAACTGACGAATGATTTCTTTTGGTATTCTCTGCTTTCTTTCCCTTTTTTTACATTATAACAAAGAAGAAAAAGAGAAGAGAAGATCTCGAGCTGCTGATAATGGTGGACGCTACCCTATTCCCTTTTCTCCCCCTCGCTTTTTTTACGATGATTATAGGTCAACTGCATGTCAACATCAAATTGCTGCTGCCTGTCTGCTTTTTTTTTTGTCAAATAGATCATTCTCTCTCTCCTTCTCTGTTTCTCGTTTTTTTCCTTCCTTGCATTAAGATATACGACATTGTTATGGGCGCAAATATCGAGCGACCACGTTCATTAGCTCAGTGCCACAGAGAAGAAAGAAAGAAGAAGATAGAGGAAGGAAAAAAACGAATATATATGTCAAGGAAGCCTTTTCTGCTTCTTACCTATGTCCATATTTGTTACTGATAGCGAGACTCACCTTCAGTCTTACTCTCTAATTAATTGTGGGTATATATAGTATCTCTTTGAATATGTTGCGGTACATATGCTGTTTGTATATGCGTTGCATATGTTGGTTTGTAAAAAAAAAGTATCGCAAGTACACTAGTGAAACGAAACTCTTTTCCTCCTTCTGTCTGCATCTACAGTCAGTCGCTATAGCAAACAATTGAAACTCCGTTACTCTCTATTCTGCAGCTGCCAATACTATCAACAAGAAAACGATGCAAGAGCAGTAAGAATATGGATATTGAGAGATTTTTTTGTTCGTTTCTCTCTCTCTCCCCCCTTATTCACTCTATCGACACTTTTTCATCACTTTCATCCGACCAGCAAGGAGCAGCAGCACTCTCGGCTTTTTTACATTACATACAATTCAGCTATCAACACCAGTTTAAACAAAAGAAGAAGTGCAGTGCATGTAAAGAAAGAATTTCTCTCTTTATGTTGTCAATCGCCTGTAGCACACACAGTCGATATTCCGGGATTTGCCTCGTAGGCAATGTTGTTTCTGGAAAAATGTATCAGCAATTAAGTGAGCAAGCGAGCGAACAAAAAAAAAGAAGAAGAAGAGAAGAGAAGAGAAAGACAAAAGGACTATTTTTTTCATGCAGGTGTGAGCAGATGGTAGTGATCATGAAAAATGAATGAACGTGAATATATACACGTTCGAGCCGATATATAATCCTCCGCACAGACGGTAGGTATGTTCAATAAAAAAAAAGGAAAGAAAGATGCCCTGCAGGTATACATCTCGTCGGAGAAAAAAGATGATAATGCGAACAAAGTATAAAATGGTTCTTTCTCTCTCTCTCTCTATCGGCTAATATTTGACTCGCCTTTCGCTCATTTCTTTTTTATTACAACACCATCACCTCCACTACGACATAAGCATACACGGAAAAACGAGAGAAAGATCACTTAATTATGGACGATGTTTACAATGGTATGCAAAGATTGAAAGAAAAAGAAAAGTTGTAAAGAAAATCAAGACAACACAAGAAAAAGTTAGGATAAGCAATGTATCTCCGATAAGAGAGTTTGTCATGCAAAAGTCAAAGGCAATTTTTTTTCTTGATATATGAAAAAGAGTAAAGAAATGATTCATGAGTGTGCATACATGTATACAATGTTTGCTGACTTTTAGAAATTCTTCGTTTACATCTGAAACGAGAAAAATATATATGGAACGAAGTGACGAGAAAGAAAAGAGAGAAAAAAAATACAAACTGTAATTCTTTATTGATACCTTGAGAAGTAAAAAAACGTGTAAAAGCTCGACGATTTTTCTTTTCTAATACACTTCATAATTCAATCACAATGCAAATCTCGGTCTATACAATATTCACTTTGCTTTTTTTCGAACTTCTCACGAAGGATACATCGTACGCGAAGCTCAATGTTTGATACCTTTTACTCGATGACTGCTCAATGAAAAGTCATAAATCATCTAATTGATTTTTGCTTTTTTGGGAAATAATAGATGATTGATAATTGACGTATATATGAAGTTCAGTTCAATCATGTCTATGGATGGGAAATAGCTCATATTGAGATTGCGCTGTAAAATGAATGGATCTGAATAGATTCGCCTACTAATATAAATCTACTTGATTGATATTATTGAATAGTCTCTAATCAACAATGAATATATATGAGAAAAAAACGTTTCATGAATGAAACTTAGTCGACATGAACATTTCGTCTAATAATATAAGCAGCATTGCCAAGTAATGGTACTTGAGTATTGATCATTGATAAGGATATTAATTCAACAAATACTATATGACATGAATAGAGACGAGAAATAGAAATCATTTGATATGATGTTTATGAGCAGATGTTTTAGAGATGAAGAGAGGAAAAAATGATCAGAGAGTGATAAATACAAAAGATTACGGAAAGAGATCTACTTATATGATTTCCGAGAAAAATTGACTTTTCGATTTTTTAGGTGTTGGATCGATTGGTACGTTTCTTGAAGGTCCAGTCATTGGTTGGATTGTTGCACAATACGGCTGGTCAGCCATGTTTACTTGCATGATTTTGCTGAGTGTCTTTGGTGCATTGGCATCATTCCGAGCTGCTCGCTTTCAACGCGCAATCAAACTCGCATCGGCACCATCATCATCGACACTGGAGCAAATTATTTCATAGTTTTGACAAACATTCGTTTTCTTTTTTTTTACTATTTTATTCAGTTTTTTTTTCTTTTCTGTATCACTAATCATTTATTTATCGGATACCTCATTGACAAAATATTTATTAGCAGAGAATGCGGCAATTTCAGATTTGATGGGTTATATACCAAAGATAATTCTTCCACCCACTCCTAGTGCCGCTGATCTACTTCGTACATATAAACTACCAGCACTGCGAAGATTTGCACAAAATTTTCTATTAGATCCTCGTGCAACTAGTAAATTTGTTGCGTGTGCAGGCAATATTGAAAATAGTAGGTAGATGAGAGAGAGGTAATATGCCGGTAGGATGATGGAAGTGATTTCAATCATTAATTGTTTAGAATTCGTTATCGAAGTTGGACCAGGACCGGGTGGGATAACGAGGAAATTATTCGAACATGGTGCAGGAAAAGTAGCAGCTATTGAAAAAGATATTCGATTGTTTCCGGCATTACAAGTAAAGAACTGAGAACTTTCCAATGGTGTGATATAATGTTTGATTTTAGACATTAGCGAATGCGGTCGATTCACGGCTCCGACTTTATCTCGGTGATATCCTGGATTTCAATATTGAATCAGTCATTCCTGAAGAAATAACAACTCAACATGGGTCATGGGAATCCGATGAATCTTCTTCGTCGTCGCCGATTCATCTCGTTGGTAATCTTCCTTTCAATATTGCTATTCCACTTCTCATACGTTGGTTGAAACAAGTATCGACTCGGTCAGGTCCATTTGCCTACGGTTATCGAATTCCGATCACAATCTGCATGCAAGAAGCAGTGGCCGGTCGGATTGTATCTGATGCATTGTTAGATCAGCGTGGTCGTCTATCGATTATTTTTCAAAACTGGTTCGATTGCCGAATAAAACATGTGTTCTCCGGTCGAGCGTTCGTTCCAGCTGCCAACGTAAACGTCGCTGTGATGCAATTGATTCCACTAAAGCGACCCGAAGTTGATGTTACTTTTGATCATTTGGATAAAGTTACTCGAGCTGCGTTCCACACTAGAAACAAGAAGATGTCGATTACAATGGCGTAAGTACAAAATTTAATTTCGGAAATATTCTATCGTAGCTTTATTTAGATCTCTCTTCCCGGAAGAGACACGCGAGGAAAATACGAAAGAATTGTTAGGACGTGCTCATTTAAAGTCAGATGCAATGTGCTTAGCCTTATCTGTGGAAGAATTCGGTCGACTGGCACAGATCTACGCTGATATCATTAGTCGACCTCGGCCGATTCATGAACAATTAGATCGAAAGATTAACACTGAAGAACTAACATTTGAATTAGGTGAAACTTTTGTGAGAACGGAAAAGAAAGACAAAAAGAAAAAGTCAAAAACAGATTGGGATGATTAAATAAACGGCGTACCAAACGGATATTTGTTTCTTTTTTGTTTTGTTTCAAATAAAGACATTCTAAACGAACTGATCAGTTTGTCTTGTCACAGTAGAAACAAATCGATTCTATCGGTCGACCATCGAGGGACATCTGTAGCGAAAATATATACGCGATGATGTCGTTCGTTACATCTTCATAATATCTATCCATCAATAGAAAGCATTTCTTCATCTTTCCAATCGATTCTTCGTATTGGATTTTCATAGAGAACTCGAATGAATTACCAATCTAATCGATCGTCATTCTCCATGTATGTTTCAGTGAATATTTCCCATCAAGATCTCTTCAGATTCCATTGAACATTTTCAGACAACCATACAAGTCACAAGCATGGACACATATCAAACTCCTGGGCACAGGTTTGTTTTGCGCATCGTTCATGATAAGGAAATGAAAGTTGGAATTATCCAGGTACTTTTGGTTATGTTGATCACGTTCGTCATCCAAAAGAACATACGAGAGAGTATGCTCGTAAAACAATAAAATATAATGAGAAATTGGATGCGAATGGGGATATATCTGCGACAGCTATTCGAGAAATCTCGATTTTGAAAACACTCGATCATCCAAATATTATCAAGTGCGTCAATACATCAATAACGAGGATTTTGTCACCCTTTCATTTATTTAGACTTAGCCATGTGGAATATAATTTAGAGAAGAAAGATTTTCTTTCATTTTTTCTTGAAATTTTTCCTACCGATCTCAAACGATATATGGACGCGTGTTCATCTACGGAAAGATTGACGCCGAAACTTATCAAAGTAAAAAATCATTGATGATTATTGGAGTATTCATTCGTCGATTGCAGAGCTATACATATCAAATTCTATGTGGTATCGATTACCTTCATCGTCATGCTATCGTAAGTGTATTTTAATCGATTGAATTCATTGGAACTATATTTTTAATACTCCATCGAAGATTCATCGAGATATAAAACCATCGAATATTGTCATTGATGACGAAGGTAAAACCTTCTTCTAGAACTTAGCGAAACAATTTTTAGGACAAGTTAGGTCATTTGAAATTGGCTGATTTTGGTCTTGCCCGACGTTGCCGTATATCGGAACGAACTTTAACTCATGAAGTAGTTACTCTCTGGTATCGTCCACCAGAAATCTTACTGAATGCGCCAACATACGGAATGCCGTTGGATATCTGGGGTGTTGGCTGCGTATTTGCAGAAATGTGTCTTCATCGTCCGTTGTTTCGTGGCGAATGTGAAATCGATCAATTGATTCTGATTTTTCGGTAAGTTGATGATTTCCTGAACTTAACATCACATTCGCAGATTGCTCGGTACCCCATCGGTAGTTGAATGGCCTGATATCGCCAATTGCCTTTATTATCAAACAAATTTTCCTAATTTTCCATTGAATGGAGTTGAACTGTCTCATCTGCCAATGCCAAATCCCTGCCGACAACTTCTGGCGGTAAGAAATAATTTGACAGAAGCTCCTTTCTATTCTGAAATGGCGTTCTTGAGTAGGATACTCTTGTATACAATCCACAATGTCGACCAACAGCCAAGTATCTTCTCGAAAATCATCAATACTTCATTGACGAATCACCTGTTAGTTGGGAGAAACCTTTGCGATCGATTATCGATCGAGCAGTCCGATTACAAATCGAAAACATGAAACATTTAGCGATGTAAACTGAAGGCGAGATTTTTTGTTAAGTTTTGTTTCATTAAAAAAAAAAGTGAAGGAGGCGAAAAAAGAAGAAACAAACGTTTGACAACAATGAACAGGATCCTCCGACAACTACAAGCTATGTATGAATATTAAGAGTGCACAATAAACACAAGTCAGATAGTTTACAGTTGTACCTTCCAAAAGAGTTAGTTTACTCTTGAATACAAATAAAGCAAAGCGTTAATTATAAGGCTAGATGTTTCAGATTATCAAGTATAACATGCAATTACGTACCGTTGATTTGCTCAAGTGTAAAAAGATAATGTTCACTTGAGGAGTGACGTGCACTAATCTAAAGTTTGCCATTTACACACTAGATTTGTTTTGGTTGTTCAGTTTTGCGCATATTTAATGTCCTGATTATCTAAAAATATGAGTAGCACGAAAGGGAAAGTGTAGCAGATAAGTATACTATAGAAGGCATTCATTAAGAAGACGTCACATTAGAAATCAAATGGCTACAGGATTCAGCCCACTGCTGGGTCTTGCTGGAAAACAGTTTATTATCTATGCGGGTTCAGCGACATTTATTGCTGGTCTTATCGGTGGACTTGTGGACGTAGTTGTGTTTCTCAGTTTGAAAACATTCAGACTCAGTCCATGTGGATTCTACTTACTTATAATGTCAATCGCCAACGTCGGCCAAATGATTACCGGTCTGCTTAGTCGAATTCTAAGTACAGGATTCGACATCGATTGGTCATTAACATCATTATTCTACTGCAAGGTTCGATTATATTGTTACCAGGTATGCTCATTATTATCTATGAGTTGCATCTGTTTGGCCAGTATTGATCAATATGTTTCGACATGTTCTCGTCCACAGTGGCAGAGATGGTCGAATATCAAAGTAGCTCATCGTTTGTGTGTAATATGTACCCTGATCTGTATTGTTCATAATATTCCGTATATAATCTATTACAATCACGTTGTCTCACGATCAACGGGAAAAGTTAGTTGTACACTAACAAATACCATTTTCGATCAGTATGCGGCTTACAGCACTGGTGTCATTCTTGGAAAAGTATTACCTATCTTCACAACCTTCTCATTTGGATTTTTATCATACCGAAATGTGCAACAAATCGCTTATCGAACTATACCGATGGTTCGTCGTGAACTGGACAAGCAGCTGACTATGATGGTGTTGGTGCAAATAGCTTTTGGGATTTTTACTATCATACCATATACAATAGTCTATCTTCTGCTACGAATAGTATCACTTAATCAAGATCCAGTCATCGCTACCCGTTTACAATTAGCAGCTTCTATAACAACGGTGTTCCTGTATGTGTATTTTGCAGTAAATGTCAAAATATTTGACTAGTTCTAAGAAAGAGTACTAATGATTTTTCTGTCTTTAGAGCCCATGTTACATATTCTTCTGTGCGTCAAATAGGTTTCGCCGGCAACTGGTGTACGTACTCTTTCAAGTTTGGCTAAAAAAATGCCGACAGAAAGGAATACTTTCGAATCAAGTGACACCAGAATCATCATAAAACATTATCTTGTTGTTGCAACTGAAAGAAAGTATCTCTCCATCCGCACGAAAAGAAAAACTATCGGATTTGGCAGTATTTTTTCAATTATATTGTAAAATGTATCAAATCAGTGCGTTCCTCCAGGCGTCGGTAGGAAAATGTTTGTTTGATCCCAGCCCGAAAAGATGACGATCATTTATTCGCGGATATTGTTTATAAGGTCACAAGGTTTATCTTATAGATTAAGTAATTTCTTTTAGTTTGCCTCAACCCTACGAAAAACACACGATGTGTTAAAATCTAATATATTGTAATTATAGCTGCTACATCATCCACAATGAATTTCCGGATTTTCTGGGCCCGCCTAACTGCACTGCTGATAATTAACATATAACTGTAATAAAAGGGAAAAGATGCTTTGACGCAGCTCGATATGATGAAGTTTGTGTAACGAGAAAAACAGTCCGGTGACATGCTGATGTCAGCAAAGGCGTTCATTTCCGACGCAAATAAAGACTGATCTTCAGCTTTGCTGCATTTGAAATACGCAGGCAATCAATCGTTGATGTCCTCAGTCTTACCTCTGAAGATATTTCTAGGCGAAGAGAAACAACTATGTAGATATTATCACTCTCAGCATATTCATTAGCAACATTATTATGAAATCAATTTCAATTTGACATAGTTGAACGTTTAACAATCATGACTTATTCGATTGTACACACGTTTGAAAGCGATGATGTGGCATTTATGAACTTGCTTAGAGTGAACAAGTTGATCTAGAAAATGAACCTGTACCGAATCATCTGTCCTCATTGTTCAATCATTTATTGGCTTTTATTTCATTATTGAAAACAAAGAACGTGAGATAAGACGAAACAAATGTTCAAGAACAATAGATAGGAGTGTCTACGAAAACGAACATAATTAGTATCCTTCTTTCTTCCGACAAACATTTCGCACATGTTTATCGAATGCGTGATGATAAATGATGGTCTTCTGTGCATGTAAAATAGTGTTGACAATCGGCTCACCTGTATTCCTTTCTCTCTTTCTCTCAATCAGTCAAACGCACACATTCATTCATTTGAGAAATTCTGTTCGATCTATGTGTCATTTCACCGAACGGTGATGCTTTGATCTCAAAATGACGTAACATGTTGTTACTAATCACGGTTTTTCTTCATTTTATCAAATACGCATCGACACTAACCGAGTGTCAATCAAGAGCTTCAATTTGGACGTATTATCCTTGTTCGTTTATTGTTTCGTCGACGTCTTCGTGTACACAAGCATCAGTTAGTTTAGCAATAAATGAATGTTTAAATCAGAACTTGACATTTTTCTGGCATTTTCCATTTGGCAATCTGACAATCACATTGGAATCAGAGAACAATCAAGCCTTTTTCTTGCGTTTATCCAAAATACCCTTGCCAAAGCGAAAATTAATAAAAAATATTTATTATGTCAACACGTACAAGACCAATAGTGAAAGACCAATCTTGAACAATGATCAAACAGAAGATGTTATCATTCCTTCCAATCGTTATTACCAATCGTCGATCAAATTCGAGACAGTCAATGAAATCATTTTCGATTATGGAACATTTATACAAATGACGGTTTGGATGAATGGTGATACAAATTGATCTGCACCAAACTTTCACTTGCCTTTTTCTCTTGCATAAGAACAGTATAGAAGAAAAACGAACGTTTCCTTGCGATGTTTTCTGTTAATCACATTCAGAGTGTTACAATCGTATCATTTGACCGATGATGTCACTCACTGATTGCAAGTATTGACAAAACAAAAGTAGATACACACTTGTAAAGTTACCCTAGGTGTTACATGTCATGTTTGTGCCAAGAAATCAATAAACTGGAAAATGAAGATAAACATAAGGACTACAAGAGTACGTGCGATATGCAATCGTATTTGATTTGTTTTATTCATTCATATGAAGATAATCTTTCATGAATAATTGCTGAATATTATTTTCACACTATTTTGAAGTATGTCACCAATATTACAGTCAATGCACTGTGCATATCAATAATTTTATGCATGATTTCAAATGATAATATTTTAGTCTCTTTAGGACATATGTTGTCAGAGGGCACCCAGCTCGCTGCTCATGATTAAAAAATACTAATATCTTCTAAAATGTCATTTATTAATGCCTTAAAAGCGAGAAAGAAAAACAGATAATCTATAGAAAGTATTTAATAACAAAAAATGTGCCCGGTTATATCATCGAGAAAAATTAGACCAATGTGAGTCCATGAAAGCATTCATCAGCGATATTCTGTTGATAGAATATCAGTTACTTGCGGATACTCTACACGAACATATTCGAATCACTATGTATTTGTAACGTCTGCTTTATCTTCATCATTGACTTCATTGTCAATTTCTCCTCATTATGTGAGCGACAGTAATCCCATTTTGATCTCATTTAAGACGTGTTTTATAATTTAAAGTGTTCTTCTTCATAAGAAACGTAATAGGTTCCATTGAGTTAGTGCGTAAAAGATCACTTCCATTATTAACACTCGAATATCTTATTATGAATTATCCAGTGACAGCGAATATTTGAATTTGGTGACCTTAGTAATGAGTACTTCCGTCGTACTAGAAAACGATATATTTTTCTCGCTTACCGAATACAAATTTCTATTCTAGAAACGATTAATATAGAAAGTCAAATGTCGTCTGAACTAACGACATTACTAGCTCTTATTGGAACAAAAACTGTGATTTATGTCGGATCGATTACTTTTGTTATTGGTATTATTGGTGGACTTCTCAATATAATTGTTTTCCTGAGTTTGAAAACATTCAGACTTAGTCCATGTGGTTTCTATTTACTTATAATGTCAATCGCCAATATAGGTGAGATGATTTCAGGCTTACTGAGTCGAATTTTAAATGCAGCATTCGACATCGATTGGTCATTAACATCATTATTCTACTGCAAGGTTCGATTATACTCTTATCAGGTCTGTGCGCTGACATCATTGACTTGTATTTGTCTGGCAAGTATTGATCAATATGTTTCGACATGTTCTCGTCCACAATGGCAGAGATGGTCAAATATCAAAGTAGCTCATCGTTTGTGTGGCATATTCACCCTGATTTGGATCGGTCAAAATATTCCCGCTATAATTTACTACGATCATGTTGTCTCACGATCAACGGGAAGAGTTAGTTGCACACTTACGAACTCGGTATACCATCAATTTACAGTGTATGTTGTTACTATCATTCTCGGAAGAGTGCTACCGATAACTATCACTGTTATATTCGGATTTTTGTCATACCGAAATGTGCAACGAATCGCTTATCGAAGTATGCCGATGGTTCGTCGTGAATTGGACAAGCAGTTGACTAAGATGGTGCTGGTGCAAATAGCTTTCGGGTTTTTCACTCTTACGCCATATATGATCGTTTATCTTCTACTACAAATACCATCGCTTAGTCCAGATCCAGTCTACTCTGCATCTCTACAGCTCGCACTTTCTTTAACAACAGTGGTGTTGTATATATATTTTGCGGTAGGAATCAAACGATAAGGAGTCTTCGTGAAAACGACAGATGTATTGTTTCTTTTCAGAGTCCATTCGGCATATTTTTATGCTCGTCGAGTAGATTCCGTCGGCAACTGGTCTACGTACTGTTTCAGATATATTTCAAAAACTTACGAGAACGAGGGGGACACGTAATGAATCAGATAACCCCAGAAGTGCAGTGAATATTTAAATAAAACTTTTTATCTGTAATAAACGCGTAGAATAAGTCCAGTGTGCCTCTTCTGTGATTTACATGTAAAATGATTTTCGAAACCGAAAAGATCGATATCTGTTGTTGTAAAATTCCATACGCGGATTGTTTTAACCAATTGTCTATTTGCCGGGAAAACCTCTACATCTAATCTATTTCAAATAAATTTCATATTTCACTTGAAGCTACTAAGACGTAATAAAATGACACACGTACAAGAGAATTCGGAGCGCAGTGACTTCTATTGGCAATCCTATTCGTCTCCAATTCCATTAATGTCTGTATCTGTTCCACCAACAGCGTTCTCTTCTCGATTACCTTCATCTTGTCAAACATCCGTGAGTGAACCGATATGTTCATCTCCAACCGCCCCGACTTCTATAATCACCGATGATATTTCATTAACATCGACAGTTCTTCATCAAATTGACATTTCGAAATATTATTTTGCTCATGTCATCAAAGTGCCACATGGCACGAATCTTCTTGCATCGAATAATCAAACGACTACATTATGTGTGAATTCTGTCGACAATATTATTCATCTTATAACACCAACTGGTTATAATATTCGGTCATTGCGATGGCCGGACCCTAGGGAGAAAGTTGAGCATTTATTTTGGTATGAAGTTATCGAAAATTTGTCTTTCTGTGTTCACTGAAGTTTCTTTTAGGTGCGACATAACACAATCCTATCTCGTAGCGACTTCGAAAAGTCTCTGTACCCTTCAGTATAATACAAATCAGTCGCTTCGAATAGAAAAATCTCTGGACTTACCTTCAAAGCCTTTCTCAACAAGTAATCTCATCGCTTGCAATTCCTACCGTCTCTATATTTATAACCAATCAATTGACATCTATACACTCCAATTGAACCATTTACACACGAAACAACTACCGAAAGAATTGACACAACATGAAATGAAGGCACTGACTTGCTCGGACTCGTATCTAATCTTTCATTATGAACATCTAACAAACAAATTCGCTGTGCTGGATTCAACAACACTGACAATCAAATATCAATTTGAGTTATCATATCGAGACATTTCGAGTTTGCACTGCCTCGATGAAAACACTTTAACATTCATCGGCGTTCGCAAAGACGGAGAAAACCGTGTGGTTTTGTATCAATTCAGCGACGATGAAGAATGTGAAGCTCAGCCAATGGTTATGGAAAAAAGTATTAATGAGGAGTATCAAACTGTTCAATTACTTCCGAATTGTCATGACTTAATTATTCTCAATGTCGATTCGTCTCGTGTACAATATTTGAAATACCGTTCTTAGTCTGTTTGCTTGTTCGTTATTTATCTGAAAGAAACGCTTGTAAAAAGTTTTTTCTAGTTTACTTTAGTCGATAAATCTTTTATGAAAATGAGTCTGCACATGTCTCGATTGCTTAATGATGAAATCGTATGGTTGCTGAACGCTAAGACAAATCATTTTTAGATGTAACACTATGAATGTCCTTCAGAAAAATCGATTAGAAGCAGTTCGTCTTATGACCGAAAGCCAACTTCATAGATACACATAACTGGACAATGATCAGATACGGAATATCCACCTGTACAAATTAGATTTCGAAGCACATTAGCTAAGATTGGACGTGCATATTTGTTCTGCATGATCCAATCTAAAGTACTATCGGCGAGAGCATCTTCACCTGCAATGCTTGGACGCTGTGGTTGAGTTGGAATAGCAGGTAGTCGCAAGGCATAGAAACAATCATTAAAACCAGCTTCACGTAAAATACGTCTTGGATGAAAGTTTTCATTTAAATCTCCCATAAATAAGACAGCTAAATAAGGATCATTGAACTTCAATTGCAGATCCTTCAGAGCAGCCACTGTACGTCGAGCTTGTTGTTTACGCAGATTCACATCAGCTGTACACTCCTGTGCATGTCCTTCCCATGTGTAATGTGCAGTCGAAACGAGAATTTGTTGAGTTGTATCAGCTTCAGATGTCTTCAGCTTCAGCAAGACCCAAAATAATCGTCGTAGTGGTTCCATCATTCCGATATCAATCGCTCCGTATTCAGCCATTTCGAATAGATTCGAATTCCAGTAAATATTTCCTTCGGTTTGCCAACCAGCAAAACTATCTTTTACATACGTATGAGAAGGTAATGCTTGAAGGATAGTTTCTTGAAGTAATGGATGTAATTCTTGTACGCATAGAATATCAGGAGTAAAAGTTGTTAGACATTCAAGAATTGGCACTTGACGATCTGGCCAGTTGCCTGGATAACCATCGACTTTCCACATATTGAAAGTCATTACAGAGATACGTTGCACATTCATCGCTGCGTATCGATAATGTTAAAATCGATTGTGCCTTTCGCGTATATATTAAAGAGAACGAAAACAGAAAAACATCGATTGATAGAAACACACGTGGCTCTCGATAGCCGTCGAATATGACAGCTTACGTATTTCCCATTGACAAAAATGCTTCGAACAGCAATCTACATATGTCTTTGGCGGACTGAGCTTCTACGCCCTCTATTGTAGATCTTCCATCCAATAAAGACAGGCAAATTTCTTCGAATTGACATGTATATAATCAATCAGAATCTAAATTTTCTGTTCCTATTTTTGTCATATCGTTACCTGTGATTATACTCAATGAACTTTACATCAATCTGTGCAACAATCCTTGCACGCAGCTTGAAACCTATTTCTCTTCGATACAAATCTCACATGTCGCAAAAAATTATTCGTATTCCAAATTCTACTAATTCTCTCACTCCACTGTCGACATTTACAATTCTGACATACAACTGTCTTGCCTCAAATCTGGCTGAACCACAATATTTTCCACATACAAATCCAGCTCATCTAGATTCCTCCTATCGATCAAAACTATTCGAACGTGAATTCCAATCCTTCAATGCCGATCTCATTTGTTTACAAGAAATGCACCGAGATGACTTCCACAATTGGCTTAGTCCATTTCTTGCTCGCTTAGGTTATAGCGAAGGTGTGTTTGCTGAACGTGGTGGTACGAAGGCGAAAGACGGTGTCGTCTTATTTTTCAAACGAGATAAATTCAAACTTATCACACATCATCGACTTGGTTATTTCGATTGTGCGCAAAAGCAATTTCCAAATCAGACGGTCTTGGCAACATACAATGCTGCGCTGTTTTGTCTCCTCCAATTACGAAACATTAGCGTACGAAATCGAGAAAACACAGTCATTTTTTATTCTTTTGTCTTTACATTGTAGACGAATACATCGACCGGCCAAGAACAACACATCTGGATATGCAATACTCACCTGAATTGGAATCATACATTACCTGCTACACAACTGTTTCAAATTCGTACTCTCTTGAACAAACTTTCTCAATTGAATCAAGAAACTCAAGACAGTCCATTTATTATTGTCGGTGACTTTAACAGTAAACGTAATTCAGTTGTACACGATTACATTAGAAACGGTATTCTTACTGATGGTGCAGAATATTATTCGAAACTTCGCGAGACTTATCTACCATTATTCGATAACGATGCAGCTAAAACAACGGAGTATCTCAATGAGCCTCATGTGTACAAAAAAGCACTTGAAAGTGCTTATCGTGATAAAACATTCACTATGCCATTTAGTACAAAAATAAAAGACCATTTTTGTGAAACAATTGATTACATTTACTATCAACGAAATCGTATATGTGTGTTGCAATTATTGAATGCATTGTATAACGATGGCGAGCGAGTTTTAGATGAGGATTTTACTTTACCAAATGAGCAACATCCAAGTGATCATTTACCGCTAATGGCTGAACTTGCTTTATTTCCAAAATCAGCAGAAGACCATCTGGACAGTTCTTAGTAATGCCAACATCTTTTTATCCAAATTTTTTGTAAATGTTTTTTTTTCTCTACATCGTATAAAGCTTAATACATTGATATTGTAAACCACGTTGTTAGAAACAATCAATAGTCGGAAATCATCATTATTATTCTAGATAAGTGGTCTATTGTGTTAGATCATCACCAATCTATATCATATTGGAGCACGGAAACAGCTTATCATCATGACAATTGCGCACACGGTTGATATTGATTTGTTAAAAACGATGCCACTACCAGATTGGGATGACAACACAAATAAATCTAGTCGTGGAAAACTATTAATCATAGGTGGAAGTCGACGTTTACCCGGAGCAGTTATTCTTGCTGCTCGAGCAGCTCTACGAATTGGTTGTGGAACAGTTCGTGTTGCCGTACCCGAAAGTATTGCCACAGCAATGGGTGTAGCTGTTCCCGAATTAATGATACTTCCTCTGGCAGAAACATCACACGGCACCATAGCGGCAAGTGCTGCCTCGAAGTTAATCAAAGAACAAATGAAAGTATGTTCAGCTATTGTTCTGGGACCTGGTATCGATGAAGATAAAGACACTGAGAAAGCCATACGGGAACTGCTTGAAAAGGCGTTTTTACCAACAGTTGTTGACGCACAAGTAATGGGATTTACGTATGTAGATAGGAATGTAATTGTCGTCTTGTGATAGGCTTTGTTCGCTTACGATATCAAACAAAAACCAGCAGCTGCTCGGATTCTTACACCACATGAAGATGAATTCAAAGCACTACGAGATGGTAAAGAAGTTGATATGACAGCACCAGAACCTGTTGCGAATGAATTTGCTCAACAATCAAATGCTATACTTGTACTCAAAGGTCAAAACACTTTCATTGCTACACCAGAAGGTTCCCTTTTCAAAAACGAAGCTGGAAGTCGCGCGTTAGGTGAGCAATACACGAGTGAAATAACGCGACTAAATATCAATTTTGTTGTAGGCACAGCAGGAAGTGGCGATACTTTAGCTGGAATCATCGGTGGACTTTTAGCACAAGGCATAGAAGCTCACATTGCTGCCATTTGGGGTGTTTACTTCCATGCTATTGCCGGTGAGATAGTCTCAAAAGAAGTTGGGGAGGACGGAGCAATGGCATCGGACTTTATCAATCGTCTTCCTGCCATCCAGCAACGTTTACGTCAAGAAACTCGCAGAAAACATAGTAAGCCAAGTCATTCTTAGTCATGATTTTCTACAATTTTTTGGTAATATTAATCGAGCTTGTAGTTTTTGTTTTCAAATGTTTGTGTCAAATATATTCACGCACGAAATCCTCGACTTTGCGATAGTAAAGTCTAGTTATGTTCAAAATTTGTCCTATTTTTTTTTATTATGTGATTGTTTTTCTAGACCTAATTCGATAACATTAGAAAAGAAAATCATTCTAATTAGCTTTGATCTTGACGGAGTTGAGCAATCTTCAAATTGAGTTCATCGATCTCTTGTTGTAAACAATCTACTTCAATCGTTTGCGGAAGTTTTGAACAAAGAATCGCTTTGAAATGCTCGAGTGGCGACAAATACGATGTCGAATGTGAAACATTCAATTCGGCGACACAATCGGTTAATGTATCGATTGAACCAGACATTTCCAGATAGACTTGAAATGCTTGTAAACGGTTGAATAACTCGGTTGATAATGATAATGACAATGAAGGCGGTGATGACGTTCGATCGGACGACGAAGCCGATACGGAATTCGTTGTTGGTGAATTCGGTGGAATTGATGACATATTTTCTTTCCTTGTTCAAATAACCTTCAATAACTTTCGCGTAATACCCAAAAAACGAACGAACGAATGAATGAGTCAATAAACAAACCGCGATTCTTTATCCTCGATTATTTAACAGTCGTTTAATCTTGATAAGTGCACGAAAGTGAAACTCATCTACTTTACAATGCTTTTTGAAAATTTTTTTTCTCCCTCGGACTACGTCGTGCGACATGCGTTTGATATTTTTTTACCCTTACGCCCTCTATTTCGATTCGTGAATTATACTACTAACTTGCTCCATTCAGAACTCAGAATTCGCTCTCCTCTGTAAACGATCGATTGATTGATCGTCGCACTGAAGCGTCGACGCATGTGTAGCACTGCTGCTATTAATTACTTCTGTATCGAAATACAACCTATTCAGTATATTTTCAATTAATTTCAAAGTACTCTTCGAACAAAATCAAAACAACAGTGAGTGTTTTCATACGAGAGAAAAGAAACATTGCGTAGTTAACCAATCGAAGTCAGAAGTATAGTTCGAAATAGCGATGACAATGGTTGATATATTTTAGATGAGCATTTGGGTATTCTTCCTTCTAACTTTGGCCTATGTAAAATCACAACGTGTGAGACCAACAACACTCTCAACAACACCAAAACCATCAATTAGTTTAGCATCAATTACACAGCTTCATGTGTTTTCACCAAGTTCAGAAACTGTCATACCATTTGATCCTAAACAAGGCTGGTTACTCAGTGAAGAGACGAGTCTTCGTCTTTACATAAGTGGTACAAATCTTCAAAATAGTTCCATTGCTTTTTCATCGGTATTACATCAATGTACATCAAGTGACTTTATTTCACCGACGTATCAATTATCATCCGACACGATCATTGAGTTGAATGTCAAACTTAAAAATCCATCACACACACATACCACAGTATTCCTTTGTCTTCTTCCACCAACAAAATTCGTATTAAACAAAACGCAAACTGAGAATGGAACTCAACTTGAAGGATCGTATTTTACATTTATTCGAGAGAAAGGTCGAATACCATTTGCAGTGAAAATCTGCTTGATTCTGATGCTATTTCTCGTCTCAGGCTTTTTCAGGTATATCAAAACATGTCTGTTTTCAAATGAACCATGTTTTTCTTGTAATCTAGTGGATTAAATTTGGGTCTAATGTCTTTGAGTGTCAATGATTTACGTCTCATTGCTGAATCCGAAGACTCTTCCATGCGTCATTACGCTCAACGTGTTTTACCATTACGAAAACGAGGAAATTATCTCCTCTGTTCAATTGTCATCGCCAATGTTCTTGTTAATTCTTTGGGTACAGTTCTACTTGACTCACTTGTTCATGGTCTATTCGCTGTTATCGGTGCAACAGTAATGATTGTTCTTATGGGTGAAATTATTCCACAAGCTATTTGTTCTCGTTATGGATTAGTTATTGGTTCACATACATATGTTGTTACATGGACATGTATGATCATTACAGGAATTATTTCGTATCCATTAGGATTTATTTTGGATAAAATCCTTGGACAAGAAGTAACGTCTTCATATACACGCGATCAGATTGCCGGTATGTTGAAAAACATTAGTGCAGATATCGAAAAGCCTGAATTGGATGTTATTACGGGTAAGAATAATATTGACTGAAACCTTTGAGATGATGATTAATGACAAACTATGAATGAAATCCTCGAGAATGTTTAGATTTGAAAAGAAAATGATACAATTTTTGTCTTTAGGTGTACTTTCATTACGAAAGAAAACAGTCAAAGACGCAATGACATGGTTACCGGATGTTTACGCACTTGATAAAGATAGGAAGACTGATGCGGAACTTTTACTTGACGTACATAAACACGGATTCTCACGTATACCTGTTTATGCTAATGAAAAGTTCGTATTTTGATATTTAATGAGGATTTGATTATGGGCTTTTTTTGTTAATCATTTAGATCAAATATTATTGGAATTGTTAAATTACGAGATTTTGCTTTGATCACACCGGAACAGTATCATTTAACAGTGAAAAATCTCTTGGAATTTCATACTCATGCATATGGTTTCGCAAAAGCAGCGAATTCTTTGTATGATCTGTTGCAGGAATTTCTGAAAGGTAAAATTTTGTTATTCGACACAATGCTTATGAATTTCCGTTCAAAGCTCGTTGGCACATTGCTCTTGTACAAGAACCACATTATGAAGACGGCAATCCTGATCCAATCGATAGAACTGTTGGTCTTATAACTCTTGAAGATGTTATTGAAGAGATGTTACAACGAGAAATCATTGAAGAGACAGATTTCTATAGTAAAAGATTGTTTTTTTTAAAGACAAATTGCATTAAGAAGAGTTTTCTAGCTGATAATCGCCAAAAGATCCCACGTAAACGCGCGAAAACAATGGATTACACAGCTTTGGTCAAACGAACGGTCAAAGGTTACATAGAACTTCTTCGTTCTCGTCATAACATACCTCTCTCATTCAGGTCCGGCAATTAGTCCGCAATTGAAAATAGCTGTCTTCCAATTCTTGAGCACAAGTAAGTCTTTCTCACAAATATTTTTGCTTTGACTAATCAATGATTATATTATTTACCTCAATACTAATTCTGACAGCATGTTATATTTTAATTATAGTTAATGTATACATAGATTAACGGTGCGTATGCTTTACCTTCTGCTATTAATTATTAGTTGATCATGTATTAGATTCGCATGCGATTGTTGTCTTTTTCTCAGATATATTTCACAAGGGAGTTCGCGTTTGTTTAGATGTTCAACCGTTTACATCGGGTTTTATTTCTCAGGAGATTTTGAAAATTCTTCTGAATTACAACCTCTATGCGACTATTAAACGGCCAGTGAATCAGTCGACCAATGCAATCTTTTTGTACAAAAAAGATTTTCGCTATGAACTATTCACATTGGTCATTCAAGGCAATGCGATGTTAGAATCAGGCGTTGATCGAATTATGTCTACCGTTGGTCCATTTAGTTACTTCGCTCCTACAGTGTTACTTTGTAAAATCTTTCGAATGTTCTAAAGCTCGTTTTGAAATTAGCCTTTCTTTTCAGCAGAAAACAAAACAGTGAAAGACATTCACGATTTACTTGACCGATTGTTTACAATGAATCCGAAAACGAATAATGTTCTCGATTTAGTCGATGAAATATCTCCCGTATTCGTTTCGGATTACAATTTGATTATCAACAGCGAATTACACATTCTCCAAATTCATCGACTTGTTTGGTTAGCAGCTGTTCGCGCAACTCAACGACAACGCGGTAAAGATCCTCAACATAAACGTTTGTCACCCGAACAACTACTCAGCAACGCACTTGATGAAATTGTAAAAGAAAAATGTCTCTTTTCTTTCTGTTAAATACATTTTCTCTCGTTCCAGTCATCGATAACCAATGTACCGATTGACAAGAACAATCTAACTAATTTCCAACGTATATTCCGCAATGAAAAAGACATTCCTAGGTATACGACACAAACGACAACGGATAATCCTATTACACCGGATCACCCCACGAACTCCGCAGCATCATCAGTTTTCAAAGCGGTTCACTCATTGGACGTCAACAAACCAACAACATTGAAAGAACCCGACAGTTCCAAACGAAAACATTCGCAAACCGCTTCAGCGATTGTTTGCAATCCACTTCTGTTAAGTCAAATAAGTGATGATTCACCCACTGGAAATCCATCAAATCTGGCCGGTGATCAACGTTCAAGCATGTCAAATAGTCTCACTGATGGCACATCCAATTCAAACATGAACATCAATCAAATCTTTAGTAGTTCAAATGAACGAGTAAGTCGTTAAGCATCCATTGGTTAGATCATAATCACATTATTTCGAATTGATGTCGAGATCTTTACTCTGCTAATGTTTATTCATGAAATCCGGTTTTACCTTTGATTATTTCTGCAAGTTTTTCTATTTATCAATGGATTTACATGTACGAACATAAAAAACATCAAGGTTATTTTTACTTTCCTATAGAAATACTACCGCTAATCATATTCTTGTTGTTGTTGTTGTTATTTCTGCTATTGGTATTTATTTTCGATACATTTAGACAAACGATGGTGATCATAACGATGAAAAAGACTATTTAATTGGTCAAGGTCGTTCTCTACGTCGGCAACAACATCGAACACCAGCTACTAATTTATTTCATGCTCATTCCGATATAAATGTTCTCTCCTCACCTGACCGAAATGAAACATTGGGTCACAACAACATCAATAATAATAATAACACAAATTCATCTGCTCAAACTCGACGTGCACGTTCATTGTTAGCTACGACAAACTGTGTTCCGTCATGAGACGAACGTCAGACTCAAGTTTAGTTAGAGAAGGAATTTATTTAGTATAGAATATTCATTTTGTTTTAACGGAATTTGTACAAAATAATCCAAAAAAAACCACAACTCATTCGTCAATATTTTCCTCTACGTTTTGTTTCTTAATCTTTTTTTTTTGAACTTGAAAAAAAACACTTCATCACAAATACGTTCGGCATGTTTTTCTATTCACATATTTATTCGTTCATTCGAAAAAAAAGAGAAATCTTGAAAATTAGATCGATAAGCCAAAGACGGAGACGATAGCATACATGGATTTATTTTCCCAACTGAAATCAAAAATTCATGATGAAATATGCGATCCGAACAACTCGTTTTCATCTTACCGAACGGTACATGATCCATCTGTTGTATTATCCCAAAAGCATGAGCTTGCCGTGTGTAATCCGGCGCCATTCTTTTGCATGATTACACACGAAACGATATATTTAAATGGCTTGTTCAATTTTGTTAACGAATTGAGGATTGCTTCGACGATATTTGATGTCCAAGTGTTGATTTTGGCTTGTTGATACGATTGAGATCCAACAGTTGCTTCAATCGACTCTTTGATGACATTTGATACTTCATCAACAACAAAACTTGTATCGTTGGTGTCATCCATCGTTGTTTTGCTTGGAATTTATCGAAGAAAAATCTAAAAAAGAAGGAAGAAACACCGACATTATCTAGTCGATCTATCGTCGAGCAAAGACACGGACATTATTTTTCTCTGAATACCTTCAAAATATGTACGATCGAACTGAATGAGAGCACCTTTCATTCGTTCGTTCTTTTTCTTTCTTTCATTTTATCGAGAGATACGTCTCTATAGGGACCAAGTTCACCAACATAAGAGAGAGACAGGTATACATAGCAAAAATAAACGGAATAAGTGGCACAACGACGTGTGTATATACATACAAATTCCTCTTCGTCATCCTCACACACGCATATAAATACATACATATATATATCGCAAGCTCTACGCAAACAAGCAACAGCAAGTCTCGAGAGAAAAAAATGAAAAAAATGTGCGTATGTGTGTCTACAACAGAATTCAAATAATGTCTATGTAAAGCGACGAGAGCGCGGTTGCTGTTGTTTAAAGAAGAACGGATAGAGAAAAAAAGAAGAAAAGAAAACGAGCATGGTAGTCGTAGCAACAGTGCCGATGTTCATTCTTTGAAAAAATGTTTTCTACTCTCCTCTATGAAGGTGTCGACGACTAGTTGTTGAGAAAAAAGGAAGATTGATTGGATGCGTAGAGTGGGAATCGATTTTTTTTTCTTAAATTTTCAAGTGACTTGAAGGAGAAGAAGAAAAAAGAAATGAAGATTTTGAAATGTTACGAGAGAGAGGGAGAAGGGGAATGAGCAGCACTAGCAACAACCAAAACAACATTCGCTCGTTTCTATTTCTCTTTTTCTTTCATGTTCTGTTGTTAAAAAAAATGTAAATGAATGTGTATTGTGCATGATGAAAGTAACAGATGTCGAGATTGGCCTTTAGCGAAAGGATCTTCTTACTCTTTTGTTTTCTCTTTTCTTTTCCTTCTTCCCTTTGCATCCGTCAGAAGAAAAGACCGAACGACTTTTTTTCTAATCTTACATTAAACAAAAGAAAACCGAGAACCTCGACATGTCAAGGAAATGATCCGGCATAAATTCAATCCTGATCAAGAAAAAACAACTCAGTATGCAAAATCACCTTGGAAACGGAGTGTTTTTCATTAATTCACTCGTAGACTGTTAAAAAACACTTGTATGTGGACATTATGTGAATTAAACAAGTTTTCAGGCAAGAGTGTTGTTCGAATGATTGAATATCTCAAGTAAAAAACTCAATGAGCCATGCGAATGTCTTTTCTTCTTTCGCAAAAGACGCGTCCATCTCCAGCAGACGTTTAATTTATGCATCAATGATTGTTCAAGACTCTCTCTCTCTCTCGACGTGCAATCAAAGAATGTAAATCAGATTGGTGTACTTCTTGGAACGAAATACGAAAAGAAGCACATGTTTCATCGTATTCGATTAATAGGACGAGATTTGACGATTCTAATTGTTTAAAATTAAAATCAACGGCAAAGGATATATGTGTCAAAGTGACTTGTTGCATGTTCATTCGACATAATTTGTTTGAGTTTGCAATTTGTATGGAAATAGATAAATCATGTGTTGTTCAGTATATATAACCTGGATTAGCAAGGACTTCTCTTGAATTCAACATTGTAATCAACATACGGACGTTGTTTGTAATTCTATTTTCTCAGGAGATATTGAAATTAATCGAGGGTAGAACTACATGACGAAGATCTGTACTAAAATTCTCCTAGAATTTCGATTTCTTCAACAAATATAAGCATCGTCCTGATCGATACTCGTAAACAATCATCATAAATGTTAACTGCTCCGAAAGGTACGTCTTGATTTCATTTCATACTCGCCAGTTTGATTGAAACGGAACAATCGATATTAATTTGTTCGAAAGAAAAGAACAGTGTCAAGAGATTTACACTGATTGCTCAAATGCAAATCTCGATCGCTTTAAATAGAGACATAAACTACTGAGGAATCAGTTTTGTTCTAATATTCAACTCCAGCGTCAATCATGGAAACCACCGGTATGGATCATCTTCATTTCTGTCTTCCGAGTGAGTTAGAGAGGAAACCATGCAGACCAATTAAGACATCCTTTTCACCTTTAACAAATATTGAGAAAAACTAAGTTCTCCTTTTTTTTGTAATCGAATAACGTGCATTTGTTATCTGATCTTTCATATCTATTAGACGCAACGAGAACTATGTCAGAATGTGACAAATCCAAAAACACAATTACCGTCTCAAATCCAAATCCGAATCGTAAACCAAGCACCACGGAGCAATTAGTCTTATTAACATCATCAGCTTTGGTCTTACCACCACCAGCACCGGTCGCTCCACGAGATCTATGGACAAATAAAGTGGAATTTCTTCTGTCAGTTATTGGCTATGTCGTTGATCTTGGTAAGCTAATTGACTGATAAATTCAAATCTTTTGTACTTATTTCTTTTCATTCCTAAAAAGGTAATGTTTGGCGATTTCCGTATATGTGTTACTCTAATGGAGGTGGTGCATTTCTCATCCCGTATACGATATTTCTATGTCTTATTGGTATCCCAATGATGTGAGTGTGACATGTTCTCGATAGACATGAAGACAATCTTGACTGTTTTGTAAAGGTATCTCGAATTGTTTTTGGGCCAATTTTATCGTTGTGGAAATATTTCACTTTGGGGAAGAATTGCTCCATCAATGAAAGGCATTGGAATAGCATCATTGTGCATTGTCACTGCAATAACATTATTCTACACGACAATTATCGGTAAGAAAATTAGTTTCTTGTTCCATAAATAGATTGGTACAATCCGTAAATTTATTGATTTTGTTTAGCGCATGCTCTATTTTACTTATTTTCATCATTTCGTGAAGTCATGCCTTGGAGTTTGTGTTCTCATTCGTGGAACACACCGTTTTGTTCGGAACGAATGCGAGCAGACAATATTCAGAACAAATCCATCAATGAAACGCATTTCAGCGACATTCAGCATCTTTTATCTTCGAATCAAACTCTACAACTTAATATAACTGGACCCACACGGGTGTCATCAGCTGACGAATATTACCATATTTACATGTTAGGGATAAACCGTTCCACAGGTTTGACAGACTTGGGTCCAATTAAAATTGATCTATTACTGTGTCTTATTTCAATTTTTATTCTGATGTACATGTGCATCTACCGTGGAGTAAAAAGTACAGGTATGATCGTCGAAATCCAAGCGACAATGCTTTTCAAACGATTGATTTTGTTTAGGCAAAGCTGTCTATGTCACCGCTATATTACCTTATGTTGTCTTAATTATTTTACTTATTCAAGGTCTGCAATTAAAAGGTTCACATTATGGAATAAAGTACTTTCTTCAGCCAAGTTTTGAAAAACTGAAGGATATAAAAGTTTGGTATTCTGCAGCGAATCAAATCTTCTTTACGTTGGGCCCTGGAATATCGGTTTTGACAACCTACGGTTCGTATAATGTGACGAATAACAATTGTTATTACGATGCATTAATTGCGGTCATCGCCAACTTTTTGGCGAGTTTTCTCGCTGGTTTTGTCGTGTTTTCGGCATTGGGTCATATGTCATGGCGTTTGAAAAAAACCATTGAAAATGTTGTTGACCACGGACCGAGCTTGTCATTCATTGCATATCCAGAAATATTGGCAACATTTAAATATCCAACATTCTTCTCCATTTTATTCTTTTTGATGGTCATCAATCTGGGATTGGACAGCGACTTCGGCGGTTTAGAAGCGATATATTCGGCATTGAGTGATGAATTCCCAATATTAAAACGGCATCGAAAATCTGGCATGTTTATTATGTGTTGTATATTGATTGTTGCCTGTCTACCAACAGTCACGCACGGTTAATAGAAGAAGAAAAAAACACGAATTTAGATTAATGAGATATTTTGTTCGTGTTTTATTTTATAGGTGGCAATTATGTTGTGCAATTCCTGGACCGATTCTCGACAGCTCCAGCCCTGATGCTGGTCGTGATGATGGAAGCAATTGCTGCTACTTGGGTGAGTTCAGATTTGCCAGAAACGATGAAATGTAACGATTTTTCTAGGTCTACGGTTTGAATAATCTCATCAACGACATTCGTATCAATCTTGGCTTCGAACCCAATAGATTTTTTCGTCTTGCTTGGTCAGTTCTATGTCCCGTGATTATTATTTTACTAATGGTTCTGTCATTTACATACTCTGAGGAATTGAAATATGGCGATTATCAATATCCGTCATGGTCTATTGCGTTAGGTTGGCGTATCAATCTTAGTTTCATCTTACCTATTCCACTCGCTATGTTGTATGCATTTTTGCGTTATTCGGATTCGAGAATTCCGTTTCTTCAACGTCTTCGACTTTTATTCGTACCGGATATCACCAAACGCAAAGTGAAACAACAAATTGAAAATGGCTCTGGACTTCACCTTTCATCGTCATCATCACCAGTCGCTTGTGTTTGATTGTTGTTTATTTGTTCGTATATCATTAGATAGTTCCCATTAATAAATGTTCTAAGTATATCGATGTTTATATTTCCTTGTTTTTAACTAGATATATAATAATATCGGTGTAACAGAAACTACTCCGTCGAGGCATATGAAAAAGTTAATGAAATCATAAGAAATCGCCGCACTATTAAAGACTATGATCCCAATGGGAATGTTTCCTTCGTTGCGTTTATATTAAAATTGCCAAGATAGAACTTCCCGCACATCGTATTACATGCTGACTGTTTATTAACCATTGCAAAGAGTCAATTGAAAGTTATTGTAAGAACGAGAAACATAAATGAGTTTATATTAATGCGATGCTATTGCTGTCTAGTTGTCAACTACGTCGTGCAATTTTAAACTGTTTTTCTAGACGGCAACAAGGGAATACATTGAAATCTACAGAAACAAATGTTCTAACGAAGGTGATTGTCGAGAAATCGTTGACGATTGTTGATTTTTTCGTTTCTAAGTAGACGATTCACATTAACAAGTATCTATGCGTCTCAATGTTTATATTTTATTTCTTTTTTTTTCTTCTCTCAACACAATAAAATAAGATAAAGAAATAATTGTATGTACACAGAACTGTTATTGACTGGTAGTGGATGTGTGAAGCAAATGCAATTTCCGTTGACCGTCCTCGTCAGTTGGAACTATTGACGGTCGCGTCAGTGTTTGTTGATCGGAAACGGGTTTATCACGTTGTTTGTCTTCTGTTGATTGTCGAGATTGTCCGACTGGTTTACAAAGAAGAACACTGATCGCTGCCGTTCGAAAATCACTCGACGTTAACCAATAGATGATGAACGATGTCACATGACTCGTTGTTGCTAAGTTGCTCAAACTCATTGTAATCAAATCTCGATGGCGTTTGACTGTTTTACCGAAGAAGATATAAAATATCGCGGCAGGTGCGGTAAATACGATGAAGAAGATGGTGATTAAAATCAAGGTCTTTGTCAATCGACCACCGTCACTCGTTTTCACACGGCGGTTATTCGAAGCTGCTGACGAAAGTCGCGACCGTTGCGTGCGATTCCTTGATTCTCTAACTTGTTGAATGATCAGAATATTCGAAATAATCATTAAAGTAAATGGAATAAAATTATATATGAGCAGATGTGCAACTTCCCAAAATTGGAAAAAGCTCGATTGATAACATCGCACTTTCGCTTGCGTCTGATTGAGTTCGTTAATGGCATAACCGTATTCGCCATTGACGATCCAAATCGGAAAATTCAAAAGTGCGATGATAAAGATCACAAAGAAGATAACTCGACGGATATTAATCGGCTTTGCTAACCAATTTTTTAGTGACCAGCTGTTGTGTAGTGAAACGCATCGAGCGAATGTTGCTAGTGTTTTTAACCACGCTGCACATTGAAGAGAAAAATAGGCGCCGAAGGCGATCAATTTACATACGAACAACGAATGCTGCTCAAGATTCTTCATTGAGATATTTTTCTGATATTTCCAGAGTAATTCGCGTACGACATAGTTCATGTTCCAGGTGAATGGGATAAGAAGTTCTATGAGCGCTAAATGTGCGAAGACGATAATGGTTGCATTTGAGCGATTTGGCACGAGTCGAGTAAAGATATAGAAACAAAGGAGATTTAATGGCGTGCCAACGATAATGAGTATGAATGAATAGAGACCGGCGAGAAACCGGGCGATATCAAGGAAAACGACTGCCATTTGCACTTCTTCTAAAATATGATCAACATAGAAAAACAATTGAATTATCGAATGCGTAGATTAGATATGTTCGAATGTAAACTTAATTACTATTTATTGTACCCATTAATCTCAAGTTATTATTTGATCATTTTATCATAAATTAACGACGAATTATCGAAATAGCCATTTTTATTCAGTGCATCCTAACCCAACACATTTTGAAATGCCTTTTCCTAACAACTTACTATATTCTCTTTCAATTTCTACGCATGATGCATATCCTTTCCACAGTCAACAATATCTAAACACTATCGAAAGCTAATCTAAGCGTTTACATACCGTGGTCTAAGAATAATATTTCTTCAGATTATCTGCAACTGTTATATTTATATGTGAAAGGCAAAGTAAAAGTACGAAACATTTGCGAATATTCTATTTTTAATATGTGTCAGCTGTCCTGGACAGATACGATTTGATCTCGTGGTCTGTTTTAAAAAATTTTTTCTCTACTTTATAAGTCTGTTAAACGCGTACACAGGAAATGATAGTATAGTAACTCGTTGTATTTCCCTGGCTACTGCTGCTGCTTCTTTCTCTCTGTTTCTCTCCTGCTCTTTCTATTTCTCTCGTAACACGCTATCGAGAAATATACGTCGTTTTTCCAAAATAGTATTTTTTTTCTTTCTCTTACGCTTGTCCTTTATCAGCCTTGTTCTAGATGTCAACAAAGCAAAGATATATAGATACATGTGTGACTGACTGACAGGACCCATCTGTAGAATATTGATAGACACCGTGTACTATTGCCAAGCGTTCGTATTTGTCTCTATATCAGCCTTGATCATTAGTCGTCGATGGAGAAAACCAACATGCGAATATAGTACCTGTCTCATTGAGAAGTGCAATCTTGAAACACTAGGCCCGACTGTTGACATCCGAGTCGCACTTTTCCATTCAGAGAAGATATTTCTTTACAATTAGCGTGTTTTTCTTCGTATAGGTTTGTTTTGAGAAAATGAAGAAAACAAAGTCGATGTCTTCAGCTCGATGATGTCAGTAATCAATGAGATTAAGCACAGAAGAAGAACTATGAATGACAATAAACAAATGTTATAGTACTACTACGATTTATGCAGATCTTTCGTAGAAAAAAATGCTGCTCTAACATCTATGCTCTTTGTTGATGGCTTCTAATTGATTAGCGTTGGAGAATAAGACGAATATTCATTTCTGGGCGATAATTGACCGTTAAAATCTGCCGTTTCTGAATTCACTTGATGACAGTCTCATATTCGAGCATGCCAAGCGAAGTAATCAGCAACATTTTCTAATAGAAAATAGTTGAGATAACATTTCATAGGATTTCCTGAATAGATCACATTATTTGTTATTTCCCAGTCCGGAGTTCGCCATGCACAGAGAGAAAAAGAAAGTTCACTGTTGCACTCGATTCGATTGATGTACGAATCAAAATTGAAAATAACTTCGAATACCACCTGTTCGGTTTTCTTCGCTAACCGTGTGTTCTTAAGAGAAAGACTGGCGTCAACAAAAGCGATCAGAATTGGCATGTTGTTTAGATCATTAGTCTACGGTTGGATGCGTTGTGTCGGAGAACGATTAAAATACAGATGTTAAATAGATCGATTTTCAAGCAATTTAGACAACTATTTGCATTTCTTATTGAATGTTGTGCGGCGAAAAATGTACTCAAACTAAAACGATACTGTTGATGTCAACAATTCAATTATCAAGGCAATCGAAGAGATACAAATTGCATATTTCGTTCGAAAATACTCCGATTATTAATCACAGACTAATCTGAAAAATGAATTCGCGCCATCGGATGAAACAAGAAGAAAGAAAAAATGAGATCAAGCGACCGATGCGCACTAGTTCATGTGAAATTTAATGAAAAAAAAAGCGACGACATTTCTTATTAATATAAATGATTGCATATCACGCAATGGAAAACTAATACAAATAGTCAATATATGCAAAGCGATTATCCATGGAATTCTTGATATTTTATATCAAATAAACTGCGGCATATCTTGGAAAAAAAACTATTTCAGAATCATCGAGATCCTATCGTGCTTTCGGTATGTGTGCATACTTCACATGACAGATAAATCTTATACAAAGATATAATTAATCTCTAGCAGCTTGCTCAACTTAATAAGCTTACAGAATGAATATGTCGAGTCAGTACGATAAACAATTGTTGTTTTAATAGCAAAGATTTGATGTCATAGAGAAGGAATAAATAGAGGAAGTGTTCTCGGTTGATAATAGGAAATTATCGGGTAGTGCACTTGAATGCCTTTGAATGGCACGTTACTCCTTTGTTCGAATAATTGAAAAGAAAAACGACGATGTAATCGCAAATTTCTGGTTAATTAACAAAAATGATAAAATAAAGATCAAATTCTCGAATTTCAATCGATAAAATAAGAAAATTGTTCGATTCCCATGGTAAGTCAGAAAAGAAAAAGGCTATCCTCGAGAGACTAAACTGCCAAAGTAGAAAAATTAGGATTATTATCATATCTTACTGTGAATACAGTCAGCCAACGAAAGTGAGAAAGTGTACTCGGAAAAAAATCATACAATCCGCTATGTTTAAGACAATTTTTCTTTCAAATGAATCAATTGTGATCTATTTGCGTTCGAGAAAAGATGAATTTACAGTGAGTTGATACTCTCAATCAATAGATTTCCATGCTTAATTGAAATTCAACGGGGAGATCTGGTTTTTTGGCAAATCAACTTGAGGGTGAGGACAATATTTGCTAGAAAAGAAGGAAAACTGTCAAAATTAAAGACGTAGAATGGAAGAGGTGTTACCCGGTTTAACTAATATTACGGGCAATTTTGTTTCAATATTGAAATATGGAACAAGTACGCAATTTATTCATCACGGTATGAAAAGCATTTTCAATCTTCAGTTTTATAAATGAAAAAAACTATTTTAAGTACTGAAATAATCATTCTCATGACTTGTTGAGTAGATATTTTAGTGAAACCTTGAAAATGTTTTATGTATAAGATATTTTCGATTATCTGAAGAGGACGAGCTATTTTTTTCATTATGCCAGATGTCTGACGAAGCATTTCTCAACAACGTCTTCACTTTTGAACCATACGGAATTCAATTATCAATACGGTAAACTCGATAATATCATAATTGGCGTATGATTTTCATTATTAACTTCCTTCTGAACATCGAGCTAGACGTCTTCTTCGTGCAACACATTATTTAGATCCACAGAACGTGCTGAAAGTCATGTGTATAAAAAAAAGAGTGCAACAAAATTAGTCCTTTTTGCAATAGATCACGACTGGTTCGATCGAGGTGTTGTCAAAGCCAAATTGTGCAGAGAATCTCACTCCAATCTGATTGTCATGTAAACAATCGGACGAGCGTCTTAACTCATTCTAGTAGTGTACTCGAAAAGTGGGTACATTGACGAGGTTGAAGGTTCTTTTAATACACGTACGAAAGCTTGATTGAACATTAACTGGAAAATCTCGAGAGCAGCTCTTCGAACAAAGAACTTCAACTAGTAGTTCCGGATTGTGCTCGGTAATTTATCAGAGGAAAAGTTCAAAATCTGATAAGTACATTGCCGGTACGTTTTTCATCCTCGAAATCTAAATAACAAGGCTACTTCGAACGAAAAAGTATTCATACATGTGCAGAAAAAAGTCAATGACAATAACATATGAATATATTAAGTTTATTGATTGATAGTAAACATGAAATTAAGTATATCGAATACTTTATTTTTTGTAGAGATGAGATTTTGATCGTATGACAAAAAAGTAAGCCTCACTATGTCTTGACGTCAAGCGGATAAAGAAAAAGTTGAGAATTACGAGTTTTTTTAACCTCGCATTGCATGAAAACCTTGCGGTACATATCTTCGATTGTCAGCATGTTCTCGGTGTTGACGATAGTGTCGATAATTACCTTGCAGTAGAGCTGCTCTTAACATAAGACTCGTCAAACGACTTTTCGACGCTGCGGGATACTGATTTGAGTTGAAACCGTAAAAAAATGGCGATGATGGCTGAAATGTAAGACTATCCGGACGATAATTTTCCGCATATAAACGCTTATTCCAATTGAATGTGTCGCGATCGGTGGCAACAGGTGAAATGGACGATGAATAGGAATGTGAAATTAAACAAAGAAATAAAAGGATAATTAAGATGAAACTATGAAATCGAACAAATGACGATGAACTTGTGTCAATTAATTGAAAAACTGCCATATCTGAAAGTACACACAAGATTCTCTTAAGTGTTGACATGAACTTTACTAAGTCATATGTAAGTAGCGAAAAAAATAGGCGAAGAGCGCACAGAATTTGCCGCCCTGTATCTCTGAAGACTTGGAAGATCAAGTAATATTACTTTTCAACGACCAATTCTATTTACCTGATGTGCTAAAGACGATTCCAAACGAGAAAAGATTTGAAGACATGCAATGACAGAAAAACTTTCTAGGAGACGTGTTTAAATAATAGTATCGATGTTTGAACTAGTCTATCTAGGCTTTCATTATCTCGAAGAAGACGTTTTACATCTTTCCTTCATACTTGTCATACGAAAATGTATCTTATCGGAAGTAGAGAGGTTGTCTATTAAAGAAACTCATCGTGTTGAATGCCATATTTCCGTTACATTTCTAATTCCTTGCCTCGTTTTTTATTTGCGACAAGCACAAAATCAGCACTTTCCACATGCGTTAACCTTCTGTTCTGATTCATTCTCTTTGAACTTGTGTTCAACTAGCAGCTCATCTCAATATACTTCTTTGCATCCATACTTCGACTCGAATTTTCCCATCGTCATCATGATAATGATAGGAGAAACTTGTCTTTACTTAACATACAACAAGATGCAATTAATTCTTCAGTCAATTAAAATTGAGCCTGCCGCCTACAAGACTTACTTTTGTCACTAAATGTTTGTGACAAACTCTCCTTTTCTCGGAATGAATGAAGAACCTAATTTTATCTTCCAGCTGGCTTAGACAAGACTACCGATTAAAAGGCTAATATCCGTTTTGAGAAAAAGTCATGTTTGACAATTATCTTCTCAATAAATTTTTTTTTAAAATATTCTAATTGATTTCAAAACTGAATTCTCAGACTTGAACGACCAGGATCTCCAAGCCACTTCGAGTCATTTACTCCACAGATTGCATCAGATTGTTCAGCTACACAAAACTCTGAAAACGATCTTCCTTAGTAATTACGAAAAATCTCTTATCAATTATCTCAGGCGATAAGTTTTCTTATCTAATAATTTTTACAAATTAACGAGGAGCCTGTAGTCTATACAATCTATCATGAGGGATAATCAAAAATTGGCATTGATAGAGCCCAGTAATTTGTAAATGACATGAGGAAAAGTAGTCTACTCAGTGCGTTTGAGAGAGAACAAACTTTGATTACAAAGATGATCATATAAAGAATAACAAGGCCGGTAATGAATCCTATCTCTTGATACATTCTGTTTAGTTAGAATTGTCATCTTAATTCCTTTTGTTTAACTCAGTGTAGCGCATCCAAAACCAACTATACTTCCTCTATTCTGGTAACACATTCGGAGTTAATCAGACAAATAAATATTCGTGATAAACTTTGTTTCTGTTCTATTTAATATTCGCGTGGGTGAGACTTGTCATTGTTTACGATTAAATCTCATCATAAATCTATGAAATATTGATTAAAACAGAACGAATCTACGCTATTTTACCCGACGAAGGAAGCTCGGTAGTTAGTACAACGAGCGAGGTTAACTTTTGTTGATTCATCGAATAAGTTTTGCATAGTCGTTGAGTTTCCGCATCCAATAAAAACAAGATGTTTGAATTATTCATCGAATCAGTGCATAAATTAACTACAGATCATTCGTTATTGACATTAAGGAAGAAAAAAACTTCACAATCAATCGTTGAACCGCAAAGAAAAGTACTCGAATATCAGTCATTTCTCACCAATTCAATCACGACTGCCCGATCATTTCATACATGCGGGTCAAAGTAAATAGCGAACATAAAACAATTCTCGAGAATACTCAATAATCGGATGTGTCGGAAATGGAATTTAGATACAACCAACTTCCGTGTTTTTATTGTTCTTATCGAAAATACAAAAATAAAAGTGAATCCTACAAGTTGATTTACACTAACATTCGATCAAAGTAAGTGGAACGATCAACACACTTCATATGTTGTTCCTTGACAAAGCTTCGTTTTCTCATGAGATGTGTCCCGAATGTATTTATTGATTAGTTCTGTGCAGCGAAGTCGAATAAATAAATCTGTTCCATTAACTCATTAGCATGAATAGTCATACCGCTACTCATTCGACTCTTTCATCTTTCGAGATCAACAAACATTGATTTCACGGTCATTTCTCGAAAACAATCGATCACAAGTAAGTCGAAGTCCAGCCATCAGATGTTTTTCCTGTTAAGAAACAAAAATTCACTCGATGACTTTGAACATCAACGTTCATACTATACAAATTCTATTCATTCTTCTAATCATTAGGCATTTTCGTCTAGCCAATCGACTTGTCATTTCGCTTCTAATCTTCCAGACAGACAACAAGTCAAACCTCTCATAATCGAACACTCCAATTTCAACTGGCATCAGGTGGATAGTAGCCATCAACTGAATACAGAAAACTAATCAGACAAATTGCCGTTTCTTCCACCGAATTGTCTTACATTTAGCCTGAAGCTAATACGTTCCATCATTCTCGCTGGCTAATTAGCTGACGTGAACTTATACACTGAAAAACGCCGTAAGCAATATCATCTGACAACGAATACGTCAAGTTTATATTTCTATGTATATATATAGATATCACAGGCATTGAGAGAGTGAATGAAAAGCACACGTACACATTTCTACGACTAGAAAAATACGAATTCGTCATCGTCGATTGTAAAAGCCATGAGAATAGCCGAGCAGAAGAAGATTTACGACGAAAAGCCAATAGAATCGACTTCGACAAATTGATCCTTGATTGAGTAGAAGTTCAATTTGCGCTAGAAAAGAAGAAAATCAAAAAATAACATGTTGAAATCATTAGAGTGTCTATTGACATAGGATAGTTTTATACACACATAAAATGTGAATGAGAAAGAGAACAAGATATTATTCTAAACACGTCATGTCCACTCAGAGATGAGATTAATTGTATATGCTTGGACAACAACAACTTGTAAGGATGCCGCCCTTAACAAATACACACTTTTAGTACTAGCACTCATTCATTCATCCGTTCTATTCATTCGACTGTCTCACAAAGCTAATCTCCTTTCCATTTGCCAGATGTAATGAAACCTACCATATGATGGCGATGATATTCGACGATATTTGGCTAATAATGTTGCGGTTTCTGTTGATGTTGTCGTTCGATTAATTAAAATCGTATCTAAGAAAGAAAGATCATTCTTTTGGTTTTTTTCTTGAATCAATTTCAACAGAGAATTTCTCTACCATCGATATTAATAAACGCTTTGGAGATTTTCAAAGGATTTTCTGCTTCACATTCGTACATGCCAAAGATATTCGGAGTAATCTAAATCCAAAATACGAACAAATGTGATAATATTATCGTTATCCAGATGGAAATCACTTGTTCGCATCTGGTTCAACTTACATCTAAGACGAGTAGAAGTTCAACTGTATAATCATTGATTTGTTTACGTTTGATATCATTTATCTCAAAACGATTTCGTTTCCATTTAGCTGTTGTTAATGGACGAGCGAAGATCGTACAGTTGAGCACGAGACGCGACGATTGGATTGATGAGTGAATTGTCAATTCAGGTGAAACTATGAGACGAATACATAGTGGTGATTATGATAATAATAAGAGAAGAAAAAGACATGTGTCCATTTTCGAGATCGTCTCATTTTCTTATCGTACACCTACACATTTCAATCAGCACATTCAAACTAATCATTATATTATCATTAATGTCCTATTGTGTTCGAAAGAAAAGTTTCTTTTTGTGTCTTAATTTAGATGATTGAGTCATAATACTCGAGTGAATTCATTCATTTGATACGACGTAAAGTTTGTAATGCAGGAAAAGATATTTACTTGATGGAAGTAAACGTTTCGTTCGTGTATCGCGTGGTGGAATACCATTATCAGCGAGACATTGATAGTCAACTGGAGCTGTACGAGAAAGATTTTTGATTAATAATTTGTTATCGAACGCGATGATGTCTAAAAGAAAGAATTGGTCAAAAGGATGAGTTGGTTGCGTAACATACTTCGATCGTTTCGTTTGTTGATTAAATATCGTTTGCCTGGGATATGCCAGATGATTTTGGGAGGCGGTGTACCTCGAGCGGAACATTTTAAAATGATTTGTTCATTTTCTTGAAGTATTTCATTGTTATTTGATTCAATGGTTATGTCGACTATTTTCGGAGGTGCTAAAAATGAACAGAAATGTCAAATCTGTCTGTCACATTTGAAGATACTTCATCGAAATGATAACCTATTAGTCACAAGTCATCCAATCTCGATGTTTAATCGTTCAACGAGTGAAACCTTAGAGAATGTTATTTTGTCTCATTGCATAAAAACTGTCTCGTCCGAAAGACGTGAAAACATTTCGACGTGTTAAAAAGATATTGTTTATATCTCATCAAATAGCCATCGGAAGCGCTTTTTTCTATCTTCATCACAAATCGAGTCACAGATGGATGTGAGACAAATAAATGTGCTTACTCAAAACGGTTAAATTGAACCGTTTGATGATCGTCGATGTCTGATGATCTGATGACGAAGAAACGCGACACGTGTATTCTCCGCCATCATCATCGGATACATCGGATAAAATCAAAGACCAAGTCCATGCATATCTACAAATATCGGAATGCTTCTATGAAAGAGATAAACGTGAAGCTGTGTTTCATACGTATGTTCAAGCAGAAATCTTGTTCGATCACCATTATCAATATCTTCATCAGTTTTTGTTATTAATAAACGTCCCGTGGGTCCGTAGAAATCCGCCTAGAATACATCAATTCTATTATGTATACATATATGTCATTCTAATCTGATATTATATATTTCCCTCGTGAATATCCGACGTAATCATGTTTATTATGCTTATTTTATTGTCAAGAAGGAAAAAAATGATCGAAGCAAGATGATAAATGACATGAGAAACTTACTTGTTTGTTGGAATATTTCTCCGGTAAATCACATATCAACGTAGCGGTTTCACCTGTATTGACCGAAACATTCTCCAAATAATCATCGGACTGTACGTTGGATAAAGACAAGAGTAGAAAGAAACTTGTGCAATAGATTGAAATCATCATCTTTGACGTTTTCTCATTTTCATCTAATACAGAAATAAAAAAAGAGAAGATTTGTAAAGTAGACACATTGACAAAAAGAAAGTTGTACTAATGCCAGCTACATCACTCGTTCATTATTCAAATGACTCTTTTTCTTTCTTTCTGTCTCTTCTATTCTCCCTCTCTCTCTCCCTTTCTCTCTTGTCCATATAATTATACTCGAACATGCGTATGTATGTATGTGTGTGTGCTCATTTTTGATTCGGTGTGCGTGGACAGGACAAGGAAAGAAGAAGAAAAAGCATGACTGATTATCATCTTTGCTGAAAAAGAAGTGAACGAAAGAGATTGAAGAGGAAATTACGAACCTTGAACAAATTGAAAAAACTCATCTTACTGGAACATTAACCAGCGTACATTATCGAGCGCGTTTCTCTCCATCTCTCTTCATATATACAAATCCCTTAGCTTTCGTTATGTTTATTTCATTATAGACTATCTCCATACAATAAGATTACTCAAGGATACATATTCTTCGTGTGACACACCCAAAATTAATTGAAAGAGAGAGAGAGAAAGAAAAAGAGCCCGAGATTTACCTGCATTTTGGATATTTAATGTTGTCGGCAGTCTAGTCAAAGGTATTCACTTGAACACAATTCTTTTGCACTGCTGCTAGGGTGATTAAATTCAAGCACATAGAACGTACATACACACACACACATATATATATATGAACAATTAGAAACGAGTTCGTTTGAAGAATTTTTTCTTCTCCTTCAACTTTCTTTTCTTGTTGCCCTAAAAAAAGACGACGAAAGGAAGTGCACTGCCGGGAATGGAAAGAACAGAGAGAATGTATTCAGATTGAATACAAGCGGAAAAACGACGATCGTACGCGACGATCAATTGTGTGACCTGCTGTTTCTAAATGTTTTATATATACGTTCATATACAGTTAGATTAATGATAGAGTAAAGTATTAATTGAAATAGGAGAAAGGAACAGCGGTGGTACGAGTTCAAATTTCTCTTTGTGCTTCAAACAAAATACATTCGATCGGCGGTTGCTGTATGCATAGGAAAAGACGATAGATAGAATGAAGAATCAATCAGTTTGGAGATTACTCAATCAATTTGGATTGTCGTGTTGTCTGATCTGAGAGATTTGTATATAGATGAGAGATAAAGAACAGATGGACGAGAGATGAAGGACAACATGCGAAATCTTGATTCTTGTTTCTTTTTTTTATGGTTGTTGAAATGAATTGTTTGAAATGGAAATAAAAATGTTAACATGGAGAGATGCGATTCTTTGCATAAACTAACAGAGAACACCTCTAGCTACGCGGTGACCTTTGAGAAAAGAAAAAAGAATCAGCGAAAAGGATTTTTCCTTTAGTTTCAAATGAGATTTGATACTTTAAAAGCTTTGATTACATCATCAGTAGGTATGAGCATTAAGCCGATGGAACACGCATGGAGAACAAAGTTATACAAATGACTGATTTTCATCGTTAATTGCTGATCGAAATATGTTGTTGTTTTCTTTTTGATTTGAAAATGAAAAAATATTTTCTTTTCGAAGGAGAGAAATCATCATGCTCTATGAATAATTTACATAGGACTTTTCATTGAATATTTTCTCTTATGATAAGGAAATATTTTCGGATCAATCGATTCACTTGTTTGTTCAACGGATTAGATTTACTTATTGTTTGTCAGCATTGTTGATCAGGGATTATTTCACATAGAAGCAGAGGGAATTAAAAAGGTTCGTTTTATTTAGATAAATTATTTTCTAGAGGAAAAAATGAACCTTCAAACACAATAATCAACATCAGATAGTGTTCATTGGATTATAAACGTGCTGAAGGATGATTTTGAAGTAATGGTTTGTGAGGATCTTCAGGTAGATGCCAGTGAATTTCATCGTCAAAGTCGTTTTCTTTTTGAGAGAAGATCGGCAGACGTAAAATGATACCTGTCACAAGTCCACCGACAAGTCCCATGCCAAGAGTCAATGCTAAACCAGCCGCTTGATAACCAGATTGAGTACTATTACCTCGAAAAGCACCACCACCAAGACATGAATCTGTCAGATGATTTAGATAACCTGAACGATCACTAATCGAAGCAACAATAATGCCTGTGATGCCTGACATAAATCCAGGCATACCGTGCAAATTGTGAACTCCGCATGTATCATGAATACGAATGTGTTTCAATCTGGGTGTAAGAAATTCATAACCTAAAACTGATATCATACCAGCAAGTGTACCGATGACCATCGCACCGTGAAGTCCGATGTTCGATCCGGCAATGGTTCCGACAGCAACTCCGCCGGCTAATGTAGAATTTTGAACATGTACCATGTCGAATCGACCCCTTTTGACAAGATTTGACATGAGAAAAGCACCGATAACTGAGGAACAGATCGAGATGTAGGTGTTCACTACTGCATAGAGACGAGTAACACCGGTTGCGACACCGGCGTTGAATGATGGCCAAAAACAAAAGAGAAAAATCGTTCCAACCATTGCGAATATATCGGAAGTGTAACGTGATTTTTCATGAGGAGAATCTTCAACATTTCTGCGATACAAAACAAATGCAACCGCCAAACCGAAATAAGCACCTAAAGAGGAGATTTCCTATAAACTTCTCGACAATCTTTCTTTTCTTACCAAATACATGAACATACATCGATTCACCAGGATCAAACGCACAGAATATATGTAAACCGATATATTCATTGACAACCTGAATTGGTACTTCCAGCAATGCCATGAGAATCAATTGAACAGGATTCGCTTTTCCCAACACCGCACCCATAGATATTAAAATACTTGCTGAGACAAAATCCGCTGTTGTTAAACTTTGAACATCGACAATAAATTTCTGATTCGTAGTATTCCAATCGAATAGATAACCGCGAACAATAACTGCCCATTCTAATGTAAAAGCGCAAAGAATAAAATTGAATCCAACCGATGAGAATGAATATCGTCGTAGAAATGTCATTAAATATCCAAAGCCGATGAACATCATCACGTGAATATCCGTGAACATGGAATAATAGAATTCCACCAAACCACGCGGTGGGTTTTCATAGTTTGTGACATTTGTAACAGGAAAATATCGATACTCACTATGAAAACCCAGTAGAAATGTAAATAGAATTTGAAAAATAAGTAACAACAGAGGGAATAAGAATGTACGAAAGTTCATCATTTTCTGTTCGTTTCAATGAAATTTTTTCCGAAGTTATTTATACATTGGAAGATTTTGTACTTATAGAATTTCTTTTTCTTTCTACTTCTTGCCACACATTGATGTGAACAAGCCACTTGAAATGTTGTCACAAAGGTAATCGAAAATAATCATTTAATGAATCGAGGTTGTAGGGTGCAGAGATATAATCCAACTGGTGGGCTTTCCGCCTTTGTTTTTCTGTTTCAGATCAGAATATGTGTTGAATATCAGAACGAAGAAGAACAAACAACACTTGTTTTTTCAAGATGAAATATTCGTTCGATGAGTTCACAATAATCGACTTTTTGCTCGCTCTCGTCAATATTGAAATGTAAAAACAAAGTCCATTCGATAAAATAATTCGTTGTTTATAACCAAAACGAAAAAGATCATTTTCTTTTTTATGATAGTCTTTTTCTATGAAAATTCACGCAAGAAAGATTTATGAAGTCAATTGTTTTCCCCTAATTTCACTCTTTTTTTATTATTTTGCCCTTAAATTGAAATCAATATTAAGAAAGTGATTTTGAAAACCATGGAATAGGCCAACAATTATTTAACAATGGCGGTCGCGAAAAATCTCACACGGGTTTTAGCAGAATATGATGAGTTGTTAATTTATTTTAATTTAATTAATACAAAAGAACTTTTTCAAGAGTCGAAGTCACTTTCGTGATATTTTCTGATGATTATCTTGAGTAAGTATTTATTTGTATAAGTTGCTTTTTTTAACAAGCAGTGTTGTTTAATGTGTGAATGAGTTTTCGTATAGATGTCGCGATCTCTTCTGAGTCGACGCGGAAATGAAGACTATGAAGTCCAGACGGATAACTAAACGGAAAAGTTTGAAATGAGATATGAGGAAAACAAAGGTTGCTACGTACAAAAATATAAATCGTGTGCAGATTAAATTCGGATCTTGTATTGTCCAAATATCTGTTGAATGTTTTTTATAAACTTCAGGAGAATTTATAACTACAAAATATCGAAATAATCAGTGAAGCTTGTGTTTCTTTTCCTTCGTACTTTCACACAAAGCGATGCAGGACCAATTTTGTTGATCTAATGGTTGAATCTAGTTGACCAATATTCGTTTCTTATCAACGATAGAAGCATTTCACTTTACTTTTTCCTCCGGATCATAAGTCGAAGTATTGGGATTACTACGATACATTGCACGGGACCATACATATGATGCAGAAAATTCGAAACTGGGCGAAACATAAATCCCTGCACCGTATGCAGCACCGTTAAGCTAGTTAAACAAATCGAACGAAACGAAGTTATTAAAAAGGAAACTTACTAAATAACCACCTTTACCAATTTGTAAACCGGAGCGAAGAATGGAATGCCAATTTTCTTGCGGGGAACCGTGAAAGGCGAATATACTTCCAACTTGAGCTCGTAAGTTTTTAAAATTGACATGTTTAGTCAGGTCTTCATGTTTAATAAAGTATTGATGCTCAGTGTGAACTTGTGTCAGTTGATGTTCGGTAGGAATGCGTGAGAAATGATAACGATTGGTTCCCATTAACCTTATCAACAAGAAAAATGTTAATTTTCATCTTAAGAATCAACTATGATCGTTACCAATGGAAGAATGAAAATGCCCATGGATGTTTCAATTCCAGCATACTTCGCAAAGAGATTTTCACCGCTTCATATTGTGTAATCGACTTCATTCTCATAATATCATCGACAATTTGTCGCAATATAACGACATTTGCATCTTTCTAGAGAAGAAAAAAATATATTTACAAGAAAAAACGAGCCAAAAGTGTGAGTCTTCTATATACGTCTCCATGCTCATCGATTAAGGTAGTGGATGTATTGTAGGGGTTAATTAGTTTTGGATATGGATCGAGAATCAATGCATGACGCCCAGAACGAATCGCGGCCGAAACGAGTAAAAGGAGAAAATCAGCAATCTGAAACAGAATTTTCCATAAATTCGCTCACATGCTTGAGAACAACTCACTTCAATAGAGAAGATCGACGGTGGAAGTGGATCATTGCGAAATTTTGAATCCATTGCATTGCTAAAGCATTCATAATCACTACAGATCATCGGCTAAAGAAAGGAACACGAATTTCTTTCATTGTCTCCAAATCATTCCTCTCACTTTCAAGGCTTTCTTCGTGTCTCGATCGATTGTTCGTTTACCACACATGACACACAATGTATTGAGGTTTTTCAAACGATAAATAATATATTTACAAAACTATAACAAACATTCTCATTTGCTGCTGTTCGAAAAGTCGTTTTTGTCATACCTGAACGAAATGGCCGTGGTAGAGTGATGGTAAATGTTTTTCATCGAGGAGATCGTAATGTTGATCGACATCTAACGGTTGAATTCGAGGAGCTTTGATCAATTCTAGTTTTCGAGCAATTCGTTTTTCATTATCGAGAATTTCATTTGCAACCGAATCATTCAGAAGCGTTTCATCGACTGCATCACCCAATAATTCACGATAACTCTCTTGTTTAATCTTCGGAATGATCTCTAAGCTAAAAATACGATCAATTACCTTTGGATTTCGCCAAGATTAATGAATACATACAAATACTTCAGACGTAGTTTCGAATTCAGAGCAGCGCGAGAGTATGTTAACTTTTCCATAGTGATTGCTGCTTTTTCAAAGAAATCGCGAACGAGTCTAAAGAATGGAAGGAAGACTTCAGGTGAAATGTTCTGCTAAGACTTACCGTTCGATGAATGGAACTTTGCATGCATAAGCAGGATGACAGCTACAGGTTTGAAAGACGTGTTCAACAATAACTAAAACAAAATAACACTAAATTCGATAAGATCTGTGGATTAACCTGGATTAGTAGAACAGGCCAATGAGGTAGTGAGCTGATAGGGTTGAATATCATATTACATGTTTGATCATGTTCGCCTTTGGTTATGAAGGAATTTATCAAAACAGTCTTTAGAATCTTCTGTGAGTTGAGAATCAACTGTAGTCCACATCAATAGAAGTACTATACTCAAGCGGAATTGTCATGAAACAGAAACCTGTTGATTTCAATGACGTCAAGCTTGTCATACTTAAGAACACGCGTGTTTTTTTCCCAACAGTAGGTAAGATTTTTATGACGAAATTACATCAAGTTTTGTACAGACCTTTTTCTTCGAGATAACATTTGCTATGAACCAATATGTGACAAGTTAACAGTGTTTTATTACAAATCTGCCATTGACATGCCGTTTCCCCTTCGATAAAATCCGTAAAGAATTGAAATATGATTCGCAATAATCGTGGATTCTCTGTATCGATTCTACAGAAACAAAGTGCATCCACTGAGAATTTTTCTTAAATAGATTATTTACTGATATGATGCACCGGCTAACTCTTCTGGTGGAACTTGTGTGAATATATCGTTGATATCATCTAATAACAATGGGTGAAGATCATAGTCGGGATGCTACGAGAAAATAACGTTTCTTTCGAAAGTCTTTCGAAATAATTTTCACATACTGCACTTGTGGTGGTGTCGGGGACTGAATTGGTATCATTGGTCGCTGAATTTTGCATTAACGCTTCGTCGTCGTCATCATCCAAATGAGGCTCGTCGTAGAATTCATCATCTTCTTCGTATTGATCTTCATCAGTGATATCTTCGTTCTGCTCGACCTCATATATAGCTCCCTCACTTCCAAGAATATGCTCGCCATTTGACGAAACCAATATATTATTAACGAAATTTTGTGCACGATTTTCACTTGCAGCTATGGATGACATTCTCAGGTAGATGTAAAGCGTGCCGGTAAAAGAAATGACTAATCGGTACGCTGTTTAAATACGGGAAGAGGAGAAACAGAAAGAGTATAAGTTGCAGCGAACAGACGGTCAATGGATATGGGAAAAAGCATATTAGACGTTGCTGACCTCTACTTGGAAATTTTCTTTTTTATTAAACAAACTTCACAGGAAAATTTCGTCTTGAAGAAAATAATTCTCTAATTTTAATTTAACTAGATGGGAAATTTTTCTTGACGTCATCCACCAACCGACCAATGCAATACAAGCTTCTGTCTCTTTCGATATTTCGTGTTTTTTTTATAGAAATTAAAACCAAGTCTGATGCAATTCGCCCGCAATTACTCATGACTGTTTTTTTTCAATGACGAACATGTATATATACCAAACTTTTACACCATTGTTATTTATTTCGTAGATTATTTCGATTAATATTAGGAAAAAATGAGTAAATCTGGTGCAAATTTCGGAGGTACAGTTGGTTGGGACGAACAAACCGTGATTGGTAAGACAAAACTTTGGATTAAGCACAATCTTGCACAATTTTCTTCTTAGGTAAACGTGCGCCACGTACCGGTGACTTAAAATCGGAATCAGCTATTGCTGCTGCAGAGCGGGCAGGTGTTGCTATAGATACATCGAAAAAGTACGCAGCTGGTCACAACAAGCAGCATGAGGCAGCAAAAAACACCGCCATATTGGATCGCGAAACCGAAGAGTTACATCACGATAGAGTCAACAAAGATGTGTCACGTACTATTCAACAAGCACGTGTAGCCAAAGAATGGACACAAGCTGATTTAGCCCGAAATATCAACGAAAAACAACAGGTTATCAACGAATATGAACAAGGTAAAGCAATACCAAACCAACAGGTTTTAAGCAAAATGGAACGGGCATTAGGAGTGAAGCTACGTGGAAAGGACATCGGTGAACCACTTAGTACCGGACCAAAAAAGAAATAAGAAGGCCGAGATTTGAACGGATCTTTTTGTCTTTTTTGCTCGCCTTGTATAATTATCCGTTTTCATTTCTTTTTGACTTTTTGTGGTGATTTTTCTTTTTCATCAGTAAAAGTGGATATCGAAAAGATTTATTCTCATATCAACTCTTACTTTGTAGATCGAAAGGGTTCTCTCAGATATGTTTTTGATTTCCTTTGAAGTATGGATCCAGCAGATGATTTAAAAGCTTTTGAACGTCGAATGACAGAGATTATTTCTTCTCTTCGACCATCAACATGGCGTTGGCGACTTCTTTTTGTCGTTCTTATTTTAACAAATCTTATAACACTTTCGAATTGGATCTGTGATTTTACGTTTTCTCCTTTCTTCAAACCATCACTCACCACGCCAGTATCACTATCCGAACTACGAACAACTCCACTCAATGATCTCTCATCCTCCTATTTATTCCCGTGCATTTCGAAGATTCTTCGTAAAGATATTGCTTTTTCCATTTCGTTTAGTTTGTTGATATTTGCATTTCTCTTCGGAATCCATCGGAAAATTTTCGTATCATCAATAATGATTACGAGAATTCGTTCGATTCTCAACGATTACAACATGTCCTGTGACACTGACGGTCGTCTAATATTAAAACCTCGTCCACTCGCATACTTTCATGCAGAATTTTGACAAGATTTGAATTTGGTTTTGTGATTATTTTCTAATGGTGATATTATTTTATATAATTTTTAACAGTTTTCTGCTCGTTTTATTTTTGAAATTATTCTATAAAATATTCGGTTTAATGGAAATTCGTCTAAGACTGAAACTCAAAATCTCTCTCTCTCTCCGATGATCTTACGTTAACAGAATCAACTTCGACGATATGGATCCAATGCACCACAAATCGGACTATGTTGATATATTTTAGATAGGATATGAGATCAAAATGAGTTCCAATGACTTGACCGATCGAAAATATTATAGTTTATATGTGGGAAGCATATCGCCGAATATCCGTCGCAAACAATTGTGTGATTATCTTGAACAATACGGACGAGTTGATCAATGCCAATGGTTTGAAGCTAATTATCGACGATGTAATTGTTTTGCGTTCGTCCTAATGAATACTCCGGACTCGATCAATCGATTGATGGCAACTCGACCACATGTTCTTGACAATCGCCGGTAATGATGATTGATTAACAGTGATTTTCTTGGAAGTTTGTTTAGATTGTATTTAAAACGTGAACTGCCGGAGCAATGTTCGAATAAAGTCGAACATTTTCTCACGACTGAAAATGTGTTAATTCAGTTTAAACATAATCAAAATGGACAAATCAACGAACCCGATTTTAATGAAGAAAATATTCGAAATTATTTTCAAACCTATGGGCAAATTCTTAGTTTATGTCTTTTAAAAAATCATCGATGCGTTATCGAATATAAGGATTATGGTAAATATCATTCGAAAATCTGTAGAAGCTCACTATCATTTTGCCAACGAAATTCCTAAGATCTACATCTAACGCTTGACAAAAAGAAGTCATTTCCTTTTTAGATTCCGTCGATTGTATTCTTCTCGATTGTCCACACTATTTCAATTCTCATGAACTCGAAATTGACAAATATTATACTACAGAACAATTGAAGCATATCGAGCGTTTGGTTACAACTACGCCCGAGACGCCTGACTTGAGCGCTGGTATCGATGAAGAACATGTCGAACACGTTTTACGTTCCCGTCGTTATTTGAACATGCGTATACGTTTGTTGAAAGACTCGATATTCTCAGTCGGTGTAGCGAATGAGATTAAATTAGAAACAATTCAACGTGGCTTTCAAACAACAATCGATCGAAGGAAAGAATTACTAGATCAAATTCAACAATTAAATAAACAATGTCAAATTTTACACGAGAGAAATCAAAGTCTGAAGGAAATGAACGATAGTCGAATGGCAATCAATGAAAACTTGGATAAAACTTATCAGGAGCAGCTTCGCGAAGAACAGGCGAAACAAGACGAATGGAAACAGAAGATCGCAGCGTTATAAATTTCGTTTGTTTTGCTTTTCTCTTCGTGAATTGTAATATTAAACATTAATTTATTCGTTTATCGACACGTGATGTCAGATGTACATTTTCATGAAAGAAATTAAACAGCATTGAAATCAAAATAAAATAATCGAACGAGAAAATGTTTTGAAACTGCGAAATTTGATTTTAGACTGACCAGAATCGGCATGGAGAAAATTCGTATGCGTGATTTACGTCGAATTTTTCAAAACAAATACGTTGTTTTTATGGGTGATTCCAATATGCGCTCGATTTATAAAGATTTCATTCTCCTTCTCCAGGAAGATAAAGAACTAATCGACTCAGATCGAAAAGCCGGTGGAAATAAAGAATCTATTTGTGGTAAATCTTTCTTCATCTGAAGTCAAATCCTTTCTTCTCGGCGTTTTTGTTTAGGTGATACTTTGTTAGAAGGTGGAGTGTACAAAAGCCTAGGAAGTGGAATTGAGTACGAAGAAAAACGTGTTTTCCTCGCAAATATATTTCTCGTGAAGTTCATTTTCTTAACTCGGTAATAACGAATACATCGGAATGAGTTTTCGATTTCAATTTCAACATTGTTCAGATGTCAAAACGATGTAGTCACACGGACTTTCGAAGAATTTCGACGTGACACAGAAAAACCCGATTTGGTCGTTATTAATAGTACGTTATGGGATATAAGGTAATGCAAAGTGGTCAACAATGAGAAGAAAATTTTGTTTTTGATGTTCAAGTCGTTATGGTACGAATGGAGAAGCGGATTTCAAGAAAAATGTACCTATTTGTTTGGATGAATTACGTGCAGCGACATCGCCAACGACAATTCTTCTCTGGTTAACCGCATTGCCGATATCCGCTGAGCCGAGTGCAGCCGTATTCGATGAAAAATGTCTGGTTTTTCTGTTTCGACATGACTGATGAACTACGAATCAGTGTTTAGATCGTCCGGAGAACAAATATTGGCGAACACAATTCCTCCACATCAATGCTTTCTCCGCTGAATTAGCAAAGAAGAAAAACTGTGAAGTTCTCGATGTTCATTATCTATTTCGGCAACATCCGGAAATGAGAGATACTGACGGGTGTCACTGGAATGCCAATGGCCATCGAATGATCACATCTTATATGTAATTCGATTACTTTGATAAGGAAAACAATTGGTTTTCTTGTGTTTCCTTCAGTGCTCAAACTGTCTCTCTTATTTGGCATGTTCCATATATTGATCGTACTGTGATCGATCATAAAGAACGTGAATTGCATCACATATGTTATCGAAAAGTGAATGAATACAACGATGATTCAGTAGTAAATATTCTTACCGGCGAAAATAACGGCGGTGTTACTGATTTTGATCTGAACGTTTATCTTGCTGATCATGTACCAGTGAACAACGAAAGTTCGAACGGACAATTTCCAGAAAGAGTCGGAGCAATGATCGGACAAATGAATGAAACCGATCGACGAATTCTTAATCTCATGGATTACTATGAAAAACAATGAAAGCAATCGCACTTCATTTTCTTTTCTTGTTTATGTAATGAATGGCTGTCAGATGTACACAATGTATGAAATGCGTTTGTATTATGAATGAAACATATTTAGCATTTTCTTTGCTCGATGAATTTTGACTTGTAGATAGATTTGTGTGGGTTATGTCAAAATTTAAGACATAATTCATCGGATTGAACTTTGAACTTAGAGGATAATGAAGATTAATGTTGCATGTACGACATAGATGATTATATCACGTCATTTTAAAATAGAAAGCAGAAGGATCGGTTTTAGCGCGCAACGTACCGAGAGGAGTTTAAAGGTTCGAAGAACTTGTTGAATAATGAAGGCATTCATAGTGTTAAAAAGATCGGTCGAGAAAACATCTTCATTCAGACACGTGAGACGAATACGCGTGACAACTGAAAGGTGTCCAACAAGAAGCAAACGCTGTGATGTGCAGAAAGGTGAAAGTGCGAAGAAAAATATTTGCCCTATACACGCGCATTTTGATTAACACACATAATATTGTGAGTGTGCACTGTTCTCGGTTCTATTCGAGTCCTTTGTCCAATGAGTCTTTTGAATTGTTTGATAAATGTGTCTTTGCAATCTCGACGGAATGCTTTGGCAGCAAGAACGTAAATGAAAAACGTTGATGCCGGATTAAGATAAATCAAAAATGAGCCCGCTATAAAGTTTAAAAATGTTTCAATCTGCTGCTGGCTGATGGATTTCGCACGGCCATCTATAATTGATAGGTAAAGGGTCATTGCCGGATACATTCCAGTTGTAATTACATAAATAATCACTTGACTTAGTAGCATAGCCATAAATGCATTATCGCGTTTCGTATTAACTCCAGCGGCATGTAATCGTGTGAGAAGTTCACGACGATGTCGCATTGTTAATATACTAAACATCGACATGAGAACTGGAGGGAGTATACCAGCAACGACGGTTGAGTACGACGCATAGATTATATCGTTTATTCCTGGCATATAGCATTTATTTTGAATATATTGTTGTAGAAATGGAATATGAATTGTAACAAGAGGCCAAATGATAATGTGTGCAAGACTAACTCGAACAGCTATTTTCGTTTGACAGAACGACCGAAGTCGAGTTGAATGGGAGCATAACGCATAGCGGTCGAAGCAAGCAACGACCACCAATGATCGACCAATCATCAAAATTGTATGAATTGTGTATAATCGAAGTTTACAGTAGACTACAGAGTATGTTGAGGGATCAGTATGATCCAAAATGTAAAGCGATGGTATAATACCCCAAAGAATTGATAAAATATTGATAACTGATGCTGTAAGTAGGTAGAGAGAGCACGAATTACGAAGAGATTCTCTTCGAGCAAACATCAATACATTGATCAGATTGCCAATCACACCGAGAACTAAGAATGTGCTCATTCCATATCGAGTCATGGATACGCGTACATCAACTAAAGACGGACTCATATTTACACTTTATCGAGTTAGGTGATAATTTGACGAGAAACTAATGAATAATATTAGTAGACAGACGATACGTGAGAGAAGAAAAGTCATTTCATCGCTATGTTCTTTTCCTCCAATTATCTTGATTAACTTTTCTTACGGATGGATCTGTGAGAAAAAGTCTTTTGATTCGTCATGATCATTTGCTGAGCCACAGAAATGTAAGGTAAGATTAACGTCATAATATAATCTTCTATGTGAAATCTGTATTCTCACTTACTTATTAAAGATATGTGTCAATCCGAGTTATTCTAATATTAATTATTATATCTTTCATCTCCTTCGTGCTTCCATAAAAGTCCACTAGCAACAGAAACCGCGGCCTTCTCCAGGTACGACCGAACGCTTTTACCTCAGTCATGCTCCGGTCACATCGCCGAATGTTTTGATACATTATCCTCAATGATAAATTCTGACTTTTGAACTTCAACAACACTCTCGCGACATTTTCAAACATCTTTATTGATTTTTTCTTGAAGCCTTACATATGATAATCGAAAAGTGAAGTCAACTATCGAAATATTCCGTAGTCTAATTACACGCGTCAAGTGATGATTTACGAGAGATTGTATGAGAGTAAACCTATTTTATTTTCACACGAAGGACATTATCAATTCTTTAATCGAATAATCAAGATGTACCTGTGACTATTTCGTAATGTAAATCTATTTTCAATAATCTTGTTCGAATGATTCGAATTCTATCGATCTATTGATACTATTTACTGACAAAAAAGATGATTACTTTGAAAAGTAACTCAACGAACAAGGCTGTAGAACAGGTGACATTGGCCATGAGGAGTGACAACAAATGAAAAAGAACAAATATGCCGTTGAAAAAAAAAGAAATGAAATCAACATTATTCTATTCGAGTTTTTTCTATCATCGATGACATTGTCATCTATTAGTTTCCTCATTGTACTCTTCGTTTTGCAACTGAAACTGCCCTTGATTTCTTCATACGATCGTACTATCACATGTGGTTGTTCAGATAAATCTCAACTACAGTCGAAAATTATCGGCGGACAAACTGTTCGCACGCGAACTTGGAGTTGGGCTGTGTCTATTCGCGTTCAAAATCGTTTTCAATGCGCCGGTTCCATTCTAACCAGTTCATGGATCTTAACAGCAGCTCATTGCTTTTCATTTACTAATAGCCTAGGAGTCAACACAATTCGAATCGATCCTTCGCTTATCACCGTACACGCAGGTTCAAATAATCGACTCGAAGATAACCAATATCGTCGGGCGATTGACATCTTCTCTCATTCTCAATTCGATCCATTAACTTATCTCAATGATATTGCGTTGATTAAGGTATCAACACCTTTCGATATGACTGATATCACGTTAGGCCAGATATGTTTACCCAATTCATCTTCGAATGACTATCCACTCACGAACACTTCCGTATGTCAATACAGAATATTTTTTTTATCTCAATGCTAATTTTGTCTTCTGTTAGCTCGTTGCTATCGGATGGGGCCGATTATGGCAAAATGGACCGGAATCATTAACATTACAGCAAGTGATTCTGAAAGCTATTGCAGCCAAACAATCCAGTTGTTCTCCGTTAGTTACCGATTCATCAAAACAACTGTGTGCTGGTGTTGAAAATAGTCGAAAAGGTAACAAAATCTTGTCTTTCTCAAACAAGATCGAATCTCTTCTTCAGATACATGTCAAGGTGATTCAGGTGGTCCGCTGATGCTTTTTACAGCTAGCCAACAATGGGTTATCGTTGGTTTGACGTCCTTTGGTTACGGATGTGCAATTCCACAATATTCTGGTGTGTACACACGGATCTCCGCCTATGTCGATTGGATAAAGCAATTTATCAATATGACTGATACTTCGTTATTTCCAAATTCTTCAGTTGCCTTTAATCTCTACAATGATGGTGATCTCGAATGGATATTCAATCGTTCGTTTCACTGTTGTATATCTCTGCATTTACTTATATTTCTATGGATGATTCTCATGCTTTAAATTAAAGTGATTTGAAACGATTTTTGTCGTACAGAGAAAAATACAGCAAAGTTGCTTCTTTTGCATTCGATTATTTTCATATTCAAGGAAAAGACAGATTACAAGAAATGTTCTTTTCTCCGTACATAGACATGTAGACTGGCAAAAAAAAACAGTGACTAAAATATAGATAGAAAATGAAACAGATAGTATAAAAAAAGTGACAAATACACAATCATCTCGTTGGATCATTCTCACGATGATCATATGGAGTTTTTAGTAGACGCAATTCATCTTCGAGTATACGTATACGATTGTCCTTTAATGCCAACAGTTCACGTAAAGATTGAATTTCTTCTTGTTGTTTCAAATAAACTTGCCGATACTACAAAGAATAGAAATAAACATGTGCAAAGTAGTTCGATCGGTATTTGTACTAACGTCAAGGCCATTTATTTGTTGTGAACTAGGTAAATGATGGCCATTGCCATTAGTATGGTGAGGTATCTGCTGCTGATGTTGTTGTTGTTGCTCAGGCGCGTCAACACTCCAGACTTTTTTCTTAACTTCAAAATTACGACGGTTTGAAGTATTATTATTATTCGACGAGGATTGTTGGTGTTGTTGCTGCTGCTGTTGTTGGCTGATCTGGTTTTGAAATTTATCTCTAGAGAGAAATAAAATTTTAGTATGGAATCAACAGAAGCTAATTCAATCAAATATACACAACAAACAATGGTAAGGGTAAGAGAAAAAGGCACATTTCATTCCATGCGTGGATCGTTTCATTACACAATGGAACTACCTCTCCGACGTGTGAGTCGTTTTCTGATCACGAATCATTGATTGAACTGATCGAACGCCAGGTCTTTGTAAAGGTACAGAGGCCGATGAAGTGTAAATCGGTTCTTCGTGTGCACGAGGTTGTGTCGCAGGTGGTTGTGACCTCCGTTTTAGAATAGAACCACTTGGACGTAGCGGATGTTGTTGTTGTTGTTTATGCGATTTTTGTGGTGTAGGTAATATTGAATAGGTGTTGGAAAGATTCTCAATAGATGATGATGTATCATCGTCTGCATTATGTTTGAACTCATCATTATCTGATACCAATGATGAAAGATCCGGTGTTGATCGAGCATGACTCAACTTTTTTGACGGTGAAACAGTCTTCGATGGTGACCGAAGTGTGCTAGTGGCATCCTTATTGGTTGGTGGTGGAACAGCAACTGGTTTCGGAGAAATCATCTTACGCTCTGGTGGTGCTGGTGGTAGTAAAGGAGGAGGGAGAACAGATGGTGCTGATACTGGAGGAATGACCTCGTCACTGTAAAGAATGAAATCAATGTTCGAAAAGGACGAAACGAAAATTAAGATTTGAAAATGCATCTAGATGTTCTAATTAAATGATAAAAGCGTGGGTGAACTCTCGAACCTGGGATTTAATAAAATACCACAGGAGCTTGTGCGTCCTAAACGACGCATAGCTGCAAAAGTACGGCGTTGTTCAACAGCTGATTTTCTTTCCTCTTTTTTACTAATATTACATTGAATAGAATAAGATTTTCTCAAAATTCGCCTTCAAAAAAACCAAACAGACTTCTTACCTAACGTTATTGAATTCAACACTCGTCGCGGGCATTTTCAACGATTCGATCTTTCTTAAACCTTTACTTGCTGGATTTAGATGTGGCTGAGATTGTGACATCGACATTGACATTTTCTCGATTGAGATCGGTGATGGCGGTGAATGATCAGCTGGAGTTTGTTTCGGTGTAGGCGCAACTTCAGCTATGGGTGGTTGGTTGGTTCGTGACATTGTTCCCCGATGTGAAAGAACAGGCGTGGTTGATGTCGAATCAAGTGTGCGATACGTTGTGATTTTCGGCATGTTTGTTCCTTCGATTCGATCTTTCATTGATACGAGAATAGGATCGCGGTCGATGCCGGAAATCCATTCATCGGGCGTTAAGGCTGGATAAGGACCTGGTGTATCAGGGTAAATATCTAATTGAAATGCTTCAGCTTTGCGTGGAACTAAAAACAAAACGTTTTCGAGAAAAAAAAACGAAGTTGGCCGACGAGAAAATCTAACCAATCATTGAAATCGGCTCGCAAACAGATCCAGTGGCGAATAATTTATAAAAACGCATAATTTCGTTACGTGTCACATCGAGGCCTATCTTCGGCATTACACCTTTGAAAAACAACAAATCAAATAAACTTCATCAATTTCATTCTCTTACCAAGACAACGTTGAGGTGATGATGATTTATATTCCGAAAGAAAATATAAGTACGGATCACCTTGATCATTAACTTCGTAGTAACGAATATTTCCATCACCCTGAAATGTTCATCTCATTCTACGAAAATTTCGTACAAACTCACAATGTTACTCACTTTTCCTGCTAAATAAACTGTACGAGTATCGTGATCATAATATGGAATAAGAGCACCGGCACTGAAGTCAACTGTTTCGACTGTTAACGGTTTAGACAAGTCATTCTAAATGATATTTTTATTTTTTGTTTTATTTAACACATACTATCAGTGCAATTCTTACCGCGTTCCAGATCGATATTTGTCGTTCAAATTGTTTACCAAAACCCGTGGATAAAAGACGATTTGTCTCACCTAGAAACACAACTTTCGATGTTTTTGGCCCTTGGTGACCAATTCCTTTCTATCAAAATCGAAGAAAACCAATAACATGTCAAACGAAATCAAATCGTGTCATTGATTCTTACTGTAATAACTCGACCCGTTCGAGGATCAATCACACGAATATGTTTATCTTTACAAGTAGTTGCAAATAGCGAACCATTTCGATTCCACGATATCGATTGAATCGCATCTGGATGACAACGATATACTTGAATAGGTTCCGCTCGTTCAACATTCCATAAAACGACTTGATGATCAAGGCCAGCACTTAAAATGAGATTTTGCGCAGTCGGATGCCATTCAATGTAATCAACGCGTCGCTGATGCCCATGTAGATCGACCTTCCATTGGTAGGTATCAGCTTTGAGACCATCGTTTGGTATGTACCACACTTTAACTGTTCCATCGTCTGAACACGAGGCGATTTCATTGTCATTGAATGGATTAAATTTCAGATCAACGACCGGACCACGATGACCAGTTATACGCGGATGATCAACATCGACACGACCGACCTAAATTAAATAAAAAGGATCATGAGAAAACAGATTAAGACGAGATCAAATTAAAACAAACTTCAGTAAGAAGAATAACGAGAAAACTACCACCACCAGATGTTTCAGTGACAATGGCCAAGAATTTCGAATTCACCGCACAGAAACTTCCATCATGTGCGTTTCGTGTAATCGGGATATTTTTATAGCAATCTTGTTCACGGTACGGCGAACCGAAGACATGTCGAAATTTTGAGACGCGAACCTTGAAGGGCATCTAAATTAAAAAATGAAATCGATATGGCGTCTTTCAACAGAATCTTGTATAAACAAAACAACGCAAATCAAATCTTATTTTTTTCGTCATTTACTCTTCCGTTCTGTTAATGTTTCTCGTCGATGTCTCACATTTGCATTCATGCATGTTCTACAACTAGGTACGTATGTGTGTGTGTTAATCTTTTTATCGCATATACAGGAGTGAGCTCTGAAGACAACGTTCAACTGAACGTGAACGTGTGAGAAAGGACTGATTATGTCGACGTGTATGAACGATGAGAAAAAAAGAAAAAACGTCCTGTTTCAAGCTGATGATGTATAAAAAGTTCTATTCTCCTATTAATTCAATGTTAGACCAGAGATGGTAGAAAGAGAAGAGAGAGAAAAAACGAAGAGAACGACGAAGTTTGAAGGGTATAGATAGACGAGTTCAACCATCATCATTAACAATACAACACAGACATATGAAGAATACAAAATAGTGTCCCTATTGGGTTCACAAGTAGTCATTGCAAAGAATATATTTATCAGAGTAGTTTTTTTCGCTTTCTTACATAACTTTTCTTCTCAGTAACAAACTCGAGTTATTCAAGACAGTCTATTGAACTCCGCAAAAAACGCAAGAAATAATATTTCCTATCTAGTAAATGTTCAGCCACAGAAGTACCGGTTTCTTTTCTCCTTCTTCTTTCCTTCTTCTTCTTCTTCTTTTCTTCCATGCCCTCGCAATGGGATGGAGTAGGGTTAAACATGCGTTCATTCATCAAAAGGAACAGAAGGGAGAAAAAAAAACGTGAAGAGAAGAAAAAGAGAAAGGACAGTGCCTATATGTTTTAAAAAAACAATATAAATCAAAAGAAAATCAGTCCTTTTTCTCAACTGTACTTTCAGTAGTTCATTGTAATAACAATAAACCTTCTGTTGGACATGACCAGGTACACTCTTTCATCAATTGTCGATTGACCCGAGTAAAAGAAATCTTTGAAAGTGCTTATAGAAACAATTACACTTGAATACTTCGCTCTAAGATCAATCAATAAAAAAAAGAAAAATATTCCAAATCGATGTTTAAGAAGTCAACACACGTCAATGAAAGCGAGAAAATGTGAGCCAGATGGGCTTCTAACTGAGCAATCTACTTGTAATTGAATTTCAACTGTCTCTGTCTCTTCTAGGCATAATTCGATTATTAGATAGAGCCTTACTTAAAATTGTCATTTGAACAAAGATGAGAGGGAAGTAATGAATGTGAATTATTCGAGAGTTTTACCTTAAATTCCGTTTCATTGATATCCATTAATGAAGGATTAGCTAACGCTGGTTTCTCGGACATCACCATTCGTTTCATTTGAATATTATTCATTACAGGTACAGACAACGATGGCATGGTTAAATTTTATTGATGTAGTGTGAATGAAAGTGTGATATTGAACGACTCGACCGTCCAATGAAGAAAGAAAAAAGTGTCTCTTGAGGTTTTGCCTTTCGCTGTCTCTCTCACTCACTCTCTTTTCAAAGCAAACATATCACTCCACTCGTTTTTTCCCCTTCCGTATGCATAGTACAATGGTATTGTCATTGTGAAATGAGATAGCGGAAGTGAGCATTTGTCACACATAAAACAAGGGACAACATTGAAGTTGTACGAAAGCAGATGCTTGCTTTTCTTTTTGTTTCGCATCGATCACATCTCCTTGTCTGGGTAAACAAGATGAGTGACATTGAGTTCATACATTCATTTCTTTGGCCTTCTTGTGAGAGATCACGTTCGGAAATTGTTGATTACATGCAAGATTTACAAAGTCGTTTCGTGCGGTACTTCATATAACGTAATGAATTTCTTTTGTGCCTCGAGAGACGAAACAAACACGTAATATTGTATTTTCTTACCTCATTCTCGTCGGTGGCCATTCTCTGATAGATTAAAAGGAAGCAATCGACGAATGATATCTAGAACAAGAATAAATGACATAGCGCAACATCCTTTGAGTATTACAGATGTTCTTATTTTCTTCTGTCTATGCCATCTAAAGTACCCAAAATATATATAAAGAGTGAATGGACTGTCGCAGAAAGTATTTGGTGCCATTCGTTCTGACGAAGGAAAAACGTCAATATTTGCCACTCATATAGAATACGTTTATCTCTTGCTGATAATTTGTCGCTTAGTGTGTCAACAACATCGATTGACATTTTACAGTTCGGAGAAGAAAACAACTTTTCCTTTGCATCTCTGAAGTTTAAATCTGTTGATGTTAGCTCTATTCACAGTATGGGTCAACTATTCTCTACTTTTTGGACTGATCTCAGGAAAATAACGCATATGATAAATGAAGAAGAAGAAAAAAGAAAAGAATAGGGAGATAGAGATAGGGAGAGAGAGACAGAAGAAAAGATGTGCTGCTAGTCAAAGTATAAGACCACCATTATTTATTTCAGCTGCTGTTTTTATCTCTTTCCTGTCGATACGATCTCCTTGTGTTGCTTTCACTGAATACATAGAGTAGTTGGAATGATGATATTCTCTGTAAAGAAACAGACGAAGGAAAGGAAGAAGAAAAGGATATTTGTACATTATTGTAAGACGACTAAGAAGGAGAAAAACGATCAAGAAGAACATATAAACAATAACTTTGAACATTTTTAGTCTAATGCGTGCTTATCTGACTTTTCTTGCTCGCTTTGAACAGTTCTTGCTTATTCTGCTCTGAGAAATGTTGAACACGCGTATTCTCTGATGTATAAGTCGAGTACGATCTATGCAATGTAAAGAAAAGTATTTAATAATTATCTGACATATCTTTCGTAATCAAATCTCGTTTCATTAGTAATGCTCGAGTTTTTTTTTTCGTAAGTAAATAACTTGTTATTCTCAAATTGAAGTGCTTTGGAAGGATCTAACCGATCAAATGACTGTAATGATTATATTCCATCTTTTCTTGTAATTAGGCGTTTCCTATGTTTTTGTTTTCATATCTTCTGATAGGTTTGATGAATAATCGCGGATATCAGAGAAGAATAAGATGACGTCACACAGGAAAAAGAAAACGAGAGAGAGTTTATCGAGGATAAAGACCCGATATCTAAATGTCGACAAGCTGTCACCCTTTGATCACAATCAATATTATTTAATTTCAAGGTTAAATACACAGATGATGTCTATTAAACGAGCAAAAGAAATTTCTCGTTCCTATATTTGGTACTTTAATGTTCTATTTCTAGACGAAATGAGAAAGAACATAGTTTAACCTTGATAGCTTGATCCAATTGCATCCATTTGTTTCACAAGGGGATATAAAAGTCATTCCGCACGGTTCTCGATTATTGTTCAAAGTTAACCGTCGACTGTATCTTAATGATATTTTCGTTGTTGATATGCTTATTCATGTAAAAATGCATAAAAATTGCACAGCATGATCAATTAAATGATGAATAAGGGCGAATACTCACTTAGACGGAAGTACGAGAGCCTGTCCACGTAAAACGTGATTCCGTCACGCTGCATTGATTGAATGGTTTACGAGGAGCGCATTCGTAGGATCCAATGATCTTATAGTTTTATACAGTTGATTGTACTTAACAAAATCTGGTATCGGACAAGTGAAAATAGTTTTCTGTACATTCAAAACAACGTGACGGAATCACCTTGCTCCGTGGACAGACTGATGAATGGTAATAATGTAGTGTTTGTGAGACATCATAGAAATTGCGAAGTTATTTATTATTAAACATAAATTATTTCTTTTTTTTATTGCTGGAAATGCATCAAAGAGATTATTTGACTTTGTTACTTATCGGATGACGTTTACAACATGAGACAGATGGATTTCGCTTTTTTTGAGAGAAGATTTCTCCGATAAAGCATTGTGCTAATTGATAGAACAAACGAATCATTAGCTGCACCAGTTTTGATAGATAGAAATACTCGTTATATTGGCAACATTTGGTAAACTATTTCACAGATAAAATATGAGGTAAAAAGACATCATTTTGTTATTTTTTATTCTCCGTTCGTTCTTTTCGTTGACACGTAGCATAGATGTTGTGAATATAAACGACAGAAGCCCATATTCACCAATTTTTTTGTACTCTGATTTATTATGGCAAAAAATTTTAGGTGTAAAGAATATTGAATCGTTTCTCTTTCGTTTCGTTCCGTTTATTGTATATTTTACATGTTAATAACTAGACCACGTCAAATACGACTGGAGTGATCGACTGCATCCTTTGATATTAGAAACCACTTATAAAAATTCAACGATAAAAGGTAAGCCGAAAGTAATATTTCGAGTTGCTATAAACTGTCTCTACTGAATTCATTCTTTCAAAGCAAGATATCTATAACTGAAGTATTTCAGCGTTACTTACTGTTTGTAATTGCAAGACTTAGAAGAAAAAAGACTAAACAAATTTGATCCACGGCAACAAGAGTTGACGTTTTTCTTTAAATATTGACATTATCGGTAGAATGAATAGAGTTTCATCGAATGTGCTTCGATCTGTTGATAAAACTTTTTCCTCTGCACTCCCTTATGAAATAGAAAGGCTGACTTAAATGACTAATTTTATTGACGTTGGTATCATGCATCACTGTTATTTCATGTCGAATAGTAAGTTGAGAGTAGTCGCTTTTGTTCCATAAAGCGTTTGACAATTTTTCAAGAAACAATTAAATTGCGCACTCTCTTGGTATATCTTTTGGGTGCTCTTATGCACAACTGGTTGATTACGGCAACTTTCTTCCTTTTTGAATGCCTTTTTTTACTCATGGTGTACTTTGAAAACATCTCGAGAAGGAAAAAAGTCGTTTTTTTTTGAGAAAAAAGGAACCGTCAACAGATTTTTTTTCATATTTTTCTTTCTTGTGAAGTGAACGTAATAATGAAGTTTTCTTTCCGATAGAAGCTTACAATAAACACAGAATCTGTGCGAGAAAGAAATAAAACGGATTGATTGGCTGTTCAGATGAGTCAACACAAACTTTGCAATTAGTTTAATATCATCATGAGAAAGAGAATGTGACGATCTCGGTTAGGTGCGTTGTACACATAGTAAACAGCCTGTATGAAATATACGTCGTCAAACGTACCCTGTGAGTAATAAGGAAATATGAACGGTCGGTGTCATTCTTACAGTTATAGAACGAAGCAAATTCTGCGCGAAAACTTCTTTACTCGAGTTTTATGAGAATCTTCTCTGCGAAGCAGAAAATATAACATACATTTCTATTGCGTTTTTTTTAATTAACTTTTAGATATGCCGAGATCGAAAATGTACTTGTTGGCATTAACTCTTGCAATAAGTTTTGCTTGTTACTATTTTCATAGTTTACTGTTAACCACGCAATCATCGAAAATTCCAATAAGCATCTTGACAGCATCTGCATTTAAATTCCAACCATCGAAATATAAAGTAGTCACCATGGATGACCGAGTTCCATTCTATAAACTAGCTACCATAGATGGCAATAAACCTTATGCCGATGGTGACCGAGCTCAAGCAACTATTTTTCACAGTTTGCAACTGACACAAAAATGTAAACAAGATCCATCGCTCATCGTCGTCGACATCGGTGGTTTCTTAGGTAGATACACATCTTTACCTTGCATACTTTGCACCAACTATATGCCAATCTCTCTTCATAGGCGACTTTGGACTCTACGCAGCTGCATGTGGATGTCACGTGTTCATCTTTGAAGTCCAACCAGAAATGGTTGAGCTCATCAAAACATCTGTTGCACTCAACAACTTTTCGACTTCTCGTGTTCACGTCATACAAAAGGCAGTCAGCAATTTACCTTCCAACTCTCAAGTGACATTTGCCAGTCAGGGTGGTCAAACAACTGCGATGAACGGCACTCTTCTTGTATCTACTATTCGTCTAGATGACATCGACTGGCCAGCAGCGTCATCGATTATTCTGCTGAAAATAGATGTCGAAGGATTCGAACTGAATGTTCTTCGATCAGGTGAAGGTTTGTTTCGTGAAAAACGTATTCAACACGTGATTTTCGAGTACACCGCATGGTGGACTGATCGTGCAGCACAAGATGCGCTGATTCCATATGTGAAGAATACACTTAATGCAAAAGATTTGTATGCACTGGATCGAAGAGATGTCAATGTATACGGTCCATTGAGTGAAGATCTTTTCCGTGAATTTCATAATAGTCATGTCCGACGTCACTTACAAACCGATATTTATGCACGATTCTTAGAGTCAAATGGAAACTCTAATTTAGAAGTACAGCCATACAAGATGGGATCATCATTTGCATGAACTACCACGAGTTATGCTGATAAATTAATCAAAATTTGTTGGTAATCTGTTCGCAGTATGAAACTACAGGAATTCCCTGTATGAAAATAGAGAATGAAACGTCAACGTTTAATTGTCTATCATACGGTTATATTCAGCGAGCATAGCTTAGTGATAATATTCCTTTACGGTGTGATTTACCATGTGCTATAACTATTTTTCTTACAAATAAAATATAGCTGACTGGTGGAAACAGTCTTTTCTATTCTTCCTCTGTAGGAAACACAATAATAAGATCTCATCAAATGCGGCTACGTCTGAGAGAATGTACAAATGAGCAAGGAGAAAAAGAACAAAGTCGAGGAAATAGTTTTCCTTTTGCTTTGCACCGAAAGTAAAGATAAACCTTGCATGCTGTCATGATCTCACTAAAATTAAAAAAGAGATTGCATCATGACGAACTACACGGCTTAGCTCCCATAATGTGTTAAAGGAGTAGCAAAACAGTCTGCCTATTAAAACTAAATACTCTGCCGAGTATAACTCTTTGCTCCCAACATGATGACAAGACACATCTTGTATTATCATTGTGCCTGGAAATCGAAGTAAAGTGATACGTTCAAATGTGAGACCAACTAAGTTACTGTTCTGTATGATTTTATATAACATTCAATTCAACTTCGCGTATTATGTGTTTTTTCTCATACTGACGGCATTGTTTACATGTTACACACGTCAAATTTGTATAGTCAACTGTCGGAACCTACTCGGTATGTTATTCGTTTCATCAGAAGCATTCTTTGCTCAAATATTTATCATTGGCATTGAGGAAGGTCAAATTGTTTCGAAGTAGAAAACAAATACTATTTTCCAATGCCTACCAATACAACGATATAAGTCCAAATCATCTCATACATAGTTTGGACACTACTTTTCTATTGAGAATTGAATGAATGAAGGAAATAAAGAACTATTTTGAGGTTTTCTTTCGACAAAATGTCAACACGGCAGAGATTATTTTTAAATGCATGTGGATTCGTGACAAGAACAGTACTGTTTAAACATCGAAAGAGAAAAGAAATTCAGTTTTTAAATTTTAAACAGAAAACGATTACCTGCGCACGAAGCACATGGAATACTTTATTTAACGACAACAGGTTAGCGTAATCTATTCATTTTCTCGGACTTTCACTCATAAGCCATGTGATAAAGTCAATACACTGTGCAGTAAAACTGATTTATTAGAATTACATCAATTCGATATGATTTTTTTCTGTTCCCTGTAATTTCTAGATACATGACAAGATCAAAACTAATATTTTTAGGATTAATTTTTCTAGTTGTAGTCGTTCTGTATTTCAACTACCGATATAATTACACCATTCCCCCACTTTTGTTTATCCCTGAGCATGAGCAGCTTAAAATCTCCTTACCATCGATAGAATCATCACCTGCGACGGCATCTCCTGGTGAATATCAAATAATAGGAATATACGAGCGAGCACCAGTTTTTAGACTTGCAACAGAAGATGGAGAGAAACCATCCGGAGAAGGTTATCTATCTCAAAATGCTGTCGTTGATCATCTAAATCTTGTTGAACGATGTCGAAAAGATCCATCGCTCACTGTTGTTGATATTGGTGCTCTACTAGGTAATTGTATAAGTTACTTTAATCAAATCAACAATTTCTCTGTTGTGTTTTATTTTTCGATAGGTGATTTCGGATTGTATGCCGCTGCATGTGGATGTCAAGTATATATGTTTGAGATCCAACAAAAATATATTAATCTTATCCAAGCATCGATTTCTGCTAATCAGTTCCCGTCATCACGTGTTCATGTTATACAAAGAGCGGTTACTAACGCGCCTTCAAATACTGATATGACATTTTCTGTTCGAAGTGGTCAATCAGATATCTCGAAAGGAAAATTTCGTGTATCAACTATTCGACTTGATGACATCGATTGGCCAAAATCATCTTCAATAATCCTACTGAGAATCGATGTGTCAGGTTTCGAACTCGACGTACTTCGTTCAGCAAAACAATTATTTCGTGCGAAACGTATTCATCATTTAATCTTTCAATATACCGCCTGGTGGAACGACCGAGCAGCACAACAAGAAGTTATTCCTTACGTACAGAAAACGCTGGGTGCACAGGAATTGTATGTCTTAGATCGAATAGGTGCAACTATTTATGGACCACTGAATAAACAGGCAGCGCGACATTTTTATGAATATCATGCAATCAGACGTTTGCAAACTGATCTTTATGCAAGATTTATCGGATCGAATGGAACTTCTATATTGGATGCTGAGCCGTACTATCTCGGAGTCTCATTTGCATAAGTTTGAGTTTGAATGCAACAGAATATGAATTTCGAGAAAAAAAGAAGATTTATTCTAAGCCTGTTTGTTTTCTTTTTAAATTATTATTTCATTTAACTTAATTATGTTATAATATAAGGAAGAAAATAGAGTGATACGCACAACAGCTACACAAAATGATGAGTAAAATGATATAAACACCTAATTCTTAGCCAAATCAAATATTTTAACATTGTTTATTTAACGTTGACGAACTGAACTAGCACGTAATGTTGATGTTGCTCGAACTGTTGTTGACTCTCGAATATCACGCTAGAAGAGCAAACAGATGAATTCGCTTATATCATATCGATAACTTACAGCTTCTGAAGTGCGGCTCATGCTGACTGATGAACGATTCTTTGCACGTATTTTGCCAAGTTGATTTTCAGCTAAATCAGCACGTTCAGCTGATTCTTCTACAAAAGTCAAATACGAAAATCACCGTGCGTTCATCTGCTTTGCTCGATGAGCAATAAACTTACCAAGATCGCTTTGAACTTTACGAAATTTAGCCAAGTTGAGCGCTGCAATTTCCTCTGAAGAATGCGAAAGATAAATGATGAGAGAAAGAGAGAGAACAAGTGTCTTACCAGCTTCTTCAACTTGACGCTTGTAGACTTTGAGTTTCGCTTGTAATTTTTCGGAGAGATCTTGTAAACGTTGTTGGTTCTTACGATCTTCTTCGGTTTGGAAGACAAGTTCTTTCAAACGACGATCATTTTTGCGCAATTCTTTCAATGTTTCTTGATGACGATGTTGCTCCAATTCATTTTCACTTTCCAATTCGTGAATCTAAACCGAAATAGAATGATCTTTGTTCTTCATTTCCTTTTATTTTTTCTTACGCGTTGTTCCAGTTTAGCAATGATACGTTTTCCACCTTTGAGCGAATTTCCTTCAGCTTCATCCAAACGTGTTTGGAGATCTTTAACTTGTTGTTCGAGACCTTTACGTAATCGTTCAACTTGTAAAGCATGTTCTTGCTCTTGACGTAATTCCTCAACGAGACGTGTAGCATCAGCACCAGCTTTTCGTGAACGTTCTTCGCTATTCTTGAGTTCACCAACCGCTTCGTCCAAATCAGCTTGCATGGCAGCAATTGTTGATTCGAGTTGTCGTCGTTGTGATGACAAATTCGCATTTTGTGTACTGACTTCACTGATACGGTCAGCAGCTTCGTTGAGTTCGTTTTCAGCTGCTTTACGTGCGCGCTCGGCTTGTTCCAAAGCTGTACGTAATTCTTCTAATTCACCTGATACAATATTCGCCCGACGTTCAGCAGCTAGAGCAACTTCGCGAGCTTCATCGCGTTGTCGTTGTTCTTCTTCAACTTGAGCTTGTAATTCGACGATGTTGACTTCAATGCGTTTCAACGATTTTTGCAAATCTGTGTTCGTACGATTGGCATGATCAAGTGCAATTTCAAGCTCATTAATATCGGTCTCGAGTTTCTTTTTCTACAAGGAAAAATCGAAGGCTATTTATTGAATTGTAGAGAACATCTACATACCTGTTTGAGTGCTTCGGTCTTCGAGCGTACTTCAGCTTCTAAACTAGCTTGCATGGATTCAAGTGCACGTTGATGATTACGACGGGTGTTTTCGAATTCTTCCTCTTTTTCATGAACTCGTCGATCGATTTCTTGACGAACTGTGCTTAATTCCATTTGAGCACGAAGAACTTTCGCTTCTTCTTGTTCAAGTGCAGATTCAGCATCTTCTAATGCAGCTTGTAACTCTTCCTTTTCTAATTCCGCACGTTTACGAGCTTTATCCAATTCATGAACGCTCTTGCCACCTTCACCCAATTGTTCAATAAGGTCCTAAGAGAAGACAAGATTTGAATTGAACTTCCTGTTTCAACGAAAAACAACAAACTTTGATTTCATCAGCCAAGTTCTTGTTTTCTTTACGCAGAGCATCAATTTGTTCATGTGATTCTTCGTATTGTTGTTTGATTTTGAATAATTCAGTTGAAAAGTGTCGTGCTTCTTTTTGTGAGGCTTCGAGTTCAACAGTGATATCTTCGCATTTCTGTCTCCATTCGTTGATCAGTTTGTCAAATTGTTTTTGTTTCTTATCCATTGCCGAAGCGTCTAGAAAAACGAGATTAACTCAAAAGAAAAAACAGTTCCGAATGAACTTACTAGCATTGGCACGTTCGACGTCAACCATAAGATCTTCGACTTCACCTTGAAGACGAGCTTTAACCTTTTCTAAGGCATTGCATTTATTCAATGCAGCCTCAACTTGTTCTTCAGCTTCAGTTAATTTAGCAGCTAATTTACGTTTCGCTTCTTCAAGTTCTTCACTACGCGACATGCCTAGAAAATACTCTTCATTGAGAAAAATTTGTATTTTCATTTTCAACAAACCTTCAGATTCATAGCGAGATCGCCATTGATGAGCCTCCGCTTGAAGTTTCGTCACTTGTCGTTGAAGTTCGCTCTTCGCTTCTTGTTCTTCATCGAGTTGTTCACGTGCTTGGTCAAGATCAGCTGTTAGATTACGAATTTGTGAAGCTGAAAGAGAAAATTCAGATTTCCATCCACCGCATCTCAGTCGATACTCACTGACTGATCCTTTGCCACGTAATTCATCATCGATCACACGTTTGGCTTCGTCAAGTTGTTGTTGAATGGATGTTTTTTGTTTATTTACAGCTGAAATTTGATGTTCGAGATCTTCGACTTGACGAGTCAATTCGGAATTTTCACTCGTGAGCTTGGTTTTACTGTGATGTAACTCAGTGATTTGTTTCACATGATCTTCGAGTTTGATTTGAAGATCATTCAATTGTTGTTCAAGTTGTTTGCCCAGTTTTTCTGCTGCAGCTTTACCTTTTTGTGCGTGATCAACTTGCGCGCGAATGTCTTCCAATTCTGATTTGGCTCCTTGTTTTTCTTTTTCTAATTTGTTCTTCAATTTTTGTAATTGATCAATCTGTTCGCCCATTTCGTTAACAGCATCTTGGTGTTTCTTTCGTAGTTGGGCAGCGGTTGCTTCATGTTGAAGATTCGCTTCTTCCAAATCACGACGAAGCTTTTGTAATTCCGATTCACGTTTTTTGTTCATTTCGACTTGGGAAGCTGTTGCACCACCAGCATCTTCTAATCGATCACCCATCTCGTCGATTTCGCGTGCTAAGTCAGCACGTTGTTTTTCGACTTTTGTTCGTGCTTGTCGTTCGTTTTGCACTTCTTCTTCTAATTCTTCAATGCGTGCTTGTAAATCTTTGATTTTCTTGCCAAGACTGGTAGCTTGTCCTTGTTCGTCTTCAAGTCGGCCGCCCATTTGTTGAATTTCTTGATCTTTGCGTTTGAGATTCTCTTCGAGTTCACGTTTGGCTCGTTCGACGTCTTCTAAGTTAGCTTGAACAGCTTTCAAATCAGTTTCAAGTTTACGTTTGGATTTATCTAAATCTGCCCGAGATTTCTTCTCACGTTCTAAACTGTCTTCCAATTCATCTAATGTTTGTTCAAGTTTAGCTTTTAGTTTATTCAGATGGTTGACTTTATCTTCTTCTGCTTGCAATTGCTCGGTTGTTTTCGAGTTTTGTTCTTCGAGACGTTTGCGTTCACGTGTTATCTTCGCGATTGTTTCATCTTGATGAGCGATTTCGTCTTGTAAGGTATGAATTTGATTGTCTCGAGTTTTACATTCATTTTCAGATTTCTGAAGACTTAAACGAATGTCATCAATGTCTTTCTTCAAACCATCAATATCATGTTCAAGTTTCTTCTTTTTGCTATTTAATTCTTGAGCAGATTCTTCTTCTTGGCTAAAACGTTCTTCTAAATCTTTGACTTGTTGTTCGAGATCAGCTTTCTGAGTAACTGAAACGCATTGAAATGAAATGCGGGGATTGAGAAAGATTTCTAAACTTACCTAAACGTGTATAACGTTCTTGAGCTTCGGATGCACCGTTTCGTTCGGATTCCAATTGTTGAAATAGATCGTTCTTTTCTATAAACCGAAAACACAAAAGTCATCACGGAAATTTCTCTTCTCATTTACCTCGAATCAATTTTGAATTATTATCTTCGACTTCCTTACGCAATTTCTCTTCTTTTTCCAAAGATTCTTTCAATGCTTTGAATTCTTCTTCGAGTTTTTTCATTTCTTCTTCTTGACGAGCGACCGATAACAATGGTTTAACTTTAGTATACAATTTCCACCATGGCCAATTACGTAACGATAAGTATTTGCGAAGATTGCGTTGTACAACTGACAAAGCCAAACGTTGTTCCAATCGTTTCTTGTATTCCTTCTTCATAATATAACCGCGAACTTGAGCTTGTAGAGTCGCGATGATTTTCGATAGAGCAGCATCACGCATATCTTCAAGTTGACCCAATGTACCAGCTTTGAAGAAGACTTTGGTTGTACCACAACGGTATAGTTCTTCGCTCAATGCAATATCTTTGAGGATGTTTTCCGTTGCTTTCTTAGCATCGACGAAACCAGCTGGAATTGCGTTTGGTGCCAAGATTGAGTAACGCTGTTTGAATTCCGAATAGATCATTCGGTTGGGGAAACCTTTACGGCAGATACGAATACCTTCGAGTACACCGTTGCAAGTAAGTTGGTGCATAACCAAATGTGAATCAAGAACGCCTCCAGTTTTGATTTCATTCGGAATGATACAACGAACGAAATGTGGATGCGTTTGTTTCAAGTTTGTCATCAATTTGTTCAATTGTTCCTACGAAAGTACGGATTTCAATGAAATACGGTTAATTGGTTTTAACTTACACGATGTGTAGCTGAGATTGTTTGCATACTGCCACCACCTTTCTTCTTACCACCACCTTTGCCAGAAGCACCTTCTTCTTCAACAATGTCAGCAAAGAGATGACAGAGGAGAACGTTCTTTGATTTAGCAAAGAGAGTAGCACTATAAACAATGATTAGTAAAGAGAAAGATGAATCGTCTTTCATAAATTCTACATACACTGTATTGTTAATAGGATCTTTGTTCTTTTCGAGCCATCCCGTAGCAGAGTACGAGACAGTACCAGCATAATGATGAATATCAAAATGCGCTTCGGCTTTACCTTTGCCAGGTTTGGGTTTACCGAATTGTGGATGTTTACCCAAATGATTATTGTAAAGTTTTTCGACGAATGTCTTATCGGTAGCTTTGGGGACGATACATTCTTCTTCCAAGATGGAAAGAATACCCATAGGCTAAAATTCCACAATGGCCGGAAATCGAGCAACTGATGTTGTCATTACCTTTTCGATAAGATCGATACAAGCTTGTAAATCCATACCAAAGTCAATAAATTCCCATTGAATGCCTTCCTTCTTGTATTCTTCTTGTTCCAAGACAAACATATGATGGTTGAAGAACTGTTGAAGACGTTCGTTCGTATAATTGATACATAATTGTTCAAAACCGTTATACTATAAAATAGAATGTCAATGAAAGAATGAGAATTTTGTCTTTTTACCTCAAAAATTTCAAAACCAGCAATATCGAGTACACCGATGAAATATTGTCGTTTAGCTTTGACGTCGAGCGTTACGTTAACACGCTCAACAAGCCAACAAAACATACGATAGTAAATCTAAAGTATCGCATCGAAAGTTGTTTAGTTCTTTTCAAAAATTAATCATTTCCTACCGATTTTGAAAGAGCACCAATCGAGTTAATAACTTGATCCTTATTTTGACCTTTGTTTACATACTCATTACCGACCTATTGAAACATGAAATCAGAACTCGATATTCAAATAGAAACAAAGCTCGAACCTTAATACGTGGTTTAAGTAAACCTTTGATAAGATCAGCTGCTTCAACGCCAAGCAAATGAGCAACTTTTTCGCAATCTTCGGTGCCTTCAGCTTCAGCTTGTTCTTCTCGTGGTCGTTGTTTCCATTGAGAATTACCAAAGTGCATAATAGCAGAAGTACACTTGAATAGATTGATCTTCTCGTCCTAAACAAAGTGAACGGGAAAAACATGAATTATCTTTTTCTTAAATGAAAACAAACTTGTGTGAAGCCAAGAATATCAAAAGCTTCGTCAGTGAGACGCATTTCTTCGACATCATCAACACCATCGATTGTAAGCATACCTTGGGATACATAGAAATACTTCGATGGATCCGATTCGATTAAACAATCCTCTGAAAAACAAAACGATCTTCATATCTCCAGTTACATTATTTTCGTCTTCATACTGTGATATGCAGGAAATGCATTTGAACAGAGTTGATAGAAAATATGGTAATTACGTTCAGCTAAATCGCAAATATCACAATATTTCCTTTTCCAAATTCGAGACAAAACGAATTACCTGGTTGCTGAAACGAAAAAGTTCAATTTAAAATTTATTCAAAAGGAAATATCAATTTTACCTGAAAGATGACTCGAGATTTTTCAAGAAGATAAACTTCAATATCAGCACCAGCGATTTTACCGGTTGGACCAAAGTGAATACGAATAAATTTACCCTACATGTATAAATCATGTATTTCTTCATTCATTAATCAAACTGATGATACATGCTTATATAACATGCGATAAACATAACGGACAAAGAAATGCTTGTTGCTAGCAAATCAATCATCACTTACAAATCGAGATGAATTGTTATTACGAGTAGTTTTCGCATTACCATAAGCTTCCAAGACAGGATCTAATTGCAAGATAAACAAATGTATGCAGTGCAAACTAACATTTCGACTTACTTGCTGACACGATTTGATCTTCAAGTGTCATTGTTTTCTAAAACGATTCGGACATGATTATAAAGCGAATGAATGTTCTTCAAGATCAAATATACCTTTCCGTCATCCTCTTTTTTCACACTGGCAGCTGCGACCAATGCGAAATATTGAATGACTTTTTTCGTATTTTCAGTTTTTCCAGCACCTGATTCTCCTGTGATCAACATCGATTGATTTTCTCGATCTAAATCCATGAAAAAAGAATGTTCCATTAGAATTCTTTGCAACATTTATCCGTACGTTATAGATTCTTTTATCTTTCCGCGCATCTGTATCTGTCTATCGATAGTCTATTATGATAGTTAAATGCAATACTCAGCAGTCCATGCGATCATTTAGTAAATATCTATTCAGTCTCTCTTCTCTTATCTCATCTTGCCGGTAATTATTAGCGTTTTCTTTTCACTGATCGTTAATCGATATACATGTACTGGTTAACGATGCTCGCGAACACGAGAACAAATGTGTATATATACATTTAATGACTATCTGGTGTCTGTTCAGATCTTTCTTTTTTCAAGCACCCATCGTGTTATCTCGCTGTCTTTACATATCGATCACTTGACTTACCGCGAAGCATATTGGAGTATGCATTATCGGAAATTGCATATAAATGTGGTGCAACTTCTGTACGTTTTTTACCACGATATGCAAGAACGACCTTCATTGTATAAATTGGTAAACGTTTGTAAGGATTAATGACGACACAAAATAATCCCGAGTAGGTCTAAATGAGAGAGCAAATGTCTCGAATTTCTGAGAAAGGAAAACTAGCGAAGAATGTACATAGATTAACCAACGTGAATAACGATCACGTAATGTTGCCAAGACGGATGCATCATTCAAATAGGTCAAATCAGCCATATCATCGATACACCAGTATTTTGGTGGATTCATTTGTTGAACGTCATCCTTTTTAACTGTTTTCATCTATGGAGAAAACGAACAAGAGTAAAGAAGTTTGATGAAAAGCATAATTAAACATACTTCTCCTTTCGATGTTTTAACAGTAACTTGATCATCTTTTGTGCTTTCGATTTCAGCAGCAACAAATGATTCTTTTGGATCAGGAATCCAACAGGCTTTCTTAGCGTCGAATGCTTGCGAGCGAAGTTTGATCTTCTCTTCGGCTGGTAAAGCCAAATATTTCATGGCTTCCATAAATTCAGGATCATTCGGATTATGAATGTACCTAGTCAATGTAAATCTTCGTGATGTATATATCTCGATATGAACATCAACTTACGAGTCACCCATGTTTATTGCCTATTTCAATGAAATGTTCAATACACGATACAATCTATTCATAAAGACAAGTCTCAGCGCGAAGTTTAGTCAATTTCTCACCAATACCTGATAGTGCGACGAGCGAAGAATGCGTGTGTATAAAACAGTTCCTTCTCTAATAAACGCGCACTTATATAGTCTCTAAAACGAGACAGAGAGAGAGAGAGAGAGAGAGAAGAAATAGGAGAAGAAAATAGTTCTATTCTTGTATCAGTNATTCTTTCTTTCTCTCTCTCTCTCATTTTGTATCAATCATCGTCTCTTTATCGTTCTAATACGCAAGTAATTAGACCAGCGAATAGATGTCCGAACACCTACTTGTCTCGATGAAATCGAAACAAAAGAAAGACATAGACACAAACCTTGAAGATCATTCATACATGTACATTGGCCTTTGGGTGTTAATAAAGTGTTGACAATGAGAATGAAAGAGTTGAAAAGTGTGAAATGAAGCTGATGCACACGGTACGGATTTTTATAAGAAGACACTTTTTCAATTATCATCATCGTCGTCGTCGTCGTTGTCATCATCACCACAATTGGCTCAAGCACTCAAACAATCTTGTCAATACGTTTGACAAATCTCAAGTAGTTAAACCAATTTGGATGGTGATGCAGAAAAATTAGTGAAGTATGAACGTGATTTGTATTGACCATGGTCTAATTTCTATCAATTAGATACAGAGAAGATAACCATGATTTGAAATTGAATCTCATCATCGAGGAAAGACAAACAGATCAAAGATCTTGTGTTATCTTCTTTTCAAAAAACAAAACTGAACAGATGCATTGTTTATCTCCGGCGAACAATACTGTTGTTGTTTTCGTCTCAGGAGAATATCAAATGAATGCACGTGTCTAGACTCGATCTGGAAGGGACAGTTTCTTATTGTTTTTTCTACCCGACGATGAATATACATATGTCGATATCATGCTGAGCTCAATTAATTTGTTTCTTTTTCTCTCAAGGTTCTTTTACTTATCATTTCAATAATAAAACACTTGTCGATTAAGAACAGACAGATAAAGAGAATAGATAAACCTGTCTTCTCACCGATATTTGTTCGGAAAACGAAGCAACGGCGAATGACAAAGTTGATTTTCTTGATGCTCATCAAGACTTCTACCACGTACATCTAAACGTTTACTTATTCAATCTAATCTAAAGAGACAAGTAGACCTTGTTCGAACAATTACTTCAATTGCTGCTGCTTCTCTCTAATTAAACATGAAACGATGTGCGTCGAAACGCTCGCTGTACATCTGTTAAAAATTCTGTGTGATTCGATCTATACAATTATTTCTCCTGCTATGTTTCGAACGTAGTCAACACTGCTGGAAGTTATGAGAACGATATCTCGAACATTTTTCTGCACACATCAATTAAAATGAGTGAAAATGTCATTGAAGATTTTATAGATGTAAAAAAAACAGAATTTATTGGTTGATTCTCTTTTGATCATTCGGTTCACAAAGGTTTTCATTATGAAAATATAATGAACGACAACGGGAATGGAGCTGTTTGTTCGTATTTACATTAAAATTGTTCGTATGTTTCTCCAAGACTGTCCTTCGAATTCGACAACGTCATTTGATTGATCTTCAACAATTTGTTTTAATAAATGGCCTATTCGATCCGATAAATCTGATGTAACAAACTGTCGTAAATGAAATAATTCATCTCGAGTATAATGAAATCGTTTCGATTGATTTGTTTCCATCGAGGGCACATCACGTTGTAGAACAGCTAGCAATGATTCGAGTAAGATAATCGAACCCTCGATATTTTCAGCCATTGATAAGAGTGTGTCGACATTTTCAGGTGAATAAGATAGGTCCGTTAGATGAACACATCGAAGCTTTGTAGCCATTTGAGAAATATGCGTACAAAGGGTGATAAGACGATTGAGTTCTTGTGTGAAGCTGATCGACGAGATTGAGTCGATTTGATTTGTCATAATAGAAATGTACTTCAATTGCGCACAATTTATTTTATCGAATATGCACTGAATCCTTGTAATCACACTCACGTATCTTCCACGTGTTCGTGTAAAGTGTATTTGTATTGTCAACATTCGCACATTCTTATCTCGCCTAGTAAAAAACGAAAGAAAGGAGCCATTGAATAATGGAGGAAAGCAAAACAGATCTTTCGAATAGAAAAACAATCAACTTCTTTGTCGTTTGAAACGATGCTACATCGATGCATCTAACTATTGATATATATATTTTGCTCAATCAAGATAAAACGAACTTCACAGATAAACATGAGATGAACGAGAATAGTTTATCTTTTAGAAATGAAATTTTTTCGATGGATTTATCGGCGGTAACGACGGTGATGCTATCATTGTCGATGTCGTTGTATTACTTCGCGATGATTGTCGTCGGGCGATCAATTCTGTGGAAAGTTTATCTTTCAAGATTTTCCAAACACGCTTGGAAAACAAGAAGCCAAAACAAATGAATACACCCGGAAGAGAATTGACTATTTCAAAGATAACCCACGACCATGTTTGACCGATAACCAATGCAATCACCAATAAAATCCATTGTATACCCATCAATGATGCTAAACGTACATAGACAAACGTCAAATTTGTATCTCTAGTATTGGATGGCGTTGTTGGATTGTTCGCGAATTTAGCTATGCGATGAGAACGATAGATTGCCAGAAGAGTTTTAATGAAAAGAGCAGCGACTGCTAAAAGAATGCAGCCGATGGGTAGGAGAAAGAAGACGATCATTGCATTTGCTCGAGAGATTGAACAAAATATGGAAGCATAGGCAGGAGAAAAGCTCGATTGCGGATGAGTGAATTGGATTAGACAAGCAATGAGGATGATAATTCCAGTTAAACACCAAACGATAACGTTGTATGCGATCAAATGTAGATTAATTTTAGATGATTTTGTTGTTTGAACTGCTTGATGATGATGAAATGTTGAATGAATATTCAATGAGATAATTAGTAACCAGAAAAATGAGGATAAATAAAAGTAATGTATTAAGATAGCTGATGCAAAACAAAGCGAATAATTTCGAGTTAGATTCGACATGGAAATAAATGTGATTTGCCCGATAAATAATGAAATGGAGAGAAATAATAAACATTTTCCCGGTAAGTTATGCAATGATGGCACCAACCAAAATATGATACCGAAAATCAATAGACATAGAAGAGATATCGAAGTGCAAATGATTGATAAAACATTCCGATAGATTGGAAATGAATAGCCGTTGGTTAGCGAGGAATACATATCTGTCCAACGGTCAGCACAGAAGACAATGCGATTGTCACTAATGAAAACGTATTCATCATTGAGTAAAAGTATTCCCTGATTGATCAAAAATAGACTTCCGTTTTGATAATAAAGTTTCTCATCGTTTTGTAGAGAAATTTGTATGGGATATGTGCATTTCATTGAGATGATAAATTCATCATACGAGTTGCTCACTGGCAGACATTGTTTTTCGAATATGTCGTAAAGTTCATTCGCATTCGTACAGTTGTAATTAATCGAATAAATTATTCGAGGTATTGTATTATTATTGATATATCGATTGAGAAGATTCGGATCGAATAGGATTGACAATGGATGAATACGTATGAGTGTTAAAGGTGGCAGGGCAGAACGCAAAGTTGGATCTAAGCAGGTGGTTTCATCACTTTCGTTCAAATGGTTACATTGAGCACAAAAGGGATTTTTGTAGATTACAGTTGAATTCTTACGGTAACGATATGCCGTGCCGAATGTTGAACATTTTTGTGCGACATTAACTGGTGCGTCTAGTGGACAAGTGGCTGGTAAAGGTTTTTTACAAGGACGAATGAAAACTGATGGTCGACTAGTTCCTCGTTCATGTGGATAGACAATCGTTTTCAGACAATTTCGTGTTAACGTATGAACATAGTATTGTAGTTTTTCATCATCGTCTAATATGACATTGTCTTTCTCACTTCCATCTCCATGACAGAATGGTTTATATTCCCAAAATTGTATCTCTCCATTGACATCATTATTACAGAAGGCACAATAGTAATTTCGATACGTGATATTTGTTTGTAGACTTGTGACAGGTATGAATAAACTGGGATTATCTACAAACGATTGATCGTTCAAATTTCGGCACTGTTTGTCAACTGGTGAACCAATGTATATAGGTAAACATTCTGTTCGCATCCAGATATTTAATCGATGGAATGGAATACTTTTATTCGTAATTGTTGGTAAAAGAAAGTCAATGCATTCGTATTTATTTGCTGCGGTGTTTTGTTTGATACCACAGCAATCTCCATATTGTTGACAAACTGGATCACAGAAACAATTTCGTTCTTGAATGAATTCTTCATGATCATAGACCAATGGTGATGCAGTCGATTGATTGAAACAAGTATCACGAATTGAACATTGTTCATCGATTTGAATTGATAAAGAAATTTGAAACAGATATACAAGAAATATGTAAGAAAACATTTGACAAAGAAATGAAGTATTCGACAAAGATCAAATTTGATCTATGATGTTCGTTTTGAATGCCAATTGACAGTGTGTGATAGAAAAAAAAGATTATATTGATTTAAACGCCAACATACTTACAGCTTCAAGGAGAGAAATGTCATTATTGATCTTACCACTCATCAAATATATCAGATCTTTGACAAAAAGAACAAAGATGATTAGAGTAGACGACAGATGTTTACTAGATCGACAATATTGATCATTTCTATTAAGCATATAACAATATATTTCCTAACAAAAATACCAAATGTCAATATATTAGAATGCCTAGATCGATGCAAAAGATCAACTTGTGAGGATAACTTCTTCACAGAAAAGATCATCAAATGTTAAAGTCTTTTGTTGATAAAAATACTTCCTGGAAACGGTTGATAGTCAACATAAAAAATATTGCCAATAGGTAACATCAAAACAAAAAATATCAAATTTATTGAAAGAATATATCCAACAAAAAAATGAGCAAACGACTTCTCAATGCGACTACCCATGTTGTCTATTTTTAACCGTTGCGACGCAGTTGCGCGCATTGCCATTTAGCGGTATAGCTGCGCCGTAGTTTTGCACAGTTACGGTGAAAAATTCGCTGTTACGCCGCAATTTGATTACAATAGAACACATCGGTAAAGTTTTCCTTTTACTTTATCAACCTATTCAATGAAAAATACATGGATTAATTAAATCATGATAGTAATGTTCTCACTGATTCCTTTTTACTTCTTCACGTCAATCATTGAATGCGTTTTTCAAATTTCGTCATCTAGAAAAAAGCGCGTCGGTGAAGATAAAATAAATATTTACATCGGATTCAAATAGATCGTTTGTTGTGGTTAATACCAACGTGTCATTTACCATGTTTATGTTATTTGGATCGTTTTCTTTGAAACTACTGGATAAATCGTATATTGTCGTCGCTTGTTACATGGGATCCAGTCACTGGAATGATCGACGTGGGTGGCAAAGCAGGTGACACAGGATTTTCTGTTGATAAAGATGGCAACACAACAGGTAGTATGGATTCATCTGTCAGCGGTGAATGTGGCGTGAAAAGTCGGTACTTTTTGATGGACCGATAGTGACGATGGTACTCTCGGGTCTTGTCTGCGTAAATAACAGCATTAAACGATACTATTTTACCACTAATGGATTAACTTACGTGTGTAAACCGGTGATTATCTCTTCTGGCACTAAAAAAGAAAATGAATGACATTATTTCGAAATTTCATTCAAATTTTGTCTCAGTGGAAACATAAATGATAACAACATTCATCGTCAATGTCGCTCTCGTTAATAATACTCAACAAGGCAAATCCTATGGAGATTTATTATGAGCTTTTATTCAAAATCTGTACTACTAGCAAGAAATTACAGATATACCCGACAAGTTTTATGAAGACGAAAATAATCGTACATCACGCGAAATAGAAAACTTAATTGCTATTAAAGACTATCATTGAAATAAACTCGGGGTAATATAAACTATCGATTCTCTCGCGATCAAATGTGTCAATCATAACCTTGAAATACCGAAAAATCCTTCATTCCAAATACATCATGAAATCCTATTAGAAGATATGACGAACATATTATCGTGATTGTAATATTATTGCATCGTCGTTCCTCCATATAGGTATATGTGTTCTCTCTCGCGTTAGCCATCTTTTGAAAAGCATTATTTAGGATGTTCGTTTATTAATTATTTAATTGAAGGTTAAAGGAGTCACTTGTAGCAAGCGCTATTGTAAAATCAAACATGAACAGAGATACTTCAAAATACCATCGATATTGATGAAGAAATCGGCACAAATAAAGACATTGAAGGAGAGAGAGATGGATTGAAGGTAAAAAATTCAAAAATAATATGTATTTGCTTTCCTATTAGTGACAGTTTCGTTCAGACTGCTCTTACTCCCCAAAGAAGTGATATTTTGAATGCATTTCGAACGCTTTTTATCGATTTCTTATACTGTTTTCGATAGAGTTTCGACGGAACAACAAATATGAGAAGAGTGATCATTGTTGGAATGAACGAAATGAAATAGCCGATTAATGGCAACCATGGATTTTCACTTGTCGTCATACAGTTTGATAGAAGTGACAAAGCTAGACGCGGTAATGCTAGAAGAACTAATATTACTGGTGCGACAAGTAAATTTTTATGTTGATGATATTGTTGTTGTAAAACTTTTTGATAAGTTACTTTCTGATGTTGTTTTTGAGTTTTGAATCGTTGCCGAGTAGTTTCGATGATAATAATCAGAGCTGAAGTCAAATTGATGAGAAACGGAACCGAATAATGAATGATGTTAATCGCAGAATTATATTTCTGAAGTTGAGAAGAATAAGTAACCGTGCACCAAATCCGCTTTTCTTCATCCTCATCATCGCTATCATAATTTTCAAATAACAGTCGGCGATGAATGGGATCATGAACAAGTGTTGACATTGTTCCGATCACAAGAAAAATTATGACATATTTAACCATTCGTCGACTTTTTCTCTTATCAAAACTAACTCCTTTCATCACCGTATAAGATCGATCACACGCGGCACATGCGTTCAAATACTGATGCATATTTATACTCACATTCAAGAGAAAATCCAGAGAGTAACATTGAATCTTTAAAAATAGTTCATTTGTAATCAACTGAAATTGCGAAATTAACAAAATGTTAAACTTCAGTATAAATACAATCATGACACATAATGTTGCTACTGATGATCCAATTAAATACAAATCACAGCCAACTTTATCCGATTCTTTGTTTTTAAATGTTGCTACAGATAAAATACCATTTAATATACCAACGATATCTATAATGATTGCAATAATCAGACTAAAGATGACAATTGTGGGCTGATCAGACACCTTTGTGTTAGGTTGAATATGATAACCCAGAATAGCATCAAGCGATAAACCAAATAAATGTGAATTAAACTGGCATCGCGTTCCAAAGAAACATTTCGGACAAACACATACCGACAGTTGAGGACATGTTGATTTATCTTGAATGCATCGTCCATTATTTTCACATTCACTGAATCCATTACAAGTATGATGGACTTGATTGTAAAAGTTAAAGCAATTACTTAAACTTTGTTGGTTATAATTATAACATAAACAGAAATACTGATCGTCGTAAAAACATTTCAATGAGGGTGCGTTTTCACGGCAGGGATTTTGATAATGTTTCATACGATTAAGTGGATGTAAATGACGAAGAGTTTGATTCAATTCGGTTATATGTGGACAGCGGTCGGTTGGAGTAATAAGTGAATCGTAATTTGCGGACTTGTTATATTTCGATTGAACAGTTACTAAGTAATAATTGCCGATAAGTTCAACAAAGGCGATATGATACGAGTTCGACCAATAGATAGTTATTGCTCGTTGATAGAGCGAAACTTTCTGGAGGATAGAACCAATACTAGTCGGATTGATTGAACCTCTGGTCGCATCAACGAAATGGACGACGATTGACTGAGGTAAAGAAATATCTCGATGAAATGATAACGTGATGTTCTTTTGCGTATGTTCACATTGTTTTCCATAGAAGCCTTTGCGACAAATACAAAAATATGTATCACTACGTTGTACTTGCTCATCGATGGGTACACATCGACCGCCATGAAGGCATGGTTCATTTTTATTAGCTTGACATGGATTACTTCGTAGTAAACATCGTGAACCCCATTGATTTATTGAACAAATACAAACAGACTTGTTATTTGCGGCGACACCAATACAGAATGAACCCGATGAACATTGACAACTATGAGGTATCGAACAATCTCTTCCATACCAACCTTCATGACAGAGACAAAAGGTTGTTGAATCATGGGAATTAGCAGTATATTTCACACATTGACCATGCTGACATGCGGAATCAAAGCATTCGTCTAAACTATTCTTTCGCCCTGGAATCGTTAACTGAACAGCAATACGGTTGACAGGTAAGAAATGATATTTGATTGGTAGGCGAAAACTTCCTCGATAGATAAGTGAAATTTTCTCGAAGACATCAATATGCACGGAATAGTTCATCGATGGATGCTTTGGTCGTGTTGGATAAAGTAAATAGATGTTAAATTTCTTCGAGCAATCTCGTAAATAGAGATACGTGTGCTGTTGATAAGAATAAATTCGTCGTTCATGACTATCATCATCAATAAGAGAGACAAGAATAGCAAAAAGTGTACGCCGGGAATTCGAATAGGAAGAAAACTGGACGGTTAAACTAACGCGTTTGTTATCATATTGACAACTCTTTCCATACGAACTTGGAGGACAGAGACATGCTTCTCTAGAAACAGCATTCTCACTATCTAGCCAGATACGTAAGGGTAATCCACGATGGCAACGTTGTACAATCTCGATGGGCGTTTGAAAAGACTTAGTATTTAGTATGAACAATGCATCATTTGGTGCATTAGTCAGTGCCGGCATTTGTTCACAAAAGAAAAATTGAATACCAGTACGAATCAAAGAATATTTTCCTTCACAGACGCTATCAGTTCCTGTAAACTCTTCAGTCGGATAACAAAGTCGTGCATCACCATCCAGCGTACATCGATGTTTGTTCGAACATAATTCTGTAGACAATATACACGGATCTTTGACACCATCATTACAATAGAAGTTCTTGTCAGATCTATACAGTGTTGATCGACATAGACTTGGCTCGTCAGTTGCACCAACACAATCAATTTTGCCATCATTCGCTTTCTCAATCGACAAACACATGAATGTATAATTTGTCACTGAAACGCATAGATGATGATCGCGCGGACACTGAAGTGGTTTGTTAAAATTACAGTTTAACTCATCTGCGCCATTCATACAATTCCACCGCTGGTCACATCTTGTGTAAATATTATTACATGGCCAATCGTGACAATTGGTTTCATCCGTTTCATTTTGGCCATCGATCAGCATAGGATCAAATTGCGTATAACCATTGCAAATTACGGAAAATGGTATTTGATTAGCCAGAACTTTCGATCCTTTCGATACGTCGTCACACGCGTTGTACTTAACAAGATATGTTGATATACATCGTTTGGTTGATTGACATCGAATAAGTGCATCGGAGTCCATCACTTCGCAAGTTCCATTCACCAATGAACATTTTTCATCGTCTTCAAGATTGCAATCAATGATACCATCGCACAATTGATCCAGAAAAATGCACTTCAATGATTGAAGACATTGGTACATGATGGATTGATTACAAGCCGTGGAGTCATTGTAAAGAATTGTGTTGCATCGAGATAATTGACTTTCCACCCTCGCGACATAGAACCATAAACTAGAATTTGGCCCATCTCCGTTAAATAAACCAGGCCAATTATCTGGCTTTCGACACGTGAGATTATTGAATATCAATGATGTTATGCTATCGAAGAATGCGTAACAGAATCGATCGTTGTAACAGATATAGTGTGGTCTCAAGTTAGTATCGACAAAATCTCTTCGATAAGCGAAATATATGTGACCAAAAGCAACAGGGGCATTCGGTATGAAAAACATATCTGGACATGTTATATTCATTCGACTTTGACATTTTAATTCCAGTCGACACTGAAACGCCATCCAGCAATCATTGCTTACTGAAGTTACGTTCATCGAAGACATGAACCTATCCAACAAGTACGAACGTCCGACGCCCGATGAATAGCTTAATGAATGCGCCATTAATCGATTAGATCTTGTAATTTGTACATCTTCATTGATAAATATTGGCTCATAACTGTCAAACGAATGCAGTATTGATTGTGTTACAAACATCTGATCTGATTGATCCAAACATTCAAGAGCAAATTTACTATCTTGATAAAATTCTTGAGGAATACACTGTCCGTTTCGACAGCGGTATTCATTTTCTCGACATTTTTCAACTCTCAGTTTCCAGCAATGTTCTTCATCGATTCCGTTTAAACAGTGGACGTGTCCATCACATATCTGATGCCAACTAAGGCATATTGATGCCGAGCCAAGATCACATTCGATATATTGGTAACATGTTAATGTTGATGGTTCATAATTCTCTTTATAAAACTGTTGAACGATTGTAGTCAACGGCAGATGCGAAGGTTGACTGATATCTAATGAATATTGACATTGTGGACCAAATCTTGGTGACGTGCAATTATAAAACACATCCATTTCAGCGAGTGATATTTCATTCGATAATAATCGTTGGTTAAAATAGAATTCATACCGTTCAATAACGTTCATCGGAGCTGACCAAAGGTACAATTGTTCACTAGTAATGTGTCGATCATAAAGATCAGTGAAAGTATAATTTTGGTCAAGTGTATTTTTCGTTATATTCCATTCGAATGGCCATTCAGTTAGACAGTACGATAGAATCTGGTGCGTATTGGTGTAATGCGGTTCGAGAGCAGTTATGTATATGCAATCATGCTCGAGTTCAGGAGATGTTTTCATATCACTTACCCAATCAGTTAAATGAAGAACGATTTGAGCAGATCCAACAATAGTACGGAATAAAGTTAAATAGAGTAAATATTTTCCGACGAATTGCATTGCCATTTGGTGAAAAGGTATCTCTTAGGTAGAATTGAATGAAATGAATATTGGATTAAAAATACCTATATCGTCATACTATTTCTATAATAACAGATCTCTGACGTCTTACTAACATCCAGCTCTTTCTTTAGTTTTGACATTGAACGATTATATATAAATAATCATTTCTTTTATATTGAACTAGTCTTTATCAGAGGTTTGGTTACTCATTTGACTTACGTCAATGGAAAATGAAGCAAGCTAAATAAGTCGTATTTTTCTAACGCCACATGATATTCAATTCTATTAGTTATTGTCTCACGTGATTACTTTCTTTCACTAAAGATTTATCGATTCTTTTCCTGACTTTAATAAATGAATTAGATTAATAATTCTCTTTTGACATTGTTACTTATTTCCAACATTCATATAGTATTAAACTTCAATTGAATCTCAGCAATGAGAGAAAATTGGGTAGATATTTATGCAGTAAGTTAAGGAAGGCAAAGCAAGTAATACGGCATAATTCTTATTCTTCTTTCGATTTTCTCATTTAGACTTCAGCGGGTAGTGTCAATTTCAACTCGATATCAAACAATCGATTAAAATGGTTTCAGGAAAGAAGAACTAGATGGTTGATACTTTTCGGCATTGTTTTGACATTTGTTCTAACAAGTATTATCGTTCCTATAACGATTGCTCTTACAAAAAAGAATACCACACTACAAACAACAGCAACATCAGCAACACAAGTTGCATCAACAGTGTCCACAACAATGCAAGGTAGGTAAACCTATGAACTATTCGTAGAGCCCAATTGCGAGTTGAATCTCTCGTCCTCTTATATACTTAAAATTCGTATTGTAAATGATTTTGATGTAAGACAATGTCACTTTTTTTGTATTGTTGCTTTTAGTGTCGAATATCCCGAAGTGGAAAGGAAATGGGATAACGATTGTTGGAGGAAACGAATACAACAGTACTAGCAATCGATTATCTGATCCAATGGGTCTTTGTATTGATGATGATCGAAAAAGTATTTATATTGCTGATCAGAGCAATCATCGTATCGTTGAATACAAATTTAACGGAACCCAAGGAGAAGTTGTTGCTGGTGGAAATCAACCAGGCAGTCGGTTAGATCAATTGAATGTTCCCAAAGATGTGGTGATTGATAAAAAGCACGACTCTCTCATCATTTGTGATTACGCGAATGCGCGAGTCGTACGATGGTCTCGTCAAAACCAAAGCCACCAAGAACTTATTCTTTCAGACGTTCGTTGTTATGGTTTAGCGATAGATCGCGATGGCGATCTTTATATTTGCGATTGGGGGAGAAGCAAAGTGATACGTTGGAAAGAAGAAAACCGCAACGTGACAGTTGTAGCAGGAGGCCATGGATATGGAAAGGATCTCAATCAACTAGCTGGCCCTAGCTACATTTTCGTTGATGGAAAGTTTTCAGTCTTCGTCAGCGATACGAGTAATAATCGCATTATGAAATGGTCTCAAAATAGCGAAGCAGGTATCGTTGTTGCTGGTGGACGCGGACAAGGGAACAATCTAACACAGTTATCCGCTCCTATGGGGATCTTTGTCGATGATTTAGGCAACATGTACATAGCAGATAGTGGGAACATACGAATAATGTATTGGGCAGTAGATACAAAAGAAGGAACTATTCTCATTAGTCAATACGGTAATGGAGAATATCCAATTCAATTTGTGAATCCTACTTCTATATCATTCGATAGTAAGAATAATCTTTACGTTTCTGACACGGGCGCGCATCGTGTACGGAAGTTTAAGATTGATCGAAATTAATGCTTATTATAGAACACGCTTTCGTTTTTGTCAAAATCATATCTAATAAACATCGTCTATTAACATCGAAAGTACTACAGGTTGACTGTATCAGAAGTGACAAACATCTATCGAAATGCTGGTCAAAAGATTGAGATTAGGCGTAATATCTTTTTTTGATTAAATCGAATCAATCGAAAATATCAGAACGTATAAGAAAACGAAAAGAAAACGTCCAATACTGAAGTACAGCAAATAAGCCGCAATACAGACTGAAAAAGAGATACATGAAAATTGGAGATGAATGAGAAGTGAGAGAATAACGCGATTCAAGATTTCGAAAAAAAAACTAAAAGAATAAGAAAAGCACAACACTAAAATCAACTGTTTATTGTTTATCATCATCATCGTCATCCAAAATTTGTAGATCTGCCCATCCATTAATTTCTTGTGGAACTCCAGCAATCATGCATTGCAAAGCAAGTATTAAATATTCATGCAAATAACAAAAATCGAATTTTTCTTTTGTGTCGACGTGATTTTGTGAACACGATGATGCTAAACGTATCAAATGATGATACATTGTCGAAAAATATTCGTCATATCGACATTGATTTGATTCATGTCTATCATCATCGTCGTATGGCCATGATGAGAGAAATGATTTGATAGAAGTGTAGTAAATATCCGACGATTTGTCTTGACGAATAATTAAAGTTGAACAATCAAACGGAGCTTGTTCATTGATTTCATAGATGAATTTTGTTAGAATATGTTGCCAACAATGCTGTTCGTTGATAAGAGGTTTTCTCTTTGATGACATGATATCCGTTGTTTCGAAAATATTCTGTCGAGATAACCTAAGATCAAGAAACTGAAATGTTATTTCTTTAACAAATTCTCAAGTCAACTTACCAATTATGAATAATTTCAATGAAACATATTTCAATCAAATGCAATTGAAGATTATCGCATTCGACATTATTGACTGGATCTTGTAATTGTAAAATAACGCGTTTATTTACAGCGAATGTGTTTTCTCTATTTTCGATAAGCTCAACAAAGAATCGTAAATGTCTTTGCTCAACTAATCGATGAAGAGCTTGTCTCATTACCCGAGCGACAATCCCATGTTCACGTAATTGCACGATCGGTCGATCGATGGCTAAAACGACAAGATTTTCATGAGTTCTTTTGAGTTGCACAACTTTCAGCTTACCTGTTGCCATTACGGCTAAATTTCGTTGTCGAAGTTGGAGCAAAAGTCGTGAAAATAACCATGGAAATGAAAGAATGCGCTTGGGATGTTGTGCCTGTTCGTATTGGTAACAAACAACATAACATGCACTTGCTTTGGCTAGTTTGTCATCTAAATATGCCGTTTCATTTTCTCTCCTATTGAAATTTTGCCGACGTTCGATTTGCTCTCGAGCGTTAAATTCAGAATAGAAGAGATTTTTTATTCTGTCCATCAACGCTTTCAATTCGACTTGCGCTGAATCGGCAACATCGATATGTTTCGACATACATTGTTGTTGTTGAGAATCGAAACGACATATTAAGTCAATATCCGACACAAAATGATAGGCAAACATAATATTCAATATGACATCACGATATGTTCGGTATAGATCTAGTGCCGCTGATGTATAACGATGATAACTTGGGTGAATTAGATGAACATCGATCGGAACACGTTCGATAGTTGAGAGAATATCGTACGAAGGATCTTTTTCTTCGGGATGATACGCAGAATGGTTTATAATCGACCAGGTCGTTTGCGAACGGGTAATCGAACGAAATAATTTGCCAAGAACATGTTCACTTGGATAAAGATCAAACTGATCTTTGTCAATATAATCCGGTCGTTTATAATCCAATTTACTGTTTAGCTCTTTGATTTTTTGTTCGTTAAATGGATGTTTACCTGTTTTGCCCGCATCTAATTCTTCGGAAATCGCCGCAGCAATAGCAATACAGTCATCATGTTGAACACCAAATTTATCAACATAAGCCAAATGTGTACAACACAACTTGCCCAAACAATCTTGTTCTGATATAGTTAACACAACATCAACGATATCATCACGCGTCACTGGGCGTGATAAAGGTACAGGCGGTGTCTGTGAGTCATAGTCATAAGGTTGGAAGTTGTCCGTGGTTGGTACGAGTATATCAAGCCAGAATACAGCATATTCGTCCCCATCGAGGTCGGAACCGCTGATTTCGTTTGAATGTGGTCGTGAACCTTTTTGTGGAAAGACAATACAATCACGTAAATGTCGTAGTTCAGGTTTATCAACCGCATTAAATGTTCTCATATCACCTGGATGATGGCATGGATGTTTTGTGACAACAACACGAGTGTTATTCAATATGGTCGTCTCTGTCCACTCATATTCTCGAGAACTTGAATCATCGAAATCGTTTGTTGGTGAACTATGTTGAGATTGGATGGGACGATAAAGACTTTTCGAACGTAAATTACTGAACTGAACGAAAACTTCACCATATTCCAGTACGCCATATTCATCGACAATTCCAATGAGATTTCTGGCCGATTGTTTGGGTATTCGTGTTCGTGATTTCTCTTTCATTTTAATAAAATCATGGTGAATGAATGTTACGATTAATTGACGAAAAAATGGTTCTTCAGCTAAATTGATTTGTCCATCGAGAAATAATTCTCGTAATGGAAATAAATTCCGTGTTAATTTATCCGAAAGAAAATCATAAGTCACCGATGGATATAATAACGATTCAATTAACCATAAATGATGTTCCTGTTGTAACAATAAAAAGATGACATCGTGAACATGACGATGAGAAAGTAAAACAATTGTTTGACGATTTAAATAGAGTGGACCTAAGAAAATAGCGAAATGACGAAGTTATTTCTTAGAAATAAATCTTACGTGGCGCAGATATACGACATGACTCAAGAATATCATAATCACAATTAAATTTTCGCATGGAATGGCGTAAAACTAGTTGTTGTGGTGCGTTATTCAACTCCGGACACAAGCAAAGAACACCCTTACAACCTCCGTAACGAATCTGCATAACACTAAATGGATAATGAAGACCAAGTTTCGCTTTAACCTGGTCACGTAAGATCGTTGACATTGTTCCACAACCATCTGTGAAATTATACTTCCCATCTTCAGTCTCAACGTCATTAATATACCTTACAGCTTCAGCTGGAATCTAAATACAGACATTTCGACATAGAATTTGGTTTTAATTCTACAAACTAAACCTGAATTGTTTCTTCGGTACTGGTAAAGCATTGTGCAATACGTGCTGTATGTTTGGCAACAACACGTTCGCAATCGAAATTTCCCATCCATAGATAAGCATCGTCAAACGAAAGATTTCCTTTTTCATATGTCGTCGTTGGATGATGATGATAAAACCAAAATTGTTTCTCTTTCAATTGAGATTGAGAATGATGGAGATATTTATAAATACGATTCGGTTCGATAGAAAAACCATCAACTAACAATTGTTTCAATTTCCATCGGATTTGTCGAAAATCTAACGGATACAAAACACCGCCATCTTCTTCACGAATCTCTACCAACGCGAAATTAAACGGTCCACCGAAACTCTTCTCTCGTAAGATTCGATTCGTTTTACACAATTTCAACGGTTTAATAACAATCGTCGTCGGTGTAACAGTCACACTCGGTACATATTGATAATTTCTCGGCGGCTGTTTGATAGTCGTCTTCGATAGAGTCGTTTGTCTTTCTTCCACACGTATTCGTGCTTGACGAGATAAATAATCGACTAATTCTTCGTATAAATCAATAAATAAGTATTCTTTTGTACGTCTCCATAAATGGATACAAGTATGATAAAAGTCTTCATCATCTTCGATAGTAGATATTTTTGCAGTGAATAATGGAGTGACACGTTGGTGAAAACGATAACCAAGAGAGACGAGAATAGCCCAAGCATAGTTTTTGATGAATGAAGAAAATAAAGGTTTGAATGGACGAAGAATTAAACCTGGAGATGTTTGAATCGATCCGTAAGTAATCGCGATGTAGTTTCTTTGAAAAAATGACAGGAAATTTGAAAAAGTCAATTTGATTTCACCGAAATGTCGTGATAAACTTGCTGAAAGTGCATTATTATCCAATTTAATTAAAAGACGAAAAGTTGAACACAATGGTCTCGGCTCTTTTGGTACCACACGAACAAAATTGTCCAAGCCAGGTTTTGTTCGATCAGAATCTACAATTTATTTAAGTTCGTGCCTCTCTATGCGAATCAAATTCCGTTCAACTTACTGAAATAATCAATACAATTGGCTTTCATATTAATGTAGATCAAAAATCCATCGTACAGAGTATTAACAACAGCACAATTTTCGATAAATTCAGCTTTGATTCGTTTGCGAAATTCTTCCAATGGATTGTCATTGGACGATTTTTGATAATCGATATCGAAATGATTTTGATAAAACGTGATTTTCCATGTTCGAATCGTTCCATTAAATTTTTTAATTGTTTCAAAACAATGAAATGATCCAAGAGACACCAATGACCCGAAACTCATCTCCACATAAATACCATCATTCAATGGACAGAGTTTCTTCTCGAAGTTTTCGTCATTCTCGGGATTTAATAAGGAATCGATAAATTCGACTTTCGCTGAGGAAATCATCTCAAGATCAGACACATGTTCATCAAATTTCGTCGGTTGACGTGGAAATGTAAACCAGAACAGGTCGTTTTTTGTTAACTGATACTGCTTCAATTTCTGTATACACGCGGGAAGTGTCGATACGTTCGAGTTCGCCAATGTGAATGTATAAGCATCCAGACCACCGAGACACCAAAGATCATGTTCCACTTGCACTGTTTTCTTCGTTTCATGATGAATCAAACTGATATTTAATTGTTCGAATACGTGACAGAGATTGTTTAAACTTGTGGATCTTCCGTCAACGATTAGAATTATTCGAGATAATGATGGATTCGAGACTGTTTGAAACGAAAAATCGATAGACGGTGACGATTTGATTGATTTGTAAGATGATGAGGACGATGATAAACTTGACGGCGTGCAAGGCGATAAGCTTTGACTGGAGATTGACTGAAAAACAAAAAAATTCATATTCATGAGACTAAAAATATTTCTTGACATGTACAGATGTTGAAGTCGATGGAGAGACGCATTTCAAAAGTGCACGAAACCAGTTTTGATCTTGATTGCACTTCGTAGGTGTTTCTTGCTGTGAAGATTTGTTCGAATGACAATGACGGAATGAGATATGTTTACATCGCACTTGTGTATGAGTAGTCATTCTACTTCGAAAATACTTCGAAAGATTCCTCGAATGCGAATCGCGACGATTGAGAGAAAAATTATAATTGAGTTCTCGCATCATATACAAATGTAGTTAATATTCGAATTTAAACTGATATGATACGTGATACAACTGATTTCAGTTCGAAGAATGTTTATCGTATATATATCTCTCTCTCCCTATCCATCGGCTACATATAGAATATGTCTTGTTTCGAGGGTTTATTCGAGAACATATTCAATTCGATGTGATTCGTCATATTAGACAGAGGATTAGTTCGATCGATGATTCATTTCACTAGATAAATATGGAGTCATCCTGTTTTTGTGGAATGTTTATTTAAAATAAAAATGAATCTATCACCAACGATAATTAAATATGTGAGATATTTATATAAATGCAAAAGAGAATATATGTTGTGCTCAGTTAACCCATTTACACAGGACAAACAACATCGATAGAAGACTAGAGAGAAATCGATTAGATTTCGTAATTGCGGAATTTTCGGAGGTAATCGTTGACGGGTTCCGTGGAAGACCATGTGGATCCTGTCGGCAGATTGTTTTTTTCTTGGTCATTCTGCTCATGCGTCTGACCACTTTCAATCATTGGTTCCTTTTTTGTTACCATCCAATGAAATGTCTAGAATGAGAAAAAAAAGGAAGCATGTAGATGATTTACTCGGAATTCAGTTCATCAGTGAATAGAATATCTAATCTATAGATTCATACACCCGATTATTCGTTTTTCTATCGAAAAACTTTATTTCTTTTGAAAATTCAAACGAAAAGTACTTTTACAATTGCAAGATGTGTGCTGCTTTTTTATTTGCACTTGAACATGACGCCACATGCCTTGATACTGTCTATGGAAAAGAGCGTCACATCGTCTGTATCCTTCCGGTCGAACAGTAGCCTGAGGAATAACTCTGTTCAATCAACAGTATCTTTCCAGTATATTATCTATATGTATATTCGTTTTATCACTTAGGTTTTTTTCTCTCGTGTTATTTCAGCAAAACGGACGATTACTTTGATTGAATATTGCAATAATCGGTGTCAAATTGTTTGTACACACGAAATCGCTAATGATGAAAAGGTCATCTTTGGGGTGTTTGTATGTTATTTGACAATTCGCTGTCTTGATCAACGAAGTGGAAATAGACGCTTGTAGCCTGAGGATTTCTTTTCACCAGTAAATCAAACCAATTTACTCATTAGAAAGAAAAGCATTTATCTCGTCTTCTTCGCATTAAATTGATCGGTCTACTGAGAGACATAAACGTCTTGAAAAGTATTCGAATCTCTCGATATTGAACAATCAGTGAATGGGACGAAGCATCTGTTATGCCTTAAGAGACGTCATCATTAGTTAGATATTTTCTTTCAATGTACAAAATCCTCCGCTTTTTTTCTCATTCTCTTTTCAAGCTCGCACATACGAATAGACAATGTCTTTTCTCTCTCTCTCCTCGATTTTTTTTCCTCTTGCGTTCTTCTCGTTCTATCACTCATACGCTTGCATTAGACATCGAGCGAGAAACGGGCATCGTACATTAACCAAACGAGAGTAAATAGAGGATGGAAAGGGCAACATCGACCGCAAAAAATTTCGATGTTTTTCTTCTCATTGGATAAAAAGAAAATGAAGAAATGATCATTGGTTAGCAATTAATTCCTGTCAAGAGGAAGGAGAAAGGGCAGAAAGAAAGGAAAATAGAAGTGAACGAGCACGAACACACTCACACATTGTATTCATTCATTTTTTTCTCTGCTTCACCGACACACGCACATTCTTGTTCTTCCCATAAGATTTCAAACACGCCATGAAACAACGACGAAACAAACTTGATCAGAGTAAAACCGAAAGAAAACATGACTTTTTCTTTAATGTTTAATTCAAACTATCTTCTAGAAACTGAAAAAGAGATCGACGAGCATATGTATATTGAATTAGATTTACAATGCTGGTATTTATCATCACTCATTCTTTTCCACATCCTCTTCTTCTTCATCTTCGTTTTTCTAGCTGTCCACAATCACAACTCAACAACAACGCATCCATTCAGGTATTCATCTCCTTCTCTCTCTCTCTCTACCCTCACACTCATTTCACTTCTCCTCTCTTCCTTTCGCTTCAGTTTTCTCGCCGTTATCTTCAATGTCAGAGTTCAATGCCTGTTGCTATTCTTCGATCATATATACAACTCATTCTACCACATTCTTCCATGACACAAGTAAACACAACTATACATACACACTCACTCATACACATTCCACTGTTTCAGGTGACATTCTATGATTCTCAACATCGACTTCTACATGATCAACAGCTTCTTTCTTCACTCCAACCACCACCTTCTTCTTCTTCCTCTATACATATTCCGATTCGATTCTCACTGTTCAACACTATCACCTCTCTTGCTCACTGCTCATGTTCATCGTCGACTCCAACTCTACCGCCGTCGATATCTTCGTCATTCTCATCTCCCACTGTCATCAGACGTGAAACCATCGATCAAACTCTTTCCACTTGTTCGTCACTTCACCATCCATCGTCGATGATTTATTCTCCTTGTTTGTCATCATCATCAGCATCAGTGTCATCTCCGCCAACTCTCTCGGCATCATCGTCAGGCTCGGTCTCGATTGTGAATCTTCTCACTCCACCACCGTCGTCATCGTCATGTCACTCGTCGACTGTGAACGAGCACGATTCGAGCAGTGCTGCTACTGCGATTACTGATCAGGCAATAATCGACGAAATCACATCACAGTTCGGTGAAATCTGCCCAGCAGTAGTAAAGAAGAATCGAAATCGTTTGTCGAAGAAGACAGTGGCGAAGATATCGTCGAATATTCCACTTGATTTGAGTATGAAAAAGCGACCATTGTCAGCGCTCGATACGTTCTCATCGCGACCGAAATGGATTAAAATTTAGCTTTCTTTTCTCTTCTATTAAACAGCACATGTGATAGATTCCATTCTTGTTCACGTTGTGTGTACAAAAAAAGAAAGAAAAAGAGATTATCCAAAACTAGTCGTTTTCAAGGGCGCACAGATGAAACTGAATGAAAAATGAAATAGAATTGAAAATGATGATTATTGTTATTTTTTGCAGTAATGACCAAAGGCAATGATGTATACACTCGGGAGTCTTTTGATGTGATGTTTTACTTAGATATGAGAAAAAAGACGTGCAGCTGTGTATGTGTTTTTTCCTTACCGGTTGACTTCGTTCATTAATTGACTGCCATTTTTTCCAGGGAACAGCTATATGACTATTACGCCAATAGTCATATGCCTTGCGTTGAACATCATTACAAAGAACTTCTTTTGCTTCCTGAAGCTGTTTGAATCGGTCCACTAGGAACAGTCACACGTTTCCATCTCACTCATTACACATAGAAATTCAATTATAACGTACTTGCTTCGGGATCGTCTAAATTTTTATCAGGATGATACTGAAGTGCTCGAACGCGGTATTCAGCTTGAATTTGATCTTTCTAGAAAAAGCCGAGGTTAATCATGTCCATAGAAAAGGTATCAATTTTTACATTGGAAAGTTCATCACATCCAAGAATTGCATAGTAATCAACTGATTCATCTCGTTCGTTGTTGAATAACACATTCATATTTACAATTTTAATCTAAAACAGAGACTAATACCAATGTTTTCTTTTTGGTTTCTAAAGTACAAATCATTCCCAGTGGAAATCTTTCTTTTTAGTTTTTAATGAGATCTTGTAAACTCAATGGAAATTCAACCGCTCCGCAGTATTTCATCCTATCGTTTATTAATATTATTTTAAATTTGAAACGTTAGCACATTAAGAACAATATTTGATGAATGAAATTGAAATAAAAGCATAAATTATTAATTATTTCTTTTCCAAGGAGACAAACGACAACATCAAGAAAAAGTAAAGATCGTGATACAAGGTTTAACGAAAAAAAAAGAAAGAAAGAAGGAAAAGGAACTTTTCCTCTTTCATCATCACACTAATAAAAATGACTAGAAAATATCGGTGATTTAATTTTTGTTTTTTTATACATAAAATATATGAGTGAAGAGAAGAGACGATCAAATGAGCTCACTGTTAGGAAAAGACGAGAGATTCGAAGACATTTATATATTCTGTTAATATACAATAGATTAGTGAAAGAAAATGATTTGCATTTTCAGTGTTGAATTTGATCCGAACGATGAAAGATTAAAAACCGACGTAAAACATTACGATTGCCTTCAAATCGTCGATTGCGATTGATCGATACTTGAGAGGAATTCAGATCTGTTGATGTATTGCTGTTCATTGCCGCTGACGAAGTATTGGAATTCAATGGTGGTAAATCATTTGCATCCAATACTGTTATGATACAATTACCATTATTGTTATTATTATTTAAACCTTTCATTTCTATTCAATTGAGAGAATGACGAAATCAGTATTCAAAGTGAAAGAAGATGTTTGTTTACCAGATGGCAAGGACACGCCATGTTGACGTTGATCACTGATTGAATGTATGATGATGCGTTGATTGAATTGTCTCCAACGGATACATAACTAAAATAAAACGAGTGAGAATTGTTGTTCTCTTAGAAGAATACGTGTCTATATTACCTGAAGATACATTTTACATTGTACATAGAGAAATACCTGAAAGATGTCAGTTATAAGACGGAGAAATGTGTTTTCTAAAAGTCTTACTAATCCTCCGGTAAATCCAATTGCTACGACGATTAATTTTGTCCAAAATGGCCAATCTATTTCAAGTAAACGAGAAAATGACTTTGGAAATCTTGAGTTTAACTTACGAAGTTTTCCTTGTTTCACTTCTTCTCGTGTTTTCTCGATTAGAACATAGAATGACCACAGAACGCAAGTAACTGCGATTAGATTAAATGCAACTGAACACATTATCTTCCGTCTTTCAACGACATTCATATCCAATTTTTGCCACTGAAATCCAAAGTGAACAGCTCAATTTGCTCTGCATTTTCTCTCATCGTCTTACCTGATTGAATGGTTTAATTTCCGAACGCATGATGAATTCAAATTTACACAATTCACACGACTTAACTCCTGCACTTTTGATCCAACGTTGTAAACATGCTTGGTGTAAATATTGCATTGTGCCCAAACATAAACATGGAGATATTAATGGTTCATCTGGTGTACTTTCACAATGACATATTCGACATATATCTGGACATTCGCTGGTTTTTGAGCTCGACGATGAAGATGAGGATCTCTGACGCGTTAACGGTTCCGTATTTGATGGTAGTAATGGGCTTGTAATTGGTACGGTGGCTTCAGTTCCTTCTTCATCAGGTTGCTTCATGGCTTTATCCATAAAATCTTCATGTGTTTGACTAAGATTAGGAGTTATTTCAGAAGTCATTACTGTTCGCTATTATATAAATAAGAATAGGAATAACTTTAAAGTATTTTGTTTAAATTCTGTGCATTTATTTACTTGATTTAATCACTGAATAACTCTAATGAATCAGTTTGATGATAATAAATAAATGACGAGTCAATGTGACTCGATTAGACGATTTGTTATTTGTACAGATAATCAAGTACAATGAGAAAAAAAGATTGATACTTTTCTAAGGCTATGTTTTCATGTAAATCATTAGTATTGGTCTTTATGACGCCATTCAAATAAACAATCGATCCTCTCGGCACGTATTTTGACAAGTTAGACATTCTTTGCAAGGTATCAGCGCCATCTATTGATCCTCTAGGGTGCATGGTCTCATTCTTCTCTATAGGAAAGACAATTTTCGGCTCATATTTAGATCACGTGACTGAAAAGACTGTTTGCCTTTCCATTCTAATTATCATCAAGGTAAAATCGATCTAAAAAGGATACACATATGTCGCGTTTCTGATCTTTACCGAACAGGTGAACTATACTGCTTTCGGCTAATATATTCGATGATCACTAAGACATGTTTGCGCAGTCATTCACATCACATTTATCAATGAAAATTATGAAGTACATGCAACGACCAATAGAACTTTATCGTTTAGATCTTATCCCTTCCATATCTATATATCGAGGATATTTCTATGACTAATAGTACGCTTGTGAGTTGAACGACACACGATATGGACTTCAATTCTTCTCCTTTCATTACATCGTCTGTTGCTCGCCATCCTCTCGCATTTCCTTTGTCTATCTTGACGAACAATCGCTTCGTGAAAGCAACAAACACAGCATGATGTCTTAATTTTCAATACACAATTCACATTCGAACTACATAAGCACATCTAATTCATTCATAAATGACTGAAACAACGCAATCAATCGTTCATTTTCATTCCAATTTCATACTGTGTAGCTGAAAATGTATTCAGAATGATATACATAATTACAGATAAACAACAACTTTCATATAGGTATTACTTAACGCACACGGAAAATTTATGTTTTAATCCATTTCGGTTGCGACGCTAACATATCGAACGCTGACAATGGTCGCTTTTTCATACTCAAATCAAGTGGAACATTCGACGATATCTTCGCCACTGTCTTCTTCGACAAACGATTTCGATTCTTCTTTACTACTGGTGGGCAGATTTCACCGAACTGTGATGTGATTTCGTCGATTATTGCCTGATCAGTAATCGCAGCAGCAGCACTGCTCGAATCGTGCTCGTTCACAGTCGACGAGTGACATGACGATGACGACGGTGGTGGAGTGAGAAGATTCACAATCGAGATCGAGCCTGACGATGATGCCGAGAGAGTTGGCGGAGATGACACTGATGCTGATGATGATGACAAACAAGGAGAATAAATCATCGACGATGGATGGTGAAGTGACGAACAAGTGGAGAGAGTTTGATCGATGGTTTCACGTCTGATGACAGTGGGAGACGAGAATGACGAAGATATCGACGGCGGTAGAGTTGGAGTCGACGATGAACATGAGCAGTGAGCAAGAGAGGTGATAGTGTTGAACAGTGAGAATCGAATCGGAATATGTATAGAGGAAGAAGAAGAAGGTGGTGGTTGGAGTGAAGAAAGAAGCTGTTGATCATGTAGAAGTCGATGTTGAGAATCATAGAATGTCACCTGAAACAGTGGAATGTGTATGAGTGAGTGTGTATGTATAGTTGTGTTTACTTGTGTCATGGAAGAATGTGGTAGAATGAGTTGTATATATGATCGAAGAATAGCAACAGGCATTGAACTCTGACATTGAAGATAACGGCGAGAAAACTGAAGCGAAAGGAAGAGAGGAGAAGTGAAATGAGTGTGAGGGTAGAGAGAGAGAGAGAAGGAGATGAATACCTGAATGGATGCGTTGTTGTTGAGTTGTGATTGTGGACAGCTAGAAAAACGAAGATGAAGAAGAAGAGGATGTGGAAAAGAATGAGTGATGATAAATACCAGCATTGTAAATCTAAGTCAATATATACGCTTTCATCATTCTCTTTTTTCATTTCTTTCGTTGCCATAGAATCTTTTATTCTTGGCTCTACAAGGAAAGTAAATACAAAAAAATCATTTATTCAATCGAAAATAAAGTTCATTACTTTGATTATCTTTGAAACACTTCGATTTCGACTTGGTCTGATCTAAAGATTGTTTCGATTTGATCGCACAGGATGGTGACATGTTCAAGCATACAATATTTTTGTGCTTATGTAGAAGTCTGTCGGCGAAGGAAAAGAATTGAATGCAATGTGCGTTTGTGCTCGTTCACTTCTATTTTTCTTTCTTTCTGCCCTTTCTCTTTTCCTCTCTTGAGATGATTTGAAACAGCCAATCGATGTTGGGTTTCTCTCCGTTTTTATCCAATCGAAAAAAGCAATTATTTGGTCAATGTTCGCTTCTCTGTGGCCCTGTTTACTCTCCGTTGGACTAATACATGTGTACATGCCCGCTTTCGACCCGTCTCGCACGTATATTGCCACGTTGTGAGATAGGGCGTGTACATATGCAGCGAAAGAAGAGAATAGGAAAAAAAGAAAAAAGCGCGCTGTGTTTGAATATTTGATTATAATGAAAGAGAACGGGAAAAAAGCGGGGCGCAAGAAGAACGAATAATGATCATATCCTCTCTTTTTCTCCTTCTCTGTTTAGCCTTTGGCTATGAAGTAGAGGAAAAAAAGCAGATGAACAAATTAAGCACGTAGCAGCTGTTACTTCTCATTCGTTGTTTCTTGTACATCAACTATTTTTCTTTCAGACACAAAGAAATGATTCATTCGTTAAAAAAATCATCCCTTGATAAATGAAGAAATATGAGATACACAGAAGACACATGGCTTTGTAGTATTAATTGATTCGATGATGACGAAGATGAAGTTAATTAAACAATGGCGGGCTAAATTAGTTCAATCATCGGATCCTTGTCGTGAATATAAAATGACCTTTGATGATTGATTTTCTTAACTCCAACGAAAAGTTTATTCGTCATTATTTGCTCATTAGAAATGTCAGAAAAAAATAATCGAAATTTTTTCTCGGTGGAAAATCTCAAATGGTCACTTTAGCTTTTGCCTAATCTTCCACTGCTTTCTTTCTCTCTCCCCATCTCATATGTGCCATTTGACTGTCAAGTGTCATCAGAAACGAATAATAATACGAAAGAATAGCAATCATCTTAGTTCGTTGGGTGTGAATTTGTCTCCGCACCTCCTCCTTACTCTTTTCAATATTAATTAATCATAACAATTGTCATGTTAACCAATGAGAACGTATGAACACATGAGGCTATTCGCATCATCGTTCCCTTCGATCAAACGATGCGGTCAATTAATTGAGCTTGAATAACGAAAAAAAACTTTCACTATTTTCTCCTGATGGATAATCTTGTGGTCAGCTGACGGCTACTTTCTTGCTGAGAAGAAGATATTCTCATCAATTAGAGATTATTTAGTTTCGTGTTAGATTTCTTTTTTGAGCACGTTTCAAGGATTAATGCTAGCCAGAATCTAATTGGATTCTTTCCTTTCTCGTATATGTACGCCTCAAGGAAAATGTTCAATCAATGTACATAATGGTCTCTTTACTTTCTCGTCATTCGATTGGATGATTCGATGAAATGAGCCAATCATGAGCTTTCTTAATAATCAACTTCCGTTCGCTAGATTAGAAAATAAAAAAGTACAAACACGTGAAGAAAAATGAGTTGAAGAATGTTCGTTTGATATCGAATTGAACTTGATACCATTTGTTGATCGTGGAGCATTTCCAAGTAAACACCATTTGTCCATCCAAAACCATCTTGATTCTCATATTCACCACCACCGCCTGGCTTATGCGTATTTACAACATCGTATTTTTCCATCATTTTGCCTGTTTCACTAAAAACACGTTCATTTAAAGTCATCCAACGATGTCGAATAGTTCGCGCTAATGTTTCGTAACCAGAAACTTTCAATATCGCTCGATAGGTTACAAACTGTAATGGTGCCCATCCGTTCGGACTATCCCACTGTTGAGTACTGCTATTCGATAGTGTTGTCACGACTCCGCCATCATGTAAAAACGAACTTTCAACTTTTCGGGCAACGAATTCCCCTTGCTCTTTGGTTGAAATATCAAGCCATAGAGGAAATAGGGCTGCTAATGTCAATCGATTTGTTGGTTTCTTCAACACATAGTTATAATCAGTAAAAAATTGTAACTCCGACGACCACATATATTTATGTATAGCCTGACGACGTCTTTCAGCTTCAGCTTGTTTACCTAATGTTATTTCTAAATGATATAACAAACAATTTAAATCTATGGGAAGAATGTTTGCCGTTTTGATTGTCGAAAGATTGTTCTCATCATCCATCCAACGTGAACTAAAATCCCAACCGGATTCGGCACCTGCTCGTAAATGTACGTAAACATCTGTACTGCCAGCTTTATGTGCGGTTTCTTGATCTTCAAAATACGCTTCCGGTCGTGGACCATTTTCGTCATCATAGTAACGATTCAGAACTGCTCCATCGTCGAGCGTTATGTTTCGTTTTGTCATCCAGAATGCATATTCACGTTCTAATTCATTCTTGTATTTTGATGTCTGGTTTGCTAGCTCTGTCATTAAAGAAAAAAATGGTGGTTGAGATCGTCCTTGGTAATAGTAACGATTTCCATTTGGAATTAAACCAATTCGATTAATAAGAAAAGCAAAATTATCTAACATATTGTTGATCGAGTCAATTTCATTCGATCGAACTAAACCCAACATTGTGAAGTATGTGTCCCAATAGTAGAATTCGCGAAAACGTCCGCCAGGTACGACAAATGGATGTGGAACATCGATGAATGAAGAAAATTTCTCTTCTTTCGTTGTTCGGGTCAACAATGACCATAATTTATGGCAGTGCTGTTCAATTGTCCATTTATCATGAACAATTGTTGTTGTATTTGGTAAAATGAAATGTTCGTAAACAAAAGATGTTAAATTGAACTTTGGTTCATTGAATTGTTGACGATATAAATCAAGAATTTCGTTGGGAGTCAGTGCTCGAGGAACAACATCGCAGAATGTCTTCGAATCGGAAAATACACGTTGAGTTTGAACAGTACTAAATAGTTCATCGTAAAGAACATCGGGCGATTGAGTTTTTGTTAATGAAATAGTAAGAAAAACAACGACGAAATGAATTACCTGCATCATCTTTGTTTTTACCACTGCAGACAATGCGAAGGTTTATATAATTCTGTTATGTAAAGATCAAGCACGTTCTCTTTGCATAAGTATCTAGCTTCTTTGCCTTTTATCAGCAGTAAATAGAAAAAAAACGTATTACTCAGTGCAAAACTGATACACCAATACACCTTTAAACTATCAACTAAAGAAAAAACAAAAATCTTTGACGAGTTTGTTATTCAAGAGAATGAAGTTTCAAGATACTCGTTTTAATAAAAGTTGAAATCTTAAACAAATAAATAAGTTTTAATTATAGAGACGAGAAGGATTGTCTTTTATCAACTAGAGTACGATATCTCAAAAGAAATGTAAGGTAGGAGCCTGAATAACAGTCTGGCAGTCGGAGAAGACAAACAACTTTGAAACTAAGGAGTTGTAAGCTGAAGTAAAACAATATGGCAATATTACTTTTGCTAAGGATGATCAGTCAAGAAAAAAGCTTAGCTAACACGAGTTATTATCATATGGGTTTTGAGTTCAACTTCGATTGTTTCTTCTCTTATCAAGATTCGTATGCTTTTTTTAACGTTAATCATACTGTTTCTGAGCATCAGCAGTGGTGTAAGTTTATTTCTTCAACTCAAAAGCATCTACGAAACTTTTTTGATAGATACTATGTGAATACGATCTTTCTTTTTCAATTTCATCTTATATGAAATCCTGAACGATATTATTGTTTGTAATTGAAATCTTTCATCTTGTATTCGACGATTCATGGAATAGCGCACTCGCATTCGAATTTAAATATATCTATACAATCAGTTACCGACATCTTTGAATAATATTCAAGAAGAATGAAATCAATAAAATGATTAGAGCGGACAAAGGAGAATCATTTTGGTTCGTTCGTTATTATACCATGTTAAAACCCTCAAGCAAACCATGAGCGATACACTCGTGTTAACATCGATAAACGGTTGTTTATTATCAAATAAATTAGTTGATTCATGGCTTGATGCAAATGAGATATACATAGCGCGAAAGATTCTTTCCGCTGATCGTCGATCGGTGGAAATAACATTTGTCGACGATGAAAGTATGTTGAAATTAAAATATGGAAACTATTCGATTCAGCGGATATTTATTTCCAAGGAACGGAGATGATGTTCGATTTATTAACAACTTGTTATAGTAATTTCGTTTCCATAACTCGTGCTCAACCATTAAATAACTCTTCCGAGGATGAACGTGTCCCCTCACCTGCTCATTTATCTTCTTCAGTTTCGGTTGCATCGAAAATGTCCGCATTTTCACAGCGGCTTGCGGCAATCGACAAGAAACAAAACGAGGACACATTTCAATCTGCAATCGGTCGTGGACGTGGATTCGATCATAATTCAGCACAAATGCAACATTTAACAACGAAAAACGGCAGTGATGATTCTGATATATATTCCAGTAAGTGACAACATGTCAATAAAATGACGAATGAATAGGATCTTTTACTACTGCTGCTTCTTTCTTTTATAGCAATATCATCGTCAACATTTGGACGCGGACGACGTTCTCTTTTCAAATAGATATGTTTGTTTTTTTTATGTAAAATATCTTTCTGTGTAAAAATGTTGACATCTACTCTACGTGTATAATGATTAACTATTTTTCACTAAAATTTCATTTGATTTATGTTTTTGTTAAAAGATCTTCACCATCCGCCTTCGTCTTGTACCACCCAACGACAATTTGGAACGTTCTATCTCAATGTTTTCGGAACAATATTATTAATTATCATTATTCCATGGGAAAAAGAATTAGGAACTGATCGCACTCATCAATCAAGCAATTCATGATTAACATTATCCTTCCGAAGAAGTTTTTTGTATAAAAATAAGAATGTTGTTGTATGTCTTATGTAGAACGAGAAAGAAAGAAATAGAAGAAGCAACGTCAAAAAAAAAAGAGGGGATGCCCCCGGTGAGGCTCGAACTCACGACATCCGCATTGCTCCGATACTGTGTATAAGTACGGCGCTCTAGTCCAACTGAGCTACGGGGGCCTGTTGAAAAGAAGAGAGAAAATGAATATTTATTCTGTTCAAAATATTCCAGCAATCCAAGGAACAACAAGCATCAACCATATTTTCGCATAGTTCGTCAAAATCAAGTTGACTTTTTATTTTTTAGGTGTAATATATGAAAACTTTTATCATGTAAGTAAATCTACACCATTCATTTTTTTTCAATATTCGACTCCATAGCAACCGTACGAATCAATTCTCATAGTCTGAAAACATTGAATTGATATTTTGCCTCTTTTATGAATTCGTGTATTGCACAATATCGAATGATTTCTCATAGATGCATTGTAAGTGCTAAAAAGAAAAGAGACGACGCTTCGATGTACCCAATTCATCTGTTCGTTCTAGGAGTTCAAAACAAACATTTTTCTAGATAGATCGTCTTTCACGCCTCATATTTCGTCAGTTATATTCAATTGCACAGCACAAAACTTTTCCCAAGTATCTAGGTCAACGAGATTTCTCTCTTCGCAGGTAGCGAATATGTTCTCAAAACATCATACATACGCCTTTTTTTTTGTTTTCGTCTTTTAACATGAATAATATTTTATTGTTTGCAAAAAATTCGCATCGGTTGTTTGAAAGAATAGGAAAAACAAAAATTTGCATATGCACATATACATACAAACAAAGAGAAGCATAGTAGAATGCAAAGCAGAAAGAATTTCTTTCAAATAAGATTACAAACTGACGAACGGCCGGGTGTATCAGATGGTTCGACATGATGATGATGGTGATGATGATGAGAAAAGGCGGCTTGATTACCATTTTGTACACTGGATTTTGAAATACGACGAGAAGTATTGTTAACAATGGCAGGTGGAGAAGAAATAGGAGGAAGATTGGTTGGTGATGAGGGAATTATTGCAGGAGGATTTGTACTAATTGTCGAGCGTTTTCGGGTGTTTACTTGTAGACGTAGTTGATCAACATCATGTCTTAATTCTGTGATTTGTCCACGTATTATATCGATTGCACCTTTATTTGCATGAATAGTTGAGACAAGAGTTGGATCAATAGATGGAACAGCTATTGTTTGTTGTTCGCGATTGATCGCAGCAGGTTGTTTTACTAGTAAATTCTCATTGGTATTCTTCGCCACTTTAAGTGATGCGATGGCATCGGATTGTGAAGAAGTGATATTCTTTTCTTGTATTGCTGTTTTCGATGGTTCAAATGCTTTTCGTAATGTTTCCTAGAATAAAAAGAGAGATCGTCTATGTTTCTTGTTTATTCGGACCTCAATTTCAAAATCGTTTATCATATACATTCGAACAGAAAAAGCCACAACAAACGGAAAAGAATACAAAGCATAGATATATGGATATGTGATGAATTATTGTAAAGGATAAAAGAACACTTAACGATGAAAGTTCCTTGTTTTTCTTAAGAAGAATAATCAACCGTTCATGTGCATATCTAGAAAAGGGTGCGTCATTTTGTAATACAATATCGAGGAAAAATTCAGCAATAAAACAAGAAAAGCATGACAGTGCGTATTGAACAACATCGCCGGATTTCACAGGTTTATCATTTAACATCTGCTACCTGAGAAGTATTTTCCGACCATAAGGATTCTAAAGTGAAAGATTCGTTTGTTACGTCCAAATACAGATGAGAGTTTCTTACTTAATTTGTCATGTTCTTCTTGTAGTTTCTCCCAATTATCACGATTTCGTTTGCAACCGTCGTAGAGTGGGCTTAGACCCGAATCGACATCCGAAAGCATCTAAATAAAAAACACTTCATTCAAGAAATGATCAGCAATTGAAAAGTACTTTGTAGAGTGGAAGGCAGATTGAATCGATAAAACCAACTACAAGCAAAAGAAAGTCATCTTTTATTCGAAGAAAAATACCGAACTAACCTTGCATTTTCGGTAGCTCGTCTTTCTTTCCTCGGTCCATCATAGGCTAAACAATCCGATAAAGAAAAACTTCTTTCCTAATTCAAATTAGCTACATACAATTGGTTCTACATGCAATTGATTTCGTTCGATATCTCCTTGTTGAAAAAATTCACTTGCGACTAATTTCGCCACGACTTGTTGAATCTCCCATGGTTTACAGATAGCAGCAACGTCACATGCTGTCATCATCATTCCTCTGGAAGAAACATACATTCGATTGATTCATTTCATTGACATGAAATCTTACCGAAGTAAATCTTTCTTTCCTGAATCTGTCCATTGTTTTTCGTTCGCTTCAACTAATTTTTGAAATTCACCTCGTTTTCTACAAAAATCAATCATATCGTTTATTTCTTCGTCGACTTTTCCTTACCGAAAGTACAATGCCAAATCTGTTGACAATATTGCCGATTCAATATAATGAACAACAAGTTTATAATCATCAGGTGATAAAGCTTGAAGAATATTATTTCCTTCTGTTTGTATAATCATAATACATTGATCAAAATGATGATGTTCAAGTGTTGATGTTGTATACAACTTCGCAAGTGGCGCATCGACTTTCGCTTGAAAAGCATTATTTGTTCCGCGATGATCAAGATCGTGACTTAAACATGCAATTAATAAGCCAATACGTTCTAAATCACTCATACGAGCATTCAAACCACCGGTCTAAATAAGAAAAAGATAATTGATTTATACTGCACTGAGAACATGCGAATATGTGATTGACGATCGAACCGAAACTTACTGTCAGCATAGAAAACATTGTTTGAGCAACATTAAATGCATGTCGCCAATTGTGATATATCACCGGTCGATAGTTTTTCTTTACACTCAATACCCATCGACAAATAACATCATGTGGAATTTGTAATTTTCGTGGTAAATCTAACTCCATAAACATTCGAACACTAGCTAGAACAGTTTCATCATCAGTTAAAACCATATCGTTGAATTCCCATGCATATAATCGTAGTTGACTCGCTTCTGGTACAGATATTTGTGAGACTCGTTGAGCATCTTCTTCACATGCGATGACATGATAGGATAAAACTTCGAAAGCAACATTTTGCTTAGCAGTTAAACGAACAACATTCTCATATTGACGAGTATTATGTATACCCAATCCGCAAAAGACGGAAAACGCCTAAATGAACATTTTCTCATTAAAACATTTCCGAAATAAATACACGAAGTCTTACTTCAATAATTGCCACATCATCTTCAGTGAATATTCTTTCATTTAGTTTATTCATTACTTGTGAAACACCAATAACATGTCCACTACTATCCATGATTGGTACACAAAGTAAATTTCGTAATACAAATTCATCGTCTCCGTTGGAGATAAGCTAGATAAAACAAATCTTTAATATTCTTTTCGAAATACCTTAGTAAATCAATTACAAGATGTGCTAATGCTTGATCGCTAGTTATTTCATTCAGACTGACTGTTTCCATCGTTGCCGCGACATGATAAGCTATCTTTGCATAGCGCGAATTTTCCAAGAAATCATTTCTAAACATGTCAACGTCTTCGCTACAATAAGAAAAGTCGTTGTAAGATGTACTACATACGTTGTCACTTTAAATTCTTCTCCGTAGATCATATCAAATCCTTTGGAAAAGTGAATATCCTAAAATAATAGTAATTAAACAAGACACTAGTTCTTTTGGATGTTCCTATTGCTTCTAATCATAGATTACTTCGACTTTGTTGGATGTGGCTGGCCGATCTAATATGTAGACACAGCACCGAGCACATTGCATAAGGCCTTGCGATTCCGTCGTTATTTTATGCACTAATCGTTCCAAATCATCTTGTTCACGAAATAAATTTCGTGCTAAATTCAGAAGAAGCTAAAAGAAACAAAGAAAAATCTCGTTTTGTAAGGAGTGAAAGTAAGAATTGATGTTAAATATTGATGAATCGAAAGTAAATCTAACCTTAAGTCTTTTTAGAAGCGAAAGATTCTCTTTGGAATTTGATGTCTCAATATTCGATGACATATTTGTCGATTGTAAATGTCCATTATCAGTACTTTTATTGTCGTTCAATGTTACAGAGGAAGGATGGAATGTGAGAGAATCGTTATGTTTATTTAGTGACATGAAATCTAACGATTGTCTAGAAAGCTTGACTGTAAGCAAATTAGATCATTGTTCCATGAAAATTGACTAGATTAGTTTTTAATACGCTTAATCTTTATGTTGCGCATGATAAACGTAAAGAAAAAGGAGAAGAAGAAGATGAAGAAAAAAAATCAAGAATGAGACGCGAAAGAAGAACGAGAAATAGAAAGTCTGCAGTCGTTGAAAGCACGCAAAACGCGAGTCTTCATTTTGCTTTTTTTATTCTTCTTTCTTCATCCGTGTGCTTGATTTTTTTCTCGACTGTGTGTTGTCAAAACGACGTTAGAAGTATTTGGATACACTTAAAGCTCGTCAGGCATGACGAGTGAATAATATGTCTCGAAAAACAACTTCGTGTCTCACTATCTGAATCATTCTCGAAACAACACGCATTTTTACTTGATTTTTTTTGTATTCTTGAATAGACAGTTCGAATAGTTGAGCATTCGACAGACCAAGACCACAAAATGTTAAATAATTACGGAAGACCTGGGAATATCGAAATGATGAGAAAGAAAACAGATGTAAAGGTAATGTAAATAACGTGACTTACGTTAATATCTTTAGTCGTAAATTCATGTGTGCCTGTCTTTTTGTTAATGATTTGGGCCACACCGATAGCAACATTGTCACGATTTAAAATCGGCATACAACATATGGAATGTGTTCTATAGCCGGTTTTGTTATCAACTTCTTTGTTAAATCTCGGATCCTTTGAGTAAAAGAGAAAAAGGACGAAAAATAATAATTGCTCTGTCAACAAGCGATTACAGAACGAAAACAAATCCGATCACTTAAGAGTGTCGCATGGTGCTGTCAACGTTGTCAATGACGTTTTTGTTATGGACACGTACAAATAAATATATGTATGTATATAAATATGTTGAAATGTAATAAAGACTGCTGACATTTTTTCCTCTCAACTTTCATTTAACATCTCGAAGAAAAAGAGAAAAGATGGCAGATATTGATTCGGATGATTTTGTCGATCGCGAAATGAGAGAATATAAACTCCGCACAGCTTATGGTGGACTATTGAAAAAACCTCGACATAAACCATCCAAGTATAACCATGTCCAAGTTGCGCATTCCGACGGATGTTGCTCATCGGCTGATTCAAGAGATCGTCATCCACATAAACATAAACATACACATACTCCGCGACACGAAGCCCATGATCGTGCTCATCAAAAACTTGATCCTGTTTACGTGCAACGTGGACGAGTAACAAAACCGTCGAATCGGCCGAAGAAATCGAACACTCCGCCTTATTCAACTGAACAAAGTACCTCAATGAAATCGCCGCCCACAACAGAAAAGAAAGGTTGTTGTTGTTGCTGTACAATATGCTAGAACTGAACTGACTTTTTGTTCTTTCATTATCAAATTCCGTGAGGAGGAAAAATAAAAAAATGAAATTCGAATTCTTTTCTACTTGATTAGATAATAAAAAAATCATTTCCTTATTTTCCACTAGGTGCTATTCAATTACTACTCGTATCCGAAGAAATGACTTACTTCGTATGCATCAGGAATATTAATATATTCTTTCGTCAATGCCACATGACCAGCAATACCTTTCCCAAATGGTATGATGATTTGTTGATCTTCTTTATGAAGCGATTGTTCGAGTGTCGATCCTGCTGTAACGTCAAATAGCTTCGAAACTAAATATCGTGCATCTTTTGGACCACGTGCCAAAAATAAACTTCCTCGGTCGGAATTGGTTAAAATCGAAACATTGGTCAAGATCTTGTGACAAACAACATCAACATTTAATTCATTGGCTATATCACGTATAAGTTCAAAGAAAAGTTCATGTTCATCTAAACTCATATAATCCACAGCTTGTGACGGTGCTGATGGTAATTCTCGACTTGATCGATGACCTTGGACAATATTATTAAACATTTCATGTGTTAGAGATGTTCGCGGTTTAGCTAAATAATCTTTTTGTTCTTTGATTCGAATGCATTCTTGCAGCAAGTCATTCGGTGCATAATCTTTGAACCATCGTTTGAGAAAATTCGGCTTGCGAGCTAAGTAGCGAGCGACGATTTCCTCCGACAATGGTTGTTGATTTGGTGTTACCGTTGTTGGCTGTTGTTGGGATACATTGTCCGATGTTTTATACATTTTTCGATGTGACTAAAAGAACAGAATGTAAATAGTCGAGAAAAGTCTGCTTGATCAGCGTCAATAGGAAATAGAATATGGCGAATGATAAATTTCCCAACTGAATGAACTTGATAGAGACTTTTTCAAGTGATAGCAAAGCGTTGAAAAAGAAAGAAATAGGAAAACGAAGAAGAAGAAGACGATGATGGGAAAGTAGAAAGAAGAGTAAAATGTTTCCTTTTCTACAAATAAAAAATGCAAGAAGACCGAAGAAAGAAATTTAAAGATTAACAAAGACAAGAAAAAAAAACCATGAGAAATACGAGTGACACACTCTCTCTTCCTGCTCGAGTCTGATCTTTGAATATTACATATCATTAGATTGAAGTTTTTTTTTCGTATGTGTCTCCACAGGGGACTGTTTTAGACGTCATTCCAATGAATAACATAATTATACTAAAGATTAGCACAAATTAGAGATATTCTATATAATCTGCGATGTTTTCTCTCACTGTCTCAACAAAATTTTCATTCACATACTCAATTTAATCTTTCTTCTCTGTCAAAGAGTGTGGGTTAAGTTTATTTTCTGGTCACAACAGCATTGAATCGTTTAATTGAATAAGATTTCATTGTCTAAATTCTTTTCTGAAAATCATAGAAGGATTGCTGTTAATCTAAGATTTATATTATTTATGCCGAAAAGCGCTAATTTGAAATCGTTGTCTTAGTAACAATGTTTGGGATAAAGAGGAATCCGTCGCTTTTCATGTCATCCATCAGGATAATTACTCTGACTCTTCTATCTTCGTATAGATTTCTCTTTTTTTCCGTGTGCGCTGAGATATTCACCTTCATTGCTTTAGTATCCATTGAAGATTTGTGAGAACCTGCCGATGCGTAATAATGGGAGATAATGATCGTCACGATGAAAAAACGTCAAATCCGATGTTGTTAATTGCAATAATGTGTCTAGTTAGGTATGAACTACGTTCATCTTGATTAAACCAAAACATGGATCAATTAAAAGAAGAAATGCCTGATGGAAAAAACATAAGGACATGGAAAAAGCAAAGTTCTTGTCGTTTTTTCCTCTCTTGATGTTTGCGTGTGTTTATATAATCTATTTCGCACTTCATCTCTCTTCTTCTTCTTCTTCTTTTTCTCTTTATGTTGCCACAACAACGGAAATCTGTTGTCGTTTTCTTTCATAACATAGTCTTTCGACTGACGTCGCACGGTGTGATGAGCTCCTAACTAAAGCACACAGTTGATTGAACATCAACACGCTATTTTCCTCTATCTGAACTTATCACGCACCAATATGACCATTATTGAATTCTTTTGTTGTTGTTGTTTTCTTTCCTTTTTATTCTTCTTTTACTTCTCGTGCAATCAAGAGGGAAAATCAAGACAACACGATAGAACGGAACTGACGACATTTCATCGAAATGAAATATTGACCTTGATATACATGTGATTTTGGATTGACTACAAAAACAAAAAAATAACAAATTTTCACGAGAAAAATTTAATGAAGAGAAAAGCATGAAAACTAGGAAACATTTCTATTCACGTTCGATTTGTACTTGAACGCTTTTGATCGCGTGAATTCGATTATATTCTAAAACTTGTGTCAAACTTTGTCGATCACGATATTGTATTCGATATGCATTCGTTTGCCCGTATCGATGACAATTCAGAACTCGACCGAATTGAGAAAAATATTCTAATAAATTATAATCAGTTAAACGAGAAGCAACGTTTCGCACGAGAAGATAATTCGCACATTCATTCAATTGATCATCATTTTCATTGAAGATATTTAAAACACGGCCATTGAGACAAAAGGCGCGTTGAAATAGTAATTTAATACTATCGTTGATATCAAATAGACCTAATATATACATTTGTCCATAACAGTTTTGATGAATTGTAAAAGTTTTCAAATGAGGAAAGTAAAACGACGAGAGTTTCTCTTGATCTTGTGGAAGATAATTTCCGATATGAACAAGTCGTGTTAATGTGAGCTGAGGAAGCATTTTCGATGAATGATTTCGAGGGTAATATTCGAAAGGATACCCATTGATTTGATGATTTGACGATCTGATCGCACGATTCGCATCGTTTACTTGAGCAAATTCAATAAATGCATAACCACGAGTATCATAGAGAATACAATTCAAGACACGACCGAAATGAATCGATGTATAGTCAAAGAGACTATCTTCACTTATTGGTATATATCTACCAATTGAAACAAAAACAAAATTAGGTCCATCACGAGCGTCACTGAGTAACGATGCACTAAAAGAAATCGGACAAATCAATTTGGCTTGTTTGCCTCGAATTTTGCTTACTTCACTCGACATTTCTGTATATAATGTGGACGATCATTGAGAAAATTCTTCGCAGTTATCATAGATGAGAATAAAACATGTATACATGGATGATAGCTTAATGTTTTCCGACGGAAACAACAGAGATCTTTATCATACATTCGACAATATCGTTCGACACTTTTAGTTGATAATGTTTTCACATTGTTGAGCACAACAAGTGGCTCTTTGTCCTTATTGAATTGATTCGTCATTCGAGAAAACAATGCGAAGACTAGTAAAACGAATGTAATGTTCTACGTGAATATTTTACTCCAGAAAATTATCATTGGTTGGAACAGTTCCTGCCATCTGACGAAAAACGTTTATTTTGAATTAAATATTAGATTAACGATTATCATCGTTCGTCCAGAAAGTAATGATGTCTTGACTTACATGTCAAATAGTCTTTATAGGTTGAGATTACAGGTAATCTTCAGTTAATTAAAGTAAATTCAAAAAACTTTGGTACTTCAGCTACATAGACATTCTCTGTAGAGGATAATACTGAAATACAGTACAAATTTGTAAAATTGGTTGAATTGTAAATATCAGTGACGCCCTCTTTCTTTAATTTACACTAGTTTTGATTTGTTTGATGACTCAAAACAACACTCGTTCATTGTTAGTTTATTTCACTCATGAAATAGTTAGTGAAAAAACGAATTTTTCTGTTCAAAAACAATAAATATATATACACTTCGAAATCGATGAATCAGTCGAATTAGATAACTAACTAGATCAGTTTTTGAACCGATTTGTGATGGTTTATGAAATGTTGAATCTAAATTATAGTAAATTCCTTGAAGATTTTTAATGGTGAACCAATGGTTCCCATTGATATTAATTAATAAACCAAAATATGAATCCCATGGAAGATCTTGCAATGACTCACCATTGTAGAAATTAATCTGTCGAACGTTAAATCCACAACGTTTAATAGCTTCGATTAAAACACGTAAATCATAATCGCCTATCCAAAATTGGCTGTAATCATGATTAGAATTCTTGTTAAATTCTCGAATGATTGTTTCGAGATGTTCATAAGTGAATAAATGAGGAATTTGAAATAGGTTATTCAACGAATGAATGCCACAACGACGAAACTCTTGTTTTTCGTGATAGATTGCCTGGAAACTTGATTGATTATCGACCGGAATTTTATCTTTAGGCTCTAATCGTTGCTGCTGATGTTGATGTTCTCTCCGGTTTCTTCTTGCTGAGTCATCTCCATCGCCATACTTTTGTAAGAGAAATGCATAATAACGGTCGTCATCAAATTCTTGAGAGCTTTGATTACTCTTTGTATAGTGATTACCTAAATCTGCACAACGAAATGAGCGACTTGCATGTGAGTAAATATTACTGTTTCCTGTATTTGCTGTTGCGGTGTTTTTATCATGCTTTGCATTCGAGAATTTTCCCTTGAACTCTTTACCATTGTAGTAATCTTCCAGGATGCGCTATTCGAAGAAAAAATAGTCAAATAAATGCGAAAGAAGTGTAAGTTTTTCTACTTGTAAATTCCAATTATATTCTGTGAGGAAATAAATACAATCTTCGAGGTTTAATCCTGTAAGTTCCTTAAAAAATTTCAAAGAAAGATTTGTTTCTTCGGAAACAACAACAATCCTACTTGAAACTTGTAAAGAGTTCTGTCATTTGATTGCGATTGTGACATCGATGGCAATGAAGTCAACATTGTTTCTTTTGAGTATGCGCTGACATGTTACATTGCTAGGAAAAAAAAATAACAACGAAAATAGCATACAAAAAGAATAAAAAGACAAATAAAGGTGAAAAACATGCTTTCTATATTTACATTCTGTTTCTTCCTTCTTTGTCAAGATGTGGATATTCGTCGTGAGAGTAACCTATTGGATGTTTTCTCGTTTTTTGATAGAGAATATAAAGGATTTTTTGTTAATATTTATTCAATAAGTCGGACGAAGTGTTTTTTTTATTGCTTAAAAATTATAGAAACAAAATGCTTCAGTAATATACAAAATTTTAATGCTATAAAATAAACATTTGTATACTGCATGAACAGAAATGTTGATGAGTTTCAATTTATAAATCGTGGGCTAGTGTTCAAAGATTGTCGACCACCGAAAACATATTCCGATGGTATTATTCGCGCTGTAGAAGAAAAACTAATCGATGGAGAAGGCAATGGCGCAACTCTTGGCGATCGTTTGAGAGGAGTAGCATAGTGTGGAAGTCGTTTTTCGCTTCGTGCACTGGAAAGAACGTTCATCTGAACATCATCAATAGTTCGATTGCTGATTGTGCTAACTGAGCGGTTGCTGTCAGAAATGTTACCATTTGCAGATGATGGTTTGCCAAAGGAACTGTCAACTATATAATAATCGACTAGACGTCTTGGTAGATTACTATTTGCAGCCGGCCCACGTTTCGCTGGATGGCCCTTGCGACGTTTAAATGGGCAACATAAACAACTAGTAGAGAACGACATTCAGTTTTTGCGTCTCGACAACTAATTAATAAACACTTACCACTTTGGACAACAGGTTAAACAGCAGAAACAAATACCGAGTGTAAGTAATAGTAAAGCGAGAACACCGAGAATCGAACCGAACAATGGCCATGGAAACTCTGATTTTGGATGAACAAGGTTAGTTTGTATGAGCTGTGAATAACTGACATAGAACGTACCTGAGGAGCTGGGGTCTGGTTGCCTAGTCGTGGTCGTCGTTGTAGTTGTGGTAGTAGTAGTGGTTGTAGTTGTTGTAGTTGTGGTAGTAGTGGTGGTAGTTGTTGTAGTGGTGGTGGTGGTTGTAGACGTGGTGGACGTTGTGGTTGAAGTGGTAGACGTCGTGGTCGAGGTGGTCGATGTTGTAGTTGTTGTTGTGGTGGTGGTGGTGGTAGTAGTAGACGTTGTGGTTGAGGTGGTCGATGTTGTAGTTGTTGTAGTGGTGGTGGTGGATGTAGACGTGGTTGTTGTCGTAGTAGTTGTAGACGTTGATGTCGATGTGCTTGTTGTCCTAGAAAGATTATTTTGACACATACTAATAGAACAAAAAGATATCAGTATTTGACTGTTCACTCGTTAAAATTGGGAATCTAAAATTCTCTATTTGCTGCTTAAGACTAAGTTTTCCTTTGAGTTGTGAACGCTTACGTAGTTGTAGTAGTAGACGTCTCACCAGGACATAATGCAGAAGGGTCATTCGAAACTGAAAATGTCGTACAATATTGGTTTGATTGAACATTATTACTAAAATGATCAATCTATACGAACGAACAATCCAACTCTGGAGAACACACCTATCGACTGCAACAGCACAAAGAACTTGTGATCCTACAGAAGTGGCTGTTGGTGTCCATGTCAATGATACTGACCATAAAGTCGATGTATTTTTTACAATTGTATTTTTAACAACAATTGGAAAAGAAAGAGTAGCAATATCTTTGATCGTGGTTGTGCTTGGACAGAAGTTTTGAGCGACTAATTGAATTGAATACGGCTGGCCAACTTGAATGGCAACGCATTTTCCAGACTGGGATGCTGCACTTGTAAGCAGAGGACGAGTTGTACAAGAAGAAACTGCTTGCACATTAATCAAGAACTGAAGTGGAACCATGCTAAGAGGAGCTCTGGAAGTGGAATTGATATAATCTTCGATCTAAACAGTAATTTTATCATCGCTACAGAAAATAAATCATGATTAACACAAATTATTTGTTCATGCAAGAAACATTTCAGTACAAAACTTCGATCGTACTCATGATACTTTAGACAATGCGTTTTTGAATTCGCATGATTGAATTTCGCCTTTTCAAAGCTTTTTAACTCTTCAATTTCACTTCAAGACGTTTTTTCTCGGTCATATGGATAAGATCGGCAAAATATCGACTGACATCCATTTTCTCGTTTAGGCTAACTGGAGTGTTTTTAGAAAATTATTTCTCCTTTGATAATTTTTCCAAAAAAACAAATTATCAATCTGAAAACGATTATTAGTATACGGTAACGCGTGCTTACTTGAATTGCAATAGCATACCAGTCTCCCACAGCATAACCTGTGATGAGTAACGTACAATTTGAATATAAAGTGGTTCCGGATGGTAATGTTGCCGGCGGACATGCACTTCCACATTCAGACGATCCATTGGCAAATCGGCATCTTACGTCATCATTGTCACTATCAATTGTTGGTATTGTGATAACTTGTTGAACACCGACAGGTACATAAATGGGCGAAATCATTGCACTCGAAGGCGGATGATTAAAAGTTCCATCTGCTCTCATTTGTAAATTAATTAAACATGTAATACTCCATTGTGTGTTAGTGCTTGTTGAATTAGATGGAAGTGTCAACTGTCGCCAAGATGCACTTTGAAAAGAAACCACAAAGTACGATCCGTTGGCTAGATCGAGTCGATCTGAACGTTGACCTATAGTCATACCAAGACTCACTGAATAATCTGTACAATATGAAATGACTGGCTGTGCAGTATATCCACCCGATTGATTGCAGTATTGAATACATGCAACGGATGAGCTACTTTCCAAATAACTTGCAAGATCCAACTTTGGTGATTGATTAGCAATCATTGAGTCATTACAATAAATTTTTGTGTAATCATATATATAATTTTGGATAAGAAGGATCGAAATGGTCGAGCCTGATGTATTTAAAAGCTTGTAAGTAATGGTTCCACCTTCGAAATGAGTCGTATTGATACACCGGTTGAGAGTAAAGAAGATCAGAATGCAAAACAACAGTTGACTGTTTTGCATATTGTCAATCAATACTTTAACAGATTGAATCGATAAAATTTTTACAGTTGCGTGTGAAATTTATAAAGTCATCAACTTATTTTCTCTTTTGCCGGCATTCACATCGCTTCGAATGTTTTCTTGAAGTTGAAAGAAAAGAACCTTTTTTCTATATCATTGATTTCTAAAGATAGTTCATGTGAAAAATACATCAAAGTAAACGTAGTACGTTTGTACGTATTTAAAAATTAACGGTAAGTGAATTCATTTAACTTTAATGTTAACCGTTAATTTTAAATTAACTGAAGTTCGTTAACGTCTATATTAACGTGTTAACGATGATATGACTTTGCGTATTGTTGAAATTCTATTTTTATACATGAGTCAATCAATGTTCACGTGATGAATACAATGTCACTCTATATCCGAACGAGAGAAGAAACCGTGATCAAATCATATATGCAATGACATCATATACGATAAAAACAGGACCGAACACATGAAGAACGAGCAAACAATACGCGCTTTAATAAGCGTACTATGTGAATCCTGAGATTTACAGAGACAAAACCCATCGCTGACATCTTAATTTTAGGGTTCGTCAAGTCCAACGAATTTCTGACCAAAACTCAAACCTATGTCTGATAATAATAAAATATTTTAGATCCGAATCAGAACTCAGACCCGAATTTTAATAGCACCAAAGCGTTGAGTACATTTTTTTATTAATTTATCGTAATCGCTCTTCTAATACAAAGTTATATTTCTGAAAATTCTGCACGAGTAATGCATCCTACATGTGTAAGAACTTTCATCTTGACTTTTTATTGAGAAATATCTACAATTTACAAAAAAAATCGCTGTCGATAAAAATTTATTTTTCAGCCTCGGACTCGTATAATTCTAATAAGAGAAACAGTACTGTTCTACAGTAGAATAGTACACTCATTAGTACCATTTGATTAAACGGTTCACTCCTACATTGGAGTACTAAAGAAAAAAAGTACTTTCTCATACGATCCATTGAATATATTACTAATTAGACATCTTTTTTGCCTAAGGAACCATCACGTCAAGAAACGGAAGAACATTTTAGCATCTAGTTTCACACCTGTACTGCCAAAACATCTGTTCTTTTCCTTTGTTCATCTTCAAACAATCTCGTTAAACTAACTACAGTTTAAAATGATATTATTCTAAGACAACTCGAATTGATTTCTTCAATCAATTCGTCCTCCATAATAACAAACCTAAGCTGATAAAACATCAATTCATTTCGTTTACACAATCGGATAATTAGTTTGTTTGTCGACAAGCATAACTACAGATGGAATAAATTAGCACTCAAACAAGAACAAACACCTTCATTGCTGAAACAGCTAAAATATGAGCGTCAGCTGTTATTATTAAATTGAATAGAAGTCACACCGGAAGTATGCCATTGCGCTTATCGGTTCTGTTTATTCGTATCACCATTTGATGATTGGTTCATTTAACAGCATCATCCAATGAGAAGAGGAGAAAAGAACGAACGAGACGAGTGGTGCTTGTCGTCAGCAGGAGAAATTCCCTCAGGACATAAGAAGTTGGTCAAGAAAAAGAGAGAGAGAGAGAAGAGTGCAATTAAACTTTGGTACACTAATCCTTGAAAAAAATGCATGTGTCACGAACAGTCATTGATCATCCTCATTTTCATTAGGAACGATAGAAAAAGCTTTTTCGTACCACTTCAGTATATACAAAAGAAATTAAGCCAGTTTTTCTCTTTTCAAACTCAATTAGATATGTATGATCAGCAATCGAAATAATCTATTTGATCTTCGTAACGAAGGCGCAAGCTCATTTGGTCATTCGATCATATCTTATTCAAGTCGACAAGAGTGCTAACTAAAGTATACCTTCTAGTGTGAAGATATTCTCTAAGGAATATTCTGTCAACATTAGTTTTCATTGGCTCGCGTAAATGAATTGTCTAGGCCACATGTTGATTGGCACGCATTCATGTCATGCGGCTAAGATATCATCTTCATACTAGATTTGCTTCAATAGGTTCTCTTGACAATCGAATGATGTGAAAAACATTGAAACAACTTTCGATTCACTAAATATAAACATGAGCAATAGCCGTGAGCGGAATCAACGAGTTGCCAATAAATCAATCGAGATGCATTGTTTGCTATGCTCATTGTCGATTCTTCTCGTTGATTCGAATATGAAATATAATCAAATTAATTTTATCTTCATTTCGTATGTATCAGACCTCAAAGAGAGAATGTCTAAGTTATTTTTACGGACTCCCCATTGATTCGTTTTGAATATCTAGTTGAACAGCATGAAAGAAAGAAGTTTCCTTTTTCTCTCACCATGTAATTAACATTTACATGAGATGTACATTCATTTTTTTTTCTCTTCTTTTATTCAAATCTTTTCCTATGTATGTTGAGGGGTGTGCGCTTTGTTTTTTTTTCGCACTCTTTCAATGAATTGATAGATGAGAAAAGATAAAAGAGAATGCTCATCATTGAACGAGAAGAAATTGGACAATGAACGAATGGGAATTGATCATCTGTTGCCTACTGCACATCATTAGTCATTTCCTTGACAAAAGGCTAGAGGAAATAAAACGAAATTTATTTGTTGTCGTCAGTCGATCTTTCTCTGTTCTATCTCAATGCAGACCTAATCAAATAGTCGAATGTAGAGTTTTTCTTTCTTTTTTTCTTCTCATTCTTTTTTCTTCTTTTCCTCCTTCGTCCCATTACTCAGTTGAATGTGCATGAGACGGGTCGAGAACGAGCGGGCACAAACACATATACACGCATGCGTACATTAGTCGAGAGAAGAGTAAACAGGACAGGACAGACAGACAGACCATCATCGTTGAAATAATTGCAGTTGCTCGATTGGATAAAACAAGTCGACAATTGAGTTTCCATTGGTCATCGATGTAATCTTTCATATTCGTCTCTATCTATCGCTCACTTGAGAGGAAAAAGAAAGGGCAAAAAGAAAGAAAGAGAAGCAAACGCGCGCGCACACACAGACACAGACGCATACACATTGCTTTCATTCATTTCTTCTTCACTAACACACACACACGCACATACACATACACGTTCTTCTCTGACAGGACGCGTCATGAAGAATCGACGAGTAAAACTCCATAAAAGTAAATTCTACGAAAAACCTTTATCTTTTCGTCAATATTCCCTCTATTTTCTATTTAAAAGAATTATCCAAACCTGAAGATTACGTTTATATTGAATTAGATACAAAATGCAGGTAGATATTTTCTATTCATAGAATATAAAAACCAATTTTCTTTCTTTCAGTTGTCCACAATCATATATTGATGATCATGCATCTATTCAAGTACGTTGTTCTTTTATTTTCATTGTCAATAAGCTTTTCTTTTTCTACCTATTGAATACATTTAGTTTTCACGTCGTTATCTTGAATGTCAAGGTTCAATGCCTATTCATATTCTTCGTACATATATTCAACAAGTTTTACCTTATTCACCGATGACACAAGTAAAACGACATGCAATAAAACCTATATTATCTGATTATTGATTTGATTTGCTAGATATCGATCTATGATTCAAACGATCAACTATTGAATGATTCCATCTGTCTAAAAGATCTCTCACCATCATCATCGTCATCATTATTAGTACATATTCCTCTTCGTTTTACAATGATTAATACGGTCACATCACTCGGTCATTGTCTATGTTCGTCTCCTTGTTCTCCGATAAAAAGTTCGTCATTTTCTCCAGCAATCATTCAACGTGAAACAATCAATCGAACATTATCAACATGTCCATTAGTTCCAACACCACCACATTCCCCATCATCTTCCACATCACATTCGCCTGATCTATCAAAAAATTCATTACCAGTTGTTAATCTTCTAACTCCTCCATCGCCTTCGCATTATACTTCGTTCTTAATTGAAAATATCGTCGATTCGAATTGTACCGATCCATCTATTATCGATAAAATAACTTCTGAATTCGGTGAGATATGTCCATCCATGCCTTCGATGAAACGCAAACGACAACGTACATTTAAGAAGCTTCTACCAAAAACATCATCGCCGTCAGATATTCCTCTTGATTTAACCGTCAAAAAACGTCCATCATCATTCGATCTGTTTCCGATGCAATCGAAATGGCTAAAAATGATTTGAGGATGTTTCGTTTGACAATACGTGTGATATTTTTTGCTGTTTTTATTATTGTGTATAACAATATACATAAGACAAACAAACTACATTTCCAGTTCAATTGGTTTGTTTCATTTATTTTTCAAGAGGATGTGTCAAAAAAGAGAAATGTATAAACACAATTAGATTTCTTTCCAACAGAGATGGAATTAGATTTCGAAGACAAGAAAATGTATTGTATTATGTATGAAAGATGCCTGTAGATACCGACTGATTCTTTGATGTTTACTTTGAATATGTGTCAAAAACAATTGTTGTTTTAATCTCCTAAACATGCTGATCAAAAGCGATGTTGATATAGGTGATTAACTTGCATCACGGAAGAGTAGTGAGATGAGAATGTTCATTGAGAACAAGAAAGTGTATTACAAAATCTTTTTCTAGATAATGAAAAACAAAAACTATTCAAAGATAACTAATGTACATGCAATGACAAACAAATCAAAGCTCGAAATGAGCGTATAAACAAAGAACAAATCTGAATAAAAGACAAATATGAAATAAATAAGTGCTTGTTCTAAGAATAATAATCGAATTCACGATTGATCGATGGTGATAGTGATAGTTTGCGTTTTTTGTTCGAATGTTCTGATGGTGATTGATACAAATCATCGATAGTTTGAGTTTGCATTGAGATTCGTTCGGGAAAAAGACGAAGAGTTAATTCATTGTGAAATAATTGTTGTTTTTTGATGAGAAGATCAAGTTTTTCCTGTGTTAAATCGGCTAATTGCTGTTTTGTATGTTCTAAATCCATTCGTAAACTGCAAATTTCAATTTCTTTTGCTTGTTTATATTCTTGAAATTGTTCTTCAAGTTGTTCATATCGAATACTCGAATCATTTGTTTCTCCATCTTCTACTTCTTCTTCTTCATCTTCCTGTTCTTTCTTTCCGTTATGATTCATCATTTCCTGACCGAAAGCCGTCTAATGAACAAATCTCAGATACTTCGATCTTCAAAAACTTTCTTCTTACATTGTCTAAATGATTTTGTTGAGCTCCTGAATGCTTCGAAAATCGAATTATTCGCTCCGACTGTTCATTATGATTATGATGTTTTGATCGATGACGACGATGAGAACGTTGATGATGATGATGATTATCGGAATCTTCTTGTTGTTCGGCTGGAGAATATTTGGTTACAGAGATTTCTTCATCACGAATGTAATGTGGACGAGCCAATAGAACACGATCGACATCATCATAATCCTAACGAAAAGAAAAATCGTGTTTTCCCATTTGAAATATAGAACATATCGAACTTCATAGTCAATAATTCCATTCTCGAGATCGATCTTTTTTATTCGACCATATTTGCGGAAATAATTTTGAAGAAGAGTTTTATCTTGTGGATATGGATCTTGTAGAATCAATCGGTTTGTTACGATTAATCGTTCAGGTATACTTGCTGTCAAACGTGGTAACGCACGTTTAACGAAAACTTCATCACCATTGATAATATGTGGCCGATTGGACATAAAGTCGGATATACTATGAGTTTTTTGAAAAGTAACAAAAGCAAAACAATGATAAACCTTAAAAGAGAATTTTCTTTTTCTATGATGAAAAAAGAGCTTTACACACATTATTTTCCTTATCGCGATTTATGGATAATTCTGTAAGTGTGCCAAATTTTTCGCAATACACACGTAAAATATCGCTGGAGATATTGCATAGGTTACCGATAAATATTTGTCGACTACAATGATTAATTAAGATTTTGGCAAAATAATTCATAAGCTGTAACTTACTCGTTCATTATTCGATGATAATGCACATACGAGAGAAAACAAAGAAACGTAATGGTATATATATATCGAGAACAATGCTTTACTATATGCGTTTGTTAAAGTGAACAATAGAAACGACAAAGAAAATACCAGACCTCGACGATTAGATAATATTGGATGTTACAGAAAATCGCTGTGAGTGGAGTTCGTCTTCGCATCTTCATGATTTGAAATGTATTTATGAAACAATTCAAAGATCATGTATAAAGAAACTTATTTTACATACAATGAATGCTTATTGATTCTAAGCGACATCTGATCCGTTCTAGATGAAGATCACAATTCCATGTGAATTTATTGAAGATTTCTCTATTTAATCGATCTTCTTACCAAAGTTGCTTGATACCATATAGAGTTATATTCTAGTTTTCGATAGGAGATAATCACAAAAGAGATGAATTTCATTCTATCAATTGTGTATTAGATGTGCAAATATTTAGAAAGATTTTTTTGCAAAAAAGAAAATAAACACAAAATTTTGATAATCTGTTTCATGCAGAATAAAGTGATGAATGTAAAACAATAACAATAGCCAAAATAAATGCATCACCGTCTTGATCTTTGTCATCAACTGAGTCAAGTACTTCGATTTTATATGTGTCAGTAAAAGAAAGGAACTTTTTATGTACAATTGCGATTGTTTTGTCATCTTTGTTTTTCAATACGAAGGAATGATCGAATATATCGAGTCCTTTGATTTTATATTCGCCGTAGATGGAATAAATTGTATAACTATGTTTGAAAAAAGTTAATTTTTGTCGAATAGATGCAATTTGTCGATCTGAATTACCATCACGAGCTGATAAAATATGAAATTGATCAAGAAAACGCACGCCATTTTCTCGAATTTTCAAAATTGCACTACAAAATAAATAAAACACTTTCGTAGATTGATTTTCATCTTAACTTACTTTCCATTTGTATCTTCAATGACAAGTTTTTTCTTCAAAGTCCATTTTTTCGATCGAACTATGTATCGAACATGACCAGATTCGTCTTTAATTTTAAAAGCATTTCCTAATGTGAACAGTCGTTCTTTAATTAAATATCGACAAGATCGATTCGTTTCTGTCATGATCAGTCCTGTTCTATTCCATCATAAAAACAAATTAATCGACAAATGACGAATAGGAACTTCCATTTTCTTTTCTTTCCTTTACATATTTTCCTTCGATGGAACAAAAATCGTGTTTATATCGATTTTAGACAGAGATTAATGCAGTATTCTACTGCCATCTCGAGTAACTATATTTTCAATACATGTGAACGAAAGGTTGATGTGTAACCCATCTTAATTAAAACAATACACACAACGAATTATGTTTTCTTTTCGTTTATCTCATTTTGTTCATTCGGCAAATACAAGTGTACATAAAAGCGTGCATTTACTTCGTTTGTCAGCGTGTTGATTGTACTCAACTTACTTGTTACTAATATTTTCTGTTTGTAGGAATAGTTGCTCGTTGACTATATATAGTCTCAATACATATTCGCTGAAATAGATAATAAAATGTGAATTATTCATTCTAATTAGCTGGAAATTATTGTATGACTACTAGATATGTGTTTTCACTTTCGACTGACTATGTTGACAGTACTAATATGGTAGTTGTTACTAACTTGATAATTTTGTTTAACGAAACAATTGTTCCTATCTTCACACATATACATGCGCACATTTTTATTGCACCGAAGAAAAAAAAATTCTCTCATTTTAGTTAACAACAATATAAGATATACTAATACAAATGGTATCTGTCACTAAGTGATGTTGAAGGGATATCTTTATCAAGATAATTTAGTAAATAGTCCAATTGTGTTTGAGAAATAATTATCAAAGGATGTCGAGTAATCTCTAGAAATCGTTCGTCTGAATAAGCGTCATAAAATGTTGGAAGTGGTGTCGGTGGTGGATGTGAATGAAAATAATCGCGTAGTTTGAACAGAATTGGGGGTGGTGGTGGAGGAGGAGGAGGAGGAGCTGGAGGAGGTACTACGAGTGGTGCTGAACTAGATGTGGAAGATAATAATGACATTTGATTTGTATTTGGTGCTGCTGAAACAGGTGGTGTTGGAGAACATTCCATAAAATGAAGATCATCTTCAGGTTCAACTGATGGTAATGGAAGGGAAACTGGTAATGGAATAGTTACAAGTGGTTTTTTTGATGGTCTACGCCATAGATTTCCCATTTGCTCAGCACTTAAATAATCGTGATCAAGTAATATTGTTGTATAGTCTAGTTTTGGTTTATGTTTTTTCACTTGTGGCACAGTTATAATCATATCACTTGATCCGTCATCCCAACCTTTCGGTGGCGCATGTTTACGTTTCTTAGTTAACAACAACGCTTCTTCTTCTTTTGGTATGGCTGGTAATGGCACATTCGCAGCAATTAATTCTGTGTAGATTAATTTTGTGTCAGTTAACGTTGTACAAAAACACGAACGTGAGGTACTAGCTTGTCGATTGTTACGCATGAGAAAATCACGTATAAATTCGGGACACATAACAATTGGACATTGTAATAGTTTGGCATAATGTTTAATGGTTGATAATGGAAGATTGTTTAATAAACTTTTCGATAGATCAACAAGACGTACATGTTCAACTTCATTGATGAATACTGATGGTACAGCAATATTATTAATCATTGATGATGATATTAGACGATTATGTGTGAGAGATGATCGTTGTCGTGGAAGATCAAGATGAGATTCATCAAACGATGTTAAATTTAGATTCGATTCGATTAGGCCAGCTTTTAAATTCGCTAATATATCATTAATGTTTGGTGTAGGACGTGGGTCAAGATCAGCAACAAATGCATTCAGATCATTATCTGTTGATCCGGGAGATGAATGAGTTGTCATTGGGAGAAGCTTGGAAAGAATCGATAATTTCGCAGCATTGTTCACGTCACCTGAATAAGAAAAAAAAAGGCAAATGATACAGTTTGTTCTTTGTTTTAAGCCAATGATTAATTTACTCGGTTTGTTGTAATTTGTTGTTGAAGATAAACACGCATCATCTGATTCATCGTTTGCTACTGAAGAAAACTCATTGAATAAATGCTCGTATTCATGTTGAGAATTACATCGTTGATACGACGATGATCCTCGCGGTGGTGATGACGATTGTGAAAGAGTTGTTGAAAGTAGATCATATTCTTGCATTCCAAATGCATTTACTGCTTGATCAATAACAGCCGATGAATATCTTCGATCATACTGATATTGTTCGATATAAAGTTGATCATAACATTGCCAAAAAGCAAGAATATCTCGAAAAGTTAAGTGTTTGGAATGTTGGGAATTGATCGAACTAAAACGAACAGAATCATCGATTATTTAAAAACTGAAGATAAAACATACGATCTTGTTTCATCATTAGAACGATTGGGTTTGGGTGGAAGTCTTGGTACACTATCACATATTTGACTAAGCATACTAAGATTATCCAGTTCGACAAGTAATTCTCCAGCACTATCAGCCCATTCATCAACTGATGATAGAGCACCAGCTGATGTTGGACTTTGATTGCCAAGAAGTAATGTTGCTAATGTATCTCGATCACAAAAAGAATTGGGTGATAATTTAATATTATTATTATTAAGATTATTTTGATGATGACCATTCCCATTCGAATCGGCATTATCCATTAGCAAAGAGTCCATCTAAAACAAACATGGGACAAGAAGAAAAGGTTAAGCTTGAATACAATTATTTCGGATATTTTTTGCAAACAAAAAATAAAGAATCTGGCGAGATTTTCTGTACAATAAAAATCAATTCTAAACTTGGAAGTTTCGAAAAGCATTAAAAAAATCTTTGATAGCATCACCGATTGAATACTTTTGACTGGCTTCATGAGTGGTCCATTCTTGATGTCGTTGATTCATTTCTTCTCGATGAATCAATGCTAGTTCTTCTTCCGAAGGCGGTAATTCGATCTTTTCAGGTGCGAGAGAAAGAATTTTTTCGATTTCTTGATCTGTATTATAATGTACTTGTTGCCGCCATAGCATTGGAACAATAAGATTTAGTTTGTTGATGTTATTATTGATATCGACGATGTCAGTACGAAATTTATCGACAGCTTGTGTCCATTGAGATGTATTGGATAAGAAGGTTTTTCGAGTTTCATCAGATGAAAGACAGTTTTCGATAGCTATAGTTTTGTAGACACGTTTCAAATTAATTCGAGCGGCTTCTATTGATTCTCGAATTTGCTTTTCAATCAAAATCCATTCAGGCATGTAACCTAACAAAAGAAAAGATCGAAGTAATGAAAGTGAAAGATGAACGAATGTCATTTTACCATTATCGATAAGAATTTCATTGATTTTGTAAGTTGTAAAATCCATGTAGTGCGGATTACGTTCGTGTAAAGGTTTACCACTCGGTCGAATGTTATTGAAATCACCGCGAGACATGGATTCTTGTATAAGATCTTCTACTAAACGTTCGATAAAATTCCTACGAAGAGAAATCATTAAAGAAAAAGATTTGAGTTTACAATTAATAAATCTACGTTGCTCGAACATCTTTTCTTTTCTTTCGTTCAATCAATTCTTCTCTTGTTTCAATCGATTCTCGATCCCGACGATATTCATAGACACGTTCGTGTGCTTTTTCCGCACGCATTTTATAATACGCAGCTTGTCTCTGGCTTGGCGTTCCCATACTGAAATAAAGTGATATCTTACGTATATCAAAATAATGCCTAGAGGTCAAACGCACTGGCAACTAACCCGAATCCACCGTATTCAAGATGTGTACGATGTTGAGGAGCTGTATGACGAATGTCAAATTTAATATGAATATCATCTTCTGATGGTTCAACAGGTATTTCACCAGTTTTCAACGATTCCTTTTAAATAGAAAGAAAACATCATATTTTCCCGAAAAGAACATTTCGATTTACAGTCAATGATTCATAAGCTTGTTGAACTTCGTTAAACTTCGTATGACCAAGTTGACTATCGTGCGTTGGGGAATCTGGATGATACTGTTTGACTTTTGCTAGATATGCTTTTCGAATAATGGTCTCATCGCGGCATGATGGATCAACTTCCAATACTCTTTTAGAAATATAAAATTAAATCTCAAAAATAGAACAATTAAGACCATATTTACGAATAACATTGACGAAGATAATGATCAGCTGACGCTCGTGACGCATTTGCGACCGATCTTCTCGAAATTCTGAGAAATGAAAGACATAGACTTTCTTTACTAAACGAACAACGCCATAAGATTGGCACAATCATATCTGAAACAGAGAAAATAGACAGATTCTGGCGTTTTCTTTTATGAGATCATAGAAAGTATTTGAATTTTCCCTCTTTTCTTTGATATAACCTGTATGAAAAAAAATACAGTTGAGATTTGAGATAAGCGTCGACGACATAGATAGAAGATTAACAATTTCAATACTACATAAATTAAAAAAACACGGTTTTGTTGCGTACATACATAGCTTTTATCATTGCTTGCAAAGTAAAAACTGAGTAAGAATACAAATGATTGTCACACGGCAATACATAAAAAAAACACAAAAGCAAAATCTACCCAATAAATATGAGGATATCAAGAGAAGTAAAGAATAAAACTCGATTCTCTTTGTTCTATAATTGAAGAAATTAAATAAATCTTTCACTAACGTAAGATACAAAAAGAGCAAACAAGAGAAATCTTATTAGCTATCAAGTTCTATTTAATCGTCATCGTCATCATCGTCATCGTCACTGTATACAAATAAATCCATCTTTTCCAAACCCAATGCTGCGTATTTGCTTACGCATGAACCGATATATAGAAATGGAATGGTGATCAACATCACTTTTACGATACCAAGTGGATATCTTTTAGGCATCTAAATACGAAGACAAACGAAAATGGAGGAAGTATATATTTGTCGAGAAACAAACTGGTCGAATGGCACCGGATTCTGTATAAACACCCTTGGATATGTATGGTTCAAGACGAATATCCTCTTGCTGCACTCTTTTCCGACGATCTTCAATAAATCGAACAAGAAATGATCGTGCAGTTGTTCTCGCTGCTTGTTGACTTGTAGCAGACGCAGCGACATGTCGGCGAACCATAGGAATAGCTACTGAATTACATAGCTTCCTACTTGCAAAAGTCAAATTTAAATGCATAATAGTCGATAAATTCTTCGTAATAAAATAATTGACTGTTCTATATTTGACTTGTGAAGTCAAATGTTGTTATCCGTAACAGCAAAGCAAGTGATTGTTCATTTGTACTGATTGTACGAATAGAATACCAATAAATAAAAAACATAAAGATGTCGCTATTATCTAGGGAAGCTACATTTTCCTTACTATAATTCACGTATTTGTCAAGTGTAAAGCGTAACATCGTTTTCTATTCGCAAGTATCGATAAGAATTGTTAGTGATGCATTCAGTTTCTGAGCGATTGAACATTTTGCAAAATGCATGCTTAAATACATTCTAATGGTCCCTGATTGTCGTAAAATTTACAAGTACCCTAGATGAGAAATCAATGAAGCTAATGTTTATCATATTCGATTTATTCATGTTTACTTTCGTCTTTTGATAATGTGCAGAACTGAAAACACGAAGAAGAGAAAAGTTGTTAACAACAATCGATTGGATATGTTCGACTCGATCATTTCAGTCTGATTCTGATTCAGTCAAAACGAATACAATTTGTAGATAAACAAAAACAATGACGTCAGTGTCGTTTGATCTTCCAACACTTCGTAATCATTATACTTATTTCACTATTAATAATAAACATATTCCAGCGATCTATCGGTATGTTGTTCTACTTGTTTTCCATTGTGATCGATTCATTTCTACGAATAGATTGAAATCTGGCATTTATTACCCGTACGTTGCTTTTGATCTTGTCACTGATCAGTTGAACGATTTTTGTTCCACATGGACTTCATCCAGCAAGCTGCCCCTACTACCAATGACAATCAACGAAACATTGTTTTATAAAAATTTCTATCCGAAACGAGATTTCTCATCATCAAAAGTGATTCTATGTTCATTCATCGATCAATTCCTTCAGCTGATCAACTTTTTGAAAGATTCTCAACAATCCGACAAAGAAAATCAACACCAACAACACGCTCGTTTTTCAATCGACGTGCAACATGGATCGACACGGGAGATCGACATATTGAATTCCGAAGCAACAACAAGGTATGCATACATAGTTCGCTTCTTTCTGCTGCAGAATATTCGTCGCATGTTTTAGATACAATCTTCTTCGTTCAACAGCATTTCCTTCATTAAAAAATGTGACACGACGTCTTTGTTTCGATGATGAAAAGGTAATTCTTTTTTATTGCTCTTGAAGGAATTCAAATTTGACTGTTTTGCAGAGTGATCTGTCGTCGATCGGTGGGTATTTGCAGTTGGATCAATGTATCTATCCCTATGTCATCTCTTCGAGTGATATCCTTTTGAATGTGAATGATCTTCGAAAACCATTTCAATCAACATTAAATTATTTGATGCCACATTGTCAACAACAATCATCAGATGTAATCAACAATTACATAAAAATCGTTCAGTATGGTATACGTTGCATAAAAAAGTATAAATATTACTATAAAAATGTTGATGATAAGTTTATTTCACTCTACCGTCTGCTTCTATCCCACCAATCGATGTTCTTTGTTCAATTATTCGACGCACAAACTATTTTGTCAAAGAACTTACATGAATATTATCGAACAGATTTTGTGAACCTATTGACGAAAAACATTTCCAACTGTGGCTACTTGAATACTCAGCCATGTATCAACGGATGGACACCACACAATTCAACAATCGATGATCAAACGCGTTCTCGTTTAGCCACATATGATGAAGTACTTCTATTCAATTGGCTGTTGATCTATGATAACAAGTGTGTACGAGTGCATAATCAATCTGGTGAGTTGGTTCTTGTCAAGCAGCAATTGTCGATAGTCAAGGATAAGATGAAACTCGTTCAAAATGAACATATTAGGAAGCGTTCGACATTACTGAGTCACAGTCCAATATAATTACAGCTTTTTTCTTCTCCTATTGTTATTTATGTTAATTTGAATGCGGCGAGATGTGTGATAAATATTTATTTATATCAATCAATAAAAGAGAAAATGTACAGAATTCGATAGTCATGTTTGTGCTGATACAGCGTGCAACCGATGGTTCGTTGTTGTCACGTACCAGTACCAAGTAAGACAGTACAATCTTGATCTTGACAATGAAAGTGCGTATCCCATATCTTGAAAATCGCCTCAGTTTGGACGGTTAATCTAAATTTTTATTGAAATCGACGATTACTTCATCAATAAGAAATGTTTGTTTCGTTGAAAGTATTGTAAATCAGCTCTTTTCGCAAAATCATCTTGAGGATGTGGGTGGATGTGACAATTTTTTTCTCGATGATACATATCGAAAACTACATCATTCGATAGAGAATTAAATTCTGAGTTCAGCACAACCATTTTTAGACTCAGCGCACGTTCTTAGGCGAATCTGGACAAGAATTAAAAAATTTTCAAGTATCCAGGTTATCATGGCTGTTAGCGTTTGTGATGAGTCACACAACGCTAGACTAGAGATTAAGATAGTCCTTCTAGTCTAACTGGATTAGGACATCTGCCCGGATAGCAGAAGGTATGGGTTCGAGTCCCACGAAGGTAACTTTTTCTTGATTCTTCTCTCTTTCGCTGATGTCCCTATAGTTTGAGCTAACAATGGCTTGGTCGGTTCCGACAGGTTAAGTTCGTTTTCCAACGATATCCTTGCCGGCGGATTCCAGCCGGAAACGGTCAGAAACTGATCGGATATTTCCGGATCAATTCTGGCGGCAAGGATTTTGCTGGATCCTACTGGAATCGACAAAAGCTGAACCGGAACCGACTCAGATTTCAACGGATCCGATCGCCAGAATAATCGACCTGGGCGCATCCTCATTTTAGCAAATGGGTTTAATCCAAAAGCTGGTAGCTCCGTTATTAAACGAGCTTGAACAATTGCGAGAATCGCGCAGCGAAATTGATGAACTGAAGCGAAAACTCGAAGATATTGATCGAATCAAGCAGGAACTCGACGATTATAAGTCGATGTTCGCTTTTCAACGAAAAATTGCTATACTCGTTTTTCCGTTAGCAATATGCGTATGGTGGTTCAAGATATAAACATGATACAAACACATTTGGATTTTTCCTCAATAATAAATAAAACTCCATGCATTTGTCACTTGCTCTATTCAAAGGTTTTTCGATTGGATCTGTGATCTCCTTATGTTTCTCTACACTTGATTCAGATCCGGAATCTACTACAATACACTAATTGACTTTGCCATTGATCAGTTGAACAGTTTTTGTTCCACATACAGTTCACCAAACGAACTGCCTCTGCTACCAATAACAATCAACGAAACAATGATCCACAGAATGTTTTATCTAAAACGAGATTGTTTATTTATGGACTTTATGCAAGATTTTCAACAATCCAACAAAGTCACGTTCGTTTTTCAATTAGTGTCAAGCATAGATCAACACAGAATATCGACATACTCATTACCAGATGTATTTCATTATTTTTAAAGTACGATCTTCTTCGTACAGCAGTCTTCTGCATAACAAAATGTGACACGACGTCGCTGTTTTGATGAATCATAATTAATGGTTTGACAGAATGACTTGTCGTCTTTCGATGAATATATGCTACTAGATCAATGTGTCTCTCCTTTGAATATTCTTTTAGACTTGGATTATCTTTATAAATCATTTCGATATATACAAAAACGTATCTGGTGTCACATGTTTAATAACTATATATAAGATTTGTTCAGTTTGGTATACGTCATAGAAAATATTGATGAAAAGTTCGTTTTCGTTTCTCATTTACTTTTATCACATCGATCAATTTCCTCTCGGTGATAATTCCATCCAAAACTATTTTACAGTTAGTTCTTGCTGAACGACAGTTGTTGATACACAAGTAGACCATAAAAGAGACTTAGAATGGAACATACCGAAAAGCATTTTATATTAATGAGCTATAATATGATCTAATTGCGTTCTTGTTCTTCAATTTACTGTTGTTTATCTACCTGTTTGTTTCTCAATGGAGTTTTTGCCGCTGTTATTATTATTCTTAATCTAAGTTGAAATGGAATTAGATGTATAATGGGCATTTATATAAATTGATGATTAGGACAATATTCACAATTTTTAAGTGAAAAAGTTCATGTGTTGTTGCAAGGCGTAAAAATTCACTACATACGTCGTCGTGTGCCAAGTAAGACAGCACAATTTGGACAGTAATGTTCTGTGTCCTATGTAGAAGATAAAAGGCGATTTTATTTTATTTTAGTTCAGTAAGAAAACTAAATTACTTTGAGACCATCCATACAAAATGGAATAAGGCAACAGCCTAACCAACCACCAAATAGAAGAATTCCACCGCAAACCAACCACGGTACTAGACCCGTTCGCCTTTCTAATCGCGTTGCGATTGTCTGATGACAATAGGGACATACGCATTGAATTGGATGATCACCATATATTAGTGATTGTGTTGTTATAAGCATATGACTGGCAACAGGTAGACCTTGAGCTGGTGGATTCGTGCCTGCTGTTGGATACGAACCAGCGCCGATGGCCATTGTATTGATCGGTGGGTACATACCATTAGGAGGTGGAACCATCGGTGTTGGTGAATACATATTCATTGGCTGTTGTTGAGGTTGCAAAATTGTTGCTGAAGGTGAATGCATTCCAAATAGAGATGGAATCGGTGGTGCTTGTGGATAGTTAGTGGCTTGTTCTAGGAATGAGTGAAAATATTTAGTTTTAGATAAGCAATTTTATTACCATAAGTTGGTGGAAAACTCTGTTTCTCATCTTTTGGATAAATACTCGTCATTTGCTTTTCTATGACGTTGAGCTTTACGATAAAGATTCCTTTTCTAAAGAGTCGCAGAACTCTGAAAATGTCACCATTTTTTTCACTGTGGATGCTATTTTTTTCTATAAATTTTTCTTGTTGTGTTTGCGTTAGCAGAAAGAAAAGATAAAATCCTTTTCTACTCTTTTCTCGCCATTCTTGTTTCCTAGTTTTTTTTTCTTCGCAATGAATAGCTTAACACGGAAAACATGACGTCATTGAACAAGGAGATAAATGAAGAACAAATAAGAACAGCTCAAAATGAATTCGAAAACCTTTTATTATTAGTCGATTAATATGAATAACGTATTCATACGATTAAGTTGTTCATTCGCAGAATATTTATCTTTGAAGATTAAAATGAAAATAGCAAAGACCGACAACTTATCAAAGTCTCATAACAGTTGATATCCTTATAGTTTCTTGTTAACACCGAGTACTGCACTACAATTTGGACAATAATGCTCTGTATCCTATGGAAAATATATCATGAGAAGAAGCATTTTCTTGTGGCAAAGATTGATTTACTTTGCAACTATCGACACAGAACGGTATACAGCAGCAAAGCCAAAACCCGAATAAAACAAGACCACCACAGATAAGCCAAACTAAAAGGCCATTCTTTTTTTCTGTACGTGTAACAATCTGTCGCGCACAATGAGGACATGTGCATTGCATTGGATAATCACCAACAACTTGTATTGGAGCTCCAATGTATACTGGTTGAATCATAGTCATAGGTTGAACTGGCACCGACTGTGGTGGCGGTGCTTGTTGATAATTCGTTGGCTTTTCATATGCTATAGCAAAAAATAATACTAAATAGAACCAAATTTAAAGAAAGTGTTTTGCTTACCGTACGGTGGCGGTGGTGCCGAACTCATTTCTTCTACGACAATTGCTGCCTAAGAAATCTAATGAAAGTAAGAAATAGAATTTAACCGAGGAAAACACGCTGGTTTATATAGAGTGGCACGTTAGCTGTAATAAACGTGCATAATTGTGAGAGTAGCAACGGCAAACAAAAGTACGTTGTTACCAAGAACTCTTTGTAACGAGTTAAATAATAATACAGGAAGGCAACAGAGGAATGACTTTGGAAAAACTTCATCTTCAGTTGTTAAAACTGATAGAAATCAAATAATGACTAAGACAGATTCTCAATCAGATTTCATTTTGTTCTACCTATGTTTCACACTACTCCTAGTAGAATATTCATTAATCATAAGAAAAAACATGCGACCAAAAAACTTATTATTTTTCTCAAATTTATTTCTAGCGACATCAAGCACTTTAATCATATATATTTCAGAAATTGACAAACATAAATCAACAAGTCACAACTCAGCTGTTTTGCTTTCCGCTATCTCCTTGGATCTAAATAACATTTCGTCGACCAACTAGACTTCGACATGCAGGACACGTGTGTACAGCATCTTGACAACCTGACACACAAAATGGGATCAGACAACAACCAAAAATACCGCCAAAAATACAGATTAGCAGTGCAATGAGCCAAGTGCCACCACCAGTCTCGTACTGAACTACGGTTACAATTTGCTGTTGACATCTCGGACATTGTACCGCAACTGGAGTACGGCCTAATAATGCAGTGCTCCAGATCGGTTGGAAAACTGGTACTGCAGGTGGCGGCGGTGCAGCTAAAATCAATAGAAACAAAAACAAATCATCAATCGTTCGTATTATAAGGGTCTTACCGAAATAGGTGGGTTGTATGGGTGGCTGTGGTGGCATTTGTTGTTGATATCCTCCACTAGCTTTGAGTTCGTCATGAGCTGTGTAGGGAGGTGGGTGCATTGGATCAGTCGCGTTGGCCATGTCAATCGTAAGACTAGAAGCTCGTTCTTGTGTTTGTCGTTGAATCAAGTAAAGCTGAATCAGAATGTGCTCTGTATTTTATTAGTAATGTGATAGTTTATCGCCGTCATGTTCTTTTTTATTGTTCTTACCGAGTTGCGAAGAAAAAACGAGTTTGCTCATGTCGTTGTTTTTTATGATATTACTTTTTTTTTACCAATGATCTAGTAACATGTAGAACGGTATTGACATTTTCTTCTTCAACAATAGTTCTAGCTAAACACGTGACAATTTGAGGTTAACAATTTGCAAAAACAACTCGAAATGAATACCAATTTTTAGTCAACGATATGAATTGAATTTTGAATTAATATGAGGATTTTGTAATTCTAGAATAATTACCGAATAGTATTATACGTCTATTCGATCATGATCTAGGAGAGTATACGAAGTATTTGATTTAAAATTATTCGAAGAGGCGAAAAATGACGAAGGCTTTTTTCACGACTTTCTGTCGTTTATGGACATGATGGTTATAAGTCTGAGTCGAAATGTCAAGCTACATTTTCAATTGACATAAGAGAAATTAACAATTAGCTATTCGTAATAGAAGAATGATTATTTCGTTCTGTAATAATTGTATAAAAATGTCGTTCTGTTGCGAATGGAATAGATTACTGGTGGACAGTGCTCTTCGCTCTATGAAAGCGCAAAGATGTGAGAACAATAGACAAAGCGAAAATGTTTTCTTGATGCTCTTCACCGTCCACTATGTAACTGGGTATATTATAAACAGCTGCGTTTTCGATTTTCTGTTGAATCGAACTCGTTCAATCCTGTTTCACTAGACGCCATGTGCAAACTAAAATTCGTAAGTAATATTTTCCCGCCGATAGCACCGCTTCCCTTCCTTCTAAGTGTATTTAGATATTGTTCGCGTCTTTCCTGGATCGATCGTTCCGGCGACTGGATCCTTCTGAATCTGAGTCGGATCACAAGATTTTACAGAACTTAAATTAGCTACTAGAGCAGAAAAATAGTTAAATACTAGCTTTGAAAGATCAAATTCATGTGTTAAAAGAAACAATTTCCAGTTTGAAGAAGTTAAATGAAGAATTGATTGGAAATCAACTATTTAATCCAATGGACATTATACAAAACAACTTTTGAAAATGTTTACCTGTAGTGATGGTTATGCCAATTATGGCAATATACTGGTTGAAAACGTAATGATACTGTGTTACTCGTAATGTGGTGTTGGACAAATGTATTAAATAATTTCACTGTTTATTTATTATTCTGATGTTATTCTTGCACTTATGAGAATCTTCTTGTAATTCTTCTGTCTAAAATACCTTGTATTAATTGTTTTTCTTCGACTTGGATGTAATCTTACCCGTAGAAATATTTTCTTTACTCAATAAAAGTATAGCGTTCGTCAAATAGACGAGAATATGCGCGAAGAATGACTCTTATGGACATATTTAGAAATGATATTTCTTTGGAGTTCCTCAATTCTCAAGAACGAAACGTTGGAAGAAATTCGAATATCGGCTGTGCTAGTTTCATTTTAGTTTTATCTCATCTAATAGTACTAGTTACAGCTGTACTCAGGTCAATAAATTTGATGCTGGATCCGACCTTTCGACAAAATCCGATCTGATTCCTGGAAACGGAATTGCATTGGAACCCGATCGGATCCGTCGAATTCCTGTAGGATCTGATAAAATCCTATATTGGATCCGAGTATGGGATTGTTCGACCTGGGTATCAAAAACAGCTAGGTAACTTGTGAAAATATTAATTTCGACTAGATGTCGAACGATCACAGTGAAATTTGGTAATTATTCTCAGTTATCTAGTGAAACACGATGCGTCAATAAAAGGTCGGTAAACTATTTTCAAGATCGTGAAACACAGTAGTCCATTATCTGTTTTTTTCACCGGTGTCATCCACTTTGATCATATATTTCAGCATTTGACAAACATAAATCAAGAAATTACAACACATGCGTTTTATTTTTCGGTATCTCTGTTGATCTAAATAATATTTCGTCGACCAATAAGATTTCGACATGCAGGACACGTGTGTACAGCATCTTGACAGCCTGGCACACAAAACGGAATCAAACAACAACCGAAAATACCACCGAAAAGACATATGAGCAATGCAATGAGCCAAGTGCCACCACCAGTTTCATACTGAACAACAGTCACAATCTGCTGTTGACATCTCGGACATTGGACTGCAACTGGAGTGCGACCTAACAATGCTGTGCCCATGATCGGTTGGAAAACTGTCGCTGGAGCATACATTGGCACTGCTGGTGGTGGCGGTGCAACTGAAATCAATAGAAACAAAAACAAATCATCAATCGTTCGTATTATAAGGGTCTTACCGAAATAGGTGGGTTGTATGGGTGGCTGTGGTGGCATTTGTTGTTGATATCCTCCACTGGCTTTGAGTTCATCATGAACAGTGTAGGGAGGTGGATAGATTGGATCAGTTGGATATGTTGCACTAGCCATGTCGATCGTAACACCCTCTACTTGCTCTCGTGTTTGTCGTTGAATAAAGTGAAGCTGAATCAGTGTGTGCCATGGATTTTATTAGTAATGTGATAGTTTATCACCGTCATGTTTTTTTTATCGTTCTTATCCGAGCTGCGAGAAAAAACGAGTTTGCTCATGTCTTTGTTTTTTTAAATAATATTGCTTTTTTGCAAATGATCTAGTGATATTAGAACAGTAAATACATTTTCTTCTCCAAAAAAGCTTCGTGCTAAGCACGTGACAAGTTATGCTCAACAATATGCAAGAACAAGTCAAGATGAGTACGAGTTTTCAGTCAATGTTATTAATTGAACTGTTTATTATAATATGAGAATTTCATAACTGCCGGATGATTACCGGATGTCATTGCACGTCTTTTCTCTCATATTCTAGGCGAGAAGACTAGATATTTGATACGGATTCATCTCACGGATCGAAGGACGATCAAGGCTTTCTCACAAGTTTTCAATACTTGTGAATATAATGGTGGTAAATCTGGATCAGAACTGAGTTCATTTCAGTGTTGATAACAAACGAAAAATAAGTTCAAACACACAATTTGATCAGGTGCTCGAAATTCGGTTCATGTGATGGAACTTCTCCATAAATTCTAGATCAAGATTTGAAATGATATGAGATAAATCAGATATTGTCATCCGTAATAGATGGATGACTTTAGTCATTTCCAGTGATTGTATAAATGTGCAGGTGTTCTCTGAATGAATTATTATAGAGGGCAGCGCAATTCGTTCTATTAAAACGCACAGATGTGAAAAGAAGAAACAAAGAGTAAATGTCTTCTTTATGATTTTCTTCGTCCGTCATGTTCACGCGTATATAGCCACATGTGCGTTTCACTTTTTCTTCAGATCACACTTATTTCATATAACTTGTCGCAATACGCACCATGTGCAAACCACAATTCGTAAGTACTGTTTGTCGTTGTTGATAGCACTAGCATACTTAGTGTTTCCTTTTAGTGAATTACGTTCGTGTTTTTGGAAATAACGTTGTGAACATCATCCTTTATAGCGTGATATAATGGACTCCGATGAAAAAGTTTTAACAGATTTGAATCAACTTATCGAAGAAAAAAATGCCGAAACATTGGCTTTAAAAGATGAAATTAAAGCGTTAAAAGAAACAATTTCCATTACGGCAAAACGGTTGGAAGATATGGAGAAAACAATTGGGCAATTAAATCAAACGGCAAATCCAATAAAAATTATCCAAAACAACTTTTGGAAATGCGCCCCTTTGGTGATTACGCTAATCGTAGCAATATACTTATTGAAAGCAAAGTGATGCTGTATTATTCGTGATACAAAGCTTCGGACATACACACTTCACAAAATTATTATTTGCATGTTATTCTCATATAGATCTTCTATCAATGACAACTTTCTTGTAATTCTATTTGAGAAGTCTCGTATTGTTTTTTTCCTACTTGGATGTAATTACCTGTAGAAATTCCCTCGACTGAAAGGAGGGTCATATTAAAAAAAAGTTTGTTTGTTTGTCTGTCTGTCTGTCTGTCTGTGTCAGGGTCAAAGGTCAAAAAAACATGTTTTTGAAAATGCTCAAAACTTCATAAAACATCATTTCCGAGGAGTATTGAGACTGGATCTTGATGGAGGGGGTGGGTGAGGGTCGAGGGTCAAAGGTCAAAGGTCAAAAAAACATTTTTGCGAAAACGCTCAAACCTCAATAAAGGATCGTTTGGGAGGAGTCTTGGGGCTGGATGTTGATGGTGGAGTAAAGGACGGGATGAGAAGAACTGTGCCGGCGACATCAAAGGTTAAAAACACTCCTCCCTTTTCCGAAATGCTTTAATTTTTAAAAAAAATCGTTTGAAATGGGTTCAACCATTGACCGAACAACGCTTGTATATCCGAGAGATATGCCGTACTGCCTTAGCTCGAAATTTACTAAATCTCTAATTTGACTATATCAATAGTGTATTGAGGAGTGGTACGAGGACTAATTGGATGTTCTTTCGTGCGAAGGGAGAATCGTATAAGAAAAGATTGTTTGAATGGTGTGTGCTTGCATCATGATTCAAGACCAATATTAACAGAAACTTCACGAATAACGTGGGGAGATAGCTGAGACTGATTGGTAGCTATCGTAGATTACAAAACTGACCAATCAGGTATCACGCGATGTAAGGCTGAGAAATTAGGTATGTGTCTAGGATGCATGAATCAGGCATTGAATATCTTAGATGCTTTTGTCGTATGGCCCTATAGATGAGAATCAGGGTGGATTTCCTCTTATAACGTCTAGTAAACAAAAGACAAGCTCCAGCTGAAAGCTTTCTTGGTATAGATTTAGTTGAAGTAGTTAAATTGTGTGTGAAGTGTCGGAGAGGAAGGCGAGTGCCATCTGAGGCCGTGTATATGCTATAAACACTATCGAGCAGTCGGGAGTGGCGGACCGAAGGGACGCCGATGACCGACTGCGAGATCAGAGCATTGATACATCTTTTGAAAGGGTCTTATGACAAGAGTCGAATTGAAAGTGAATCAGTCGAGGGCTTAGCGAGTCGGCCTCGGCGAGCGTTACTTGTGATTAAGATCGAAGCAATATTTTTTCATGGTCTATTGCACATTTCTTCTCTTCGTACGAAACACGTGCACGATCGTATTTATTTAATTACATATTCAACTAGAAATTATAACAAACGCAAGTAAGAAATGGATAAAATACGCGAAAAATTTTGTGAAGCACAACAACGAACATTTTCGACATCGGATCAACGATTACGAACTGAATCAGTTATTTTCGATAATAAATTTTCTCAGTCATGTTTACAATCAGCAAAATTAGAATATATTGAAACCTATGATGATGATGTTTATATTCTTTGGTTAACAAATAACGAGAAAATGGAAACTGAATTATTAAATGATATAAAAATAAGAATATTTCATTCAAATAATGATCTTATTGATTTTATTAGTGAATTACAAACATCAAATATATTTGTAATTATTGATTATGAGTTGGTATCAAATATTTTATCATTTTTGGATGATTTTTCCCAAATTTTATTTTTATATATTTTAAAATCCGAAGAAATTATTGATACATTAGTAATAACCGATTCGAAAAGATCAATTCGTCAAATATGTGATAATAAAACGAAACTTTTGAAATTCATTCTTGAAGATATTGAAATATGTACAAAAGATTTTATATGTTCAAGTATATTTGATATAACAATAAAGGAAGAATCAACCAATCAAACAAATAATCTTTCATTTATTTGGTATTATCTTTTATTAGAAAATCTATTTCATTTAAATGTTTATAATCATCGAGCAAAAGAAGATTTAATCGAATATTCTCGTCAACAATATTTCAATAATCTAATGCGACAAAATCAAATAACACAATTTGAAAATAAATATAAATCAGAAGATGCTATTCAATGGTATACATCTGATTCATTTATTTATCGTTTATTAAATAAAGCTTTACGAACACGTGATATTGATCAAATTTTTAAATTTCGACTTTTTATTATTGATTTTCAAAAACAACTTGAACAACATTATAACAAAGAAATAATAAACTCGACGGAAATTTTTTATCGTGGACAAGATATATCTTATTTCGAAATAATTAAATTAAAAAATAGTATACGAAAATATATTTCATGTAATACATATTTATCAGCATCACGTGATAAAGCAATTGCTTTGATATATGCAAGTGGTTCCACATCAGTTTTATTTGAAATTGAAGTGAATTTTTCTACATGTATTCAAAATCAACGAGTTTATCCTGTATGTGTACAAGATAAAAGTTGTTTTCCCGATGAATATGAAGTAATCTTTCCAATTGGTTCAACTTTTTTAATAAATTCAGTTGAAAAAAAAGATAATCAATGGAACATTAAATTAAAATTAATAGATGATAATGATTATAATGAAATAGTTGATGTTATTCAAGCAATATATATGAAACAGATACCATCTAAAGTCCAATTTGCTTATCTTATTATTTTATTAGGCGATTATGAAAAAGGTGAAAGATTTATTGAAATGTTAATTCAAGATTTACAATTAACTTCTGACAATAAAAATTTAGCTTATGCTTATGATTTTATTGGTCAAAGTCAATATAAAAAAGGTTATTATCAAAATGCATTATGTTATTTTTTTAAATCATTAGATTATATTGAAGAAGATAATATATATTGTGTAAATATATATTGTAATCTTGCAACTTTATATTGTGATATGAAAGAATATAATATTTCTTTACAATATTTAGATCAAGCATTAAAATATAAACATCAAACAGATGGATTAAAACTGGCAGATTTATATGATATATTTGGTAATGTTTATAAAGAAATGGGTCATTTTGGTACAGCTTTGGATTATTTCAATCAATCATTAGAAATTCGACGATCAAATAAATCTACTCATCGTAGTTTATATTGTACATATTTTTCTCTTGCATTACTTTATCAAGCAAAATTTGATTATATTTTATCATGTAAGTTTTTTAAACATTCATTAAATATTGCATCGGAAGTTTTACCAAAAACTCATCCATTTTTTGTTATTTTGCATGCATATATTGGTTTTATACTTTTTAAATGTAATGAGTCTTCATTAGCATTGATTCATATACGAAAAGCTTTAGATTTAATAGAAATTACTAAACAAAATTTGAATCCTGTTATACATATATCTATTTGCAATACACTTGTAGACTTCTACATATTAGATCGTGATTTAAACAATGCATTTTACTATGCTAAGCAAGCCTTTACAATCTATAATCAATTTAAAAACAGCATAATAAAAGCTGATTCTATTATAAGAATTATATATAGAAATATGGGATTAATTTATCAAAAAATTTGCGATTACATTTCTGCATTAGATTTCTTTTTAAAAACGTTGAATTTTTCGATCACTGATAACGATCGAATAGAAGTATTCTACGATATCGGAATGGTTTATCTCGATCAAAATAATACAGAACAAGCATTGCATTATTTTAATCAATCACTTGATCTGATTTCGAACAATATTCCTTCAACTGAAAATGAAGATAAAGTTTGCTATATTTATTATCATATGGCTACTATATATAAACGTGAAAATAATTTGGATAAATCTATATTTTTCATTAATAAAGCATTAGAATTACGATCACATCAAGGAAATAAAGACTATGGTTTTTTTATTCTTAATTGTTATACAAAATTAATATTCTTATGTCCTGACAAAATAAAAACATATATAGAAGATATTCTTAATATTTTAGAAAATTATGATTTAGGAACTAATTATAGATGGCTTTATTATATTATCATTGGAAATTATTACAGAGATCAAAATGATATTTCTAAGGCAATTTTTTATTATAAATTGTCTGTAGAAGATCAATTAATGTGTTTCCCACCATCTTATCACCAATTGATTGATACATATTTATATATTGGTGATGCATATAAGTCAGTAAGTACAGATGTTTCAGATGAAGCATTATTTTATTATGAAAAATGTCGTGATGTTTATGTGAAATTATTAACAATGGAGAAAATACCGATCAATGATGTATCACAAATATGTTCAAGTGAAGGATATATTTTAGAAAATATTAATCAAAGTTCACATATGATGGATACAATGGTTCATGTTTATTATAATATTGCAACATGTTATGTTCAAAAAGAAAATTATCAACAAGCTTTAAATCATCTTCAAAACATAGAAGAAAGATTTAATGAATACAAAGGACAAAAAGAACTAACGACACAAAACATAATGTATTTTTCACTTGGTTCTATATACTTATCAATGCAATATCATAATGAAGCAATTATCTGTTGTGAAAAACATCTAACATTTCTATTAAATGATTCCAATCAATATGGTTATACCTTTGTCATAATTGCTCATGCTTATCAGCTTAAAAAAGAATATTTAATGTCAATATCAAAATGTAAAATTGCATTAACATTGTTACATAATTCAGAGTCTATTGACCATGAAAAACTAGCTCAATGCTATATTATAGTAGCAATATCTTATCAAAATTTAGAAAATAATAACTATGCTTTTATTTATTCGAAAAATGTAATCAAACATCGTTTGTTATGTGATCCAATTGATTATGATTTGATCATATCAGCATATGTTCTTGGTACAGATTATCTATATTCTTCAAGACGATGGAATTGTAGGGAACCACTAAACTATATTCTATCAGCAATGAAATATAGTTCGTATGATTTAAAAGATAATTCATTAGGAGATCTTTATGAATCAATTGGTTTCTTTTACTTTTTAAATGGAATATATAATACTGCTCTGTATTATGACAATAAAGCACTTGAATATTCAAAAAAAGCTGATAATATTATTAATATTTATGGTCGACAGTGGTTATGTTTTGAATTAAATGGTCAAATAGATCAAGCATATAATATTATAAAAAAGAAAATAAATTATCAATTCAATTCGAAGACTAATTGTTTTATCAATATTTCAAACTCATACATTGACATGGGTATGACTTGTCATCGACTCGGAAATTATAAATTAGCGTTAAAATGTTATCGATTAGCGTTCTACATTCTTCATATATATCAAAATAATAAAACTCATGAAAACTATAGTCGTATTTATACTAATATTGGTAGAATTTATCTCGAATATGGTCAAGTAAATGATGCATTGAAATTTTGTTCAAAAGCGCGAGATATTTATTTCTCGAATAAAGATAATACATTTTTCCCTATTCTTATTTATATTAATTTAGGTTTGATTGAATGTAAACTTAAAAACTATTATGAATCATTAGATTATTTTGGAAAAGCATGGGAGTATCTATTTAATGAAAATCTTCATTATCATCTCTTTTATCGAATTTTATACAATTATATTGGGTTTGTTTATTTTAAACTTGGACAAATACAGATAGCTATTAAATACTATTTAAAATCTTTATCATTATTCAATAATATTAAAAACCATTCAGATCTTGCGGTAATTTATCAAAATATTGGTTCGATTTATGAGCAAGAGAAAAAAACATATCCAATTGCATTAAAATTCTATAAACGTGCTTTAGAAGTTGTTCCAAACAATAAACATCCGAATTATATTTTCTATAAAAGTATGATTGTTACATTAGAAAAAAAACTGAAAAGAAAAATGAGTATTTAAATCAATTTTTATAATATAATCGGGTTAAAAACTTCTAAAACCTTAATTATTATGTATCTCATACAAAGTTTGTTCATTCGCAGATACTCATCCGACAATTCAAACGAGAAAGAACGGAATCTTCGAGAATCAGTTGAGCGTTTTTGGAATTCCAAAGTTGTAGACAATATATTAAATTTGGTCAAACGGAGCGAACTTTCTCAAATTTTCCAGAATTTTCTAAATAGTTTCTTAGGCTGCTTAAAATTCTCTCCGTTGAATGAATCGTATTGAATATTAAAGTTGCAAATACTGTCAATTTCTATTAAAGATATATTCAGAGTTAATCGAATAGGATTATTCAATCGAACTAAAATCGAGTTGAACTGATCAATCATTGTTGTAAGATTAGCTGATACGTAGTCCGACTGCACTAGAATATACCAGTTTTATATGTAATACAAAACCGTCTATAAGACTCGAATTGAAGGAGATATAAGAAAGTATCGAAGAGGATAATTAGGGTGTGAGGATTAGATTAACTATCATGACCGGTTTCGATTCAATTACGAATCTCATTAGATGACTTAATAACTTAAAAATGATTAAAATCAATAAATTTCAGCTTAAATAAGCTAAAATTCATTAATTTCAATCAAATTCGAGCAAAATACACTGTTTGAAGCCAAATTTAAGTAAATTTAGCTTAAAATTGTGTGTATACATAGAATAAGGATAGTTTGGGATGAAGGGCAGTAGGAATTATGATATATTGGAAGAAGGATTTATTTAATTATGTATACTCTTGAATTGTGAATAAATAGATAGTATCACTGTGGATATTTATAGAGGGAATAGGAAAAGTGAAGTTTTAGTTCTACTAGGCAATAATATATGGGGGAAAATTTTAATCTAATGAGTTATCCGAGTTAGTGTTGAGAATGGTGTAGTTTAAGCAGAGGTATTCCCTTTTCTGAAAGAAAGGGTTATTCAATGATTAATTCATGGGCTTGAAATGCTAAAAGTTTGTATGTCTGTCTGTCTGTTTGTCCATATTATCGAATCAGCAAACAGCATTTCGTAAGTCAATGAATTTGTATGGAAACTTAACCGGAAGTTGGTGACCGAAGGGTTTTCGGGGTCAAGGAACACGAATCTGATGTCAGTTTTTAAAGTCATATCGAAGTGTTTTCATGAGAGCTTCGACGGCCATTTGGCGAACGAGAGAAAGCAGTATCCTCGGATGTGAGGTCTGTTATCTTCACATGAACAGGAAGAATGGCTTAAACACTTATTGTGATATTGTGAAACGGAAGAAGAATAGTTCTAAATTATTGTTTTCTGTGTTGCTCCTTCTGGCTTGACTTTGTGCAAAAGATTTGGTTGTGGATTACGAACTGTTATATTGTGAGAAATTCATTGATTTAGTAGTAGAATAAATGAAAGAGTCATTCTGAACAGGATTTGATGCCACTTATGGAAGTAATAGGTTTATCAAAAGCAAATAGAATACCGCTTTAACGTAGTTCAGTAAAAGAAATGTTTATAATTATAAATAAACATTTATTTAATAAAGTCGTAAACATTTCTAAAACAAGTCATGAAAATCGAAATAAATACATCTAATGCCAAACGAACAAATGTCCGATTAATATTAATTGAAACTGAGAAAGACTTCGTTGATTAGTCGAAAGTTAAGTGCTTGGTTTCCTACAGATATTACGAAAGAAGAATCAATATGATATGGTCAAAAACTGAGTGAAAATAAGTTCTCAAAATAAAGAGAATTATTTGCAAAAACAGCACTGTCGTTTTTAAGTAATTTCAATATTTTCAGTCAGAAATCAAGCTAAATGAATAAATTGAACATTTTGATATGTTTTAGTCTTGTCGTATCATTGACTGGAGGATCGAGTTTGCTTTTGGAATATGCTTTTATTTCAGTTCACTTATAAAATTATTAGGATTTTCAGTGTTTTATCGAATACCAATTATTCCCTTGACTGAAAGGAGGGTCATACGAAAAAAAATAGTTTGTATGTTTGTCTGTTTGTGTCAGGGTCAGAGGTCAAAGGTCGTAAAAACATTTTCTTGAAAAACGCTCAAAACTTCATAAAACATGGTTTTTGGAGGGGTGTTGAGGTTAGATCTTGGTCGAGGGGAGGTGAGGGTCGGGGTCAAAGGTCGAAGAAACCTTTTTTTCGAAAATGCTCACAACTTCATGAAACATCGTTTGGGAGGGATCCTGAGGCTCGAGGTTGGCTGGAGGAGGGTTGAAGGGGCAGGGACGTGACATAAATGAAGAAAACATTTCATCCGCGACTGAGAGGTGGGCTACATAGAAGAGTTGATTACGAAAAAGTAGAAACACACTCGGTTGACTGTCGCATACCAAAGGCCAGTAATCCAAAAATACATTTATTCACAAGTTACATACTGGAGAGCAATCTTAAATGCTGAGCTGCGATATATTGAAAGTTATTGTAGGCCTTTAAGCCTTTTAATTAAGGAGATAGCCTTAAATGTTCGGACGCGGATAATTTTATCTATGAGATGTTGATGGAATGCTAATTAATTTTCGATACTTTTTAGTAGCACACGAGTAATTATATGATAGATAGGGACAGCTTTGGAGCGCCGACGAACAACGAGCTGCAGCTGGTAATCTAGCCAGTTACCAAAGTATCAATAATCCGACACGTTCGAATGCGAAATTTATAGTCTCATTTGGTTTTACCGAAATTATCTTTCTTTTAGAAAAAGGAGGACATGTTTAAAAGTGCAAATCCATAATAGCCATTTATAGCGAACTTCTGCTTCCTGTGAAGAGTGATTGTCAGTCAGCAATATAGAATAATTAAAAGCAGCACAAGTAGTCCTTTGACTCTTGTGAAGACTGTGAGGCGAATGAAGATCAGTCTCTGGGGACTCTTTCAAAGGTTATACTTCTGTCTTTTTTTTTGCATAAAATGCGCATAAGACTATTTTATTTTCAGTCAGTGGTTCAGTCGAGGGCACAGCGAGTCTGCCTCGACGAGCGTTACTAGTTTTGTTTATTCAATAAAAATAAAATATTCGTCAAATGAACGGAAATAGGAGAGAATACTATGCTTATAAACATACGTACGCGGTTGGTATTTCTTCAGGGTTTCGCAATTGGAAAGAGGGAAGTGTTGGAAGAAATTCTGACATCAATGAGACTTACTGAAGTTCGAATTTATCTTATGTAATTATCGTTTTTAGCATTCGATCAAAAATAACTCAACTAAAAGTGAATATTGAACAATTCAGATGAGATCGGATAGTTATTTAGTTATCTGGAGAAACACGGCGCGGCATCAACAGGAACAGTGAAATATTGTTGACATGGTGAACTAGAGTATAGAAATCTTTTGAAAAATAGTGCTAATGTGTTGTCCAACGTGTATCTTCATCGATGGCATGAAGTAAAGTTTTAGTTATAAATCTTTCCCTTTATTATGTTTCTTTCCAACGGTGTCATCCACTTTGATCATGTATTTCAGCATTTGACAAACATAAATTAAGAAATTACAACACATGCGTTTTACTTTTCGGTATCTCTGTTGATCTAAATAACATTTCGTCGACCAACTAGACTTCGACACGCAGGACACGTGTGTACAGCATCTTGACAGTCTGGCACACAAAATGGGATCAGACAACAACCAAAAACACCACCAAAAATACAGATTAGCAGTGCAATGAGCCAAGTGCCACCACCAGTTTCATACTGAACAACAGTCACAATCTGCTGTTGACATCTTGGACATTGTACCGCAACCGGAGTACGGCCTAATAGTGCAGTGCTCAAGATCGGTTGGAAAACTGTCGCTGGAGCATACATTGGTACTGCAGGTGGCGGCGGTGCAGCTAAAATCAATAGAAACAAAAACAAATCATCAATCGTTCGTATTATAAGGGTCTTACCGAAATAGGTGGGTTGTATGGGTGGCTGTGGTGGCATTTGTTGTTGATATCCTCCACTAGCTTTGAGTTCGTCATGAGCTGTGTAGGGAGGTGGATGCATTGGATCAGTCGCGTTGGCCATGTCAATCGTAAGACTAGAAGTTCGTTCTTGTGTTTGTCGTTGAATCAAGTAAAGCTGAATCAGAATGTGCTCTGTATTTTATTAGTAATGCGATAGTTTATCGCCGTCATGTTCTTTTTTATCGTTCTTATCGAGTTGCGAAGAAAAAACGAGTTTACTCATGTCGTTGTTTTTTATGATATTACTTACTTTTTTTTACCAATTATCTAGTGGCGTTAAGAATAGTGAAGAATTTTATCTCGCTACTTTGATATAGGAATGAAACGAAAAAACATTCAAGACTAGAAATACAATTTAATAAGTGAGCATCTGACAATTCGTCAACAATTCTTACCGAAATATGAAAAATAAAATCCAAGTTAAATATGTCATTGTACCATTTTATTCTTCAACGTGGGCTTGTAGTATTTCCGTTAGAATATATCCGATAAATATGTGAATTTTTAATCTATGAAAAAATCTGAATTTTCACCCATATGAGCATTTTATACCCATAGGACGATTACCGAAAAGAATCCTATGTCTTGTTAATATGTGCATATGTTGATTGAGTCCTATGAAAATATATCAAGTATTGGTATTTATTGAAATACAAGGACATCTCACGGGTAGATAGATGATCCAAACTTTCTTTACTAGACTTCACTACTTGTGAATATGATGGTGATAAATGTTGACCGGTGTCTCCATTCATTTTGAATGCTTGTAACACAAGAGAGAGAATGAAGTTCGAAGACAATTTGATTTCGACACTTGAAAATTTCTCCGCATAGTCAAACGTTTGCTATAGATTAGAGAGTAACATTTTGATTTCACATGAGAGAAATATCGTGCTTAGATTTTTCGTTCTTCAACTTTAGCGATTATCGTCATCGAATGTGTCACATTGAAAGAAGTGCTTTTGCTTGAAAGATTACCTTATCATTTGTTTTACTTATTGATAAGGATGTAATACTGAAGTCTGTTTCGGCACAAATTTCTTTTAGCACACTTTTTTTCAGACGCGTCTGTTCTCTGCATTGTCGATGTTTCCGCAGTCAAATTATCCAGTAGCAGTAGCGAAACCCATTGTACAATCTCGCTACCGAACACTTAACGATTTCATACCTAGTTTTCTACCGGGTTTATTAGGTGCTGGTCAACTATTTCTCTGGATGGCGATCATTGGTCTCGAAAGCGCTAGTGTATACTATGATGCTGGTCGTGGGACTATTTATGCTGGTTTTTGGTGTTCAATTGTTTTCTTTGTAACGTGGATCGCAACGTTTTGTTATTGTAAGTTTGTTGAAGAAATATCGGTTGGAGTATCTTTTGTTCTATCTTGTTTAATTAGTGTGTTGCGGAAAATCAAGTGGCTGTGGAACTTATTTAGTTATTCAAAACATAATTAACATAGTCTTTGCAATCATACTCACTATATTTACCGCACGTTTTGTTAAAAATCCGTGTTTATGCTACGGTGCATTGTGTTATATTCCGAATTGGGATTTTATTTATAATGATGACTTTTACGATTATCATGCATACCCATGTACAGAAAGAACGTTCAAAAAACTGTCTGTATTAAAAGCTCTTCTTGCATGTGCAATTTTAATGCTTGTTTGCAATTTTATCTTCATCATTGCTTATATTGTCGCTTCAATACGATTTCGTAATCATCAACAATCAAATTCACAACAGATGAATGTTGCATTTCAGCAACAACCAGCAGGCGTACATATGGGAGTACAACCAGCTTATTATCCATCTTCCATGGGTTATCCTTCTAATGTGCATCAACAATCCGTTCCAACTCAATACCCATCAGCACCACCAAATTATTATCCATCGCTAGACAAATATTAACACACCATTTAAAATGTGCAGAAGGAGATGACATTTACGAGTACAATAAATATGACTTATAAAATGGCTCTTGAACTCCTTATGAGAGAAAAGATACCTTTATGTGTTTACTACTTCAAACGTATTTAAGGATTTATATTCCTCCTCTACTATTACATTAGTTAATTTCATAATTTAACTGAATTTGAAAACAAAAGGAATAAATTGAGCACTTAATCATTTCATTCTTGACATAATTATTCGAAATTTTTTCTCTTAAATCATTATTTCATGTCCTTGAGTATACATGCTGAGCACGCATCACTGCTAGATGTAAAGTTCTCGAATAAATGAATCAAATCGTCACATGTCGTTTTGAACTTAGGTTTCACTTGTATAATTTCCGGTCATGTCGTTGATTTTACAAATATTTATATGGATGAAAACCATTTGCTTTTGTATAATAATTTTTTTATCATTGATATACTTATTTCTCGTTAGAGTTGTTTTTCGATGTCATTATCGTTCAGATATTCTTACATTTAATCTGTGTCTTTCGTTTACGTTTTGCTCTATCTATTGGCTACTCTTTTGTATTGACTGGGAATATTTCAATTTACAAGTGTTTCATTCTCAACCATATAATTTAAGTATATATTTTAAAGTTATGTTTAACTGTCAACTATCATTTGCGTTTGTTACCATACCGATCAATCGATATTTTTCTATTAAATATTCAACAAAGATGTTTTTCAAGACGAAAAAATGGCTAGTTTTGTGTCTTAGCAGTCAATGGATACTTGGACTTCTTGTCCCATTACCATTAATTTCTTCACAGCATTCAGTAAGGCAAAAGTTTGTGTTGTTTGAACAAAAAGATTTTCTAGTCCATTTTGAAATTGCTTCACGAATGAGCGTTATTTTTCCTTGTAGAATCGTGTTGAATCTTGGTGGATGTCAATATATCAAATAATCATAAATGTCTTTATTCCTGCATTGGTTTCGTTTGTATTCAATACACTGATTTTTGTGCATGTTCATTCCTCAACTCGTCGAGTCCGATGCTTTTCTGAAGATGAACATCACAGATCAGCAGTCACAATCAGTCGTCGGGATTTGTATCTCTTACGAAATATGATTTATACGTTTGCTGTCTACGTTGGAGGTTGTGGTCCAATATTTCTGCTAATTGCAATTGACTTTCAAGGGACAGTCACTGCAGTTGTCTATGTCATCCTTGCGATTGTCGCACAAGCAAGTTTATTCAGTATTATTATTAATTTATTCCGCTGTAATAAAAAAATAAGAACGTTACTAGAGAATAAATACTATCGAATAGCTCAAAGATTGTTCTACTGTAAAAATTACCTTGTGGGGATTCTATTTATTAAATAAATATTAGCTGGTGTGTATGGCAATTATCGATCGTCTGGTTTCTATAGACATCTATTGAGTGACCTTTCAATACAAGAATTGTCGCTTTGAGAACTTATGCGTAAATCTTATGAATATATGTGAATATGAGTACAGCATATCACGTTAGTAAAAGTATTGTTTAGAAATGGAACTTACTTTGTTGAAAATGTTATTTTATTTATCAGTTCGAAAATCCATTGAAAAGATTTGTCAATTGTGTAGGATTTGATCGATTTATTATTGTCGAACACCTTTTTTGTTTGATTACATGTGCGTCATTGTGTACTACTTTCTTCACAAAAAGAAGTTTATGTGTAAGAAAACATTTTTTTCTTTTCATTATGTTCTTGTTTTAAATGAACCACCTGTGTTATTGACAGTAAAAAAAAAGAAAAGACAATTTTGTATTCCTTACTCTTCGTATATATACTACCTTAGTCAAACACTACAAATTAGGCAAATATGATCAATACTGCGAAGAAAATGTTTATTCGTTCTTATTCGAGTATTAATAAAGTCATAAGCTACTTTTTCTTTCTAGGTTGAAATGGATTATCTTCCCTATTTTTTAAAACATTTTGATCTTAATCTTCAACCCAGTAATTCTGAATATATCGATACTGACTTGGCTCGCTCGTATCTTTATCCTGGCGCACATATAGCTACGTCAAACCCATACGAACATTTTCATCATGGTATCGTCGTCGATGTTGATACTCCTGAAATATCGATTATTCACTTATGGGGTTCTACAAAGGAGACTGGGCGAATTCAGACAACGACATTACCTATTTTTCTTGCCGGCGATAAAAGTCTTCTTGGAACAAAAACGCGTCGTTTGTATTTAGTCAATTATGAAGGCGACACATTAGAAAAACAACAAGCAACAGTCGATGTAGCGAAGGAGATGTTGGGAAAAGCGGATGAGATAAAATACGATCTTGCCAAATTAAATTGTGAAAGTTTTGCTTACTTTTGTCGAAACGGTCAATGGAAAAGTGGACAAATTGATATGCTAAAAAAGATACTATTGGACAATGCATCAGAAATCTACGACAAAATCAAAGATGCTGACGAAAGTAACAAACGACATATAGCTTCACTTTTACGAACTATTCCAATCGATGGTTTGAACTCAAAAGACAAAGAATTTTACGATGAACTTTGCCGATCTTTCATGTAATTTCAAATACAGTTCAGCATCCGTACCATATCCGTCAATGCCATGTTACAATAATCAACAGCGGCATCTATCGGAACAATGTTTATGATAATTCTGAAACTTTGTTATTTTGTTTGAAACGAGTGATAAATGCGAAGTTCGGATAAAAAATGGCTGTACACTGATTTCAAAGCAATTTTATATCCAATCCTATTTTAATCAATGATTCATGTCATGTCGTTTTTTTTTCTTTGTTTCTTTCGTTTGTTCTTCTGATGATGACAACATGCATGCAACATTTGTCGTCATTTTTATTCTACTCGAGTGATCTTCAATTCTTCATGGTTTTTCCTTCTCATACAAGTCAATTGACTCGATTTTATTTCAGATCTTGTCCAATAATTCGATATCAAAAACATGCAGTCGTACGGCGATGCTCCTCCACCATATCCTGGTATTAATGTGCAACCATCAGCTCCCACTATAGTTACGTCCAAGGGCGATTATCAAGGTGTACCTGTCTATGAACTCGGATCTAACAATGCACCAGTTTGTAAGTTTTGATTTTCATGAAATGAAACCAACGAAAATAGACTTGTTTAGATGGTCAAACTACTTATCCAGTGTCACCCTCAATGATGCAACCTAGTCAGACAATAATTCGTCCTGGTAATATTCAAGTTGGTCACAATCCAGTTCATTGTATTTGTCCCCAGTGCCATCAACAAATTGTATCCCGAGTTGACTATGTAAGCTCTCAAAAAATAGCATAAGATTATTTTATTCATCTGTTTTTGTCTTTACAATAGGAGTCAGGATCATTTGCGTGGCTGATGTGCTTATTACTTACAGTTATTGGGTATGTAAACACGTTTTGTTTTTTCCTTGAATATCAAATTGATTCTCTTCTAGTTGTATTCCATGTTGTATTATACCATTTTGTGCATCATCGTGTCAAGATGTGACTCATTCATGTCCAAACTGTTCGGCTTTAATTGGTCGCCGAAAAATTCTTTGAATACACTTCGTCTTTGTTATCACCAAAACTTTATTTTTGTATTGTGCAAACTTTATTGTAAATCTCTTAACCGCGCTCCTTCAATTCGTATTACATAGTCATATCAATCGAATGGATTTCTCTATCTCTTTTCTTCACGTTTTTGTGACTATTTATTGCGCATAATAAAAAAAGGAACACGAACTGAGATTTCATTTATGTACGATATTTTTTTTTCTTCTAGATCTGAAGATTTCCGATGTCGACAGGTGCAGGTGATTCATTTGTAACATCAACGACAGTAATGAAAAAATCACATATAAAATCAGATGTAAGCGCGAATGTTGATCAACGAAAAAAACAACGAGATGAACTATTTGACTCTTAGGAAATCAAACAACGTACAAGCGAATTAAAACAATCTTTAGCAATATGGCGTAATATTCTTCTTCCATTGAACAATTTACTCGAATGGGAGCATAAATACGATCCAATGGTTATTTTTGGTATTATTACTTTCATTTTCATGTAAGAATGTTTATTCTTTCGATAGAAATGACATTTTGTTTCATTTAGTTTTATACTTCAAGCAAATCCACCGGTATTAACACTTGTCAGTTGCGTCGTTCTCATCTTTGTTCTGATTGATCTACTTGTACCAATTGCAATTCGTATCCTTTTCAAGAATGATCATTGGTATGCAATGCAAATTCTGCTCGATTGAAATCGTTCGTGTCTTTTAGGACATCAGCTAAAGAAGCCAAATTCACTCGATTATGTGAACGTATTGCTAATTTCGAAGAACACATTAAAGAACTATGCGAATCAGCCTTGAAAATGCGTAAAGAACGACCACTTATGGTAGAAGGCTTTCAATTGTTGTCAATCTCCTTTCATATTCGTGTTCTATTTAGTATTTAATGGTCGGAGCTATTTTTCTTGCTTTCATCGCGTTTTGCGGTCAACGTATTGACAATCTTCTTCTCAGTTATTTAACAAGTAAAAGATTTTCATTGAAGCTTAGATACCATTTCAATATTCTTCTTTTCAGCACTGACAACCTGTCTGATTCCTGGTATTCGTAATCGTCAAGTAATTCCCTTCATGCGTCAACAGATTGTTGACTTCTGGAATAATAAAAAATCATCGAATTCATCTCCAGCACCAAACGTTTCGGTGTCAAGTTCAAATCCAGTATCAATTTCATCAATTCGTACAACTGCAGTTGTCCGACCAACGTCGTATCAACCAACTCATACACTCTATTCGACAACATCGTACGGTATTAATAAGAGCAAAGCCCAATAATGCAAATCGAACAATAATAAACTATTTTGTCATCAGACTTTCTTTTTTTTACCTTCTTCTACCTGTACAAACGCGCTCAAAGTGTATAGTTTCTCAAAATCTTGAAAAGACAAAAATATTGATGTTTATAGAGTGATTAAATGATCAAACTTTATAGATAGATGTTCGTTCCTGTTTGTCTCTTCTTTCCTACGTTATCAAAAAATAAAGCACAGCTAATCTGGACGTTCTGTTTTTCGTATTTGATATGTTTGTCAAACGAATCAAACTTCCTAATCTGAACTAATATTAATATTCTAGATCAACATTAACAAAATTGCTTTTTACCAATAAACTGTTGAGGGTGAGTGACGGTTTTTACTAATCATTAAATCGCTTAGCTATGCTTTGTCAGTATTTCGCTCAAAATCTACTGTCGTTTGTTTTTTTGTTACTCGAAATAAACTTATGATAATTCGAATTCAGCAACATATGGCAATGAATATAAATATGATATATTCAGCGAACAAGGGCAAATCGTATCTCTTAAAAACATTTGAAGCCGTCTAGTTTGAAGTTTCATATACCTGAATTGTCAATATTCGGTTACCTGCGCTTAAGGAATACAAAGTGCGCATAGTATAAATTTGTATCACTAGAATATCTAATGCAGTCAATATGATCTTCGCTGATCTGCGTAACATTTCGCCTACATACTATTAATCAATCCATTCCTATTGACATTTGTCATGTTCTGTGACATCAGTCATCGTTCGACAAAGATGAGTAATGATGATATACTCAATAGTACCAACGATTCCAATCGATTTTTTCCTCAATTAGTGATAAAAATAGATCGATTTCGTGTAATTCAGATTTTGGATTGAATATCAACTGAATTACTTTTTTTTTGATAAAGTTAGAATTACGATGAAAGGATCAAATATACTTTTCTCCTAGAAAAATTAGAAACGAAGAGATATTGATATGCAATATCATCCGCGCGTTTTTTTTCAAATATCTCATCGTTATTTTCTCATTGAAAGATTCGATTGAATCATGCCCAAAGTCCGACGAAAGCGACGATCAACAACACCGAAAACAAATCCATTGAGTCGACCAAAGAAGACTTTAGCAAAAGAGATACCAACTCAGGTAAAAATCATATCTCTTTCAACTCTTCATTACATATGAAAATGATATTTTTGTCTGCATAGGAACGACCAACAAAGCCAGTTTATTTTGACATAACTGCCGACCCAACTAATTCAATTAAATCCAAATCAACAGGCAATTTTATTAAAATAGGTAAACCACCACGCAATTTAAAAATTCCCAATAGTTGGGATGTAAAACCAGGAGACGTTATCTCATGGAGTGAAGGACGGCCAACAGAGACGTTTTTGTAAGATTAATTTGAATGAAAACGAATTCTCATTAGAAATTTCTTCTTTTCAGTGTTACTTCGGAAGGAACACTTCTGAAAAATCCCGATACATCAGGTTCAGGTTACTTAACATTTCCACTCTCAATAACTTCGCAATTTTCTGATGTACTCGATTCGTATTCAACTGTTTTGGACGCTGTTGGGCGGAATAATGTTTCATCTATTGAACTTCTCCCTACAGACGCATTCTTTGCGGCACATTTTGCCAAACAACCATTACCAGCATCAATTCGAAATCGGACTGATATCAAATATTCATTTGAGCCCAATGATGAAATTCTTTTTGTAACATTACCAAACAGTCCTGATGAATGTCGAGAATTTGCGTTAAATTCAGCTAAACTCGATGACATAATTCAATATATTTCCAATGAGAATGAAAGCAAAGGACAACTGGTCGTTAAATTCAATTTCGAAGGTAAACCGACATGTAGCAAAGCGCCACGCGGCATCGTATCTGGTTTACCAACTGGTTGGCAATGTCAACAACAAGGTTCCTTAATGTTTGGCGAAACGAAAATTCAAGGCGAATGGATTTGTCAAGGACCTGATAAATCGAAAGATAAAGCTCGAAAAGCGATTGAAAAATTTTATAAAGGACTTAATGTAGAAATAAAATAATGAATATATGTGTGTTTTAATTGTAGATATAAAAGAATGACATCAACGAGTGTTCTTGTTGAACAACCAGCCCGGTATTTCGATTTAGTGAATAAACCAGAAACCTTAAAACGAACCAATGGAAATCCAATTCCAGATTCTGAATTCAAAAATGTTCCAGCGAATGGAAGCGAAGTGCCAACAGATTGGGATGTGAGTTTCGGTGATGTGCTTAACTGGTCACAAGGACGACCAACAGAAGCATTCTTTGTCCTTCAAGATCGAACTTTATTAAAAAATCCTGATCGAAGTGGCTCTGGTTATCTAACGATTCCATTCGCAATTACAAGTCAGTCAAACATCCTTCTTTCTTTCTTTCTTTCATTCATTCCTGTTTTTCACTTAGGAAATAGCCGAAATGCATTACTACGATATGAATATGTGATGGAAAGTGTGGGTAAAAATTACGTTACAACAATTGAATTACATCCGGAAGATGTTTTCATCAAGAAAAATTGGGGAGATGTACCTAGTGGAATCCTTTCGCGCAATGTCGAGTTTATCTACGATCCACTAGAAGAATTTCTCTATGTTAACATTCCAAATACAAAAAAATCCAAGGAATTCAAATTAGGTTCGACTACAATGAAAGATATTCAAACGTGGTTTGCTGGGTAAGTTTTTACATCTTTGGTTTCATTCATTTTCCAGTTGAAATTCTAGCGCTATGGAAGATCAGGCGTCCTTTCGAGTGAAGTACAAATTTTCCGGACCTGATTATCGAAAATATCATAATGAATATCAGTTGCAAAAAGAAAACTTTTCTTTGCCGAAAACCTGGTCTTCCGAACCAGGAACTACTGATCTTGGACATGATCACTGTCAGGGTGAATGGATCTTTCACGGTCAGTGGGTTTTTTTGCACTAATTTCCTTTCTTCCTAACGTGTCGTTTTTCTAGGCGATCGAAAGCATATGGCTGATGCGAAAAAACACGTACAAGATTTCTATAAAGATCTACCAGTCACAATAGAAGATATTGATCGTAAATAAATCGTAATCACGAAAATTGCGACAAATAGTGCAACAACATTCTGTGATTTCTTTTCTACAATGAAATTATTCCAGCGACTTGGTTTTTTTTTAAACTGTTACGAAATTCTTTTATTTGATTTCTATATGAAATTTTAAAAAAATTTTTTACTTTTTGAACACAACATTTTATTTTTCAATAACGAAAAAACTCTTTTTCCAACTAATGAAACACACTTTCCCATCACGACTTGTGTTGATAAAAACCATTGGACGACACGCCCACATAGTCATCGAGATTATTCACCTCTTGATAGTGCAACACAGATAAGTCCATAGAATTTGTCGAATTACAGGTACATCAACGATGTGGGTGACCAAATGAAGTCGTTCTCCCTGTACTTGGTTGTGAAAGTGGTGGTGGAGTTATTGGAGTATCGCATGCAACTTCATCGATTCCACGAGCTTGTTCAAAATCTTGCCACTTTTCGTCGAACATATTGTCGTCTCTTTATAACTATTTAGTTTTTGAGTTGAGTATAAATGAAGAAAACCTACCTGCAATCATCGCCTATATATATACCATACGTGAAGGAATATTTTTCTTCCTGCTTTGTGTCTTACACAATCTACGTGGCGTGTGTGGGACGATGTGGTTTGATTTATTTCCTTTTTCTCTTTGTGATTCAATTCGATAAGTCAGGTTATAAAGAAATGAATCAATATACGAACCTACGTCATTACTCTTCTGTAGATACCAAATAACACAAAATCATATCCACCTTCTCATCAAACACAAACTCATCTATAACAATCTCCATAGCGACCGACGTTAATTACATCATTCTTTCTCATATTGCGTCATACTTGAGTAATTCAAAAGTACATTTTTATTCAAGAAAATACAGTTACAAAATAAAAGGATAAAGTTCATTTTTTGTTCGTTTCGATCGATATTGTTCTGGAACATATAAATAATGATTCATTTCCTTCTCACGTCTACTCTGACCAATATTGTCAATATGATGATGACATTCACAATGACAACACTCCAGTAATTCCGGTAACGAATGCCAACCAGTCACATCGAAGTTTGAAATGTTCATTTCATCATGTGGAATCACACTCACATCGGACAACGTCGACAGTGAACATGAGTCATCGGCGTGTGTGCGAGTCGATTGTAACTGCTGATGCTGCTGTTGTTGTTGTTGATGATGATGCTGAGATATGGACGAAAGAGATGAAATGTTGGAATCGAATGAGATGCCCGAGTCTCGCGATGACCATGAGTGACATTCACTCAGATCGACCTACAACAGTGATAGATAAACATCAGATATAACAACCACCACAGCGAAACTTACATAGTCATTGTGTAATGATGATGATGAGGGTTTGGGCTGATATGGGATGTATTCATAGTCTTGTGGTTTGGTGATTGAACAACATGATGAGGAGATTTCTAGAGAGAGGGAGAAAAGTGATAAAATAAGAAAGTGATATGAGCTGGAGAACAGCATACTTGATTTGATGGTGGATGATTGCTTTCGAGGTGATGCTGATGATCGAAAAGTGTTGTGAATAGCGAGAGCGATTTTCTAGAAAGAAAGGGTGGGTGTGGGTGAGTGTGAGTGATGATGAGTGAAGTTACTTGTCGAATTTGTTTGGACATGTTTGATGCGTGAATAAGTTGATTGAAAGATCGAATGTTGGAATATATATATATTTGTTTGAGAAGAGCAGAGAGCGGTATCTGTTGCAAGAGAAGAGAGGAGAGAAGTGTGAGGTAATTAATTATCTTTTTGCTCATTCGTCTTTTCGAATGCATATCTAACTTTATTCTCTTTCTCTGTTTGCTAATTAGATACGTATATGTTCAAGTGAAATTCAATATCGATAATCCTTTGAACGTCATCAACGATAAGGAAAGTGATAAGTGTTGAGAATATTGATGAGTATCGTAATATATCAATAAAATCCATAAAATCTTGTCCTTTGATAAGTTTATCGTTGAGAAAGTCTTACTTCATCATAAAGTTTTACCTTTTGATCGTATGTTCTGTTCAAGTGTGAGATTCTGGATCTCATAAAATACTTATAACTTTCAACTTCAGTACTATTTTTCTTCGATATTCGTCATTTCAATACGGTGAATAATATCTATAGCATCTGTTGGATATACAGTTACATATTCCAGGTTTGGTCAATGCGTGAAGAGAGAATTGAATGAGATTAGAGATATTTAATTAAACTTGAAATGATTCGCATATCTAATTACTGAGGAGAAGATAATTCAGACATAGAAAACGACGAATGAACGAGAAAGCATTATCATCTCATCTGCCTCTGCAACAGGCAGCACTTCCATTTATGTTCACATAAAGCGTTGCATTCTCCACGTACATAACATTCAACTTGAAAATATGTTTTTTAAAAGACTCCTTGAGTGATTACGAGACATAACTAGATGGTAATCTCGATCAAAATAAAGATGTCTTAAGTCTGAACTAATATAACCTATTCATCATACTTAGAAAGCCACACAAGAAGTTTGAGGGAGAACTGTGCGTATTTTAGCGCAAACTTAGCCAAGTTTCGAACCATATGTGCCACGGCGTTATATAAGGTCCAGAGCCTTTTATTTTTAAGGGAGATGAAGAGAGGTATTCATTTATCATTTTAATTTACTGCATTGTTTATTTTTTGTGTTTATATAAATGTTGTTAGGTATTTTAAGAAAAGTAAAAAATGTGATGAACTTTTCTTATAATACAGTTAAGAAATATAATACGAAATTTAAAAAAACTCAATGTTATTGATAGAATTGATAATGATCCCAAGAACTCGTTTTTATAACTCTATTTGAAGTTTTTTTTCAAGTTATAGGAAGGGATGGAACGAACATTTTGCGTCCCATATTATCCCACGCGGAGCCCTGGTATATAAAGTATATCTGTAACCTCGCATAGAGAAAATTGTGTTCATTATTTGCGTTCTACATGTGTGTTTCCATTATTAGTCTCTCTCTGCGTTTCTCTTTCTGTGTATATCTTTTATTTCAGAATATATTTCACAATCGGGAAGTCTATTTCGAAAATAATGTCTCCTAACGAGTTTTTAGTGTCTTTAACAGAGGCTTTGCTTTCGGTAAGTTGAATGAATATTTCTAACGAAAAGTAAATATCTATTTATAAATGACAGATCTCAAATGATTGAAATCCACATATCACGAAGAGCTCGGAAAAGGGGGGAGAAAATCGATAGAAGGTGGTGCACCTGCCGAAATAATTTCATCCGATGAATAAAAATGCTTCCAAGGACAATAATTCCGGGAATAATACACCGACAATGTCTGGTGGCCGGGTCGGANTCATTCGATTCCAACATTTCATCTCTTTCATCCATATCTCAGCATCATCAACAACAACAGCAGCAGCAGTTACAATCGACTCGCACACACGCCGATGACTCATGTTCACTGTCGACGTTGTCCGATGTGAGTGTGATTCCACATGATGAAATGAACATTTCAAACTTCGATGTGACTGGTTGGCATTCGTTACCGGAATTACTGGAGTGTTGTCATTGTGAGTGTCATCATCATATTGACAATATTGGTCAGAGTAGACGTGAGAAGGAAATGAATCATTATTTATATGTTCCAGAACAATATCGATCGAAACGAACAAAAAATGAACTTTATCCTTTTGTTTTGTAGTTTGAATCTATGTGTAAGAGCGCCATATGTTTTGCGTATGTCTAATTATCGGCTAGGAGTTTGTTTTTTATTATTCGAATAAAGACGATGAGTAAGGAAATAACTCTAGAAATAAAATGTAACCTGAAATCATTCTACTGCAAACGTCGATTTCCCGTATCTGAATGGACATTGGGAGATTTTCGGCAGTTTCTCGAACAGTTACTTGACATTAACATTGAAGATATAATTATTCGTCTCCATTCTCAAGAATTACGAGCAGACCAAGATCATACTTTACTATCTAATGTTAATGGTTTATGCGAAAATGAGATAATTACAGTCGATTCGCATCGTCGTTTTGATGATATCGATTATGTGAATAGATTACCAGAAAAATATCGAATGTCCGATGAAGTGTATGCACAACGGAAAGGAACATTAAAAGATTATCTTCAGCGAAATAAATTAGGGAAGTATAGTGATCATTATTCTTCGTTGGCTTCATATTCGAATATTAAAAATAGAAAAGAATTGAAACTACGTGAATTAAATCGTCTAAAATTGAAACAAATAGAGATTGGAATGCAGATAGAAGTGAATGAACCATCGTTACACAAACGATACGGTGAAGTTGTTTATATTGGTACATTACGTGGAATCCGTGATGAATTTATTGGCGTGTTATTCAGTGAACCTGTTGGTGATTCAAATGGATGTGATGGAATCATCCGATACTTTGATGCGAAACGAAAATATGCAAGTTTTGTTCGACCTGAATATATTGAAATTCTTTCAAATGATCTCAATGAGAATCACGAGTGGAACAGTTAAATTTTCAATGTTTTCGTTCGAATGATATCTATTTGAAGAAAAAACGATGTAGGAAAGAAGCTTTGATTTTATTGTAATTCTTATGAAAAGTTCTTGCTCATGATAATTTACATTGCATAATGGTTCTAGTAATAATCTGCTGTATTTTATGAAGAAGATGGTCCTCGAAAATTCTCACGATCAAAAGTGGAATGTAACATACGAAGTGACCTTATTTTCTGAATTTCTCTGTGTGAAAGAGAACTTTCCAATGGATAATAATTGAAACAACGAAGTATTGTAGGTACAAACGTAAAGTACGTTTTATGCTTGAATAATCATTAGAAATGCAGAAACAGCTAACGCCTTAAATTGATGATAATCATGATTTATGATTATGAATAATAATTTTCGTCACAAAATAAAATACGAGAACTATTATTTGAAATAAGTTTTCATTTCCATGTCAAAACTCCATGAAAAATTTGGTATTTAGTCTATCATGGTAGCACACACTTCGTAATTTCGTACACATCATTGTAATTGCATCACACGACTTCGTTCGTTTCACTGTACGTCAATATTTACTCATTATTACAAAATACTACGATTTTTCATTCAACGAAGGTTTGTAATGATGACATATGTGTATTTGCATAACAAAGGTGTTATTGCGACAGAAAAATACTATATAATCTTTTCAATGTAAACCGGCTGAGTTTTCACTTTGTGTTGAAAACCTCTTCTGTTGTTTGATGTGAGATACTAGACTATTCATGTAAGAAGAAGTAGGACAAGACGAATCGTGCGGTTCGCACTGAAAAAATGCCTGTTATGTTGGTCAGATTTTTCTTTCCGCGAAAATGATTTTATGCATGTCTACTTCCGAGCGAAAATGCCAACCATTGACGTTAATGTCTTGTCGTAAATAAAAATCAGGTAGAAGATGATTCAACGAAATATAATTTTTGCTTTTCTTCTTATCTGACCTTGGACATGTATGGTTTTTTCCCTTTTCGTATTTTAAAATTGGCCCACGTATTTATGATTTTTATTCTTGATCGCTATTGTGATGAGTCATCGAACTAAACATAAAATATGTAGACTATGGCATTTTTTCCTTAGTTCTTCCCATATGATTACGCATTAAGTACGTCTGCTGACAACGACTACAGTCAGTTGCTTATAACACACTGTCGTTCTTTTTCCACCGACGTCATTACGAAAGTACACGTGCGGATCACATCATCTTTTTTTCTATTCTTGCGCAATTCAGTGGTCGTGGCAAATGCACTCTATATAAAGGCGATACTTTCTTCGGTTTGCTTTTATTTCTACAAATTTTACACTACGGCACACCTCATATTCATTCTCTTACCTTTTAAATAAACTTTCGTCGTGTATCAACAGCAAATCTCTGTTACACACTTCGCTGCGAACATGGTTTATAATGCTCTTGATATAGCTCATCAATTCATTCAAAAGTCATTGCCAAAGCCTCGCTCTGAGTCGTCTTCTCCTAAACAATATTTAATTACGAATTCATTTCAATCGTCTCGATTCATTCCACTCATGGCTCGACCATTCGAAGTCATCAATATTACAGGTGAAACCACCGACAACACCAAGGATGATGGTAAGCCACCTGAACAACATCCTGATTGAAGATAACAACAATCTTAACTTGTGTTGGACTCTAAATAACCAGAATTTATTCATCTGGATCACACATCATTTCATCATATCTCATTGAAAAAATTAGTACGTACTGAGTAAATCTATTAGATTAGTTTTGTATTTCTTTTTATTATCATAGTGATGAAACAATTGACATGTGTAATGAGTTTGTGTTGCTCACAAACGGTAATCAACTCGCCTAACAGTGCTGTGTCTCATTTATTAATAGGTATTTAATATTAAAAAATACGGATGATCGCGTCTTATTCGACATTTTGTTGTGTGAATGTGATTGTTAGATTCATAAGAATTTACAAAATAAAATACTTGATGTTCTAGAAACTTTTTTTTTCAGTTTTTCAACTAATTCTATATCTAATGATGACCACTCTAAGGTTTCCAGATTTTCTTTCATATGTTGCTCATTTGCAGTACCGATTAGTATTCAAAAGGTCTAATAAGAGGCATTCTTCTCACGACAAAACTGTCGTATGACATTGCGCAATCGAGTTTCAGCATAGTAACGATTTTGTTTGACTGATTATTTATGTTGAGCATCGTCATACAACCGTTTTCGATCTTCGGGATCATATAAACCACCAATACTTAACTATTGTACTTGCTTAGATGAAGAAGCCTGAGGATTATAGGGTAATCGTTTGGATTGATCTTGTCTGTCAAGGAGCGTAGATTTTGTTTGAAATTCAACTAATATATGAATAACAGAACCTTTGCTGTACATTTTGGAAGGAAAACAAGTTGTAAAGACTAATAATTAACATTGATATTAATCATTCGAATGATTTGTATTTCACCAACTTGAGAGTGTAGATACAGAGAAAAATGAATAGCATCAAATTCTTCCAGCAGTATCATAGACTTATCGTCCTGCTATCATCTGTCACAACGACACAAATATCGATTAGTTATTATCAAGCTGTCTGTTTTATTTTATTTGTTGAGTTTTAAATAAAAACTTGAAAAACCAATCAGCCTAAACTTTTTAATTCATTAGTTTTATTCAGATATCAATTTCAAAGTCGCATTTAATCGTCATTCTCTTTATCCTAGTCGTGAAAATCTTACTTGAACTAAACAAAAGCAATCATAAATAACCGCAGATATGTAAAAGTCGTCCTCAAGATTGCATTCAAGTTTAATGCTTTACTACAAGTTCTTCGTCGATTACGAGATAAAAAATAAGAAGAAAGTAAGTTACTAGTTATATTTTATCTGCATTGTTTTTCTTTTTTATCTTCGGTTAAACAACTGTAAAGCAGACGTATCGAACAGGACACGGTTGTATTTCACGGTGTCAGTTATGACTAAATAGTACTAGTGACTTTTGTAGTCGTAAAAATGTCGTTTTGTCACGATGGTTCGAAAACAGATAATAAATGAGTCCCTTCAAACTGAATCGAGCATCCGCTGTAGAAAAATGGCTGAACCTACAATCAATAAGAAAACGTGTGTCGAATGGTGTGATTTCGTTTACAAATATTTGTATAACGGTCCACAATTACCACTGATATATAGAAAAGACGCAAACATAATTGATCTAACACATCAAAAGCAGATTAATACCAATAAACATAGTTATTCTTTCAATGAAAGTACCCATCGCTTTACTCGATGGGTTAAAATGTTTAATAACCTGTTGTAGAAAAAAATTAGTTTTGATTTTGAACGAGTTTTTGTTGTGCCGTTTTTTTCTGTCACCCGTATTATTTTCTTGTCTTGCTTTTTCCTTCTCGTGCTTGTTATACAATAAATGATTCTCGGCATTGAGCAATACAAGAATAGTTGTTTATATCATTCATCAAAATTTAAAAAGCAAAGAAGAAATCAAGTAAACATAAGTAATCAAAGATTTCAAAATGAAAAATCTGCGTCAAAATCAAACAAAATTTTGTCTTTCTATGAATTATTTTACGAAATGCGTTTCCAATCTTGTCTATCAAAACAACTAGAGAACGGTATCATTCATTTTCCGTTCTATTTATGAAGCCTTTAAATTCCAATCTACAATTAATACCGAATGATGCACTATATCGACGATTTGTTGTTCATTCTAAGCAATATACAACTATTAGTTCAACAGTCATATGCTTTTATTGTTGAATTCTAGCATCGTTAGTGTCAAAAGACAATGTCAATCAAAACCAATTAGAAAGTTCAATGCGAGTATATTTAAAAAACAACTATAATACAAAGCTTGGTTATACAAACTTCAGATGAAAAATCATTTTTGCGTCAATCATGAATGAGTTTTTTCAGTTTTTCAATTGATTCATTGTCGAGCGATGGCCATTCTAAGACATTTAGATCTTCTTTCATATGTTGTTCATTTGTCGTGCCAGTCAACGGTGTTAAACCAATATCTAGCAAAAATCGAAACAATACTTGTGCCGATGTACCATGCCGTTGTTGAGCGAGTTGCTTTACTAATGGATGACTAAGAATTTGTGGATTAGCTGTGAGTGTCCAAAAACTCTGATAAAAAATATTCTTCTCACGACAAAACTGTCGTATATCACTGTCAAATTGAGTTTCAGCATAGAAACGATTTTGTATGACTGATGGTTTATGTCGAGCATCATCATATAATCGTTTTAGACCTTCAAGATCATATAAATTACTAATGCCTAATTGTTTCACACGACCTTCATCAACAAATTTTTCGACTTCGCGATAAACCTGCATGTTCAAGTCGTGTGATTGTAATGGACTATGAAGTACCAATGAATCAATATAATCTGTATTTAAATTTTTTAATGATGTTGCGAATGATTGTTGAACTTGTTGAGGTAAAGATGCATGAGGATCGTAAGGTAGAGGTTTAGATTGGTCTTGTCCACGAAGCGGTGTAAATTTCGTTTGAATAAATAGATCTTTACGTGGAATATTATGCTTCGTTTCAAGTTCGACTAATGCCTGACCAACAAGATCCTCACTATTATAAGAAAAATAAATGAATTGATTCGTTCTCTATTACTGACAATAAAATTACCTGTAATGTTTCGGTTGACATGCTGTGTCAATACCACGAAAACCATTCAAAATTGCTTTGATAACAAGAGAAATGGTTGCTTCTTTTTTCCAAGCTGTTCCATAGATTAAACGAGGCATCTGAATACCAGCATTAGTGGTTACCGTTTTTACTGACATAGTTTTCTCTTGACAAAATTGTGAAGTGTGATGAGAAAAGAAAACGACATAGTTGGAGTATTGGTTATAAAACATGGACTTTCTCTATCCAATCGACTTACTCTGATATAACCAATTCAAATAAGTTCTACCAGGAAGACCTAATTTTTATTTTAGATAATTTCTTTTACATACAAAAAAGATGATCGATTTTTTTTTCTCTCAAAAAGGATTCAAGAGAGAATTTTTCAATAACGCGAATTCTTGAAATAAGAAGAGCGGTTTAAATATATTTCATATATGACTAAACCTCACTGGAAATCTTATGTTACCATAATAATAGAGAAATCAAAATCCCCATCGATCATTTTTGAAGGACACATAGAATAAAATTACCGTTTGACGTCATTCTCTGCATATCTGAATAAATGTTCACTTGACATTACTTCGTTCGTTTTCATCATATCTGTTGTTTCATCTCTGTCGATATTATCTCACCTTTTTCGTCAAATTGCTCTTTAATGACCATTGATTTCCTCTCGAAGTTAAAACAGAATCTACCCCAGGAGTTCTTTCTCATCGATAGAATCTATCAATCCCTTCTATTGTTCGATTAATATTTCAAGAGATCACAAACATCAACAAAAACGTCAATGAAAATAGTCATTAGACGAACATTTCCATATAATATCCGTGTTATTTGTCTATGTAAAACAGCATGTTCTATGTTAGCTCGAATGTCACATCCATATTAACCGTAAAACACGATCGGTGGGGATGATCATGATTATGATGATAATTTTGTTATTCTTAAGTGAAATACATCCGTAACCGACATATGTTCCTTCTTGTTTCGATAAGGTGTCATCTTTCTTGTGAAAAAAGGAAAAGTTTTCGATAAGTTCTTCTCCAAGCAAACTTTTCTAAACTATAGATAACTATTTAGCACTTGATCGTCGTTTCAATCACCACAGGATGATTCTGATTGATCAATGTCGGCGTTATTTTTTCTCTGTTCATTTATCTGAATGATTGATCAGAAATATATTTACAACGGTGTGTTAAAATCGAAATGTGTCTTCATTTTTCTTTCATCTTGAACAATCGAACAAAATCAAAGTTTCGATTCTCAGAAAGTTATGCTTTTGGAAAACTACTGACGAGATTACATTTTCATCGATCTACACACGTACAATTCAGTTGATGAATTACACTAATTGGTTTATTAGATTGATTGCAATTCTCTCGCTAAGTGTGATTTGATTACGAAGGGTGAAATTTTATTGGTTGATTCCATTTTTCTCAATCCAATCGAAAAGAGAAAAAGAGATGGTGAGAGAGAGAGAGATAGAGAGAAAGGAAAAGATAAATAGCATCATTTATTAAAAGTCATTCACAAATAAATAACTTCATTCATTCGAAATTTCAAAGCAGTCAAATAACAACGAAACGAATTGATATTCTAATCAAATGTCATCATCAGGAAGTTCAACGACCAAATCAGTAAGTTTAACAAAGAAAGACTTCAGATAGATTTGTAATTTTGAATTATAGAATGTCCTTCTATCAAGTATTGTAACATCAGCATTAAGTCAATTCAATTGGGCTGAATTGGAACAGAAACAACCAAAGCCTGCAAAACCTGTTCATGTCAAACGACCTATGAATGCCTTTATGGTTTGGGCTCAAACTGCTCGGAAAGCATTGACTGCAAATTTGTCTATTGTTAACAACGCACAACTAAGCAAAACGTTGGGCAAAATGTGGAAGTAAGTTCATTAAGGGATATGAATAGCTTTGATCTCATATGTTTGATTTTTAGGGAATTACCACAAGAAGAACGCCAATTGTTTGTTGAAGAAGCTGAACGTATTCGTGAACAGCATAAACGTGATCATCCAGAATATCGGTATCAACCAAAACGAAAAGCTAAACGTATGTTAATCAACTAAGTTTTCTCCGACTTTATTAATCTTTCTATTTAAAGACGCTCGTTATCATCCATATTCTACTCCTAATACAAGCAAATCTTCTGCATCACCATCATCATCATCGGTGAACGACACAAGTGTCCAAAGTGATCATCATCCACCTGCGGCTTCGTCTCCATGTTCATCATCGTTCGACGAACCGTCAGGAAATTCATCTGTATTTCTTCCATCTTATCCACCACAACAGATCTATTCCCACAAATATCAACATTCTCACGAAGATCTCCTCGACAACGATGAAAACGCTTGTACTTCAAAAGAAAACTTTTCAGCAACATCTTATTACGTGCAAACACCGATTGATGCCGATCAACAATACGAAACGAACACAACTGGACACTATCCGACCGAAAATTTTGCGTATCCAAGTAAGTACTTTTGAATCAGATTGTAGCGGTTGATTTGACATCTCGATTTAGATATGTACAATGCGTATTATCCATCGTTTTCTCATCATTCTGCAGTGCCCGAATACAATTCAAACGGTACCCTCTACAATGCAAACTACGGTGTACTTTCGTACGACGCATCATATATGGCACATCCGTCGAACACAATGAATTTCAATTATCTGAATGCTCATTATTCGTCTGGTCAATAGATGTTTCTAAAGATTGTTTCTTGTGTTATTTTTTTATATATATAAATTTGGTGTATGAAATAAATTATGTAAATCTAAGAGTTAAAGGTCTTTTTGTTTTTCAGCAAGTCCAACGTCGATATTATCTTGGGGCGCTTTTTCAGGTTTTCGAGATAATTCTGGATGAGGTTTGTCGGATGCTAATCGGCCTGCGTCGTTGAATTGTTGAGCAAGTACGAGTTGAAATTTGTCATCGAGTTTCGATCGAAGTGGTTCAAGAATATCGTTTTCTTCTTCCTTCAAATGATGCACTAGAAGGAAAGGTGAATGAAAGTTCATAGAATGACAGAGTTAATGATGTGTACTTAGTTTATCAGCTGATTTATGTATTTGTTTCCATGTCACTGTTGACTGTTCAGCTAATTTTTTCAATTCCTTTTCAAGTTGACGATGCTCTTTAATACCGTGTTCGATCAAGTGATGTCCACCTTTTTGTTCATCTTTTAAATATTTTTCAACCTTGGGATAGAACGCAATTTCTTCCTTATGACCATGAAGTGCAATATAAGCAATCCATTGACGAGCACGTGAATCAAGTTCCTTTGTATTTTCGATTGTTTTCAATTGTTCATATTCGTCACGCATGTATTGATGTTCAGAAAAAATCAAATCAATGATTCCAACGGATGACGTGGAAGTAACTGAACTTCCATACGGTCGACAAAAAATCAATAGCGAAGCAACAGGAAAACGTCGCAAAAAAAGCATTGTTGATTATCTAATAGAATGAAAGAAACGGGTTGTACTGAATGAACTGACTCGTAGAATCGGGTCGTGATAACTGGTCGAAGAGAGTAGCAATCAATGGAAATGAATTAGCGAGACCTATCGGAAAGAATGGAGAACATGAGTAATGAGAAAAGATGCGTGTGGAGAAATCAACCGAATCTTTATTAATAAAAAAAAACAGAATTAATATATAAGAGCACGTGCGAATGTTGTGTATTATCTTTTGTTCTACAGCATGCACTCATATACATGAACCAAAACACAGTAAAAAAATAAGAGAAGAAAAATAATGTGAATAAGAGTACATAAAGTGAGAATGAGAAAAAAAAACGTGAAGAAGTTTAATGGCACGCACGTATGTTCACTTTCGTATTAACACAAAGATAAGACAAGAGAAATACTAGACTAACTTGCTTTTTTCGTCTCTATATAGAATTTGAGTATGATAGAATGAAGCAAAAAATAAATAAATAAATCTTTATAGGCATAAAAAATCATAAGATAAATATGACGAAGATGATGATGGCATGGAGATAATATCTGCTGTATTTGTAGCAAAGTTCGATAATGGTGTATCAATATAACCATTACCATCGTAGTGTTCAGTAAGATCCATTAAATGATTATCTGTTGAATCTTGCAATAATTCATATCCTAAAAGAAAAGAATTGCAGATTTTAGAATTCATTGAAATTATCAAGTTGTTTACCAGTTATATCATCTATGGCAGGTACTAAATCCTGTTGATTATTTGAAATATTGAACATAGGACAAGTATTGGTTAAATAATCAACTAGGGTTGATGTTGTGTCATCGAGTGTAACTGACGATGATGATAGTGGTGATGGTGTCATTGGTAGTAGTGTTGGTGGTGGTAAAGTAATATCGTCGTGTTTATTGATGATTTGTATTCGTACAGCTCGTCGCGATGTTACTGGAGATGTTTGTGTTCGAGATGGAGGTGCAATAATAACAGATTGAGGTTGACTAAGAAGTTTAAAAAACCATTCATTATTAGAACTATTATCCGTTGATTCGCTTGGAATCATTGCTTGACACATTGTTAAAACTGTTGGTTGAATTGAATGAGGAGTGATATTGGACATTAGTGATGACGATGATGTTTGTTGTGGAAGAAATGGAGATAAAGATGATGAATTCATAGTTGACAGTTGTCGTTGAGCTGAATAGAAATGAAGAAATGCTAACTTCTATATATAGGTCAGTCGGAACTGACGCTTACCTGTAGGCGAGTGATGCTTTCTTGTTATTGTTTTATTAGCGGTCGTCGAACGTTGTTTAGATTTGAATCTATAGTCGGGATGATCAATATGATATTGTCTTTTCAGTGCTTCAGCCATGTCTAAAAATGGTTGCTTTTCGTCCACAGACATGTGTCTAAACTCGAAAGTGTCTTTTCTTTTGTCGGCAAAATGAATTTGATTTGCTTACCGCCATGTTTCACCTAGGAATTTACTCAAAGATGTTTGACTAACACCATAACCATCACTTGACACGCGTTTTCTTTCACCACGGGCCCATAATAAGAACGCGTTCATAGGTCGTTTTATTGTGGAATTTCGCATAGTTTTTGTTCTAGTAGAATTAATCTCATCAAAGGATTCTTCGAAACGATCGTCAGTAAATTGTAGTGGTGAAAACGATTCATTTTTAAATAAAAAATTCTCTATTGGTACGCACTAAAAATTCAAGAAAACGTGCAAAAACGAATGAAGCGAGGTGGAGAAATCACTCACATCATGAAAAGATGAGGTCGGAGTTGATATCATCATCATCGTGGTCGAATATCTACCGTTTAAATTCTAAACTAGTGACTGTTATATGTCGAGAGTGGAAAAGAAGAAAAAGAATAGAACATGTGTTTCTGTACGTCCAGTAGAAATAAATCATATGCAAACACATGTCGAAAAAGGATATACGAGAGAATATCTGTGTGATGAATATGGACGTGGGTATTTAGCGACGAAATTCTCAAAAAACATGCTCTTTCATCTAGAAGAAGAATAACAAAACAAGTACTTTCGATTCGCAATGAACTGATTAACGAGAGCAAAGCATTTCGATTGTGTAGCATCTTTCTATTTAGACATGAAAAATGGAAAAACAAACAATGTTCAATACAAAATGTATGGAAAAATAAGAGAAAACTGTAACGAAAAAGAAAGTGTTCGCTGGCGAAGTTTAACGATTAACAGTTGGTGCCCCTGGAGAATATGAAAATGAATGAAGATAGAAGATTTTTCGTTGAAAATTCAAAGAATACGAACATCCAGCTCGACGTGGTGACATGTATATATAGGGCGATCGATCGATCTTGGAAATGGATAACGATGGAACAGGAGATGAAGTTGATTTTGATGACGAAGAGTCTCTTTGCAAATAACAAAAGATCAGAATGATTTCTTTTTTCTGAAAGAAAACATACTTTGCTTGGTGTTTGAGTCGATCGTTCGTTTTAGTTTGTAACCATTGTTTAGCTTCTCGATTGGTGACAATAATTTCCGGTGTATCATATGTTGGGTTATAATGTGAAATGTGTTGAGGTCGTTGAACAGCGCATAGAGATCGGCTTAAACGAAATGCTAGAACAAACATTTGAAATTATCGAATGGAACAAAGAATGAAAAATATCACTTGTGAGGAAAGAAGGTCGACGACGAATATTACCGGCTGTTCGACCGCCGATCCAACCCGGAGAAAGAGATATTGTCTTGAAAATCAAAAGAAATCGATGATGCGGATCAGAAGAAGCTCGATATTACTTCATTGACCGTTATAATCGATTGTTCATGAATCGGATTCAATGTTCGTTCGAGACAAGCTCGTGTTTGATCTAAATCCCAATTTCCATTGATAACATCAAGTAAAACGACTCGATTATATTGCCGAGTAAGTATTATTAACAAAGGATAACTATCAACATAAGTAAAATGGGATAAACATTCGAGAAGAATTTGTCGAGCACTTCCACTTCGTTCCAAAAGTCTGCAAAAACTAGAATATACATAGTGACGAGAGATCTTTTTGACGAACCGTTGTTTATTCAACGAATAAGTGACATCCCATGGCCAGAGAATGCATTTATACTTAATTAAGACATTTAGAACTGATGATGAACAAAGTATCTGCCGAGAGAATATTGTGGTAAATGAAGATTTATCATGATTGAGGAACACAGCGAATGGACTATGCTAAAGACAAAGAAAACGATGAACTGATGTTGAGGAAAGTTCTTGTTACTGATTGATTGATCGCATTTTCAAGTGTTGATTTAAACCATATTGGCCATCGAGAAACATTTGCATGACGTTCTTGAAATACTCGTTCGAAATTTCGAATACCTTCCAATTCATTCAAACATTCATTAGGAACTAAAGTTAATTAGACAAATTGGGAAGAACAGATTCACTTTTCTCATACTCAATGGTTGATCGATGCTTACAGGTGACTTTCTCTGTGTAGAATCAAAGTTATCTAACACATAATTGATTGCTTCCTACAATGAGCATGTTTTCAATGAAATTACAACGGAAATTTAAAAAACGATAGATGTATTACCAAACAATTCCATCGAAATTGTTCTAAGATTTTGATACATTCATCTGTATTAAATATGGCTGTACGAGACTAAATAAAAACTGCATATCGACAACAAAAACCAGCGACTATGTGTACTTGAAATTGTATGAGTGTTTCATGTCGTTGATTCTTCAGCATGGTCATCGATAGAATCGAAACACGTGATAATTCTTTAATCGATCGCACTCGAGACGAAAAATTAACGCCCTCTATTCACTTATCCTTCACAAACACAATCAAATATATCAACCGATCAGCGGTGACAGACAATCATCTTATCTCGATATCACTAAGTGAGCATTGTGATCAACAGAAGACATCAGATATAAATTGTTTAGTTTCGAAAAACTAAGATACCTCTTTATATTAATTTCAACTATTTCTCTTTGTTTGTTTTGTTCTTATACAACAAGAAATACAAACATGTTACGCACAAAAGTTAGCAAAAAAAAAGGAAAACAACGATAGTAGAAGAAAGTCAGGAAAAAAGACAACCGAAAACTAATCAATATTTTCGATTACACAAAAAAAAACACATGCAGATATCTGAGAGGGAGAGTAACAAAAAATACAGTTAACAGTTCTTCCTTGAGTGAAGTTAATTAAGATAAGAACGAGTTCATTCTGAATTGGATGTTGTTGCCTGCAAAGATGTTTCTGGCTGACAACCAGCAGGCGGAGCAGCAGTATCGACGATAACCGACGAATGCGAATGCGAGACAGAAACATCATGCCGTTGAAACACAGAACCCATCTTGTTCATATACTTCTTGATGTAAACTTCCGTTTTTAATCGTACACGATCGTTTAATACTGGCAACAATGGAATTCTTTCGTCTTTGGCCTTCTCAATTTCTTTATCTAACACTGCTAAGGTGAATTTTTTCACTAAGTATTTGATGTCATCTGTAGATGCTATACGTCCTTGTTTGCATGTTCGCTTTGTGTATGGTTTTAAGGTTGCATGAACGTGTTGAGAAATATTTTTACGTAGGAGATCACGATTGATTTTCGAGGATGATGATGCATTGTTATTGTTGGATTCGTTGATATCATCTTTAATCGTAGTTGATCCATTGATTGCATTGGTATCTTCAGTGGGTATTTTCGAAACAGAGACAGATGTTTCTTCGTCGTGTTCCAATGATTTATTAACATCGTTAGTTTCCTCTTGTTTGATTGTTTTATGTAGCATGTTTTCTGATGGGCCTTCAACGTCTGGTTTAGTAGCAGCTGCTGTGTCTGTTCTTGTTGTTGTTGTTGTTGTTACAGGTCGTTTTCGTTTGTTACTATTAGTAGAGCTGATATGATGATGTTTATGAGTACGAGCGTGACGATGCGGATGTTTCACTAATTTCATATTTGAATGCGATGACGAGGATGAATGTTGATGATGATGAGGAATCGGAAGGGGTCGGCGTTGTTCAAGTATGTGTGCAGATGAGAGTGGACTTAAGTCAAGAAGAGGAGCAGACGTGTTTGCTGAAGTTGCAACAGATGGTGGTGTCCAACTAGTCGTATTGGTTTCTCGATTATAGAAATAAACAGACGAGTCAGTTGGACACATGGCAACGGACCAACCCGAAGGCAATTGTATGATATGTGAGAGTTCTGCTTCGTTCTCAGGTCGTGCTGGCGGAGGAGGGACAGGTTCATCCTTGTCGACCTGAAAGAAGGACATGGACGTGAAAATCGTTTAACAGAATAAATCATTGTATTTACTGAAGTGGCGGATGCTGAATTTTCCTGCGCACCAATCGAAGCCATATACGAACGAATATATTCAATAGGAATCTGTGATAGATGTTGGTGAATCCAAGATGTCTGATCCATTTGATTTGGATATGCCTACAAACACAAATCAACAGCAAAAAAATAGATCATCCAAATTCTCTTGATCCTTCTTACTGATGACAATTCTGGTTGAGGTGGAGTGTGTGGTATCATCGATTCCGTATTGTCAGATGTTCGTTGTTTTTTATGCGGTGGTTCATTTTGTGATCCTAAATATTTTGAAATGAATAAACAGTTAAGTTTGTATCAAATCATCAATTGTACCTGGACTTTCGCCGTTGACTGCTGCCATTCTTGCCTGGAAAAATTCAGATCACTGTATAAAAGTTAACTAAATCAAAAACTCTTTACTTTCTCTTCATCTTCATATTGTTGTTCAAATAATTTTCGTCGTTCATCTTTCGACAGTTGTTGTTCCTGTGTTCGTGGTGTTTCACGTACAGTATACGAACGTCGACTATACGACCGATCGTAAGGTTTTTGTTGACTGTACGACGAACGTGTTGTAAAACTTAATCGCGAAGATGGCTCTTCGTGACGATGCTTCGAACTGTAATGATGATGATGGTGATGACGGTGATGGTGATGGTCAGAATCTGCTTCCGGTTCTTTTCGTTTTGGGATAATAAAACGTTCTTTGAGTGAAGTCCACGTTGAATAAATATGACAAAGTTTGGCAACTATTGGATTCTCCAGATGATCAAGCATGGAGTTCATCAAAGAGTGAATTTGTTCTTCATCTGTCATCGAATTCATCTGATCATTAGGTTTCGATGGTAATTGTAACTTTTTAGCCACTAAATCAAACAAACCATTTTTAATCACAGTTGTTCGATCTTTGATGGGTAAAACTAGATGAATGAAATCTAATAATTGATATTTAAATTCGTCCGAATAGTGTTGTTGCTCATCTTCATCAGCATTTTCAAGTAAAATATCTTTCATCCACGAACATAACACATGTAAACCATTGCATTCGAGAAATAATCGTGGTAATTCCAGATGTTTCTGTGAGCTTGATTTGATTAAGTTCAATTCAATTGTTCGAACATTTTCACCATCTGTTCGAGACATTATTTGAATTAATTGACGAATTTCTTCGATAGTCTTCGGTACAACATATTCGTTCGTATGTTCATCGAGTAAATAGTCGAGTAATTCATCATCATCCAACGGTTGACGGCGATTTTGTCGTTTAGTTGAATTATTATTGTTTGGTTTAATACTAATCGTTCCACGACATGTCGGTGCGCCACAATAGCATTTCTCATTCGCTAGATCAGCCGCATTTGATGATTCAAAACGATAATCAATTGTAATTTCTTCGTTGACGTCCAAATCACGCTTCGCAAATATTCCCATTCGATATTCACCATTGACAAGCCATTTTTCAGCAACACAATTCGGTTCACAAGAATGATTGATAAATCTCGCCCAATTGCCCTTCATTGTTGAATCAATTACTGTTCCATGGATTAATGACATGACGTATTGATGAATATTTCCGTCGCGTTTGTATTTCTTGTTTCGTCGAGCTAATTCATCCATGTCGATAACTTCACCGACATATTCGGCAAGAAAACGACCTTTACGAATTGTGGAAGTTGTTCGTAAGCCATGGCCTTTCATTTCAGTTTTAAACAGCGCTAACTTGTGTGCAGCATACGAATGTCGCTGAAATCGACGATTGGAACACCATTGTCCGCATGGACATAGTGGACCACATTCGATTAATAGCATGCGATTAAGACAATCCGAACCGCAAGCTTTAATACCACGGGAACGATCATATTCACTTGTGGTACATTCGCATTCCATCACTTCACGATTATGACGCTTCTGTTGACGACGTGATGCGGGTAAACAATTGATGTTTTCACTGATTTGAGTGTAATTTAATGGTGTATCGACGGGTATGTTTGTATTTATAACTGGTTCGGATGATGTGGTCGAAGTGACATCGGAAAAACGAGATACTCGAGGTGGTCTGCTCGATGGTGGGCGGACTAAAATTTTAGGATAAACGAAAAGAGTTGAATTGAAATATTCTTCCTTACCGATTGTTGAAGAATCGTTGGACTGAGAAATTTTACCCGATCCCACATCATCAAGTGTTGATGATGAAACTGGCTGAATTTCATTGAATACTGTACGAGGTATTGCTGCTACATCTGTTGTTATTTCTTTTAAGCAGCGTTGTTGAAGTGGTAAGTTGAGAGGTGGCGGTGGCGCAGAAAATCCAGTGAATCTTTCCGGATAGAATACATTGGGTTCTGGAAGCGATGCTATGGGCATATCCAATGTCGTACTATTTGGTGGTATGGGTAAGTAATGTGTTGTGGGTGCCGATGAAGAAGGTAAAGCAGGATTCTTTTGCGTAGAAACGGCTTCAATTGATTCCGATGCTTTTAGAAATAGTTTTTCTAATGTCGGCGAACGACGATTTTTTTTCTCATGATAATAATGATTAGTTCGTGAAGACGAACGGGATGTTGAGGAAGATGATCGAGAAATTGATGTATATGACGATGAACTACTTGATGAAGATGATGATGTTCGACTCCGAGTTCGACGGCGAGGTGAAAATGATATCGATGACGATGTTGAAGAAAAATATCTTGTACGACGGTGACGAGAACTCGATCGACGACGCTGACGTGAGTTCGATCGACGCCGCTGATAATGATGACGACGATATCTGGGTGATGGTGATCGATAGTGATGATGATGGTGGTAATGTACATAATGAGTATTTGAATGGTATGGACTTCGATGACGATGATTATGATCACTTCGTCGATCATATCGAGCTGAAGAATCATGCTGATAACGATCTGAAGATCGCCGTCGTCTTCGTTCTCGATGATCGCTATGTGTAGATGGAATAGATGATCCCCGGCTTGATTTTTTATCTGGATTTATTGTTGCATGGTCTAAACTTCAGTTTAAAAAATGAGATATTGTAATGAAAGTATCGTTACTTGAAATGGAATCTTTTTCTTGATTTGTTTTTGTCTTATTGAGTGAACTATCATGTGAGCTAGATGGCTCAATGGTTTTTCGATCGATCTTTCTTTCATGAGATCTCGACCGATGTCGTGATGATGTTGCTTTTGTTGATTTCGATTTGTCTCGTTTGACCGATGAGGAAGGTTTTTCTGATTCAGAAGATTTGACTATGGTCTCATCATTTTTCTAAAGACCAAATTGAAAAAAAAACACTTTTGACTATGCCGAGATTCCTACTCGTGTTTTGTCATTCGTCGTGTCTGAACTACGTTTTCTACTGTAACGATTCGAAGGTGATGTGGAATTTGTTGATTTAGTAGCGGACATCGAGTCTGTTATTTCTCGATTGGATTTTGCTGTTGTAGAACATCGGTTGTCTGTCTACATAAAGAAGCAGAATGAATTGTAAATAACTTAGCGATTTAAAAATTTACCTTAGGCGATGGGTGTGTTTTCGTTTCTAATCGTTCCGTTGTTGTGTGATGAGATTGGGATGGAGATGGAGAAAGTGTTATAGATAAATCAGGTTGATGATGTGATGAAGAATTCGGTTCGAATTCGAGTGACGATCGTGTGGAGATAATGTCGATTTCTTCAAAGATGGTAATTTCTCTTTCTAAAAGAAAAACCAATCCAAATCAGGAATATATTTGTTATATCTTTAGTTGTAAGTGAAAAGACGCGTGTAGTCGTGAGGTCAGTTAAAATATAACTAACTTTTACTATTATTTCACTTTGTGTGGGATAATAATAAAAGACCGAAGTAGAGCCGAATACCGAAGCTTTTTGATTTTGACCGGCCGCCAATGAATCATATTGTTCAGTCGACCAATCAGCGCTTCTTCGGCCGCTTTCGGGTGGTGGCGATAGGATACATTCACTCGACAGTTGTAAGAATAAGTGAACCAAATTTATTTATTTAACGTCAGCAGCCAAACTCGAATCCATAGTTCATAGTTTGTTTATTTTATCTATATATGATATATAACATATATCTCGCTAGATGGCGTTCTAAATCGCGTTAATTTATATAGACTTATGATTTTTTTCTTATATCTTCTACTACAGTATTCAAGCGTGCAAATGTTAGCATCTGAAAAACTATATATATATATATATATATATACGTAAAATTTTGAAATTATGTAAAGTAGTCTTTTGTTTCGGTTTGTCACAATCAATCGTTCGAGATACATAGATTTATCATGCTTAAGATAAGAGCTTAAATTATTTCTTGGCTATTTCAAAGTTTGCTCATTATTATATACCTGATGAAAATAGATGACTTATATTTCCTTATATCCTACTCATTGAATGATATTTGAGAGTGTATATTAAAAGAACACAGATCGGTACTGTCTAATACACGAATGAAAAACATTTCTTTTGAATTATATATTTGTTTTTCTTCTTATCATTTGCCATGATGACATCCTGAGCTTTTTAATATCATTGCGAATATAACAGTCATTTCAAATATAAAAAATTTATCCGTTTCGTCAATACTTTAATAACTTTATAATCATACGTACATATTAACGATAACCACGTTTTACTACTTTTCAGATAGAATAGTCAACGTTAAAGAAAAGATCTAACTAAAAACTAATATTTTCTGTCTCATAAAAATTAACGCGATTATCTTTCAGATAATATTCAATTTATCAAATCTTGAGGGTGAGGAATACTATATAGCTTTGTAAACTACCAAGTACAATAGAACCGCTGATACCGAACAACCTATTAAACTGAACGCTCTCCGCAGTCCTCCCGATTCTGAATGTGAACAAAATAAAGGGTGTCATTGTAATTTGAATTAGCGCGATGCATTCTATTTCCTACTTTTATGCTTGAAATGTTGTCTATATATAACACAATTAAATCACATGTACGTCTCACACGTTTATGTGTTAAATATAAATTATTACATGTCACAAATTGCCATGAAGTTTTTTTTGGAGAAAAGCAGAATTTTTGTTAAAAAGAAAAAAAGATAAGGTTTGGAAAATGGACATGCGATTACGAGCAGACTAATTAACAACATAAAACTGCACTCGAAACATACGGGATGTAATGCAGTTTATCGATGTGACAAGACACATATCAATCAAGTACGATATAATGACGACAAAGAAGCCGAGCATTGTCACCCGATTCTCTTATCAATAAAAGGAAAAAATATAGTATAGACCAGGTGCGCGAATGATTACTGCATTACATCTTTTCTTTGTACGATCAAAAGATATTAAACATCTTCAAGTCAGATGAATTGATATTGACAACGAGCCAATTACAGACATAATTAGACAAAAAACCGTCGCATGTCTATAACAATCTAATTAGAATAATCGAGTGACACTTTTAGTTTTCGATTAGAACGAACTCTGGTCTGAGGTAGTAGGTTTGTTAGTTTGATCTATGTTGAAACTAACTAATCAACCTAGATTACCTCATACAATGAGTTTGATATATGAGAAACATTCTTACCAGTAAGTAAGATAAGATGGTAATTGTCGTTCAAATCTTTAACACAAACTTTTCACATATTTGTTTTCAATTAGAAACTAATTCAACATTGATCCACTAATGATTTCTTGACTTTTTCTCCCACAGTAACGTAAATAAATATCGATAGGCAATCCATAACAGCAAATTTCATTTCTTCTCTATACACTGAAAACTTAACATTATGGATTCATCGAGCGATTCAGCAGCACTGTTAAAAGCTACTGGTATCATTGGTATATCATTCGTTGCTTGTTGTTTATTACTCTGTTGCACCGGATACATAATCGCAAAGAAAAAAAACAAACAAAACCAAATTCATCGTACAAGTCTCCATCATCATCATCATTTCCCAACACCGTCGCCGGTTTTCTCAATTGACGTACCCACTCCTGATATTCCTGAATCGTCACCTGATTATCATTTTGATTCACCACCACCAGCATATGAAGTCAAACAAGATTCATTACCAGGTAAAATATTTCTCATCGAAACATGCAATATATTCGTGCTTTCTAATAGTCGCAGAAAATGATTCTACCGTTCGAACATCTCTTGATCCAACTTGAAAGACACATGCTTTCTACATCATAAACTCATTCATATATTTATAATCCTCTAATTTTTTATTTGTTTGTTTTTGAAATAAGCAATGATTAATGAATAAATAGTGCATCAGCCATGGATGATCGCTCTGACAAAGCAACAAGAGTACAACAAGAAAGATGCAGAGAGAACCTGCTCTCCAAAAGGAAACAACATACCAAAAAAACTAACAAAAACAAAAATCAAAAGTCGCTGTACAGCATATTCAAATCACAGAGCAAAACACAAAGAAACAAATCAGCTTAGCACTCAGAAGAAAAAACACAAAGCAAAGCAAAGCAAAGCAAAAGTATACATACAACAATTATTCAGAAATGTGAAAATACGGAAAAAAAGAAAACAAACAAAACAAGCTCTGACTATTTCTACATACTGTTTAGGAAAATGAACGACCACAATGAGGACATTGTTTACAACATTTCTTCTCATTACTGACAATTCGTTCGGTGACTGTTGACTGCCATTGGATTGTTTTGGTATTTTCGTTGTCACTTACTCGTTCGATACGTGGTGGCGGAAGTAGTGGTGGGAAAAGCATTGACAATGGACTCGATGATAATGGCGGAGAAGTATTGACCCATCCGTTGGGTTGTGGTTCAGGTGACAAACGCCATGTATTCGAGGAAGGCGGAGTCAATGGCATCCATGTTGGCGCGTCCGGTGACAAAGACGAAGATGTCGTCAATAACGGCAATGGGCGATTTGTCGAAAGAGCTAAATGAAGAATCAAATAAATAAATAAAAGAAAAAAAAAAGAAAGAATGTTGTTTTTACAACTGGATAACTGACATCGAAAAGCGGCTCGAGCAGGTGTTTGCGGTGGTGTGGTTGAAATCGATGATGTTGGATGATTTTTGGCGACAGCCAAAGAGACCTTTTCGAAGCGAAATATAAAAGAAATTTGGAAAAGATATCCGATTAACATACCGTAATTTTTCGTCCGTCAGCTATAGTACCATTTTTGACTTGCATGGCCCGTTCACCATCACGTCGTCGAAGAAATGTCAAAAATCCAAAACCTTTCGATCCTTGTGCATTTGAAACAACTTCCACATCATCAACGGGACCAAAAATCTATCAAATAAATCGAAATTCAATCGAAATAACCTATTTCGTTTTCACTCACATCAAATTGTTCTCGTAAATGTTTATCCGACCAACTAAATGGAATGTTTCCCACATGGATACGTAATGAACCATCATCCACCAGTGATATTTGACGAGATACTATTACATGATTACTATTATCCTCATTAGACATAATTGAACCTTGATTGAATTGATGAAAGAACTAAATATGCATAATGACAGAAAAAAAAACCGGGTATTTTTCTTAATCGTCTTTGCAAAGCTACCTGCATGATTGCTTGATGAATGTTCAAAGATAACGATGATGATAGTTTTAGTGACGGACTAGATAATCTGAAAAAGACATAACGAAATATCGGAATTTCTTCCAGATATGAAAACCGGTCGATGTCTGCACTTTGCATATTTCGTCACAGACTCGACTAATATAAACGAACAAGTTGTTCGGACATTTAAAATCGTTCTCTTCCCTTTCTTTTCTCTTTTTCTTCGGTCTCCATGTGAATAGATACACACCGAGACATACGCGCATAAAACGCACATGTTCGCGACTATGTCGTTATACTTTTGTATGAGAGAATCGACAAGTTACTACACAAATGTTGTCTACTTGAATTGCCCATCCAGGCCTTCGTTTTGTCTTGTTCTCATGACGAATCGTTATTGTCGATTGGTAGGAACTGATCTTTTACATTTTAGATCGGTAGATCATGCCGTTTACTTGGGATTTGAAAAACAATTTCATTCTTATACATTCGGTTATTCATCATCAACAACAGTCAGGGGTGAAAATAATTGATTGGGCATGCGTTGTGAATGACATTCAATTGGAAATTTTATCAACACCAGTTCAATTGGAATGTCAATATGATTATTTGAGTAAAACGTTCGACTCCAAACAAGATTCGTAGGGTTTCATTCGCAGAGTCGTTACAAAAATTTTAGATTCTCTCTTTTTCTTTTAAATCTAGAATGGCTCTTTATCTAAGAATGAAGACTGTGTATTTACAATCATTATGTAAAAAAATGGAAGAAAGTGTTCAAAACACATTGCAAACTGCGTATGAGCTGATCAGACATGCACGTTCGAAACGAATTTCCGCTCAAGATATCGAACAATTAATTAAGGAATGGAAGTCTAAGTAAAAAGTCAAAACCATTAAGTTTAAAACGAACAACTTGTTCTTGTAGTTTTTCATCGGATGAAGAACAACCGAATAAGCAGCATCTTTTAAAAATATTAAACCGTATTGTTCATTACATTAAGACAGTACCTAACGATGCTCCACACTTCAAACAAATACAATACTCTAACATAAATCAATCAACGCGTGTTGACAAACTAATTCGAGATGAAAATCGAGAATCTTTATCAGATAGTAAAGACGAACCTGCAGTCATCGAGAAACAAAGTAGTTCTACCGCTACATCAAATAGAGAAGTATGACGATCGTAATTTATTCTACCCCATACTTGAATCTGTTCATTTTGATTAATTAGAAACCTTTGCTTACACGTCGTCGTACTCAATCGTTGACAATATCTGTTGAAAATAAAGACGATCAAGTGAACGTTGGTGTTGAATGGTTTGTACCAAAATATAAACGTCAACAAAGATCTTCATCTATACATACTGAATATCCATTAATTTCTTCAGCAGCAGCAGCAGCATCGTCATCAGTAGAAAATCAACAACGTGAGTCAAATTGAATACGTAAATGTATTCGTTTCTCACACACTTTCAGTTCTGTTTGATTAGTTTTGACTACAATTGATAATGATGAATCTTCGAATTCAACGAATCCTTCACATGTTCAATCACCATTATCGTGTTTATCGCATGCAGATGACCAGGTTACTAGAATCATCTCGGAAAACACAAGATTTTATTTGGAATTTTTTGCTTTCAAATAGATTACTGAAGAGGAACGTCGACAAACAGATTTGAAACTGATTGATGACCAACAACTGGTAAAAGAATTCTTTCTCCCTCCTTTCATTGAAAGTTCTCTGAACTATTTTAGGATGATGTATCTTCTACAGATTCAGAATCGATCCAAATTCAATGGTCTTCATCAGCTAAAAACAAACTACCTCCCTCATCCATGTCTCACCAAGTTGATGATGATCATCAAGAAAACAATTCGTCTAAACGACAACGACTCGCTTGAACACCATAAAACATTTTTGTACATAGTTATATATTAATGACAATATTTCTTTTCTAAGATAGCTAATTGACATTCAGTATTTATGATAGGAATCATTATTTATAATGTTCAATTCTCTTTTTCTAAAAATAATATTTCGTGTATTGAATAGTTTGTTTGACTCAATAAAAATTAGATTGATTTTTTTTTAAAGGTAAAGCGCTCTCTATCCGATTGTTTAACGCACACCTTTTCTTTGATTGGCCTTTGTCTGCGATTAACTAATTCATACAAAAAAAACTTCCTTGCAATCAAATAAACATGCATCGCATTGTTTGTGCCGTTAATGAATCGCTCTACTATCAAATGCTTTGTAAAGGGCTTCTTCAATCTCTACTCAAATACTGTTCAGCACCATACAAATTGACTGTACTTCTTGATGGTAATTATGCTCAACCATTGGACGATCTTCGTGAGAAGATTGAAATTGTATCTGTTAAACCTCTTGATATTGTTTGTGGATGTGTTCCATCGAGGACGACTTTTGCTCGATTGGAAATTCCTTATCTATTTCCTGACGAAAAACAAATTTTATATTTGGATGTTGATATGTTTATCATGAACGATATTCAAGAACTTTTCACCACTTCATTTGATACATTAGCAGCTGTCGTGCCTGGTCAAGTATTAACGATTAAAGAACTTGTTCAACGAGAATTCCAATCGAATTTATCGAAAATGGATTATAAACTGAATGGTATAACTTATTCTTGTGGTGTAAAAGATCATCGATACTTCAATGCAGGTAGATGATAAACTGTACTCAGAATATATTTTGCTCAAGTTTTCTATTCAGGTGTGATGTTAATTGATCCATACAAATGGCGTCAACTCCGTATAAAACAACATGTTGAAGCTCTTGTTCTTGCTCACCCATCTGCTATGTACACAAGCGATGAAATGGCATTGAATTTGATTTTTCGTGGACAGTTAACCGATCTTCGGCCTTGTTATAATACATTTATTTCGACTGAAAAATTTCTAACTGAAACACCACGAATTTGGCATTTTAATACTTGTAAACCAATTCTTCATCTCCCATTGAGTCAATGCCAAACATGGTTGTCTTTATTTCATCCAAAAGATCAGATATTCTTAACGAAATTAGAAAATATCACAACACTATTCGGCAAGGCAAGCTTATTGACCATGAAAAGCGAAGATTATAATAGAATTTGATGCAAATGATCTATTTATGTCAAAGCAATGGATTGTAGACATTTCTATTTCAGATAATTTTATTAATAAATCCAGAAAATGGAGCAAGAGAAAATAATTCAATATTTGAAGGCTTTTTTCGAAAAGATTCCTGAACGTATCCGAGGTGCAATCTTAATTGGCTCATTTGGAAGAGAAGAAGGTTCATTGTTATCAGATATTGATATTGAATTACTTGTCATTGAAGATCAGCTTGACATCGATGAATTTACGAATGAAATTGTCGAACTTTTCAAACATTCCGAGGAATCATTAATCGTTAAACATACGATTTGGTTAGCAAACCAGCGAAAGCTTGCTCTTTATCATGGATCTGAACTTCTCCTGACAGAACTTTATCTTTACAGTAAACAAATCATTGTTTTCCAACTAAAATATTCATTTTCTCTCGATTTCTAGCTGAACTATCACAATTTGATAAATATTTTCTCGGTTCTCGCATAACTGACTTAAACAAATGTATTTTAATTGATCACTGCAATGTAATTCGTCCGCATCTCGAAACTATTCTCAAATTGCCTTACGATGATCCTCAAGGTTTAATCCGTGAATTGGTTTCCAGCATACAATTCACATTAGAATCAACCTACACAGCTAAACGACGCGATGATCCATACAAATACTATTTTCTGTTCAATATTGTTCTCCATGAACTTGTTAGACTTGCTTATGTCTTAGATGGCAAGATAGAATACAATTACAATCCCCCTCGATCTGCTGTCAATGCAGATTTGTTACCCTCGATGGATTTAACGAAAAGCGATATGCATATGAAAAATCTCATTGCGTTTTTTTTTCAACAACTCGATCGAATCGATAAGAACGAAGCGATTTTAACAAGAAAAGCACGTGAATTTTGTGAAGATTTAATGAAACGAAAATAGTGGAGAATATTTCGAATAATTAGACATTAGTAATGCTCGATGAAACCACCGGGTACAAACGTAGATCATTATGACAAATAAATATGTGTAAAAATGTGAAGAAAACTGTTGAGCATGTCCATATTTTCATTGAATCAAAGTGCTTTAACAATACCCACTCACGAACAAAAGTGCTTTTTTCTATTTTTCATCAATATGTTGACGTCAGTGACAGACTCGGTTCATTTTTCTTTCTCTCACAGACAATCGCGTTGTTCTCTCGCGACTATTATTTTTTATCTAACTATGAAATGATTTAAACGACAGCAAAAAGAAGGAACTCGAAGGGTTATGCATACAGAGAAGAAGAAAAAAGATTCGTCGTCAATTAACTTTTCTGTTCTTTTTTCTTTGGAATGAATATAAATTTACTATTCATGATTTTTAGTTTATTATTACTTCATTAGTATTAAGAAAAAGATTGCGTCATGGGAAATAAGGTCGTTGTGAAAGGTGGAACTTCCAAAGATTTAACGGCAGATGGTTTGTAGGACTTTTTTTGGTTTAATTTGTGTATTTATTCGAATTGTGTATGTATAGAACTCGTTTTTCTGAAAAAAAGCTCAAAACTTAGTGAAAAAGGTAAGGAGATCAATGCTCGAACAAATCTTTGAATTCAAATCTTTTTTCTTTTATTTTCATTTGAAAGAAATTAAAGATTTGCATGAAGTAAGTATTGAATTTGAACAACCGAAATTTCCGAATGTTGTTTTAAAGGCATTCTGGAATGAGTTTCCAGCTGGACGAATGGATAAAAAAGGATTTGTAAAATATTATCAAGAAATTAAAGACGAAGCAGATACAACTGGCATTCTCTGCGAGTATGTTTACTTATTAGTGCATTTTATTTGAAAATATCGTAGTTAAATTTAGTCATGTCTTTGCTGTATTTGATCAAAATCATGATGATACTATTGATTTTCGTGAATTTTTATTAGCTGTAGCAGCTGGAACACCCGGAGATCTTGATAGTCATTTAGATTATGTTTTTGAAATGTAAGGATGAGTTGGAGAATCAATAGATTGTTTAGAAATTTGATATGAATTTAGGTGCGATGTTTCAGGTGACGGACATTTAGATGCAGAGGAATTGGCAAATTTTCTTTCTGCTTCAGTAAGATTTCATTGAATTTGAATAGAATATGTTCGTTTTCGATTTGCTTTTAAGTTAACTATCGTTGGTAAAACTGATCAAAGAGATGAGTTGGATCCCAAAAGATTAGCTGCTGATGTTTTTCGAACACTTGGTATTAGTGAAGATAAAAAATTGACAAAAGATCAATTTGTTAATGGGTATTAATTGATTTATTTCAGAATGAAACGAGTGGAATATTTCATTTCTTTCTGTTTAGATGCAAAAATTCGTCGAATCTTCGTGTATTATTCGGCGGTGGAAACTGAATTCTAACTGACAAATTCCAATTTTTTCTTTCTACTGTGATATAAACTCATTATGGATAAAAGAAAACCGTATAAATATGAGTTTGGATCACGAGTTTAGCAGTCTAATGACGAAATTGAGTGTAGAGGAGTATTTATTGCATCATGAAATTAAGACACAAAGAAGGCGGAAAGACAATTGTTCAGATGTGTGACCACACGAATACATATACGAAAGAAAATTATTATCAAAATGACATATTTTCAAATCTTCTATCCGAGAATTTGCTTCAGTACATATCTTGAATGTGTATATTCCTTCAAACTCTGACTTTTTTTATATGTGTAAACAATTGTCGATATTAATTATGGACAAAATCAGACTAAATATAGGCAAAAAATGTTAAGCAGTATGGTCTTCTATTTCAATTATCGTACAAAATCGCGCAAATACTCTAAATTACAGCGCTTTCGTCAAGACAAATTTAATACTGTCAGTATTTCTTTTGAGAAACTGATATACTTCTCGGATATTATTTATACAAACAGTAGGCAAAAAACAGACAGTTTCTTCAGTCGTCATTGAGTTGTTATTTCCTAACAGTTTGATTTCGATACATCGCGTTTTACGCACGGTGAATCAAATTTCTATTTATTCTGATTGAAAGAAGCTTCACTTCTCAAACAATTTCTTACGTCAAATGAATGCGAAGGCGTTTGCAAATTGTATTTCATACTTCAAATCAAAGGACAACAAAAAAAAAACGAAGAAGAAGCAAAAGCTTTTTTTCTTCTATTTTCGATTGACATGTATTGTCAATATTTTTCACATGTCGATCACTCGTTGTACCAGCGATATTTGACAATCTTCATTGAAAGTGAATAGCAGAAAAATATCAAATTCGTTTATTCATGTAAGTTAAATATACATTTAAACGTTTTTCTCTTACTCAAAATTTATAAAAATACTTGGAGTAGAATCATTTTACACTGAAAAAGTAAGAAACATTACATCCTTATAGAGGTCTTTTCTCATTGGTCGGTTTTATTCAAGCACTATGGTCGTTCTATTTCATATACCATACATAAGCAGCTGATGTGTTGCTAGTAATTTTTTCTTTCATTAAATTAATCATGTCAGCTCATGAAGGTGTTAGTTGTGATGCCTGCCATAAAAGTAATTTTTGTTACAAGCGCTTTAAATGTTTAATCTGTTTTGATTATGATCTCTGTTCAACATGTTATGAACAAGACAATATATCAAGTCAACACACAACTGAACACCCGATGCAATGTAAGATGATTTGATTATTATAGAAATGCATGTATTGTTTGATTCTAGGTATCATCACACGACAAGATTTTGATTTGTATTATCGTGGTGAAACACACACTCTCGAGTTTCCGCAATCGTTGACATGTCCATTATGTGGTGAAATGGGTTTAGCATTTCCATATTTACAAGATTCATCCTCCGGAAACAATCATCACAATTCACAAAATTTAGATTTATTTCAACATCTTCAAATGAAACATGCAAATAATCAACAAACACACGATGTGATTTGTCCAATTTGTGCTTCGATGATTAATGGTGATTCAAATTTTGTAACTGGAGACATTATTTCTCATATCGCAAATGATCATCAGCATTCACAAGTGAATACACCATCATCGGCTGGTGGAGCACCGACAGGTTTTCTTCGACAAGCAGTACCAAGTCGAGATTACGATTTCGTTTTCGGTGCACGTGGTGGCTTTCGACGTGGTTCATCAAGGATCTTTCGTGGACGTGCAGGAATTGGAAGAGGTGGAAATTCGGTTAATCCACACTTGTTAGCTGATACTTTATCAGGATCATCATCATCTACAAATGGAAACGATCCAATCAGCGATTTTCTTTCGCAATTATCCAATGCACGACGACTTACAACTTCGAACAACACTGGAACGAGTACAAATCCTTCATTATCATCAGTTTTGAATACAATCAATCTTCAAAGTATCACTCGTCAACAATATGAACGCGAACGCGAACGTTTACGTGCAGCAACTCGTTCACAACAATCGACATTAAGTCGAGTCTTGTCTGCTGATACTGATATATTTGATTCACTTTTCGAATCAAATTTGAATGATCAAACATGGACACATATTAATGCTCCATCGCAAACAACACCTGACCAATCATCACAACCTCCACCTCCCTCCTCTTCCACTAGTTCAAATACAGATCCATCGTTGTTACGTCGTTTGTGTAATGAATCTTCAACTTCTTCTAACCAACCAAATGAAAAATCGTCGAAAGCGAAAAGTGATTTTGTACAAAATTTACTTTTGTCTAGTTTTATTGATTCAATTAATAATCAGCCTACTGAATAATCAGTTTTTTTGCTGGATTATTCATTTGATTTTCACCAATAATTCTTCATTGACTATTTTTCTAGATGTAACAATCCGTTCTTCGGATTTTCTCATTCGATATTAATTCAAATCAAAATTCTTTTGTTAGTCAATTCTTTACCAATATTTACGAGAATAATTATTACACTTTGGAATGAATACCATCTGTTATTCCATTCTTATCTTTTTTATTACATTTAATTGTATCTATTCATTAACCGTTCCAAATAAGGAAGAGTTCTATACCATTAATGTGACAATGACTGATTATGAAACAGCACGAGTTTGTGGAAAAGTAACATGAAATTCGCAATTATCCTATATAATTTTTTTACAGGATGATCAATATGCTTATATTCAATACAAACTACCTGATGAAGAATTAACCATTAGTAAGGGAACTTTGTAGTTCATCTTTGATAGTTGAGAAATTGCATTTTTCCAGTTGGATACACACCGTTGGTTGATATGAACACAGCTCACCATATGCTTACATATGCGTGTGAAAAACCTGGCAGAAATAAGCCGTATTGGTAATTCTTTGTTTTAAAAAAAGAGACATAATTAGATTCATTTATATAGGACCGAAGGTGCAACATGTAAAGGTGAAGAAATTATTATCCATGGATGGGGTCGAAATGCACCTGCGTTGAAATTACCTGAAGGTTGATTGTAAACTTCATCCGAGTTGTAGAATATGCAATGTGATTTCGTATTTAGATGTTGGTTTCGTTGTTGGACGGAATACTCCGTATAAATATATTGTTGTGAATATTCATTACATGTCGAAATTGAAGAATGACAATTCAGGCAACCAACTACTTCTGAGTCGAACACCGTATGTGATTATGAAAACGAAAGGAGAAGAAAATGAAAATTGGAGATTTCTTTTAGACGGAAATATCGAGCAGGTGTTCTGTTAAGTGGAACAAGCGATATCTATCTAAGACCGAAAGCTGAAAGTAAGGAAAAAATATAGAAATAGGGCATTCAGTTAGTTTTCCTCTTGTTAAAATTTTAGCCATCCGAACTCCTTTTTCTTGTCAATATGATGGACCACCGATATCGATTTTTGCCATACGTGTTCATGCTCATCAATGGGGTAGGATTTGTTCTTCTTTTATGATAAAAGAAGATATGCGTTGTCATCCATAGCGCGAGTTAATTCTCTCTATCGTGTACGTGATAAAGAAATAACTCAAATTGCAAAAGGTGACCCTCAATGGCCTCAATCGTTCTATCCACTCCCCTCACCTATCACAGTCGAAGTTGGAGATTATCTTGTGGGGCAATGTGTATATGACAATAATGATAATCGTATTATTTATGCTGGGTAAGCTATACTTCATGAGAACAATCTGAAGTTATGGAAACTTTTAGATCCACACACAATGATGAAATGTGTAATATTTATGCGATGTATTCATATCAACCATCACGAAAATCATCACCACCTGGACTTTGCTGGGGTAATTCACATAACGCAATGACGAAGTAAGGAATCAAGTCTACATGCCGCATGATGTTGTTAAATCATTTTTGTAGTCTCATACCTTTGGATAGCATCGTTCCTCCATTGAAACCATCTGATGTCGGTGAAACAAAGAATGATCATCACGCTCATGCTGAGCATGCGATGATTCCACTTGAAGGTAATGGCAGTTTCCTTATGTTTCTTCTGTTTTGTTTTTCGTAATAAAGTCAACAGGAATGAGAAAAGACTCATCCAGTGACGATGACGATCAGACCGATGATCAGTCATATGAAGATTACATAGATGAAGTCGAACATATGCGAAGTCGCGAGAGAGAGCCTGATGTACGTAAGATTTTATCACATCTTGGCTTACCTGATTACGAATATGTCGATGCGCAAAATTATGATCATCTACTACCAAGTCATTTAACTTATGGAAAAGATCAAACAGTTAAATTACATAATGCCAAATTAATGAGCCGTGAGGATCTTGATATTGTTTCGTCTCTTTTGTCTGTTCTTCTTTGTCGAAATATTTTCCGGGACAATAAGCTATGATGGATTTGTTTTGCTTTAGCTAATGTATATACAAATGTGGAAAACTGGCCGGATGTCAAAACATTACCAGCTGAATTAGGTGAAATCGGTGGTATTGCTTTGAGCAATGGTAATAACGAATTAATCGTCTTTCATCGTGGTTCGCGTAAATGGGAATACAAGTATGTTAAATCTCATCATTGTCAGTTTACTTTATTTGATTTATTTTACTCAGATATTTCAATGAGTATCGTTTTCGTAATGATCGATATGGTCCAATCGATGAAGATGTTCTTATTCATATTGATACTCGTACAGGAGAAACAAAATACCGATGGGGTGCGAAAATGTTCTTTATGCCGCATGGGTTGACAATCGATCATGAAGGAAATTTTTGGGTGACCGATATTGCCATGCATCAAGTTTTAATGTTCAAACCAAATGAATTAACACATCCAGCGCTGACTGTTGGTGAACTATTTCAACCTGGTTCAGGGCCCAGTCAACTTTGTCGACCAACAGATGTTGCCGTGATGAAAAATGGAGATTTCTTCATTGCTGACGGGTAAAGATATCTCTTCTATGAAATAAAATCAACGGCTGCTGTCTACTTTTCTTAGGTATTGTAATAGTCGAATCGTGAAATTTAATCGTAAAGGAGAGTATTTATTGGAATGGGGTTCGGGAATGAGTAGTAAACTTGATAGTAAGTATTTTTATTTTAGAAGCTAAGAGTCATCATCTGAAAATATTCGTAGGTGATGGTTTTCCAGTTCCTAATGAATGGAATATTGTACATTCAATTGCATTAAATGAAGATGCACAATTGATTTGTGGTGCTGACCGCGAAAATTTTCGTATTCAATGTTTCAACTCGAATACAGGAGAGTTTATACGACAAATACGAGTTGAGCAAAAAAGTACCATCGGTGCCATCTATGCCATCGAATTTGCACCGAATGCCAATGGTTAGTGCTGTCATAAAAGATCAAAAACGAATGTTTGAACTAAATCGCTTTAGGAACAATCTTATTTGCTGTTACCGGCGGAGCACAAACAACGACGAAAAAGGTTTACATGATCGATGCAAAAACTGGAGATATTTTAACATCATTTGATTCAAATCCAGTAAGTCTATTTAATTTAATCAAAAAGTGCATATTGTTTTCATTTTAATAAGACCTTAAATGCTCCACATGATATTACCGTTTCATCAAATGCTCGGGAAATCTATGTCGGTGAATTAGCGTTAACTCCTGCGAACGCTTTGCATAAATTTGAACTATCAAAACGAAAAGGTACAAGCATAGATTGACTAACTATCAAATCATCATCATTTTTTGCTTGTTTTAGATCTTCCGACGCAAACTTACAGTCGACGAACTTATTTCTCTGATAAGAACTTTCGCATTTCATTGATTATTATGATTGCGTTTGCAACACCTGTTATCATTGCTGTGATTGTTGGATGTTGCATTCGTATAAAAAATCTCCGTATGTGAACATCGTTTGGATTATCAAAAAAAAAAGAAACTCTTCATGTTTTGTTTAGGTAAACTTAATCGTTTGAATTCATTTTTAAACACAGTGAAAAATGGAAGTACCAATCGTAATTCTGTTCTGGGTGACTGGATGAACCGTCGAAAAGGCTTTGAATTGTTAGAACAATATTCCGATGGAGAAAATGAACCATTCGATGCCAATGCTGGAAATGATTCTAATGAGAATTCAGGCGATGAAACAATTACAGTCACGAATAAACCACAAGGACTCATATCAAATAACAAGCAAAATACTAATATGTTCAAGATGGGTGAAAGTCTTTAAAAAAGAATCTCTGTTATGCCAATAAGCAATTGGTGTTTTTCTCTTTTTGTCTACATTGATTATTTATTCGTATGAAACGTGAAACTCGTCTATATTTATTTTTCTCTGCTCGAGTATTTTAAAATAAATCAAAATAAAACATTTTTTTGATTGAGATATCGACTCTTGATTCTGTCAGAGCTCAACGTTCAACAAACACGAGTGCACAATATCATCATATGTTTAGAAATGACTTCATGAAACTTCTCACCACAAAATCAGACGTCTATTTCCGATAATTGCGATTTGGAGCAGCAATCGTAGAAGTGTACATTGAGTAATTACATTCTATATGTGAAAGCAAACTAATTGTATAAGGCTTACGGATACAGCATGTCACATAACCTATATGACTCACCTATCTCTATATTCATAGTTCTTCTACACTCGAACTTTCACATGCATTTTCTTTGTGGTAGTATGGTAGTTTTTGAAATTTGAAGTATATGTTCACGAGATGAAATGCAGATCTTTATGGAGAAATTAACATCGAGAAAGAGAAGTAATGAAGCGAACGCTTCTATTCTAAATGATTTGTTTACGTTGACGAAAATTTGATGCCGATATAGTCCTATCCTTTTCTGTTTATGTTTGAAATTCATGAAAATTACTCTTTAAAGGAAACAGGGCGTATCAAAAATAAAGATAGTCAATATTATATTAAACAACTCGCCCACGAAGTACGTCGATATCTAACAATGAAAGTATTGCGAATCGCGATCATTCGTTGACGAACATCTTTCTCGTCCATTATCGATGATTTCTTGTGTATAAATAGTTTTACTACACAAGAAGAGTCACCATTTGTATCAAACAAAAATAATGTCCTCATCATCTGTTATTGTTAAACGTTACCACTTCCACGTCTCGTATTTAAAAAAAAATGTAAGTTCAAATTTACGGTTTGCACTTTAAATTCATCTCTGATGTCTGATTAGCAAATGATAGAAGTTAGTATTTAACTTCAGAGAAAATTGAAACCTTTGATTAAAGACTTTTGTGATTCCAATGATAACATAACGTGAAACAAATAGATTGCCACAAATAAAAATGATTTTTCAATGATATACAGATTATTTCGTATATAACACACCGATCGGAAATTCGAACACCGTCATCAGATTTCAAACAAATGCGCTGATATTGATGTCAGTGGTAGATACTTACTTGACATTTCTGTCTGTATGAAGTACGTAAACAAATCAATGCATGTACTAATATACATCAACGAGAATTTTTCATTCGTTGAGTGTCGTTCCAGATCTTCTACGGCAACTTATACGCTTTTTTCAAGACTTCTTTTCCAGACAATAACATGAAAGACAAAAAGAAAGTTTTTTCTATGAATCACAACGTTCAGACGTCTAAGAATAATTATACAATGATTAAATTCAAATGTCTGAATTTACGCCTGTTAGCATCGCTACATTCGTGAAGTCTCTCTAGTGCTAGAGCTGAACCTATCGATAAAATGACTGCATAAATGATGGTGTCAGACGACTCGGTAATATTCTTCAAATAACTCGACAAGATATAGTTGAAGCAAAACCGAGTGAATGAGTATGACAATCAAATGCACTATACGGATATAGATCTATCTTATTATAAAGCGTCTCTCTAGACAATTGAAAGTATTAGACGTAGAGTAAGGTGATGCCATCGTGCACAAAATCAGTGACAAAAGCAGGGATAACAATTATCATTGGATATTTATTAAAGTGGTTTGGTATGATAACAGTGCTTTGTAAATTCACAATGATAATATCTTAGTACATAGAAATATTGATTTCTTTATGCGTTTAACTGACATCCGATGGGAATAGTTGAATTTCTCACTAAGATATTTTTTTAAAATCCTCTCCACTTAGATCTGTAATGTGAATAAGATTAACCAACACTATAGTAGAGAAGGACATCTAAAATGAAAGAAAATATACACATAAATTTCCAGTTGGTTAGATTTCGAAACTTAAAAGCTCGCCGTTCAATTCACTGTAGACTATTAATCTTAAAATTCGTCTGAAAGTTGATTCGATAGATACTTGTTATCTGTGACTTGGTCATTACTATCTGTACACATTTTCTTTGTTGCTTTCTGCGAGGAAATATGGATAAACTAGTCATTGCGCAAAGGGAAAATTTCCGCACAGTATTATCGAAAAGGATTACACGTAGAAACGAAGAGTTTTTCGTTATAATATAAGGGCTCTCGTATTTTTCGATGTCAACAGGTTGTAATTTATTCTCGTGTGTTCGCGACCAAACTAAAGCGGCGGATAGCTATGATCGAACAAAAGTTATATGATGAACGAAACACGTCATGTATCTGCATCATGTTAGTCCACGAAATAAAATGCATTGCAATGTGAAGCATATTCAAAAAGCGCATTGAATTTTCGATATGCACAAGAACAGATCCAATTATCGATTGGTAAAGCAAACTGATCAACAAAACGGACTTCATATTTGACGAAACTGGTCGGACAGACACGTACCAAACAAGTTCGAGTTCAAAATGAAGACGGCGTTTTCTTCGCTTATAATGAGGAACTGGATTGATCAAATATATCGGCTAATCCACATAATTTTTTGTATTACATTTCTCTGCATAATTTGTGTAAATGAAATTCTTGCTTCTGTCGTGTTCTATTTTATGTATGGATGTGTAAGACCTTGAATAATAGTCAAAAAAATGCACTATTCTCCATTAAAGTATCTATTCGAATATAAAAGAAGTTGACTCGACATGTAAGTTTATTTTTTATTTCTACTTTGAACTTTAAATTTAACACATGGGTATATAAGCAAACGATTTGTGTTTAAAAAGAAGTACAAACGGTTGATCCGTTCTGTATCACTGAATGAACCATTCGACGCCAATGCTGGAAATGATTCCAATGAGAATTCAGGCGATGAAACAATTACAGTCACGAATAAACCACAAGGACTCATATCAAATAACAAACAAAATACTAATATTTTCAAGATGGGTGAAAGTCTTTAAAAAAGAATCTCTGTTATGCCAATAAGCAATTGGTGTTTTTCTCTTTTTGTCTACATTGATTATTTATTCGTATGAAACGTCAAATTTGCCTATGTAAATTTTTTTGTCCTAAAGTGTAAGATGAGTTTTTCAGCTAAAGAATACTTTTTTACTCAAAAGCTCTCTGCTTGAAAATCGCTACTTAGAGTGGAGTAGCTGGCCTTTTTTTCTCTCTTTCATACAAATTAACGCTTTCAGAAATAATGTATAAAACATATTGTTACTAAAGGACACCCTTTTCTGTAGACACTATTGTTCCAATATTATAACACTGACTATAGTCAGATGTCTGGCGTTGTAACAAATAAATTTCGCTTAGATAAGTTGACTTGAGAAAATAATTTTATTTACACCGATTACATTTACACCCACAAGATTCAATACTAATGAAAGTGTAATAGAAAAGTGTGGACGTTCATTGTCAATCACAATCGAGGTTGCAAAGGTATCAACCAAAGAATATAATTTTTATTTATTAGAATGAACACAGACATTCATATTAGAACAATTCCCAGTTAGACGAATAAATACTATTTGTTTTGAAAATGCATTATCCAGAGTGATTTGATGACATTGATATATACTAAAACCCTTCCTACAAGACATATTTCTTCAATTTGAGAAAGTAAGCCACTTCATCTACAATATTTTAAGAATCTGCCAAGTGACATTTCATGATACTTAAATATAAAGTAATTCAGTCCTATGTTTGAAAGAATATTTGAGTACGAAGAGCATCCGTAAAAGATAGACATTCAACCTGGTGATTTCTTTTTATCATTATCACAAGATATTACATTTGTTTCGACTAGAACTGTTCAGCTATTGTTTAAATTACAACGTCAGCTATGTTACTGATTTTCTTTACTACAAGCATTTTTCTTCCGATTAATGCTATATATCAATCACGATTAACCATAAGCTCTGCAGGTTACGAGTTTCAGCCGAGATATTCAATTCAATTATTAACATCGACAACAACACCAACAATCGCCGACTGTTCGCTGCTATGTAATCAGCTGCTATCGTGTCGAATCTTAGATTTTGATTCACTTTCCGAACGATGTCGACTATTCGAAGCTGACACCATCACGGCTGGCTCAATCATCGTGTCATCTTCGTCGACATCACAAGTAGGTACCGTTCATATCTCATCCGATCTCTATGTGTTAATACACAATCGCTCATGTAACCTGTGTCAAGAATATCGATATGAAACATGTGCAGAGAATACGAATATATGCCAATGTCCGAGAAACAGTTACTGGAATGGAAGTGTATGTGCATTACAATTGCTTGAAAACGATACATGTGTTCAGCGAGATGCATGTCGATCAGATTTGAACTTAACTTGTGCACAAGATTATTTTGGTTCGTTCACGAACTGTGTCTCAAAGTCCATCTATAGTGAGTTCATGCCTTTCTCATCTTCACATTCATGCTGGTATTATCTAGCATTTTAAGAGAGGAAGTAGAAAGATTTAGGTACATTATTCCGTTTTATTTCGATTGATTTCTATATAGATGATACATCAGACTTGGGCTCTACCTTTGGTATTACAGTGATTGGCTCATGCATCGGTAATCTAAGTACGGATCAAACGTTTTTGGCATCACAATCAGATATTACGATAGACGGTAATAACACGATATATGTTGGCGATAATAGTAATCGAATGATGAGTTTTGCGCAAAACAATTGTACAGCTCGAGTGCTTAAAAGCTTTTCATCATGGCCAACATTTGCCTTCTATGATAATAAAACGTCATGGTTATACGGAGTAGTCATGGTACTTCACCTTGTTTACATATGGCCAATTAACCAGACTATTCCAGCATCTGGTATATCTTATCAGAACTGTTCAATGAATTCGCAATATTATCCATCTGGAATCGCCGTGGATAGTGTAGGAAATGTCTATGTATCAAGTTATTATTGTAATTGGGTAGTAAAATGGGCGCCCAATGCTACTAGTGGCACGTTGGCAGCCGGTTCAATGTATGAAGGTGGTAGTACTGATTATACTCTTTATGCACCGTACAATATAGCGTTAGACGAAGAGAATTCTTTCCTGTATGTCGTAGATCGATACAATCATCGTGTTCAACGATTCTTGTTGAACGGCACTGGTCAGGGGGTGACAGTCGCCGGTGGTAACGGTCAAGGTTCAGCACAGAACCAGCTAGATCGTCCGACTGACATTTATCTTTCACGATCAAAGACTGAAATCTATATCGGTGATTCTAAAAATAATCGAGTTCAAAAATGGGTGCTTGGTCAATCGAGTGGAACGACGGTGGCAGGCAGCCCCAATGGAACATCGGGTCGATCACCGTATCTAATGAATACTGCTTATGGTATAGCTGTGGATTATGAAGAGAAATATCTATATGTTTCGGACAGTCTCAATAATCGTATTCAACGTTTTTCTCTTCGTAGAAATATCTGATTGAATTACTTTCGTAGTTATATGGCTCTATTCTGAGGCGATTTGATATACAATAGGATTTACTATGCTCGTGATAAATATACTATTTTTTTTAGTAGAAAACGTCTGTTTAATTAAGCATTGACCTTATTTGTTTGTTGTGCTCTATAGTTATTCAAATAACTTTTTCATTCGATTCTGTCGTTCGTATCCAAATAAATATCTGTTGTGCTCTCATCATTTTAGTGAAGTATATTATCATTGAGAGTGTCAACCCTCTCACTTGAATATCAGAACAGAGACATACAGTATACGTATAACACCATGTGACGATCAAATCATCTTATTTCAGTCATGATTATCTTCTCACAAAAGTCAAATTTGATTTAGCAAACGCACTAGAAGAGAAACATGAATGCCATAACTCATTTCATGTTTGCGAGAAAGTATGTATTATGATGACAAGAATTTTAGGAAATAAAATTGTCAATGGATGGCACTTCATGTCTCATATACATAAAAACGGGCGACACTCACTGTATTTTCCGTGTCCAAATTGAGAGACAATACCTTTTCCCTTGTGATGAAGAGCATGAACATATTCTCTAAAAGTACAATCTTCAAAGTTCAGATAAAGGGATCACGCTTACGATTCAACGTGTTATCGGCGATTTATGATGTACTGATTTAGCAAGACAAAAAAAAGAAATCAATGAAATGTAATTTTATCTCCCATATTCCATTCAATTATTAACATCGGCAACGACACCAATAATCACCAGCTGTTCGCTGCTATCGTGTTGAATCTTAGATATTTATTGCCTTTCCGAACGATGTCGACTGATCCTAGTTGACGTCACCACCACTGACTCAATCATCGTGTCACCTTCGTCAACGTCACAACTAGACACCGTTCAAATTTCATCGGATCTCTTCTATTCATCCACGCACAGTTGCTATGCATGTTACTGTTGTTTGAGAATGGTACCTGTGGACAACAGGGTATGTGCCGATCAGATCTTAATCTGACATGCACACTAGACTGCTATGGTTTCTTTTCAAAAAATGTGTTTTGATACTGACTGATAGTAAGTACATTCATTCTCCCTGTTTTATTATGCAGAACCATGTGATTTAATTCACTATCTGTGTATAGATGTTACGCACACATCAACAATGATGGCATACGGGACAACAGTCGTTGGTGTATGTAGTGGTAGTTCCGTGATGAATCAAACACTGCTGAGTGTGCCAGCCGGCATTACGATTGGACCTGATAGCTCTAGAGGGTGTGGGAGATGGCACAAATCTACTTCTGCGCTTTAATCAAACTAATCGCGTGGGTGTTCCACTTCAAAACTATTCTATGTGGTCAACATTTTTCTTCTATGATAATCGAACATCTCTTCTCTATGTCACCATTATGGATAGGTGTATTCTGCAAATATGGCCAACGAATAAGGCTATTCTGTACACTGGTCTTGCATTCAGAAATTGTCCATTGAATAAGTTGTATCGGTCTACTGGTGTCATGGTTGATAGTCAAGGAAATATTTATATTGCTATTTTACCTTGCAATTGGATCACAAAGTGGACAATAAATTCAAGCAGCGGCGTAGTCATAGTAGGATCTCTAACAGGCTCGTCGAATAGTGATAATAAAACACTATTTGGACCATACAATATAGCCTTGGACGAAGCGAACCCATATCTATATGTTACCGATCGGTACAACAATCGGATACAGCGGTTCATGTTAGATGGATCTAGTGTAGCTGTGACAGTTGCCGGTGTAAATAGTGCAGGTTCAGCACAAACTCAACTGCGCCAACGAACCGATATTTACCTAACAAAATCAAAAACTAAAATCTGTATATGTAATAATTTCAACCATAGAATTCAGAAATGGAATATAAGTGAAACAGTTGGAACGACTGTTACTGGCAATCCAAATGGTACAGCAGGTAGTTCACAATTTTCGTTAAATAGATCGTATTCAATTGTAATGGACGTTTAAGAAAACTATTTATACGTATCTGACAGTAGTAACAATCGTGTTCAATGTTTCTCGCTTCGTTAGAAAATTGCTTCAATTCTCAAATATTGTTTGCTTTTTGTTTTTGATTTGAGAGCTTCAACGTCACTTCTAGTTTAATTAGAAAAAACATCCAAGAACCCCTAGCCATCCGACACAGCACCATCAAAAAGAAATTGTATATTTTTAACCACTAGCACTCGCATGGTCACTGCTAACGCTAAATAAATTCTACAGACAGAAATAAACGTTACATTTCATGTTATGAAACTCAACAAGTGTTTTCAGATATTTACTAGATCACAATATTTGCCATCTCTTCTTGCAAAGCTGAGTTATGAATGTAAGAAATGATGCATCGAATCAGAGAATATTCGATTGCGTGCGATGAAATCTATCGGATTTCACACATATGAATGCATTTACTCTTGTTGTACTTTTAGCCCGACCTTTTTTCACCAGTTTGTCACGAATAAGTAAAACGTTCAGGCATCTTTTCACAGTTTTATGTCATATTCATAACAATTGAAAACGACATAATGGAGTATAAATGGTGTATTGTCATGAAAATATAAATCATTATAGCATTTGAAAATGTATTTCTAAGAGGATCTATCTATAAATACTTGCAATGGAATAGATTTCAAGGGCTCCTTCACGCCTACGGATACTTAAGATCAAATGCGCGCGTTCTGCATTTCTTTGATATATTCGTATACGGAATTGGGAAGCTGATCAACGACTATTAAATGGTGGATAGAGATATATAACTATTTTCTCAGTCGAAGATGATATTCGGAACAAGTCAATTTTTAGCGTTTCTTTAATCGATTTTTCCTAAGAACGTTTGGTCTGCGCGGGTTTTTATTTTGAGAAAAAGATTCTTTCCAATTCTATTTATAGATTGACACACATATCGTATTAATTTCTCCGATAAAAAAAGAAAATTAGAGAAAATTGCTTACTTTTGCACATAGTTCGTTTCTCTATTGTTTCATGAAACTCTCAAAACATTTCTTTTCTTCATAGAACTAGGTACAACATCGATTACAAGTGATATTATTTCAGAGAGTACACAATGAATGTTTTTAGTCGAATGAACGCTCTTTATTTTGATCAGATATCTAAAACCTAATGATGGATCACAGTAGGCGAGGAAAAACAAAATAATCTACGTAAAAAAATCACATTTCTCCCTGGAACTTTAGTTACACAGAAGATTCGATTATGACCTTGACCTGTGATGTTTTACTTCTATGAGAAGTCTCAGAAAATGATTCATAAACATATACTAAAAGTGTTTGAAGTGTTTTACTAATTTGTATATATGTATATATATAAACAACATTTTAATGGAAATCATTATAGAACTATGACACCAAACTTTTTCTTTATCATTTACTTTCACATACATTTCAGATGATGTTCTCCATTTTTGTCATCCTTTTCAATTTACCATTCACTCATACCAACTATGAATCTCGAATAGCGGTCACTCCTGTAGGTTATGAGTTTCAACTAAGATATTCCATTCAGCTATTAGTATCCACAACAGCACAAACCATCATTACTTGTTCGGCAACATGTAACCAGTTATCATCCTGTCGAACATTTGATTTCGATTCAGTCTCCAAACGATGTCGACTATTCGAAGCTGACACCACCACAACTGGTTCAATTATCGTGTCATCTTCGTCGACATCACGCGTTGGAACTGTTCAGATCTCATCTGATCTATATTCATCAACGCACAATCAACCATGTACACTGTGTGAGATGGATCGATATGAAACATGTTCAGCGAACACAAGTACGTGTCAATGTCCGAAAAACAGTTACTGGGATGGAAGTGTATGCGCACTACAATTATTCCAGAATAATACATGTAAACAGCAGAATGCGTGTCGATCAGATCTAAACTTAACTTGTGCACAGGATTGTTCTGGTATATTTACCAAATGTGTCCCAGCATCGATTATAAGTAAGTACCTTAGCTTCCTATATTTCACTGTGTGAAAATCGATGATTCTAATTCACTTTCGATGCATAGATGCCACGCAAACATCAGCAGGATATGGTGTAACATTTGTCGGCACATGTAGTGGCAGTTCGGTGGTGAATCAAACGATATTGACAGGACAAGCTGGTATTACCATGAGCCCTAACGGTATGCTGTACGTCGCAGACGGTGCAAATCGAGTTGTACTTTACTCTCAGAGCAATCGTGTCGGTACGACAGTTCAAAGCTATGGTTCATGGCCAGCTTTTTTGTTCTACGATAATAGAACATCTCTCCTGTACGTAACTGTAATACAACTTAACCTCGTATATATATACCCAACTAACAACACCATTCCGCCGAATGGTATCTCATATGACAATTGTTCGTTGAAATGGCTGTACAGACCAAGCGGAATCGTCGTTGACAGCACAGGAAACGTTTATATATCAAGCTATATGTGTCATTGGATAACAAAATGGACGCCGAATGCAACTACTGGTATTCTCATAGCAGGATCTGCCACGGGTACATTAGGTTCAACTAGTACAACGATGAGTTCATCGATGAATATGGCGTTGGACGAAGCAAACTCTGTTATATATGTTGCTGATCGATTTAATAACCGAGTGCAACGATTCTCGTTAAATGGATTGGGCGTAGGCGTGACGGTTGCCGGTGGAAACGGTATTGGTTCTGCACCGAATCAGCTGTCTCAACCAACAGATGTTTATCTTTCGAAGTCAAAAACTGTGCTGTACATCGCCGATTATGCCAACAGTCGAATCCAAAAGTGGGTGATTAATGCGTCGATGGGAACGACTATAGCTGGTAGTGCAAGCGGTATAGCAGGTTCTTCGGCATATCTACTGAACGGCGCCTATGCACTGACGGTTGATCCAACAGAGACCTATTTATATGCATCCGATCTCAATAATAATCGGATTCAACGTTTCTTTTTTCTTTAAAACATAAGTTTTCACATAGATGTTTTCTGTTTGTATGCTAATTGTGAACGTATATTTTCAATCCAACTATACTTATATGCTATATGATGCATATTGAAAAATTTCGTTTTGACAGTTGTAATAAATGATTTCTATTCGAGAATAAAATTAAAACGAAATCGTTATGTCCTCGATAGAGCACTGTTATTTTTCCGTTCTTCGAACAAACTGAATTTCATATGCGATATATTAACACAGATATATTTGCTTACATCGTCATTTTCTAGGTCTTATGTGATGACGTCGTTTGATATCAAGTACAGATGAAGTGAAAACATGCGTATGTACTTTTATGTTTCTATGCTTTAGCCTACGGTATTTCACTTTAATTCTCCTCATTAATTTTGCCTTATCAAATGAAAATAATTTCTTCAACACCTCTATCCACAAGTATGACAAACATATTCGTTAATTTCCTTGGAATAATTTCCATCTGTTCAGTTTTAATCTCGATCTTAACGAACCGCAAACAAATCATTTTCTCTCAAAGAAGTAAATTGAAAATATTAATTGAATATTACCGAAGAACTAAAGTTCACTTGAATATCTAGGGTGTGCGCATACAAATCCATAGATGTTTCCTGTTTATCAGATGCACTCTATCGAACATTCGATGGAACATGTAACAATCTTCAAAATCATTGGTGGGGCTCGACAAATATTCCGTTCCGACGATTAACACGAGCAAATTATGCTGATGGTATGAATATAATTCTTTCACAATAGTCTCACAGATAATCATTCGAATTTAGGTGTATTTTATCCTCGAAATCTCTCTGTGACTGGAAATCCATTAGTCTCCCCGCGTCTTATTTCCAATCGATGTTCCAACGAGCTTGTGAATAGCAAAGAGCATTCGATCAGTTCATTTTTTACTGCATTTGCTCAATTTATTGACCACGATCTATCGAGTGCAGCCAATGGAAAAGACGATGAAGGTCAAGTAATCAGTTGTGAATGTCAAGAGGCGATCCCCAATCCATTTTGTTTAAATATTCCGACACCAGACATGCTTGATCAACTCTGTATGGTTTTCGCACGTTCGTCTGCACCTTTCCAAAAGGAAAAAGCTTGTCAACTTTGTAAATAAATCGATGTATGAAAAAAGGAAACAAATTTCTGTGTTATCGTAGTCGTTCGCGAACAAGTCAATCAAATCAATTCATATCTGGACGCATCAATGATTTATGGAAATAACAAAAACAAGGCTGACGAACTTCGAACGTTTAAAAATGGTTTGTTGCGATTTTCGAAAATGATTGTTTGGAGATCTTCTTCTAGGCCAATTAAAAACAACCGATCGAGATTTACCACCACAAGCATTGTCAGGAAAAGAAGGAAATGCATGTCGTGATGCGAAAACGGGTCGCGGATGTTTTCTTTGTGGTAGAATATCTTTTCTTTCTAAGTTGTTTTGTGAATTGTTCGTTGAATGTTTTAGGAGATTCTCGTTCAAATGAAAATATGGGTTTAACATCACTTCATACAATTTTTATTCGTTTACATAATTCAATCGCAACATCATTATTAGAAGTCAATCCAACTTGGTCAGACAATATTCTTTACCATGAAACACGTCGAATCATAATTGCGGTTTTACAAAATATTGTTTACAAGGAGTTTCTTCCAACATTAATTGGTCCATCAAGATCAGATTTTGGAATTTATCAATACGATCCATCAGTAAAGAGAAATTTTCAATAAAAATATGAAGATTCGTTTGATTTTGACATAGATTGATGCCACAATATCAAATGAATTTGCTACAGGTGCATATCGTTTTGGTCATACGTTAGTCAATGGTTTTCTTCGACGTTATAATAATCGACATGAATTACTTGATGAACTTTCATTGGCTGACTTAATATTTCGACCTGTCGAAGCATATAACACACAAATGGGCGGATTAGATTCATTCATATTCGGTCTTTTACTAACACCAGCTGGAAAATATGATTCGATGTTTAGTAATGTTCTACGAAATCATCTATTCGAAGCCAAAAACATGACTCAACCAGGTTGGTTCAATTGAATCGAATCGAACCATTCATGTTCATTCGTTTCTTACTATAGTTGAAACAAGACGATACGATTTAGCTGCTGTGAATATCAATCGAGGACGAGACCATGGCTTACCAAGTATGTTGATTATAGACATACATCAATCTTTACCATGAAATTTAGCTTACAATGTCATGAGACAAGTTTGTGGTCTTCGTTATGCTACATCATTCAATGATCTCACTGATACGATGGACTTTTCAGCTATCCGTCGACTTGCTTCCGTTTATTCGTAAGTTGGAAGTTTGTGAGATTGATCTGATATTATTTTTCTTAGACATGTTGATGACATCGATCTTTATATCGGTGGCATATCTGAACGTTCCGTTCCAAATGGAATTGTAGGACCGACGTTTGGTTGCATAATTGGAGATCAGTTCAATGATATACGTCGAGGCGATCGATTCTTTTATGAAACACAAAATCCAACGATTGGTTTTACTTCAGGTTTTTTTTTGTTCTCCTAATGAATAATCAATTCGATGTTCGACTCGTTTTGTCTTATCAATAGATCAATTGAATGAAATTCGTCGGATTAGTTTATCAAATATTCTGTGTCAAACAGTGAAAGATATGAATGAAATACAAATTGATGCATTAAGAATGCCGAATCCTATTAAGTAAGAGATTTTTCTGTCCGAATTTTCTAAATTTCTGTTCATTGAACGTTTTAGCAATCAATATGTATCTTGTTCATCGTTATCTTTTATCAATTTCTTGTATTGGCGAGAATAATTTCATTCAATTATTCTCGGCTCAGTTCTTTTTACATAATTATCAATCAGATAAACATCACGTTTTTTTTTTACTCTCAAACCCTTTATGGTATCTAATCTTTGTTCTTTTATCATAAATTTCATGTTGAATTATTTCTCAAGAGTCCTTTGCAGACGAGTTTCGAGCTTTGATTTATATATCGACAAGAGTAGACATATTTTATCTTTATAATCCAATCGATGAGTTTTTTTCTTTGACTTACTTTTTTTTGTCTTTATCGAGAATTAAACAAACGAATCACGATTTGTAATTATTTCATGACTTCATTTGACATCGAAGATATTTTGACGTGAAAACTCCATACTAATTTCATCGTACTAACTTGCTCGTGTCAAGTGTTCTTTTTTGTTTCGACATATATATATTGATTTCAACGTACCTGAAAATTCGTTCTTTATTCTTGAAATTTATTCCATCTGAGTTTCATTTTCGATGACGTTGATTGAATTTTAATGTGAAAGAAACGATTTAAAGTTGATCTATTGAAAAAAACTTCAATGGTGAGTGTATTGTGCAGCATACCTTCTTCTTCGAGAATGGAAATGAAAATGAGAATGAGGGAGAAAGAAGGAGAAAGAACAAAAGAAAACAAAGTAATACATAACTTTTATATTTGCGTATTTTTACGACTTACCTCCAACAGCGACGATTAAAAGGAATAGATTTTTATTTTTAACAATTGCATTTCGAAGACATTGAACCAACTCTTTTGCCTTTTCTCTCTTCACGACATTGAAATGTGCGCTTCAAAGACAATTTTTGCATCCCCCGATCCAACTGCATTACACTTGCCAAATGTTCGAAAGAAGCCACGAAAACGTGCTCAACATTCTCCAACTCCCTCTTCACTCATATCTGTGCCAACAACGACAGTTTCCACAAGTGCATCAGAGAACGTTTCGGCATTAAAGGCCAAATATACCGGTTATGCATCCTGGTTAAAAGCCTCATCACGACAAAATCGTGAACCAGTATTCACACACGAATTATTAAAACACTCTCTATGTCAAATGGGTATTGATTCAACACAAGCATCTCAACTTGTGCAAACATGTACTTGGTATGTTTATCAATTTCAGAAAGGATTAGATGCTGATGTTGAACATTCTCATGAACAACCATTGATCGAAACAAAGAAACCTCAACAGTTCACGAAAAAGCGTCTCCAACGGAAGACTTTACCTCGATCAGGTAAACTATCATCACCAAGAGATTATTCTCCTGAGTCGGAAGTACTTTTCGCTTCAGCGAGTAAAGGTAAATGTTTGCTTGGACTTCTCAAAGCAAGCAACGAATTATTTGTTGTTTAGAAAATTTTCATCATCCACCTTCACGTCCGGTGACACAAAATAAACTATCAGTTCTACCTTCTATACATCCATCCGAACAAGCAGCTTCTTCGCGTGCACGTCGTGTTGATTTCGACAACGAATATTCAACAGTTAAACCGAAATCTTCACAGCAACGATTAGCATTATCACGAAAGAGTGTTCTTCCAAAAATCCGTCCGCTCGAAAGTGATTCTGCTATATCTTTCACTAACGAACAAAGCGATGTTGAACTCGATTATCCACCTGTTGACTTCGAAACATCATATCCCAACCGAAATCTTCATCGAAATACTATCGTTGCTGGTCAAACTCGTTCTATACTTCGTAAACAAACTAGTGCGAATATTTCGGACGTCTCTCTCGATGTTAATACTCGAAAACAACGCCATCGATTATTAACACCGACATCAACATCGATTGATGAAATCCCGTTAGGAACGAAATCACAACGCTTGTTCGGTGGTAGTGCATATTTTGCCCAGATAATGAATGAACTTGAGGAACAAAATATTCATTAAGAAAGGAACTTCTTTTCTGTTTATAAAAAGAGTTTTGTTACATAGAAAATGTTCTTTCTATCCTTAAGACACAATTCTTTTTATTTTGAATAAACTTTTTTCAATAGTAAATTCTATTTATTTCAATGAAATAAATATGTCGAATATTTATCAAGACGTGTGGGTGATTCTCTATGAATTCTGGTTGATTTTGTTATTGTTTGTTTCTTTTTTGTAATAATGACATATTCACAAAGAGAAAAGTTCTCTTTCTCCCTTTCTTTTACATGCTAAAATAATTGAAGAAAAACAACTTATCTTTAAAAGCATTTTTCTTTTTTTTTTTCAATCGTTTCAGGCGAGTATTCATGACTATTTACCAATTTTAACTCAATCTTCGATTACAATGAGTGATCTATCTCACAGAAGAGCTTTTTGGTCATGTGCTCGCTGCTACAGTTTGCCGTAAATCGATTCTCTCGAATGACAATTTATAAATAGGTACATATAGACTTTCCACAAACACAATTGTCTTAGATAAACATTCAAACGCGGGCGTTGTTTTCGAATAACTATCAAACGACATATACGAAAACAGTTTTGTATATATTTTCTTCTGCAGTCATGCCTTTCTGTTTCATGTCAACCCCCTGTTTTTCAATAATAAAAGCATTACTAGAGTTTCAGCGCTCGTAGTCAATCAGACAATTACATTTTGGTACAGAGAATTTCTCAAGCATTTGTTTGATTTGATGATAATGATTGTTATATTATACATTAGAAATCATGATGAGAAAGATTTCGAACTTAAGAAGAATTTTATTTGGGAAGCTGATGTGTGCATATGAAAAAGAAAGAATCTTTTCATTCCTTCGGTCGAGATGCCAATCGTTGAGCTACGAACAAAATAAAATATTCTTTTTCGAATGAGATTATAGAAGAACGAACCCGTAGATTTGCCAGTCGTTCGTGTTTTGTCGCTTATTGTAGCTGGTTTTTCGGGTGCGACTGGATAAAGCTGTTGGGATTGTTGAACTGATTGTGTTTCCTGTAACTCTTTTGCTTCGCGTTCTTTATATTGTTGAAAACGAGCCGTGGGATTCTTCTGACTGAGAATTGCTTCTAATGATTGATATTCAGCTGATTTTGTTGAAATATCACTCATATCCTGATTAGGAAGATAAAAATATGTGTTCTTCTCGAAAATAGATCTTTACTTTTAGTTCTAATCGACAAAGACCGGAGAAATCCATTAATGATGCCATTGTTACTGATGAAGATAGATTGGAAATCTCGTTAAAATGAGATAAAACAGATTGGTGTTGAATTGACAGTAGAAATTCTTTCACCGTATCGATGGTCAAATAATTTTCTAAGAAAAATCATGTTAAAAAGCACCAATCAAATGCTTTGTTACGACTTACTTGATAAATTCAAACTAATCAAAGAGAAATTACCTCGTAACCAAATTTCTCCATTGTGTATTTCGACTTCATTCGTTTCAAGTAAGGGATTTTCTCGATCGATCAATCGTTTGTGTAACGAAGTTCCCTGACAAAATGAGAACAAATCGATTATCAAAAGAAAACAAGTTTTCCCGAGAGCGAGCAAGAAAACAAAAAAAAAAGATATGAGCGAGACAAGCATGAAAAATACTTCTTCAGATAAAGTCATCTCGAATGATTGTTCCTAAGAAAAAGTAAATATGTTTCTGATGTAGAAGAAGCAAAGAGAGATATAATGTTAGTATCGATTCGACTTACAACAAAATCGATAAGTAAATGTAAGTAATCGTATGTGCCCTGTAGTAGTTAGAATGGCAATCGAGTGTTCTTCATCGATAAAATCAACGAATGAGGATAGAATGTGAGTTTACCTGTCCAACTTGATCTTCGGTTTCTTCTTTAACAATTGGAATGTTCTTTTTCGTCGTGGCATTCATAGCAGCTGCGATCTTTTTTACTCGCAATTGACCGGATAGTCGAGGTGGATCTCCGGAATCCTTCGGGTTTGTATTTGATGGGTTAGTAGTTGTACGACGTGAAGCATTCGCGGTTGATGAGGAGAGATTGACCAATGATGAACGATTACTGCCACTGCCTTCATTCCGTCCTCGTTTTGATTCGCTTTGTCTTCCAGATGGTGGACGGTTCTCTTCTATAGGTATTCATTTCCGAAGATTTCGATCAGTTGCTTCACTTCTTACCTGATTCCGGTCGATTGCGTTTGTCCTGATAACAACCGGAATTGAATGAAGAGAAATTCAACTTCAGTTTTCACTTACCACTATAATCTGTGCGATTTTAGTTGGATTTAACTTTCGTTTGTTCGGATCGGTGAAACGTTTCCAATCAACCCGACCTGATTTACTTTTTGTTGAAACCGTTGATGGTGTTGGTGAAGTTGCCTAAAACATTCGAATCAATTGCACATTCTTATACAGGTAAAAACCAACTGTATATCTCCAGTCATCCGGATGTGTCGCCGCATAACGTTCAGCGAGTAGAAATCGTCGTCGGACAATCTCTTCTTGAGTCAAAACAATTCTTCGAAGAACCTATTCAGATAAACAAAGTTTTCTTTTCTGACTGATTCCATTTTGAAAATGAAAAAAGCAAAATATTCTAATTGTCATGACATGATGTTTGAGAAAAACCACTCAAACGTGAATTTAGTTTTTCTATCAAACAAAGTTAAATGCTAGTAGTGGAAAAAAGAACGAAATGAAAACCTACCAAATCTTTATATCTAAATGAATAATTGGAAAATATCGCTCACAATCAATTGACAAAAATACTTACCAATGCAAACAGAACTGCACTTTGATCGGTTAGACAATTTGAAGAAAGATTTAGAGATATTAATGTGCGGTTGTATCGTAACGCCTAAGAAGCAAAAATGAAGATTCTAATGGAGCGAATGAGAAAACTTACTGTCGCTAAAGATTTTCCACCATTATCGCCAATTCTATTTCCGCTTAAATCTAGGGTTAGTAGTTTCCAATTTTGTTTCGACATGTTTCCAAGAGCGTTAGCGAGTCTTTCAACGCCAAGGTCTGTCATATTGCAATAACGAAGGGATAAATGAAGAATTCTAGAAATATATGAACGTATATCGATTATGGAGTAGGAACGTTACTTTGAATCATCGTTTTCGATCAGATGATAAAAATAATCCGATGCTTGTGGATTTCCATCTAGAGAGACATATCTAAAAAGTTCAGTTTTACGTCAATATTGTCAATTGAACATAAGTTTACTTTAGGTTCTTTATCCCTTGGCATAATTCGACCAATGCGATGGTTGTTTGTTGATTGAGACCAACATAGCAGAAACTAAAGACCAATGCTGAAATATGGAAAAGTAAAATGAATCAAAAATAGAATTTACTTCAGGACGTGTAATTGTTCTTGTAAAGGAAGAACACGTTTTAGAATTTCGATAAAACGTTGATCAAGTTGCCAGTCTAAATAGAACAATGAGAACGTTGAAAATTGATTAATTTTTATTTACCTCGAATATAAAGGGCTGTTATTTGATCGATCGGTTCTGTTTCACTGCCGACAGAGTCGACTAACAATTTCGGTCGAAAGAATTCACTATCATCGATTAATTGAAAGGTTTTGTAAGGTGATGGAGCGACTTTTGTTGGTTCTGGTACTGTAAAGAGAAGGATCAATCGTATCGCAAATAGAAAAGATCGATATGTACCTGTAGCACTAGCTGGTCTGCTGTCACTATCGGTGCCAGTTATTCCAATAAGGACTCCAATTTGACCAATTGAAGGTAATCTGGATCGAGATGTTTTTTTTCCAGTTACAGACATTTGATCATCAGCAATTCCTCCGATGACGGACGGAGTTGCGGACATTCCCGAAAGAGTTCCCGCAGATGGATATTGTTGTTGTTGTAATTGACTCTGAGAGGGATTCGATGAATTTTGTAGAACAAGTGGTGGTGGTGGAGGCGGCGCTGGAAGTGAATGGCCACGGATGAAAACAGGAATCGGTACCGGATAGCCTAGTGATGGTTCGCGACAGCATAATTCGATATCCGCAGCAAACTTTCCTGTGCATTGCTGTTGCTGCTGCTGTAGTTGTTGTTGTTGTTGCTCTAGACAAAATTGATCATCCATGCAAAGAAAAAATAAGAAAAGAAAATGAAAAAAACCTTGTTCTGCTGTCGTTCCACCAGCGCCAGTCGTGCTTGTTACAATAATACTAGCTAGAGATGCCTTATTCCCTTTAGCAGCATTTTCTGAGCGTTTGGGTCCCATGTCGTATATACTATCTCGAGCAACAATCTGAATATAATCCTAATGCCATTTTAACTTCGATATACATCGATACACCTCTATGTCACAGAACATTGATACAGTGTATATATACGGAACAGATGGCGCTGATTATTATCTTCATAGTACATATACTAATCTATGTGTACAGTTGAAAACACTTTATTTCGAATTCAATATCACGTGAAATTCTAAAATTATTTCACATATACAACTAATCATATTCGCTTGACTGAGCAATTCTCTTTTATTTTTTCTTGAAAATCATCTCAAGTTCATTGAATAGAAAATGAATATCTGATTATGAAATTTTGATTTATGCCCATTTCGATTTCACTCTCATTTAAACCTTGTTACGTAATATCACATGGTTGACATTTTTATCTTCGTGCAGCATACGATGTATTTTATCGTCAAGAGGAAAAGAATGGATCAAACTTGTCAGCATACACAATCTGTTATGAATTGTTCTACGCATTTTCTTTTCTTCGGTAAATAACAAGAACATTCTAGCCGAACAGCATACTCGTGTTCTACTGACATGTAACAAATAATTCATAAGAACCAATTGATTTCCTCTTTAATAACTAAACCAATAGCAAGTTTTTTGTTTACAATTTCATTGTTAATCGATATATTTTGCGAAGAAAAAATGAATACAAGGAACAAGGTTATGTTATAGCGCCGGATATATAGAGTATGTATTTATTCGAAACAGAGAAAAACTAAAGGCAAAATAGAAAAAGAAAACAAATAGATGGAGAAACAATGATTTGCTCTGTTATATGATCAATAAGATATCTATTCACAGTTTCGCTTGACCACCTAATCCAGTTGCGAATAAGACTTGTTTCGTCTTTTTATTCTTCTTTTTGCTCGTCACGTTCGTTTGAACCTCGCCAATTGCAGTTGCTGGATGTTCTTCACCGTTGACAAGTTTTAGTCGATCGAAAACCCCTTCGAGACTGAAACTTGAATGAAAATTTGGTACAGATGCATAATATTCTTCATCTTCATTCAATGGTTCATCGTTATCACTGTCTCGATTATTTTTCTTCTTGGATTTTTTGTTTTTGCTCGACATTTCGATTGTTGAACTTTTGATCGGAAGAGATTGAGCAGTTGATGCTGGTTTAGGCGCAGATGGTGGTGCTTGTTGTTTAAGCATTTGAGCAAATGAAACACCGGCTGGTGGAGATAAATTTTCATCGGATAATTGAACAGATGCGGATGGTGGTGATGACGATGCTGTTGCACTGCTGATCATCGCTGGAAATTCTTCCATTGAATTTGTTCCATTGACAGGAAAACTTTCTTGAGGTATATACATCATTTCCGGAGGATCTATTTCCATCGAACAAGTGTGAATTGTCAATGGAAAAAAAAACGTGACTTACATTGAGAGAACAGTTTTTGACTTTCGACATATTCAGCTTGTTGTTGTCGACGTTTTTCTAAACGTTCTTTGCGTGTTCGTAGTTGACGACGACGATGAAATTCTTCTGAAAAATCACAGAAACCTGTGAGGAATGCTATGAATAGTCATTCAAGTCTTACCAGCAAATGTTTGCATTGTCATTGGAGAAATCAATGGTGGATGAAGGCGAACTTCGATGACTTGAAATTCGCATGTCAATGGTAAATGACTCAGCGAACGAAAATGTGATCGAACATCCTAAAATATCAAAATTCTCGTTTACATCGACACATTTTCTTCTAACCTACTTCAGTCATAAAATAACTTTCAATTGCTTCAACTCGAACGTGAAGTTCATCAGGACATTGTTGATAACAACCATATTCATGCAATAACATTCGAGTATTAAATCCATTCAGATAAGCATGGAAGATGCCATCCGCTAAAATTTCGAATCAAATTTTTTCTCATAACTTTGACTATCAGTATATATATCTACCTTGATAGAAAAAGTGCAGATGAGGTTGAACATTGGATGTTGGTTGAGAAGTAGTCGTATCTGTGATAGTAGTGTGACAGTTGGAAAATAGCTGAAATGGTGAATACTAACCGGAAGATACGGGTGGATTCGGATCTGATGTCTCTTCATCATGAATTGCTTCTTTTTCGCTTGATCCAGATGCAACGATATCATCGAATGCATCATCATAGACTAATGTTAGCTAAAATAGACGTTTTCATGTAAGAGTTTTAGACACTGGTTTTGATTGTACCTTCGTTGGTTGTAATTTTTCTTCGATCTTTGGTTGTGTTGGTATGATTTTGATTTCACCATGAGTTTTTCTTAAATGAACTCGTTCTTGAATCAATAGTTCTCTCTTCTACAAATATCAAAATAACAAAAATCAATTTTCTGTAATTGTGCATAAGTTACATTGTTTTCTTCTAATGCTTGTTTGATAAAACAAGCTTCTGGTTGTTCACCATCTTCTTCCAATTGTTTCAATAGTTCGAGTTTTTCTTTTTCAATAATTTCATTCAAAATAGTTTCATCATTAGCAGATAATAGATGCGTATGTTGTTGTTTATTTGCATCTACAACTAATCCTTCAGGTTCATGTTGTTGATAAACCAATGATTGAAAATGATTCCGTGGGTAGAAAAGAACTGAACCACGTTCACGACACATTAAACGAAATGTAATCCAATCACCTGCTTTTAATGAGCGAGAAACAATACCTCGAACACTAGAAAATAGACGTTTTCTTAGAGAAATTAACTTAAAGTGATGGAGCAAACCTTCGAATATCGTCTTTGTAAATCGATTCAGCACAAACAGGACACTTTCGCCAAGGTTTATCGCTCAATGCTAAGTAATGTAAGAGACATGACCAACAATAAACGTGCCCACAACGTGTAATTTTGCCTGCGTGAGGCTCAGATAAACATATGGGACATTTCAGTGGTTGCATTGAATGAAGACGAACTTGTTCGACATGTGACCAATCAATTGCTAAATCTGGATCAGCAAAATGCACAGAATAATCAGCAACACCTGATTGAACAACAAATTGACAACTGAAGAAGAAAACAAAAGAGAAACAAATAAAATAAAATATTTTCAATAAAAATGAAACTTCTTTACTTTGCTTGAAGAAATTGTTCTTTCGAAAATGATTGTCGATAGGTCGAGTTTCCATTCGATGACCATTTATTATTATTAAAATAATAATTCGAATTAGAAGATCGTCGATTTCCACGTATATTATTGCGTTGTTTATCACGATAATGAAAGTTGAGTAAATGACTCATATTGGTCTTTTTTGCACTGCTCCCACTATTTTGTTTGCCAATAAGTGATTCATCCAAACCGAACATTTCAGTTGATCCATCATCATCTCCGTCCACATCAACATAATCAAAATAATCACCATGTTCACTATTAGCATTGTTCTGTTGCCCTTGAGTTCGATATTTTGCGTTTCCACTATTCACATTTCGTTGTCCTCGATTAGAATTTCCTCGATTTTGCTTTTGTTGCTGTTGAATTTCTCGATTGTAACCACGTGCATTCAATTTATTATATTTTGGCGAAGCAGTCAAATCACCTCCATTGCCACTATCTGTCAAATATTAGAAAATGTGATGGAAAACAGTTGAGATAGGTTGTTTTTACATACTATTATTAGCCTTTTTGCGATGAACTATAGAGTTATTATTGGAACCATTACCACCGTTTCCTCCTGCGCTGAATTGTCGTTGTTCATTACTGGAATTAATATTGTCGGCCATTTGCCTCGTTCCCAAATGATTGATTTTGTTGTGAGAGAGGTTAATTTCACCTTGCTGTTGATATTTATCGGTTGTTTGTTGTCGTTCTTCTTCTCGTTGAATACGTTCGAAACTTTCGTAATCATCGTTTGTTTCACGAATAATATTTGTCGGCCATAACGATAAAAATGTTGAATTCAATGGATTATTTTGATGATTATTGATGTGGAGTAAATTCTTTGAACTTGAATACGACGACAGATTGAATCACAAATCCTCGAATACTCAAAGCGAGTGAGTTTTCAGAGGTATCTCGGAAGATATTGAGAGAAAGTAGGTTGTTAATAAAACAATTCTTCAGATGTCTAGCACTGTAATGTCACAGTACTAGTCAGACAATCGCTCACTAAATACTAATAACAATATTGATAAAAAAAAATAGAATGTAAACAAACAAATTTCGTCAGTAACTCAGCGAGGACGTAGTGCATGTTCTGTGAATGAGAAAATTATTTTCTGAAAAAAGTTATTTTTTTATTTTTAGAAAATTTCACCGAAGGTGACGAATTAGAAATTCTAATTTATTTTTATATTAATAATTAAAGTAAATAACTTTTTTCGATGGTATTCGAGCGACATCTGTCGAACATGATCGAGTGCATGTGAAGCAAGTTGCATGCGTTTATGAAAAATAGCTTGACAATGAATATACTGACCACAGTATACTTGTTAATAGTCTTTTTTTAGAGTTAGCAAACTATGTGTCTTTTTATTAGTTGAGAGTGTAGCAATGTCTAAATATGGGTATTTACGAATATCATAAGATTTGCAATTGAGTGACTCGTTTGTCAAATAAACAGTAGAACAGAAAATGAAAAACGAAACGGTTAGTTTAAAAGATGATTCAATAAAATGTGAAATATAAATAGAGTGTCATCACACTTTTTCCATATTTGGTATTCAGTTTGTCATCGATCAAACATCGTGCAGCTGAATGCGAAAAATATTATAATTTTCTGTTCTGCATGTTGTGTCGATGACGAATATGTGATACTTGCATAAGTACATCGAAATCTTGCGTGCGATTTGATCGTGACTATATTTTTACATCATCTTAAACATAAAAACGAACTATCTAAGCATTAGTCATGTGTGACCAGGAAAAAACAAAATTTCACAACTCAGTTTAAACTGCATGTATAAAAGTCAGAATATTTGAAAAGAAAACTACAGAATAATCATTTTCTCATGCGTTTAGATACAACCTGAGTTTGTGTGCTTCTATTCATTCTTCAATTCTATGAACATACAATGGCTACTGAAAACGAAAGTCAGAATATACCCATACCTACGAAAGAGTCGGAGGTACCATCGAAGGAAAATACGCCTAAGACATGTGCTACCTGCGAAGTAGTAATTGGTGCTAATGATATTAAATTACAATGTAAACGTGATCAATGTGGAGCAGTTACTTGCAATTCATGTACAAAACTAATGGTTGAAGTTATGTTCGGTCAACCTGTTTTGGAGTATCCATTGAAATGTTGTTCATGCAGCAACGCTTATGATTCGATTGAAGTTGATCAATTGCTTGCCAAGCATCCTAGTTATGAGCAATACATTGCCTTTATTCTTCCATTATTTTGGTCCAAAGATTGTCTGGAAGAAAATGAAAAATTAGCGCAATGTAAGTTGATTATATGTCACGCGCTATTGATTACATTGATCCTGTTTTCTCTTTAAGGTCCATTTTGTCCGTATGTAGAAATTCATACGACTGACACATGTCCAATTCAATTCATGACCTGTCAACATCCGGCTTGCGGCAAAAAATCTTGTTTGATATGTCTTCACGAAATAACTGATGATGAATCGAACCATCGAACGACATGCGTTGAACTTCAATCATATAAAGAATTGGTTGAAAAGGCTATTGAAACCGGATCGAAACAACAATGCCCTCATTGCCATCTTACTGGCTTGAAAGATGATGGTTGCACACATATGACATGCGAGCGATGCGGATTAACATGGTGTTACTTATGTGGCATGAAAGAAACAGAATGTCTAGTTGGCGATGATGATGATCCAAGCTTTTCAGCTCATAACAACGAGTGGGAACAGCATGTAGGTCGTTGTCCAATGAGTCTGGTTAGCATCCATGAACTTGATGATCGATGGCCAGATGATGATGAAGGTTGTCTGGAATTCTTCCACCGCTATCGAACATTATGTGAACTTTATGATGTGATGAAAATTGTCGGCGAAGATAGATTCGATGAACTCAATCAAACATTCGGTATTATCGATGCATCTGGTTATACCATTGATGAGATAAAAGACTACGACAATCGAATGCTAATAAATTATGGTGCAACTGAATAACAAAACTTCAATATTTTTTTTCTACTAACAGATGAAATAGTATATTATAACTTTTTGCAAATAAACTTTTGATTATTAAACAAAAATACAAATTATGTGACAACGAAAAAATTAGTTAGTCGCGAACAAAGTGACGATATTACCTATATTGTTGAATATTTGAGTAGTAGAATTGTCGTAGACATCCATTTGGAAAAGCCATTTGCAAACGGGATGTGTATCATATAATATTCAATTGATCGTGAAATTGGAGATCATGGTTACGAAAGCTATTCGTATAGTGTGTGTGAAATAAATCAAATAATAAAGAGTCGAGTAGATCTAGCAATAACTATTTTCTGTAGAAAAACTATCCGTATTACAATCAACTCGTGTATGTTTCCAATGAATTGAATATAGCTGAGGGTGTGGGTGGGTGTGTGAGGATATGGAGAATAATACTCTAACTTAACATACTCACCCACAAAAGTTACATATTATATATACTCATTCTTTCATTCAAAAAGAATTCAATTAGTAGGGCAGGATTGAGGTATAAAAGAGCGTTGTTCTGCACATCTGTATCATGTCTAGTTTATTTAAAATAAAATATCGTTCTGCGGTGAACTCGATTGTTGATCTATGAAAAAAAGCAGTTATAGTTATCTATATTTATCTTTGTATTAGTAGATATTTCAGTTATTTATTAAACTATCTTCTCTCTTTATTAATAAAAAGAATAATCTCTCGTATTTGCCTATTATTGGTGCATTCATAAAATATCTGAAAGCTATTATTTTATTATTTGGATGTGCAAAAAAGTATGGATTTTATCATGTGCGACAACCTTTATAGAATAGATACTCTTATGTTTTTTGTTTTATCTTGTTCGAATTTATTTTTCATAGTAGGTCTATGTGCCAATCTATGATTGTACACCTCTTCTCCTTTTTCTTTTCTCTCCTCTTCGCATATACAACTATCGGTTTATTTTCTTCCTTTCTGCTTGTAATTAGATGTCGACCTTTGGGCCTGGATGTTGTTCTTTGAGCTTCACACCTATACAGGATATGTTTTGACTTTCTCGGTTGACCTAATACCTCACCGAGTGATAGCGATAGATCATCGTAGATATTATTTCAAAGAGTTTGGTATTTTTCTGTGGCGTGATGCTGTATGAACCGAGAACTATATAAGGACGAGGAAAGTACAGCATAGGTGCGATTTCTTTAGATTGAATAAACGATGCACTCAATACATCTTATCTGTTGTATCTGAAATCGTCACATTTGGCGTGTGTTGAGTGTATCGTTTATTCAATCCAAAGAAATCGCACCTATGCTGTACTTTCCTCGTCCTTATATAGTTCTCGGTTCATACAGCATCACGCCACAGAAAAATACCAAACTCTTTGAAATAATATCTACGATGATCTATCGCTATCACTCGGTGAGGTATTAGGTCAACCGAGAAAGTCAAAACATATCCTGTATAGGTGTGAAGCTCAAAGAACAACATCCAGGCCCAAAGGTCGACATCTAATTACAAGCAGAAAGGAAGAAAACAAACAATAGTTGTATATGCGAAGAGGAGAGAAAAGAAAAAGGAGAAGAGGTGTAGAATCATAGATTGGCACAGTCTAACACATCAAAACAAAAATACAACATAAATATGAATTATCCATTATTTGTTGAATCAAATCACACAGCAATCTATAAAGCATATCGTCCGAGGTATCCAAAAGAACTCTATCATCGAATATTGGAGTTTTATTTCAATAAAGTCAATATTGATGAAATTAATAAAAAAATACCATTAGCTGTCGATATTGCTTGTGGCAGTGGACAGGCTACAATTGATTTAAGTTCTTACTGTGGTCATGTGATTGGTATTGATGGTAGTGAAAATCAATTAAAACAGGCATCATTGAAAGATAATATCGAATATCATTGTTCAACTGCAGAAAATTTAACATTTCTACCATCAAATTCTATTGATCTTGTTACAGTAGCAACAGCATTACATTGGTTTGATATTGAAACATTTTTTCAACAAGTAAACCGTATTCTAAAGCCAAATGACGGTGTTTTATGTATTTGGGCTATTGGTATGCCATTATTAAATAATTCAAAAGCTAGTGAAATACTAAATAATTTTTGTCAAAATGATCTTAATAATTGTTGGAGTGATCGAGTAAATTTAGTTATTAATCATTATGAACCTATACTTGATAAATTTCCATATCCAACAACAAGAATAAAACATATTATTGAACATCAACAGGAAATGTCTATTTATGAATTCGTTAATCTAATTGAAACATGGAGTCCATGTCAAAAATATTGTGAAATTCATGGAAAAGATAAATTAAAAGAATTATTGAAAATGTTTGCGAATAATTTGGTAACATGTTATATCGAATCAACAAATGATATTGTTGATCGAAATTTTATTAATAATCAAATGATCGTTGTCAAATGGATAATACATTTACATTTAATGAAAAAAACAATAGTTGATACTCATTAAATATGTATATTCTTTTTAATTTCAGCAATAATAACAATTTAAAAGGAGTAATACACACTAGACAACCAATGTATACGCTCGACCGAAGAATTTTAAAAAAATATATACACTAGCTAGTTCAATTGGAAAGCTTCTATCAGTTCCGAATGAAGGTATTACAAGGAAAAGCTTTCAGCGCAATCTCTTATGGAATTAAAATGTGAAATACAATGAAACTGTCTCACATTGTGACTTGTAATTTCAATAATAATGAGTTCTAATGAATGTTTTCTCTCATATAGAAATATTTTTAGATTCCACACTTTTCTTTTTAAATCACCTTATCTTTTCTTCATAAAGAATGTTTCAGGGCATTCGTGATCAAAGCACTTCAACACTTTCTATCAGATCGTATCTCACAAAATGTTCTATTTTTATAATTCAACATATGATGGCTGTTTATCGCTAATACATTCATTTTAATTAAAATTACACCTAATATAACATCTGGTCAATATACTTATGCTTTTTGGATATTTTCTTATAGGAGAAAAAGGCGCGTCTTGCTCACTACATCATAAACTTTCTGCAAGAATGATTCAGATGATTCGTAAATGGATGGATCATCTTTGGCGATTAATTCTTCAACAAAATTTATATAAAAATCCTGAAAGCAACGAACAGTCACTCTTTAACGAACTTCTTGGTATTCGAATTGAATTAGTATAAATTTGTCGATGCAGAAATATTTCTTTTATCTATCTGATGTTGGATGTAACCATTTGTGTCATTATCGTAAACACCCTCAACATCGAATCGCATTGTTTGAGTTGATAATATCTGTTTCGTCATCTTTCCATTTTGAGAATATTGCTGTTTTAAACAACGCTTTGGATACCGCGGTATTTTTGCTACGAATAAGTAATGAAATGTATGCACTATTCGTAAATTTCTTCTAGTTGTTTCGTCGTCTGTTGTACCACTCAAAAGCGCTTGTACATATATGAGGATACATTTGGAAAACACATACAGGACTACAGTATAAATCTGTGGAACACTCTACGAAGAAAGAATCGGAAGATAGAACATCGTGATTCTAGCCTATCATTCAAAAACATTACCTTCCGATAGTCTATTCTTTGCTCAATGTGCTTGTTGGTTTCGAAGAAGAAAAATATCCAAACCATCTATGGCGAACGAACGCACAACGAAAACAAGCACAATAAACTTAATCCATTCAAATGATGTGGTTTCATTTAATTTTCCTTACTCTAAAGAAGTGTTCTCCTCCACGATTTCTTTTTCAAGTGGTTTAAAAAAATAAGTAACATTGGCTTCAAATATTGAGCGAAATTTTCTGAGTTTTAATTGAATGATGAGTTCACTGCCAATTTCAGTATAACCATGTATTTTTGAAATAAATATTACCTGACGTTCGCAAGTTGAACACTGTGTAGGGCAAAACTTTTTCAAGCCTTTGGTATTTTTGCAGAGGCATCATCTAGAAATAAGACGTCTTTTCGATCATAAAAAGCAACCATTATGATTACATTTTGCGATCGCTTCGCCGAAATAGGATCAAATCTCTAACAGATATTTTTTCAGATTGGATATTCCAGTAGAACGAAGTAGAAACTGCCGGTTTCTTTCTTTTTTTTGAACGATCTTTTTCCACTCTAATTTACGGGTACATGTGCATACGTAAGAACAGCGATTTGATGGTAATTGATAGACATTTTGTTATCGAATGTAACGTCAATTACATGGTGTGATGAAAATTGTTGAAAAGACTAGCTTCACCACTGTCTCTGGTCATCAAACAATTGATGAAATAAATGATTATGAAACCTGTGAATATGAATACCTACGGTTTTTACGTGTTTCTTTAGTAACTGGTTTTTGTCGAGTAAAGGTCTCATTTTAAACTGAAAACATATCTTCTGTTCGTTTTGATGCAATTTTACTCAATATACATTAGACAAAAATATATTATTATCGAGATTACTTCATATTACGAAGTGAATCATATCTGGAAAATTATTCGTAATTAAATTTCAGAAAATTACGTTAACATTATAAAATCACTACGTTTTCTCTTCCTTTTTATGGAACAAATTGAATCAACATATCGTTAATTTGTAACAAAACAACATCATATTATTAACTGTGATCAAACAAACACACCGATGGCGTATGGCAACAAAATAAACACGCATTGAACGTTCGTATCGATAGCATCTGTACGTCGCGAAAGTCTTCTGCTTGGATACTGTGAGCTGTGGATGGAAAACGAATTTTTCTGTGAGAAAATATGTTTGTTTTGGTGCTATATTACGTCGGAATGTACAATATGCATGACAGTTATCTTAGATCGTTTAATGATAAAAAAAAGTTATGCGTTTTGCTCTTTAGTCTTTGCCCGAATTTTGTTTTTCTGTTAACAGTCTACCTTTACATAGTGTTTTTGTATGTTCTGATTTTCCACTCATTATTTCTAGTTATGCTTATCACACATTTTTTCTTCGTTTTAGATATACTAAACTAACTGATTTTCACTATTTGATCTAGTAGGAATGGGCCAAGAGGAATCTGTACCAATAAAGAAAGGTATGCGATGTTCTTTTGAGTTTTCCAATAAAACAGTGCTTTATCTCTCGACTTTGAATAGAGAATGTTGCACCAGTATTACATTCGAACTGCCGAAAGACAATTGAAAACTTGGCGCTTCAAGGACGAGCATTGCCAATCAATAGAGGTCAATATAAGTTTGGTCATGAACTCGGTTCAGGCGCATTTGGAACGGTTTATTCTGCACGACGCGTACAGGATAGTGAGTTCAATGTTAGTCTATTGCTTCAATCACAGAATCTTTCCTATCGTTTAGACAAAGCTGTGGCGATAAAAGTAGTGTCACTTGTAACACTGAATAATAAAGAAGGATTGATGCTTACCAATTCGATTTTGACAGAAATTGAAATGTCGAAGAGTTTGTCTCAAGTATCGAATCATGTTGTTCGTATGCATGATTTTGATTTTCATCGCAAAACTGGTTTGGCTTTTCTCATCATGGAACTGGGAGAAAGAGATTTAGAAAAACTTCTCAAAGAACGACTTCGTCTGACGTCGACGGAAAGAAAAGAAGTGTGGCGGCAATGTGTTGATATTGCAATGACTCTTCATGATAATAAAATCGTAATTAATCCAGAACAACAATCTGCTTTTTGTCATAAACTCATTTATTTTCTTTTCATCTAGGTGCATCTAGATATAAAACCACAAAATCTTGTCATTTTTCCAGGTAATAAAATCAAATTAGTTGATCTGGGTATTGCTCAAAGAGCCTACAAACATCGGTTCGTAGATTTCAAACGAACAAATGCATAACTAAAGAAAAATCTCGATTTTCGATATAGTGTCGGCAGTAATGGTACTTGGCTTTATTCAGCGCCTGAAGTCACCAATGCTGCTCGTGGTCAAATGATGTTGAATACATCCAAAGCCGATGTTTGGTCATGGGGTGCTGTACTCTATCGTATGACTTATTCTGAACCACCTAAATATACTCGACCATGTTTTCAACCGCCAAAACATTTAGCCATATCGAAAGATAATAATCTAACTGATGTCTTACGACATACACTCGTTAGCGATCCAGTAGAAAGAGCCGATCCACCATGGCTTGCTCAGCATCCATATACAACGTCATAAGAAATCGATTTGTACTGAATTTCTAATAATAAGACAATGAACAAGTTTTGGCATTGATTTCTTTTCAGATTATTTGCGAGTCTCCGTTCATTTTTATTGAATCGTTTTCTTTTTTTTTTTATAAAACAAAAATAACTTTCATTCGAGTTTAAAATAAGTAAATAAATAAAAACAACGTTCGTGATTAGAAAGACAATGTCGTTTATAAACTACATCTGACAGAGTAAAGAAAAAAACAATATGTATTGAAATCGAACAACAAGAAATGGATCTCACGTAATTTTCACCGGTTTTTTCTTGGAAATTTTCTTTAATAAACGACAAGGATTATTTAGAAATCGAGGAGATTTACAAAATTCACTAACTAAAATTTCATCGGAATTAAATATAAATTGTTTATCATGAAATGCAATAGCACGTGATAAACGTAATGAAGCATCATGTGTCATTTTATGGAATGATATTAAATGCAAGTAAATATTTGTGTTACATGTATAACCCGAGCATAAACGTGTTCCGTGTTTATATTGAATGCCATACACACCATATTTTGTCAATGGACATCGTTTAATCAATGAATAACGTGGTGTTGTACGAAGAATCGGTTGAGCAGAAGTTGAAGAAAAGAGAATTCGACCTGGTGATGAATAACCGTGGAGAAGAAGATCTGTTATAAGCAATGACGATGAATATAGATTCAAATTATGAGATGAAGTTAAATGTTGCCACAAGGGAGGAGCAGGATGATGACCTTCACCATTAGCTAACACATCACGACAAGGAAAATTTGAAAGACCATGATGCATATCAAGACCAAACGAAGATGCAAGAGAATACAATGGACATGGACCAACAAAAGATAAGATTCTGCTTTCACTTGGCTACAATGAATAGATTGTAAAGAAAATGATCGAAAAGATAATTCTACTTACTGGAATATTCGTAGGTTTCTCATGTCTAGAGAAAGATACATTGTAGATATTGTAGAAATAACAATTCATTAAACATACCGATGCTTTGCAGCAAGGACAGCCATTGTTTGTGCAATGATATGATCATTAGTCATTTGAGTTATTTCCATGATATTTTCAGTATGAATATAAGTAATATTGATATTTCTAGAAAAGCAAAATCGAAGGAAATTCACCTTGACGAAAGCAATATAGCATACGGATTTGTATTTAATAGATTATTCAAATGATGTTGCTGTACGGATTGATTAATGGGTTGGAGAACATTACCTAGAATATTCAACTTTTGATTCTATTCACAGGAAAAATATTGTTTACCTCCTTCGAAACTATCACTGGACATATTTTCGTCTTCGTCGTCTAAATCTTCGTCGTCTTCATCACTGAGTCCATTCGAAGTGAAATCTTCTTCGTTGTTGGTATCGGGTAACGGTTGGGTATTTTCATCATTCTCAACTGTTCGAAAGAAGAAAGTCGAGATTTCTGAGAGAAAATATGCGATCACTTACTGGTTGGCTCTTCAACCAAATGAGGTTTAGTTGAGTTATCGTCGAGTAAATGAATTCGAATCAGATCTGTGGAATCTTTCGACTTTTTCTGATGCATTTTATCTAAAAAGTCGGCTGAAAATCAATTTACTGTTCTCATTTATTCAGTAAAACTATCAAGTAAAAAAAACGAGAAAGAGAAAGAGGAGAAAACACTGCATACGATCAAATAAAAAGAAAACAAAAGTTTATTTCATCGTTTGCCAATCATATGATGCATTATTTGCATGTTGTAACGGTGGAATGGGCGGCGCTTTCAACGCCCATTGTCCATCCGATGGATTTCGTTCACATAATTGTAGACCCAAGTAAGGCACTTTACGAATAACACCATTGAAATCAGCGTAGGAACGAGGAATAAGCAAACATAGTTGACGCGTACAAACTTCGAGTGTTGCAGCATGACCAATGAAAAATATATTAGCACCTAGAAGATGTCCGAGGAAAATGAAAAGATTTCAACGAGTCAATGTTCTCTGTTACCAGTTAGTTTATGTCTGTCGGTTATTTGTTGAGTTACTTTGAAAGAACGATTGTAATAATCGATCGCCTTTTCATCTCGGGAAAGTTTCTCCAATGGAATGATTGGTCGATAATTTTTATCAATATTAAAAAGATTGATTTCTTCATCTTCATGGATATTCATATCTGATGTAGTAAAGAATGATGGTAAACCACGTTCGTACCAACCTAAGAATTCGAACAGGCCAGGTTCAACACGAATCTTCACCCGATCTTCTATGCCCATGCCTAAAGAGAGATCATTTCCGACTGGATTCGAATGAAAAGGTTCGCAAACCTTGTAGAATGTAATGGGCCGTTTGAATACAACGAAGCGAAGGCGAAGAATAACAATATTGAGCGAAAGAATCATTGGCAGCTAATGCTTCGCCCGTTAGGCGAGCTTGACTAGCACCAATTTCAGTTATAGGAGAATCACCAACAAAGTCACGGAATGGATTTCGACGACGAGGTAAAGTCATCGGCATATTCAAATTCATACGATGATATTTTCCTGAAATAGTTCATATGATTCGATATAACTAGAACAAAGAGGGAGAGAGAGATCAGTAACAATACCTGATTTATCGAAAGCGGTCTCTGCCCATGATGGACCGAATGCAAAATCGACACGTTCACCATGACGAATACAAAATAGTCGAATTAAACCTGGAGTAGTAGTCGTCGTTAACGGATCCGATCGACCATTCTAAAATTTTGATGTGTTTATGTTTAATCTCAAGATAAGATGAGAAAATTCATACTGTATAGTTCGTTCGTGGCAATAAAATTGATCGTTTTGATAATGTTCGAACTTCATTAGTACTATTCGGATTCTTTTCTTCATTTGACGGAATATGATTAGTTTCCGCAGACTCTGTCGTCGAGTTTTCATTGATTAACGATGCTGATCTGAAAACAAAGACAATATTTGCAACTTTCATTGACGTGGAACCTCGTTCTTACTTATGTAATGTCCATGAATCTGTTTCTGACGTTTTTCTTAAGTTTTTCAATGGAAATAGACCTTCTTCACCTGTTGAATGAGATCGACCTAGAAACAAAGAATCAAGAAATCAAATATGAATCAACCCAATCAATAAGCAAAATTTCTATTCGATTTAAGTGTTTTTTTGTCCTATTCTCCTAGACTAATATTTTGATAATTGATTTCTTTTTTCGAGCATAACGAATTTCATTGATTGTTGCTTTAATGATATTGTCTACCTTGATGGAGAATCAGTTGAATAAGTTCGAATTGATGTTGTCTCTGTTCTCGATGGATTCGTTCTTCACGTTCTTGATCGAGACGTTTCTGTTCGTCAAAAAAAGACATAAAGCGTTGTTCCGTTGCTTGCTGTGCAACGAGAAATTTATTGAAAACCGATTGAAGAATATCATCAATCAGATATGCCTGATGTTTATAAGGTGACATTGATTTTAAATAAACATCCATTTCATCTGTTATTGGTATTTGATCTTGTGGATCATTGATCTCATCTGTGTCATCGATGGCTAAAAGATTTGAACTAGTTCGAGTCGACTGAAGAGTAGGATAAGGATCTTCTGGCCGTTGAATATAATCCGGGGATGAATCGCCCAAAAATTCATGTTGTTCATCAGTTTCATTCATTGACTGGAGGAGGAAAAAGATTTGAAAAGTTTAGTGAAAATGAAAAATAAAAGGTAATTCTTGCCTTATTATCATCATCATCATCATCGGTATGTTCATCGGGTTCATTAGTATTCATATTTAAAACAACATCCTCATTTTCATTCTCAACATTTAAATCTGTTTGTATTGGTAATTGTGACTGTTGTTGAGATAGCGTACGTTTCTTAGTTCGTTGACGTTTGTATTTATGACCAAATAGATAATGAAGATCATCATAGAAACGACAAGAACCTGTCGATTGGCCTTGTTCTTCGTGTAGAGCACGCGCTTGTTTATATGAGAATTTCAGATTTTTCACTCGGCCACGTATTTGATTCCAGTCACGATTGAAACCAGCTCGTTTCAGACGTTCAGCTATTTCATGGTAGATTTCACGTGTTCGGACACTTTCGATTGCTTTCAATATTCTTTCATCTTTCAAGAGATCTAAGAGAACACGTGTCTCTTCCAAATCCCAAATCAATGCGCGTTGATGGAAACGTCGAACAGGCTTTGGAGATAATGGTCCATTGACGGACGGCGGATTATTCGATAAATTTTGCGTCAGCATGTCCAATCTTACCTCGGAGTCGTCTTCTTCTTCTTTCTTCAACAAATGCGCAACTTCAATATTGTCTTTACGACACTCGCGCACACTTTGGTCAAAAGAAAAAATGAGCCAACGTCACTAGCAGTACACTATGCTGCAACTAGACTACTACTCTTACTACAATCATTACTATTGCTACTCGCTTGTTGTGCTATGATGTAGCTTGTATGTGTATGTGTGTGCGTCGTTTGCTTTTCTCTCTTTCGCTCTTCGTTCTCTTGTGTGCGCAAGACGTACATCTAGTAAAGAAGCATCGAAGGTGACTGTGTCTTATGCCTTATGCGTTGTTAGAGAAACGAAGAGCATTTTGTATGCGTGTGCAAGAGAGAAAGAGCGGAGTCTCTCAAAGGCCACACAAACACATAGACGCATGATGAAATACTCTTATTCTTTCTCGTGATAGATGATAGGGAAGAAAGCGAAAAAGCGAGAAGCAAAGAAACATATATCAAGAAAGAACATAAAAGACAACTTAATTAAAGCTTACTCACCAAAGACATTTTCTTCTTCGCCTATTCGACCATTATCAAGTACCATAAACAGATCATTCGCTTTTAATGAAAGACAATTGTGAATAGTTGTGTCTCGTGCCGCTGAGACGACTCGATATACAACCTAGAAGACGGAGAGAGAAAAAGAAACGGTCATATACACATTCGTTTGCTTTAGTCGAATTTGTTACGAGAGAAAAAGAAAGAAACTGGTACGAACTTCATTCGTCGAAGATTGTTCACGTGAATATAGTCGTAGAGTCCAATTAACAGTTCGATCGAGATCGATACAAACTTTGGCAAGTTGCAGTAATGATGCACGTTGATCAGCAGAAAGATTGAATAGAGATGTTAAACCATGAGTCAATGTCAAATGTGCTAATTTTTTTGCAGGCAATATGGAAACATTAGGTACTAAAATGAATTATTCGAGATCAACAAGTATATTCATTGATTGGAAAAAACCTATTTGCTCGAATTGTTGTTTGATCATATCGAAAATATTTTCAAGAGCTTTTTTACTCTCGGGATCAGGTATGAGCATAAGATAATCGCTTGTCGAATGTAAAACAATGCGTAGAAGTTGTTTGAATAAACTATGATATTGGCGAACAACTGAATCAAAGATTTTATGTAATGTATGCACAAATTGATCGGGTACGTAGAAGAAACTTGATAATTTAAAAGCACGTAGATGTTGTCGATCTCTTAGAGCGGTTTCTTTGATAAGAAAACGAAATGTTTCCGAGCTAAACGTTCGGATTTGTTCGTTGAGACGTTCATCCGGACAAAGTAGAATAATGAATTCTGTTCGGATCAGTTTATCATCATCATGTCGTTGAAAAAGCCTGATTGATGTAAAACAATAAGCAGAACAAGTTTATTTTCTATGCAGTGATTACCTCTTACCAATCGGTAGCTGCTTGCAGCGAACGAAAACCTGTGGCAACGCATGCACGTTCACTAAAACAATGAATAATAGCGAAAAAAGAAACAAAAAAAAATCGAAATTTCTCAACATACGCTTTCTCTTTCGGTATTCCGAGTTTCGTCGTCAGTAGTGTCAAGTAGGATGATTTCGATAAGATTTGTTCTTCTTGTTCATTGGTTTCAGCAGGCGGTTGTGACCAACGTTTACTATTGGAATTATCATGAAGATTTTTTCGTACAGATCGTCGTCGCACGGACATTGAACTAAATTGACATAGAAATAGTGAATCAGTTTAAAGTATAACTCAAAGATATTGTGACAATGAAGGAAGGAAAAACTAATCAAGCGGATCGTTCTGCTTCTCCTTCTTTTTCGAGCTTTTTCTCTGAATGTGTAGGAAAAAAGCGTTTGTACGGTTACTGTCGATTGATCAAAATCGAGATAAAAGCTCTTTTGACAATAACTATGCTTAATTAGTTAACGTACTTGATTGTATGGTAAATACCCGAATGCGTCGATTGAAAAAAACCAATGACTTCATTAAGTTCTGATTAATAACAAGAATAACTGATAAATACATTAAAAAATAAAAAAACAATTAAGGTACGTGAAATCGGGAAGAAGAAAAAGGGGACAGGTAGTATGATGTCATAGTCAAATCTTTAATGATGACTCATGTTTCATGAACAGAGCGCGATTTGATTTGGTTAATTATCCTACTATTCAAAATTTTCTATTACGGTGAGATTTTACAGAAATTTGTATCGAGTTCATGTTGGAATAAGATCATTTTCTTGATAAAATAAAGCTTCAAGAAATATGTTTTAGATCGAAAATATTTGATTGTGTCACCCTCTATAGTTTTGTATAAAATAACGATTCATGTAGGATAGGAGTAGATCAATACTGCTATAATACAATACAGAGGAGAATTGGATCTTATCGCTTCTTCATTAAATTCTATCGATTTAATCAAAATGACTTATTTAGTTCGAGGTACCGCAGGTGACGCTATTGAAAATTATCTTGATGACAGCTTCGAATGGCAGGATGTAGATGCAATCGAAGAACATCACAATATTGGAGTTTGATTAATGTATGGGAAATGATTTCCAGAGACATATGCTTCTCGAAAACTATAAATCTGCATTCGTAGTCTTCTGGACGATGTGCAATCCGTATGTAATCGTTTTTTTACAAGAGTGGCGTGGGGCAAACCTCATTTACAATCTCGTGCTGCAAGGAGAACTACTAAAATAAGCTCAATGACGTATCAAACAATTTCGCTGATCACTAGTTTGATCAATCATTCCTTCAGTACGTCTTTGAATAGTGGAAACACGATTGTTTCAGGAATGGGAATAGTGTAAAAGAACTTGATGATATTGAAACAAGTCGAGTCAGATAAAGAAATACATATTCAAGACGGCAATTACATGTCAACTACAATGCATCTCTTACTCAAATTTGTCGATAGAAGACTAATTTTATCAAAAGTATTCGTTTAGAAATAGTTATAAGACTGTAAAAATATCATTATATTCTACCTGCTATCTTTTTCGAGAATTAACTATTCCATAGTGGTACAAAAATCTATCCTTATTGATCTTGATAACAGATATAATTGTAGAAATAAATGAATTTGTATCAGATTATCCGAGAGACTTCTAGTGACTGATAACGCATTCATCTACGCACGATGCAAAATGAGAAAATAAAAATCATATATGATACAACCGTCTGTGACAAATTGACGCGCACATTTCCATCGACTTCGTTTTTGTCTTAATTCCACCCTCCAGACACGAAACTTTATCACCAAAGCTCTTCAATTATCATCTCTCTACGCATATATATATATAGATTATAATCAAGCAGAACTAAACCATCTACTAACCAATCTTTCTCGACTCAGTGTCCAACAGAGTCTCAACGCTACTATTTTCATACTATGGTAGACATTGAAATACGAAGATCTCGTCTATGACCTCAGTTTCTTGTTTATTGTACGTAATAGATGTGTTTAGAGATAGTTTTCCGATGATTGACTACTTGTTTTTTTTTGTCTATTTCTTGTTATTTCTTATTAACCGTCGAATAATTGTACTTGGTTAATAAAAACGTCGACACCATTCTCCTAAGCAGTCGCTGTAAACAGAGAGAAATAAATTTTTCTCAGTCGGTTTTATATATATATTTAACAAGCACTCGTAGTCGCTCTTATCATTGACAATTGTCGTTTGATTAGAAATATGAGAAGAGAGTAGAAGTCAATAAAATGACAAATGTACATAGCTCGAACTCGTATTGGATTGGTTGACATGACATGCGAATGAAAACGTCCTCTTTATCCCTCTCTTCGATGCTTTCCAATCAAAAACATTCACTTGTACATATCGTATGAATGTGTAACTATTGATGGATCGATGTCTTGTTTATGAGATCAATTTGTATTGTTTTCAGTATAGATATTTTATCAGTATATTTTCAGATATCGATGATGGACGAGTTGCGGCCACCGCCGCCACCCGTACGAGTCGATTCGATCTCAGGGTAAGTATATAAATGATTCAAATCTCACCACTGGTTTCTTTTTTGTCTCTTTTTTTTGTACAGGTCGACATCAAGTCTCGAAATGAAACCACTACCTCGTCTTCCAGATGAAGATTCGAATAAAAAGAAGAAATTAACTACCAAAGGTTAAACGAAACATCTGTTTTCTTTTCGTACAACGTATTTCAAACTTTTCTAGATTGGTCGAAAAAGGATTCGTCTAAACTAACGATATCACGCCCAACGAATTTCAACCATCCCATACATGTTACATATAATCCATCAACAGGTGAATTCGATGGTATGCCAGAGTTATGGTCAAGTTTATTACAACATTCGAAAATTACTAAACAAGAACAAAAACAAAATCCACAGGCTGTTATCGATGCCTTGGATTTCTATCAACATGCTGCACATAAGAGAGAGTCAAAATTCATGTACTCAAGTTGTAAAAGTAAATTATTCACTGGTTTGTAACCTTTGAACGAAAAACGAGGCTTGTTATAGATTTAACACCGCCGATATCCGGTGATTTAGCGGATAAATTTCGTCAGACAATCATTCTTGTTTCCGATCGCACATCATCAGTACGAAGAAAAAGCTTGTTTGTTTTTTTTTGTTTTACAAAAATCCGATCTGTTCATTGTAGACAAGAGACCAAGCATCAAGTAGCGTGATCAATCGTCATGATAACGACGAAATACCGCCACCGATTGCTGAGCGACCAGAAAAAACTAAGAGCATCGTACGTGTATATTTTAATAATTCAAGGGTTAATTTTGAAGTATTTTGCGTTATCTATAGTATACGCGACCAATTGATGATGAGACTAACGGATCGAATTCATCTTCATCGGTTAATGGTGATAAAATCAAACGTAAACAATTGACGGATGACGAAATCTATACAAAGCTGCGATTAATTGTATCACACGGTGATCCAAATAAGAAATATCGAAATAAAGATAAAATCGGTCAAGGGTAAGTCATTGTCGTTTCCACAATAACTTGACCTGTTCATCTAGTATCTCACGGGGCTGTTAAGAATAGCCTGAATGTATTCTCATGAGAGTGACATGTGTAGATTACACAATTGATTAAATGAATGCTAGTCGAACTCGCTGTGGACTCGATTTTCTACATGAAAACGAGTTCTATGTTGATCTATGAAAGGAAAAATCATTGAATCTGTACGTTTCTTCTTCCGTGTGTTTAGAGCAAGTGGAACAGTACTATTAGCTTATGAATTAGCTACAGGAGAGGAAGTGGCTATCAAACAAATGAATTTAGCCAATCAACCAAAGAAGGAATTAATTATCAATGAAATTGCGGTCATGAAACATAATCGTCACATCAATATCGTTAATTATAAAGATTCCTATTTAGTTGGCGAAGAACTTTGGGTTAGATAAAACACTTTGCTTGTCTTTTCCTCCTACTCATATTGATTTCAGGTGGTGATGGAATATCTTCCAGGTGGATCACTAACAGATGTCGTCACAGAGACTATAATGGAAGAAGGACATATAGCAGCTGTTTGCCGAGAAGTCCTGCAAGCATTGGAGTTTCTTCATAAAAATCATGTTATACATCGAGATATCAAAAGTGATAATATTCTTCTAGGAAACGAAGGCAATGTCAGTATGTATCAATAGTTGATGTGATCGGATGCCAGAAATTTGATTTTGTTGTGTCTGTAGAATTAACAGATTTTGGATTCTGTGCGCAAATTACACAAGATCAAACCAAACGGCAGACAATGGTTGGAACGCCTTATTGGTACGATCTATTTCGAGGTGCTTTAGATATTTGAATAAGAAATCGGATTCTATCTAGGATGGCACCGGAAGTAGTCACTAGAAAACAGTACGGACCAAAAGTTGATATATGTACGTCATTTTTTTTTCAAGAGAACTTCTCGGATAATGAAGGAAATTTTTTATTCTTTTAGGGAGTTTGGGTATCATGGCCATTGAAATGATCGAAGGTAATTATTGATTCGTTGCTAATTTAATAATCAATACATATTGTAGGCGAACCACCGTATCTAAATGAAAGTCCACTACGAGTAAATAACTCTTGATCGATAGAAAAAATATGATGATGAATGAATTCTAGGCTCTCTATTTAATTGCAACTAATGGAAAGCCAGAAATAGCTGGACGTGATAAATTATCACCATTATTTGAAGATTTTCTTGATCAATGTCTCGAAGTCGATGTGGATAAACGTGCAAATGCTTCTCAACTTCTCCAAGTAAATCATCTTTCTTTCAAAAAAATAATCGCAATTCTCTAAATCTTTTCTCTTTCACAGCATCCATTTCTGAAAATGGCTAAACCATTACAAAGTCTCGTCCCATTGATCAATGCCGCACGAGAGAGTATCAAACGTAATGCATAATGTCGACCTATTCATATTTTTGCTATAACCGAGTGTCTTCGTCATTTCATTTCTTCTCAGTCTTTATCAGATACATCTGCTTCTTTGTTTTCTTTGTCTTATTTGAGCTTTTACATTTATTTATACTGTACACGACAATCTAATACTTAATCTCCAATTTTCATTTGTATGGTACATACATTCTAAATGAAAAACTGTTGAGTTTAGCGAAGAAAAACTTTCATCATAGATCTTTGTTTAGCTCGTTTTCTTCGTCTCGCTTGCTTGTGAAATGTGTGTTTATTTGTTTGGTCTTCCGTGCTGAATATATCAATGTTTTGTTTTGCTTCTATTAATTTTGATAATGGATGTTTTAGTGCGAAGAAATTTCTAATAAACCATTTTATCGAGTCAAGAATACCAAGAAAAAAAGAATGCGTCACTTCAGTTTGATCAATGAGTGAAAGTAATTGACATTAACAACACAATCAGTTTTAATAAGCGTGAAACTAGGTTAAACGTCGGTTGATCAAAGACGACAGTTGACAGATAAGAACTGTCAACAGTAGAAGATTTGACAGAGTACAAGAAACAATTTCAGCTGAATTACTTTTTCAATACCAAACGGAATCGTTTGACGATTTTTTAAATAAATTCTTTTAGTCGAAAAGAATCGTATAAACAACAATTGCATTGATCGTGTACTTTCGCGAGTCGATTTCTTTTTCTTTATTTATTTAACAGCATTTTGAACTTGCAAATCAAATGTGCATGAATAAATTTTTACTGAGTGCTTAAACTTAGAATTGTTCTGAACTTCTGCCACTATCAACGTTCTTTTGTCATTTTAAATGGAATATTTTCTTTTCATTTCCTTTTCTATTAAAGAAAAAAAAAGACTTTCAACTAATATGGATACAACTATGTTCACAATTTTCTTTCTCACACCTGACTTCTAGGATATCATATTATTGTTAAATAAGGAGCGAAAAGTTTTCTTCTGTTTTTCACCTGTACTTGATCTTGTCAATGACTACGTGTTTGTCAATCAGCCGGAGTTCTCTTTTTCTCTCCGATCAACAATTATTACATTGAATAGGTCGCCTGGGAGAAGTTTTTTAACGTTCTGTCTCGACGTTTTTATTTCTCTATAATTATTTGAAAAGAATCACTCACTATAATTCTACTTGACTTGCTCTCGTCAGTTGGAATATAAAACAAGGGAAAATGGAAACCTGTATTCAAACTCGACCGATGACATCACATCGAATTCGATCATATGAAACAACGTATCAACGAGAATATTCAATTGTAAGAAAAGCAACAAATATCGATGAAGGTGTTCCAGCAGGCCAACGATTTTTAATCGGATGTCCCTATGAATTAAATGAACCGGTGGGTATAACATCATACACAGATGATTATCCCGAGAAAACTAATATACAACGAGAACCAATTATTCGACCGAATACGCCTCGAGCTAATCGACCACATACGCATCCACAATTTCCTTACATACCACGACAATCAGTGATTACCTCTTCAGATATTACGGAAAAGATTAAACAAGCGCTGAAAAGTCAATTCACTACAACTTATCGCACAGATTTCCTTGGTAAGTCAAAAGCGATCTTCATTTATCGAGCTGCTTTCTTTTGTCTATGTTCAGGAGCTCCACAAGGCTTCCCTCTCCCATTAGCTTACAATTCGTCACGATCATTTTGGCGTAATCGAGCTTATCAGCCTTCAAATAGTGAACAAAAGTGTTCTCTTCGACCAACAACAGCTCCTGTTGGTCGTTATGCTTACACTCGTCGTGCTCCGGCAGAAGCAATTATTCCACTGACATTACCTATGTGGAGAAAAGGATCTTCTCAAACATCGTACAAAACCGAATTTAGTGAAAAAGCGCCATCTGAACTTTACATGAAAAACTTCGTTGATCATTTTAGTGGACCTATGGATCAACAGAAATAGTCTTTGGCTTTGCGTCACATCCGTGTTCTCATAACAATCAAAACGTCTTTATATCTCAATTCTGAAAGCACCTATAATGTACGATTAATAAAATAAAATATAGAATAAGCAACTCATCTTTCACATTCTGTAATTATAATTCCAAGGTAGATTGACTTGCAGGAAAATGCATATGAGATTATTCATGAGCACAAATGTATATCCACTAACGGAAAATGTATTAAGAATATGCAATATCGTCGCATGTTTCAGATGTATTGAGTAAATTGTGCACAGTAGAAGTCGTTTAAGTGATGCAGCTATGATTCATCTGATAGCGTATAAAATAGAAAGAGAAAAAAAAAGAACAGCTGAATTTTATATTTTGTCCACGTTATAATTTTTCCAAGCTATAGATTTCCATTTTTTTTTATTAAATGAAAAAAATATTGATTTGTTGTGTGCATGCGAACAACAGACGTGAGTAAATTTGATCAAGATTGTCATTCTAAGTTCCTATAAATATGTTAAAACTAAAGCCATGATATACTGTGTCATTTGACTTTTTCTTTTATTGCGCAAGATTTTCGTCATTTTAGATGCTGTTACTACACACAATCTATTTACTTTAGGAGTTAACATGAATATTTATGACATATCTCGACCAAGTTTCTGGACTTGTGATGGTTGTGATCGATCGATTCGGGATGGAGAATATCGACATAATTGTACGATTTGCGAAGATTTTGATTATTGTGAACAATGCGCTAACACCATCAGTCCACCACATCCTCATCCGATGAGAGAAGAACTTGCCTATGGACGAATACCGAAAAGCAGTATCACTGCAGTCGATATGGCAACGGGTATTGAAAAAGCTTTTGATATGTATTGTAATCGTCCTTGCATGGGTATCCGAGATATCGACAAGAGTAATCCTTCAGTATACTTGGATTCTTACACTTGGCTCACCTATAAAGTGATTGGTGATCGGACGAAAAATTTTGCAAACGGATTACGAAATTTAATTAAACCACGTGGTTATCTTGGAATCTGTGCAGCAAATCGACCAGAATGGCTGATAACGGATTTTGCATGTATGCTACAAAGTATTATCACTGTACCTATTTACTGTTTGTTCGATAGTCGAGAAATGGCTTTTATTATTGATAATACTCAAATTTCAGTTATTGTTTGTGATAAAAAAATGTTGTCAAGATTTATTCAATTAGCAGCCAAATGTTCATCACTTCAGTATATCATCTGCATGGATCCAATCGATGCGACAATGTCGAGTGAGTATATACATTAATTGTATACTGAGTACTAAAAATATCATTCTAGTATCTGCGAACAGTAACGTGACTCTATGTTACATGGGTGATGTTGAAGAGCTCGGCGCGAACACACGATACGCACGTGTTAATACTAAACCTTGTGATTGTTTAACGATTATATACACAAGTGGAAGTTCTGGTTTTCCAAAGGGTGCTATTATTTCTGAAGAAGCGTATCGAGCAACATTCGCCAATTGGTTTCTAGACTGTGTTTCATTGCGGGTGACTTTTAGTTATCGACCATTAGCTTGGGCAAGCGATCGTGATGCTGCTATTGGATCGTTTATTGGTGGTGGACAGATTGGATTTTCAACAGGAGATGTCAATCGTTTAATCGAAGAAATAGCTCTTGTTCGACCAACACGATTTTCTGCACCGCCAAGTATTTGGAACAAAATCTATGTTGAGTACAAAACGGCTGTGTCTGTAATCGATCCTCAACTTTCGCCTACTGAGAAAGAACGAGAAGAAGACCGCTTATTGAAACAATTCGCAAAACTAATACCCACGCGGTGTAAAATACTAACCGTCGGCGGCGCGAAAGTTAGTCCAACAGTATGGAACTTCATGAAACGATGTTTTCGTGATTGTCGAATCAATGAATCCTATGGAATAACAGAGTGTGGAAGTGTAGCATATAATAATTTACTTGAAAACAATATTGAATACCGTCTCGAGTCCGTGCCTGAAATGGGTTATACAATTGATGACAGGCCATATCCACGTGGAGAGATTCTCACGAAAACTACCCAAATGTTTTCAGGATATGTAAACAATCCTGAAGAAACTCGAGCATCACTCACTAAAGATGGATTTTTTCGTACTGGTGATATCGTCGAAATACGGCAAAATGCTTCTGGACAACCAGACGTACAAGTAATCGATCGGAAGAAAAGTTTCTTCAAACTTTCTCAAGGACAATTCATCGCGCCCGAATATCTTCAAAGTATATATATTTGTAGTCCTTTCGTTGAACAAATCTACATTCATGGTGACCTACTAGCTGATACCATTTCGGCAGTGGTCGTGCCGAACCGTGCGTATGCCGAAAAGTTTATTCTCGATCACAATATACAGAATTTCGATATGAATAATCCCTGTCCACAGTTTTGTGATGCTGTTCTACAAGATCTGCGTTCGATCGCCAGGCAACAAGGATTGCGTGTGCATGAAATTCCATCACACCTTATCATCGATTTTGAACCATTTACACCAGAAAATGGCCTATTGACTTCTTCATTCAAATCATGTCGACATAAACTAGCTGCATATTATGGCGATAGACTTCGAGCAGGAAAGACTATTGATCAGCGATTAAAGACCATCGTTGAAATAGCGACCGGTCAATCGTTGTCAATGGACAACGATGAACATTCATTATTTTCCAGTGGTGGAAATTCGTTGACAGCTGTGAGATTGTCTCGTATGATCGAAAAAGATTTTGGAGTACCCGTGCCAATAGGTGTTCTTTTCGAACCGGATATGACTGTTGAGCGTTTGACAACTTTAATCACAGATCCATCTAAACTTTCATCGATGTCTCAACCGATCGTACATAAATTACTGAACGATTCTCAATTAGACTTGATTATTGATAAAAATAAACCAAAGAAAGTGGTCGATCTGCCATCGATAATATTCATTACTGGAACGACTGGATTCGTCGGCGCTTTTCTACTGGCTGAACTTCTAAAGACTTATCCATCAAATTGTAAATTTATTTGTCTTGTGCGTTGTGAAAACTCTTCAGTAAATCTCATGGATCGTATTCAGGCAACAATGCGTTTCTATCAAATATGGAAAGATGAATATCAGGAACGAGTTATCCCTTTACAAGGTGATTTATCTCAAACATATTTTGGATTAGACAATGAGCATTACGAATTACTTGCCAAGCAAGTCGATTTAATCTTTCATTGTGGTGCTACTGTCAATTTCGTGCTTCCATATAGTCAACTATATGGTCCTAATGTGTGTGGTACCCGAGAAATTATTCGATTAGCCACGCATTCAACGGCTTTCATACCAGTGCAGTATATTTCAACAGTAAGTGTATTACCTGGTCATATTAAAGAAGAGATTTCAATTGATAACATTTCTCCACTCGGCTTAACCAGTGGTTATGGACAAAGCAAATGGGTAGCAGAGAAACTTATTACCAAAGCAAGTCAATTCGGCGTACCAGTTGTAATCTATCGTCTCGGCTCAATCTGTGCTGCGACAGATACAGGGGCGTGTAATAGAAATGATATTCATACATTACTGTTTGCTGCAATGATGAAATTAGGTGCTTATCCGAAACGACAAACGAATTGTTCTATACATGGGTTAGCCGTGGATTTTACTGCTAGGAGTATAGTCGGTTTGAGTCGTGTTCAACATGATCGAAATGGGAAAGTTTATCATGTGATTAATCCGGTCCATAGTGTTCTTTTCAAAGACATCGTTAATAGTATAAATCGTTGCTCGAGTCCATTAATTGGAGTTTCACATGATGTATGGCAAAAGAAAGTGAAGACAATCGTAAATGAGAGTAATTCGTTTGAATCTGCAGAAGATTTTCTACAAGAAAGTAATTTTACCGAAAACTCTCAAATATCTTCTCAGGAATATTCCAGCGCTATTTCTCATCTGAGATTCCCATCTTTCCACGCAGATTATCTATTTAAATGGATACATTTCATACAGAAAAACATACTTCGCTGATTTTGTTTTTCAAAGACTTTACAGCATTAATTAGAACGACAAAACTTTAAACCAGATACGAAATTTACCAGACATTTTTTTATAACTGTAAAATTCCTCAATAAAACAAAAGTCGATCATCTTTTTCTTTTACATTTCCTAACAAAAACTACTTGTCGATACCATTTATATGATTCGTTCTTTAACCTTCGTTGAATAACATTCTACTTGTGGTATAAACCTACGATCAGTCGTCCAACTGTATCGATGTCGCGCATCACTTCTCGCTTAACATTTTCCTCTTCGCTTCATATTTATTTATTCAGCATTTGTTTGTAAATGTCCTTCGTTTACATATATTTATTCGACTGTCTGTTCAATCACTACTGAAGTAAATGAAAGAACCTTCAAAATGACATACGGCCACATACTCGATCATTAAAAACAAAGTTTCGATCGATCTTCTCACCTACGAATACTCTCATCCACAATACACAACTGACGAAGAGATAGAGCGAAAAGGTTTTCGTCGTACGTATGTATCTCATTCAATCTCGGTGAATAGTCGCAGAATAAGCGAATGAAACGTAGACAATTGACAATTATAATGGAGTAACAACGTGAGGTGATGTAATCTAGTTGAGGAAAATATAGAAGTTATGACATGTGAACAAGAAAACCTGAAGAGAAAGTCAAACAATGGAAGAAAGAAAGAAAGAAAACGAATACGTGTGGATGATACCTTTAACAAAAATTCTGTCTTACCGCCAAGTGTTTTAAGTACGTGCCAGAACAGGTTCGCCTACATTTACTTACGTCGTCTGTTATTATTATTTCTCTCGCTGTTTTTGTTCTGTTCTCTTACGAATCATGTGGTTATGTTTGTACGGTAAGAGAATAAAAATTTTCAACGAGGTAGGAAGAGAAATATGCAAGTATGCAATGATAGTTTTCATAGTAATATGTCATTTAAATATTGTTGGACTAATAAAGATGAACTTATACATCGAGCCACTCGACAAGGTCGTGTCTTTTCATTGGAAACATATTTGAATCGTTATCCTCCTGAGAGTATCGATCAACTCTATGAATACGGTCGATCACGATGGACGCTTTTAATAGCTGCATGCTTTTATAAACATGAAAACATTGTACGTATGTTATTGCGTCGTTTCAAACCCGATGTGAATGCAGTTGGTGATGTTAAACTCGATTTTGTTCATGAAGTTATGCACGGTATCTCAGCTTTATGGGTAGCTGTTGCTGTCGGACAATTTGATATTGTTAAATTATTACTCGAAGAAGGTAATGCCGATGTCAATCATTTATCAATTACACGTAGTTCACCATTACGTGCAGCATCATATATCGGTCGGCTCGATATCGCTCATTATTTAATTGAACACAATGCTGATATGCGATTAGTACGCGATGGAAATTATACAAATTTGATGTTAAGTGCATATCGTGAACACACACATATGTTAAAATATTTCCTCGATGAATTACAATGTGATCCTAATGAATATGATCAAGATGGTCGAACGCCGTTACATTACGCGATTGATGGTGGTTCACTTAATTCTGTTCGATTATTATTAGAACGTGGAGCAAAAAATTCGTCACCTAGTCCAGTTACACCACTGATTTGGGCAGCATTGGAAGCAAGAGAAGATCTGGTTGATGCCTTTGAAAACTATTGTGCATCGGATATCGAATGGATCGAAGCGAGAGAATTACTCGGTGCAGCATACGCAAATATTGAATCGAAAAATTACAATCTGACTAAAGCGATCGAAAACTTAGGAAAAGCCTATCGATGGCGAACGGAAAAAAGTCTTTTGAAAGTAGTTCCATCATTTTCATCCGTTTCAGCATACAATCATTCGCACGAATGTCAAACATCACTTGAATTCAATGAACTTCTTCGTAAATCCAATACTGAATTACATATCGAGTCATTACGTATCCAAGAAAGAATCTTAGGTCAGAAAAACAAACGATATCGTCATGCTATTCGATTCTATGGTGCTATCTTAGCTGATACACATCAGTACGACCTTTCACTTCAGTTTTGGCTCTATGAACTTGATCTTCGACGTCAGCATCAGATTCATTTCGATAAATGGCATCTACGAGATTTCATTCATGTCTTCTCTGAAATGATAATTAATGATAATGATCATATTCCCGAACATGCCATTCTACATATTCTCAAAGCGCTAAATAATGAACTTTCCACTGGACGAAATAATGATCATAATCTTTTAACACTTTTCTATCTTATCACTATAATTAGTCACGTATGTACTACTTAGACATAATCAATTTTCATTTTTCTGCTTTCGAATTTAGGTATCCGAAAATCAGAAAGTCGCAGTATCGATGAGAGATGTTTATCGAATGTTAGTCATACTCGTTCGAAACTGTTATACAACCATTGGAAATTCGCAACATTGGACTCTCCTACATTTAAGTGTAATGACAGGATTACCATATGTAAATGATAGTCACATTATCGCTTTATGCAAGTACGGATAGAATCCTTGTTCTCGTCTTAACACATATTTTATTTTTTTAATCTCTTCAGATATCCATGTCATAAAACAGTTGCTTTACTTCTTCATTGTGGTGCTTCGGTCGATGCAATTGATGCTGAACGGAATACTCCATTACATTTAATTGCTCAACGTAAAGATGATATCGAGAATGTTTTGTTTATTATAAATCTCCTTTGTGATGTGGGTCGCGCTCATTCCGATTGTGTCAATTCGCAAGGTCAAACACCACTTGAATCGGCATCGAGTATTCATGTTAGAACGCATCTACAAGAAAAGATCGGGGTGAACCGGTTGAAATGCTTATGCGCTCGACTGATTCGCCAAAGGAACATTATGTTTGATAACTGTCAATTTTCGTGCTCACTTGTGGACTTTATTAACAAACATTGAAGATAGATAAGGAGAAAATACAAACTACGAATTGCTTTGCGAGTCTATAGAGATTAGTCAGAGGAAAACAAGTAAGGGGTTTTTTTACATAGTTGATAAAGGAACAATTCGCTTTTTTTATTGGTTTTTATTATGTAAAAAAAGAGAAAAAGTTGTGTGTTTTGTTTAGTTCTGTGATGAGATTGAAAGACAATCAGTTAGGTAGTTCTTGCGTATTCATCATACGTATTTGAATCGGACATTCGGTCTCGAATATGGGCTAATTGATCGAATAAAATTCCATAATCATCTTTTCCGTAACGTGGTCGATTAGAAATAATCGGTTTGGGCAAACGATTTATTAATTGTTTATAATCAAGTAGATGGTAATAATTATCATCGTCATCGTTTGTATACCTCTCTTCCTGATCGTCTTCTAATGTATATTCCGGTTTTTTCGAACGACTTATCCGTGGTTGAAGACCAACACATGAGCTCGAGTGCAGAAGGATCGGTAACAGTGACGCATCTCGTTTGAGTTTTAGTGATTGTGGAATATTGGATGAGCTTGATGATGCATAGGTGTACAGACGTGTTGTAACGTCGGCACTGGTTGATACTTGTCGCATGTGCGATATTCGTGTTTCTTGTTTGGTAAAGTTCGGTTGTTTTTTGTTCATTGCGGATGGGATGAGTAAGGAAAGACGAGAAGGTAATGTTTGTTTTGAACGTCCATTGTGAGTCATTTTATTTGATGTGTTTGCGTTTTTCTTTAAAAGAGGAGATGCACGAAGCGTAGCAGAATCGGAAGGAAGAGGCGGAGTAGGATGCGAAGATTGATGATTGACTCGGTAATTGCAAATATTGACTGTTTTATTGTGATTTTGTTGTTGAGATCTCTGTTGTTTGCAATATTGAGAGCAAGTACTTGACGAATTACTTGTACTACCAAGTCCACTATCAGTTGAGTCACTTTTTGGAAGTGTCGACGAGCGCATTCGACAGCCGGAGATTTGAACTAAGTCAAGTGGTTTGAGTTTGTTTAATGATGGTAACGACGACGAGATTTCTTTGTTAACATGACTGCTACTTTGATTTTCTTGATTGTCGGATGTCGTAGGAACTGACGTCTGTTATAAGAAGAAAAAGAAAGAAATGAATAAATCAGAAGTTTGATTGAAACGTAGACATAGTCGGTGTTACACACGATCATGTGTAGAATTTTGATGAAGTTTTTTTGTCTTTGATTAAAAAAGAGGAATATTGTTTTCGATCGATTGAGATTTGTTCTTGCTCGAGAAAATCATCATTATGATGAATATCAACGATTTACTAAGTATGCTTTTGAAAAAGGGAAAACAAATCGATGTTTTAAGTTGATCTGCATATTGTCAGAATGGGAAATAGATGAGAACATGTTTTCTTCACTTACTGGTTCTCCTAACAGTCGAATACTGTTCAGTGGGATGAATGGGATTGCATCATCTGATTTGATTTGATTTTGTTTGATTACTTTTCGTAATTTCATCAAATCTTGTCGAATTTTAGAATGTAACGGATCCGTAACAACTGTCGTTTGACTACAATCACTAACAGACGACACTTTCGAATCGACTAGTGAGTGTTTCGAAGACCAATTAGTGTTTTTCATCGAATCTTGAATGACAAGTAGATCGTCGGAAGGAAGTAGAGACAAAATCGATTGTTTCGAAGTCGCGACCTCTTGCCATTGTTTCTTCATTGAACGATACCGATGCAAACGCTGAGTGACACGCATATTGAAATGGTTCAAAGCCTTTTTCGTTGATGTCGCATGCGTTGCCAGGTTTATCAGAGGGTTTTCTGATTGATTTCCAAGCAATTGCTGAAGATCTGTCGCACATAATGACGGACAAGATCTAATGGGCGGTACTTGACTATTTAATCTACTCATTCAATATCTAGTCGAATGCGGGCCTCAGAGTTTCGCGTCTATTGTAATCCCGATGGTTTGCATCTCACCAGACAACTGATTACAATTGAATAAGTATGTATAAGAGAGAAGTCTTATTATACGGAATACATTTTCTAAAAAAATTTCATTATATTTCTAATTCGAAAGAAAAAAAATAAAAACACTCAAGCGATGTTTTTCATCAATATTGAAAATATTCGACCTATTCACTATTATATTCGCTCATTGACTACGAACGATTGTTAATAAAATCTATTTTGACAATATTCGTTGAGATTAATTATGCAACTGAAAAATACAAACAAGACATTTTTTTGTTTAAACAAAAAAAGGACCCGACGTAATGACACATTCTGCATTTGACATGCACAGTAGAAGAAAATTGCAAAGTTTTACGATGTAATTATGAGCAGAAGCTGATAATGAATTTGTCGATAATGTTTTTCTCTTTCATATGCCAACATAGCTCGAATTCGAAGCAACACAACATTAATCTTCGCACTTTGTTCCCTCACCAATACAGACAATCTCTTGACATTTGTATTAAAATGTTCTTTGTCAGTATCTATCCGGTATTTAACATTGTACAACAAAGTTTCTCAGGGCAATTTCTCCGATAAAACTAATTGCTGTTTAGTCAGTTATCGTGAAAAGTTAACTTAGTTCTTATAGATAGATTTTTTAAATAGGATACATCGAAGTTAAATCAACGGTTTGCTCTATCTTGATTATGTTTATATATATTCGTACTGAATGACCGTATTAGCATGGAGAAAATGAAGATTGTTCGTTTTTTCCTTTCGTTCTTGTTGATGAGATGAGGCGGAAAAAACGGTACGTTTGTTTCGGTGTGAAACGTACATAGTACATTGATGACAGAGGACAAGTTCGGAACATTTCCTCAGTTTTTGAAATTTACTAAAACAAACGACGTATGTTTTTTTTTCTTTGCCTAGAAACAACGTTCGTTGATCAACCAATAGAAAAATGAGATGTCATTCGATTAAGATTTTCAAGCATTTTGTTGATCGATTTTAGTTTTTTTTTGTATGAAAAAATCTAGTCAATATTATTATTACTATTTTATTGAAATAGAAGGAAGAAAAAATAGAACGAGAAGAAAAGAAAAAGAAGAGAAAAATATATGCACTTATACGCATCTACAGGTGAACTCGGGGCGTCGGCTTCTCGCGCACGAAACTTACCATCAGCTCTTTTTATTTTATTCGCTTCTCTTCTTCTCTCTTCTCTTTTCAGGCAATCATCTATATTAAAGCGACTGCCATCGTTATTGATGTTAAATGTGACCAACGAGATTCAGAAGAGGATCAGTAAGCTTGAATATATTTTCGAAAATTCGTGAAGGTATCTCATTGTTGATCATCGTTTCTCTCCGCTTCACTTCACGTAAACATGTTTATGTAGATTTGAAATTAATCGAGGCCGTTTTCGAGTCGTTCTTTTTTTGTTCTTATCAACGGAATGCAGCAGCGATGTCAATAGGGCACTAGAACAATAAATCAATCATCTACTCGAACAGCTGTTACAAAAGATGCATTGAAAAATCAAGAATTCGGTAACAATGGGTAGAAACAATCCGAACATTGTTCCGATAGAGTTTTTTCTTCTATTTTCATTAAACTCTGTAAGAAAACATCGTTTATTATTTTATGAGTAGAAATTCTCTTAAGCAAACAATCAGTTAGGAATATTGAGCTCCAAAACGTAAAAGAATGTCAAATATTCTTTTTCTCTCGACTAGTTGATTGTTATTACACAACAGTTTCGTCAGTTTTAGATCATTAGAAGAAGAATCATGCTCGATACCACTCGTTTTGCTTATTATGTTCCAACTCTGTCGTTCTCTTTCGAACATGATATACGAGCGCGATTTCAACGTCTCCATCTTCGCGCTCAATCTCTATTCATCTCCTTACAAAGCATGTCGAAATATCCATGTACAGCAAACGATGTTCCAGCCATATTTCGCGAACCATTCATCAGACGAGGATATCGTTCTATACACAAACCATGGTCTTACTATTGGAAATCATTATTTCATAAACATAATGAAACCATCAACGTCTGGAGTCATCTACTAGGCATAGTGTACATGTTTTATCTCTTGTACTACTACAATCAACGTTTGAATTTCTTTGGAAATTCACATTCTTGGCCGTTCGCTGTCTCATTAGCTACAGCGACAATTATGTTTGCGTGTTCGGCATTTGCACATTTATTACATTCGAAATCGGATAGTATTCATCGAACGTGTTTCGCTATTGACTATGTCGGTGTAAGTCTACATGGTTTTGGTTCGGGTTTTCTTCATATCTATTACTCGGCTCCTGAATGGTATTACAATAAAATCGAGTATCAGTACATATTCATACTTCTTCTGGTTGCTATTACTGCTTGTGTTCTTAACTGTTTTGCTCAACATCATTATCGTCGACCTTATCCGCCGATGAAACGTGTGTGTCAATTTTTACCATGTGGAATTTTATGGGTCTATTCAGTGATACCATTGATAGTTCGTTTGGTTCCAATGCAATTTCCATTAGACACGATTTCAATGTGTCATGCAGGACAAATGATATTTTTTATTATTGGCGCAACACTTTTTGCATTCGATCTACCACAACGATTTTGTCCCGGTACATTAGATTTCTTCGGTCAAGGCCATCAATTATTTCATCTATGTATTTATTTTGTTACTATTTGTCAAATGCACGGCGTGTTCTGGGATTATGAAGCATCTCGAACAATCATTGATCAACGAACAAAGCCAGATCTAATCTTTTGTGCCGGATCAATGATTTGTCTTATATTATGCGATATCGTTGCGGTATGGACTTTTCGATATTGGCTTTGTGTAAAGAAACAAACTGATTAATCTCATTGGCTTTATGTAGGAAAATTATTTTTTAGATATTTTTCACACAGTTAACCTGGTGTCTTTGAAATATCTCTTTTTATACGATATTTTTCTATTTCGACTACTAATAAACATTCCTAATCAACACTGGAATGGACACGATGTGCTAATAGAATTCTACACAAGAACGTTCATGCCTTTTTCTGTCTGTTAAGATAATAATGAAACTTGTGAATAGTCAACTCTTATATACATAGAATATTTCTTTTCTTTTACGTTTTAGACGTGTGAATGCGATTTATTAAGTATATAAAAAGAATGCTTGTTGAATAATTTCTTCAAATAGAACTTTGCATCAATCAATGACTGGGTGTGAACGTGAAAAATGCTGAACAATAGCAAAATGGAATATTAAATTGACTGAGATTTTTTCGGCAAAATGCAATGTTTTCTATTGACAACATTTCTTTTCGTAAAAAAAAGGTTAAATTGATTGACGTCAAATGAAAATCGAAATCTATTTTCGTGAGTGGCATGACATATAATTGATTTGGACGGATCTGCGGGATGTATATATAAATCGAGTGCACATTTGGAATATCGTTAAAAACTATGAGAAATATGTTTTTGAGATTAATCATATTGAATGTATTAGTAACGATATTCATCGATGCAATCAACTATTCAGATACGCATGATTATGATGCATATGGAATACGTGTGATTAGCACTGAACATTTTGTTGCACTTGCACAAAATGATGCTCTTCAGTACCAAGTTTCGATGGCTCCGTTTGGACCAGAATATGTTTGTAATTACAATTATAACAGTTCTAATGAGTTTATTATCAATCTAGCAGTTGGTCGGCGACAAAATGCTTCACAGTTATCATTCGTTTATTTGAAAACCAAATCAACTGATGGTTATCATCAAACCTTAGGTGTATTCACATTTTCACGTGTTAATCAATCGTCGAATGATACTTGTGATCCGACGATTAAAATTAGTGAAGGTAGTTCTGATGTTAAAGTATGGAATCGTGAACCGTCAGAAATGTCAACATTGCAAGTTGATCTCGATGGCAACTATGCATATGGTTTTCTCTCCAAAAGAATATTTATTTATGATATCAAGAATCGTTCTGTTCAAGATTTAGAATGGAAAAATCTTTTTCCATCGTTGAATATCGAACCCCATGCATTGGATATTGGTGAAACATCTGATGGGTTTTCAATTGCAATTGTTGCCGGTTATTATGAAGTTGACGTTCAAAAGACCTTATCAGCGCTTTATCTTCTACGCTTGGATCCTCCTTATAATATGACGCTAATGGATAATTACACATTTTCTTCTGATAATCAAAAATATTTTCGTAGTCGTTACACTTCGACTTATCAATACAATTATGTTATGTCAGTTTCAATTCACGATCCCACTCAACAAGTTCTTGTAGCTATACCACAATTAAGTCAAACTTATTTGTTCGCATTCAATAGCACAGCATTGATGTTAATCAATACATTTAATCATTCAGCACGATCGACAGCATGGCTTGATGAAGACGGAATACTAGCAGGATTTTTACTGGGTAATACACCTACATTGCCATGGGCACAATCGCGGCTTGAAATAGTAAATTTATCTGCAAGTGACGTTCTTTATGTCTACCCGAACAATCAACAGACGATCGAACAATGGTCAATTACACCACCAACGTTTCTCCGATTGATAACAACGTACGATTATCAAATAGGGATACTTACCTCAGATGGAACTGTATTGTTGGTATCTGCAGCTGATGCAGGTTATTATGTAACAACAGATGATATAAATAATTCACGGCCGAGCCAACAAATGTGTCCTGATGGAACTTATAAAAGTACTCGTGGACTAGTACCATGTACAATATGTCCCACAATGACTCGAAGTTCTTCAGCACGTAAGCTTTTCACATAAGAATACAATTCGCTGCTTCATTGTTCTATTCGAAGGTGGTCTAATGAATAAGATGAATTGTATTGCTTGCTCGTCGGACTCGTTTTGTCCTCTGGCTTCAATCAGTGATCTCAATACTTCATTTATTCAATCGGCCAGTCAAGCGTATGCATATCCAACGTCGTCTGCTAGCTCGTCTTTTGATGATATTCTAATGCAAAATACTTTCACGTTGGACAATTCAACTCGTCGATGTCTTCTGATTTCGCCGCTATTTTGGTCTTTAATTATATTGATAGTTCCTTGCATTGTTTTAATCATCATGGGAGGTTTAAGCTATTTACCAGCGAGAAAGAAGCATATTCGACGTCTTCAATGTATTTTTCGTCATACAGATTTGATTGGAAATGGTGAATTGTGGTTCGGTGGACTAATATCATTTTCAATCATTCTTCTGATTATCTACAATTTTTGGTTTGGCTCAGTCTTTGCTAATATCTATCCTATTGAAGCAGGAAAGATTGCTTACTTTTCATGTGATACTAGTTTGCTAAACGCCCAGTTCACTTCTAGTTTACAATTATTAGCGACGATTAAATCGAACGAAGAAGAACCTATCTTTGATATGCTTGATCAACAAGAATTTACCATGACAGTCAATCTCTTCCAAACAAGTTTCACGTGTGACAACATTGCTACTCAAGTAAATCCTTGATGAGCGGATTTACAAGAAGAACATGCACGCTTTTTCTCTTTTCAGGAAAATGTTGGTACTTATTCAGTTACATTAGCACATGATAATTGTTCTAGACAAGCAGATAATGCAACACTAACCGTTTCATATCGTGTTCCTTATCATCAGATTGATATACAAATAAATCTAACAGGTAAACCATATTTTTATATCAGAACACAAGAAGATTACATCATTTTTTTAGGCTCACATTACATTGGTGGTGCTCTCATTTGTCTTGCTGGTCCCCGATTGACGAGTAATGATTCCACCTACATCGTACAAGAAATGAATTACTGTAGCATATTTTCGACATTTGATCAAACTCTTGCCGAAACTACAATTATCGACTTTTCGTTAACGAAAGTCATTAATCGCACCGAAGTCTTAGATTACAGTGGTTTAATGAATTACACTGGCATATGGATTCCAACATCAACACATGGCGCACTTAGCGATCGTGTTGCTTATGCACAACGTGGCGCTTTTCTTCGATATTTATCGACACAACAAACATTGGTTGTCAGTTTTACCGAAACACCATTCTTTGTCATGAATAAACAAGAGCCCGTGTCACGATATGGTGAAATACTCTTTCATAATGTGCTTTTTACAACAACTGTTATCGGCATTTTCGCCTTAGTTTTCCTTATTTTCAAATTAACATTGATACCAGTTGGACTGTGGATAATCAAGCGTGACATAAGTGTGATACCATACTTCGTATTGATCAAGAAAAGACTAGAACGATAACTACGAAACTATATGTACTTTTGACCTATGTTTTAATCTATATAAACAATCGCTTACAAAGCAGAAATTTGATAAGATAAGCGATGAAAATGACATATAAAAACTATGTCATGGTCCATCTAAACACGTGAGAGAAGAGAAGTGAATAGCTGACTTTATGAAGGATTTAACCATGTCGTGTATTAATATTTTTTAGAAAAATATCGAATTTTTCACAATGTCTTCTAACCTTAATATTTCTAAAACAACAACGCTTCTTCTTATCGACGTACAAAAAGCACTTCGTAATGAAGAATACTGGGGTGGCAATCGCTGTACACCAAATCTAGAAGAGAATATTACAAAACTGCTAACACGCTTTCGACAACTATCCTTACCTGTCATACACGTAAAACATGATTCGATTAATCCTTCTTCCCCGTTACATCCATCGAACGTTGGTAATGAAATAGAAGATTATGCTCAAGCACTTTCAACAAACAACGAACCTGTTCTTCATAAATCAGTCAATTCTGCTTTCATTGGAACAGATCTGGACAAACGACTTCGACAACAAGGGACATCAGTGTTGATTATCGTTGGTTTTACCACTAATCACTGTTGTGAAACAACAGCACGAATGGCTGGAAATTTGGGTTTTAGTGTTCTTTTTGTTCGTGATGCAATAGCCACGTTCGATCGGCACTTTCAAGGTAAAACAATCAAATCCGACGACGTGCATTTCAATACATTAGCGAATTTAAATGAAGAATTTGCAACAATTGTGACTACTGAAGAAGTAATTCAAACTATTGATAAACTTTAATAAAATCTAATTGAAAACGTTCACACTTCATTCCAATCGACTCTTTTTTTTTCTCAACAATTTTTCACTCTTAGTTTAGTTTTACCTTGCATGACAAGAGAGTACCAACGTAATTACAAGAGACAAATATTTATTCAATCCATCGAATAGCCTACATAAAGGAGAACTAATATGAATAATAACGCATCAAAACAAACAACAATGTCTTCTGCTTAAGTCTCATCTCTGAACGTTCGCAGTTGGGCTATATCTCTATTGTGCCAGAACATCGTACATACAACACTTACAAGAGCAATGTCAACACATAGGAAACTAATTCGAAATTGATACACTGGCGGGTCAGTCCAAAATCCAATGAAGATAAACACACAATAAGGCAACCCACTGATGATTAGAATGCTAACTAGTATAATAACACGTTGAATCATAGATAGCTGACGTTGTGCTGTGACGATGACTGATCCGGAAATGAGACAAGCACTGACGCGACTTCGAACAGTCAGAATATATCGAATTAAACGATGATAGATTGTTGCAAGCAACACTAATGGAATTGTATAGCAAAAAATGGCATAATACATCGTCCAACCACTCGATCGAATCGGTATGATGCACATATTCATATGAAGATCATATCGAAGTTGATTAGTCGTTGCTAACGGTATGAAAGTTCCAACAATGCAAAATATCCACTGTAAAACAATGAAAAGTAATTGAATGCGACGTCGATATAGCCATCGATGATCGTACAGAACAATACGTGCGAATCGTTGTACTGCTTCCATAACATACGAATAATACATAAGTCCACAACCACAATAGAATACAAATGCTGATGACATACAAAATGGATTGTATAATGGATAACGAACGGCATTGACAACGGCGATATCACCTCGTAATGTCGAAATTGCGATGGCGAAATGAGCTGAACTGTAAACTGCAGCTGATAGGAATGTATTACTTGCAAGGAGTGATGACAGAGAAAGATTTCGATGTTGAGGTAGAGTTATAACTACTATATAAATCAACGAAACGATCAGAGCTACACAAGTAGTGATCAACATTCCTATGGATCCAAGAAACTCTAACCAATTCGCACTCATATCAAAATGTGTTGTGTTAGAATTGAACACGTCAACGTGAAGGTTTAGAAAGAGAAAGAAAAGAAAGAAAATGAAGATGAATGCGTATGTATGCAGCATCCTAACAACTCCTTCGTGATAATCTCTTTAAACGTCATCAAATACTTGATCTTATATGTTTTATATTTTATTAATTATCGCATCCATGCGCAAGAAGTTTTAAATATCGTAGAAATTTGTTACACTAGTTAGAATCTGAGAAGTGATCTAATAGAATAGAAATATGAGTAATTCTTCGCTACAAAGAAAAGTAAAATATACTTTCTCATTATTTTCATGCTTCAACACATCAGGCTTTGTATTTTCTCACTTTTTCATGACACAATCTGAGAAAATGAGTCTGTATTGTAGTTCGTCATTCAAAATGAATTCATTCGTCAACCGTTTAAATATTAATTACGATAACTGTTGCAGAAAATCAACTCATTTTAATAGAAAGAATTTAAATGGCAAGATTCATGAAACGAATAGTCTTGTTTACATGTAAATCTTAGTTGCGCTACAAACGAGAAATAATATAATGAAGTTCGTGTACTGCGAGACTGGGTAGAGTCACAAGATTGCATGCAATCTAAGCATATGCACTATTAAGTGAACTAAAGGTAAATGGGTAGAGAATCGTTTCATCACGGCAGATTTTGTTGTTCATGTCACATTAAGACATTAAACCAAACGCGAAGATAAAGATTTTATAATTTGTTAGATTAGAACCATTATTTACGTATACTGATTCGACTTTTCTTATGAAATTGTGTGATTGTCATGAGAAATTTTCAATAATTCAATTGTGAAAGAAATACATGCCTATAGACTCTTTTGTTGGTTCATAACAATCGATTATATATTGTATGATAGTCGGATTTGTGTCTATTTTAATATTGAAAGGAAAATGTAAACGAATCTAATGTGTGCTCACATACTTGTTCTCCTTTTTCTTATTCTTCGATTCTTCGCTATTCTATTTTCGATTCTTTTCCTCTAGATCAAATTTGTACTCGTTATAATAGACGATAGTCTATGATTTCATTCGATGACTAAAATCAAATCATCAAAATAGACATTCGAGTAACGATCAAATTCATCATTTCAATATGCATTATAGTCGAAGTGCAAATTCCTTAGTTCGAACGAATCTATCACCTTGGTCTGTCGAATTAACACTTGGTTCAGGTTTTTTTATCGCTCGAAAATGGATTCATTTTCCTATCTAATAATAGTTTCTTTGTTAGGAACATATGGTGTAGTTGAATGTGTACGAAATGTAAATACACGTCAACGTCTCGCACGGAAAACAATCAAATTAACTAGTAAACAAGAAGAAGAAAATGAGTTACCAGCCACAGCTGTGAGAGAGATCGCTGTTCTCAAATCGATTCATCATCCAAACATTATTTTGTACGTAGTTCTTGTTTATTGATTGACACTTTCATCTAAACATCGTTTTTTTTCTCATCTAGATTGAGCCATGTAGCGTTTGAACCAGTATATGGCGGTGGTTGTAATCATCTATGTTTATATCTGGAATATCTTCCAACGGATCTCAAGAGATATCTAGACGCACTTGGACCTGGCGAAAGAATCAATCCAAGATTGGTTAAAGTCAGATTTTCATTTGATCAAAATAATTTCTACGTTATTCGTCTTTTCAGAGTTACAGTTATCAATTATTAAGCGCTATTGAATGTCTTCATCGTCATCGCATTGTAAATGTCTCATTTTCTTTCGTTAAGATCATTGTTTTTAGTTTATCTTTAGCTTCATCGAGATTTGAAACCACCGAATATTCTTATTGATTACGAAGGTACAGTAATTGTCGTTATCAACGATATGTCTTAAGAAAAAGAAGTTTCTTACTTAAAACAGGTCATTTGAAATTAGCTGATTTCGGTTTGGCTCGACAATGTCATATGCCTGAACGAACATTAACACATGAAGTAGTGACACTATGGTATCGACCTCCTGAAGTCTTGCTGAATGCGCCTACCTATGGTAAACATACTTCATCGACACTTTTCACAAGACTGAAATGAATATCCCGATGATTTTATAGGAACTGCTTTGGATATTTGGGGTTTCGGTTGTGTATTCGCAGAAATGACACTTCGAGAGCCATTATTTCGTGGTGAATGTGAAATTGATCAATTGTTACTTATCTTTCGGTAAGCATTCACTTATTCCTATGTTCAATGTTCGGCACCAATCGTTTATCTTTAGTCTTTTGGGTACACCAACTGTTTTTCATTGGCCAGAAATCGCACAATGTCTCTACTATCAAACAGGCCTTCCAAAATTTCCTCTCGATGATGTTCAACTGTCTCGTCTTCCAATATCTGTTCAATGTCGTCAATTTCTTAAGGTAAAATTGATTAACTATGCTATATTCAACTTCATTCTTCTCACATCTAGGATATTCTGATTTACAATCCAAAACATCGACCAACAGCTCGACAACTTCTTGAAGGACATGAATATCTAGCAGAAGGAGCAATTCTGACTCAACCATCATTAAAAAATGGCTTAATGGAACGTCCAATTCGTTCAGTTATTGATCGAGCCATTCGACAACAAAATGAAAGTATGCGTACTGTTCGCTAAAAGTTCAAATCTTTTTCAATGTATATTTTATAATTCCTTATTTCCGTTTCATTCTTTTTATTATTATTGTTAAACAGTTCTCCGAAAAACAAACTTCTTTGTCTTCACAATGTATTGAATAAAATTAAGACTCCCACCTCTTTTCCATAGAAACTGTTTTTTGTTTTTGTATGGAGCAGAATGGCCATCGGCTGCTACAACGATTGGTTTCTCAACCGCCTCTTCTAGGCATATCGCTCAGTTGTTATAGGTTGGTTATTAAACGAGGCTGATCGAGAAGAGATATTTTGGCGCTCAACAGATTTCCCATGAAAAGTTGTGCATAAAACCACACAAGACGATTTGGTTATTACCAATTTTGTTTTCAAGTTTCTCAAATGCATCTCAATTTTTTTTCTTTCTTACACCCGTCTTCCACTTGAGACAATATTTATTTCATTTGTGTTTCGTTTTATCGTAAGTGTTGTAAAATCGACGTTCTTTAGTATGATCTTCATGAGAATGATCATAAAAAGATGTTCTTCATGTCTACTTTAGCTTTTTATTTTAATTCTAATGATTGACGCTAGATTCGAACTTTGAATTTCAACCGTTTTTCCAGCCAAATTTAGATTTTAAGTGTCATTTCTAATTGGGATCGATAGAGTTCATAAAGTTTTTTTCTGTACGAAGCTTAGAAAAGATTCCGTAGAGTATGGAGCAGAAATCCGTTCCTGTATAGTGTTTGATTTGAAAATTAGTCTTGTATTGGAAAGATAAGCAAATTTACCTTTTTATCATCACAAGACTTTTGTATAACCTTTTCAATCGAAGGAGTTTTAAATCTCAAGGATTAAACTTGATCTTGATCAAAATGTGGCATTGGTCTCTTTTCAATCAAGTAGAGTATTTCGGAATGTTTTGAAATAGTTCATGACTAAATGCAGAAGATAAAGCATGTAGGAAGTGTATGTCGTAGTTTCGATGAACAGCACCGTTGGTTAAGAAAGTTTTAGCGTCGGCCGGATGCAGCTACAGTGAGACATCTTTCCAACATTTGTTCCATTTCCAAAGGTGGACACTCATTTGAACGAGGTGATCGATAACGTTGTGGCGCAACTACATACACTGGTAGATTGGTTAGATGATTGCAACCTGGGACTGTGGCTAGCAGCTGAACCACATCATGTTTCAAAGTGTCTACAGTTTCCTTTATAAGTTGTTCGTATTCCTTCCCTGTTAAGGAACGATCAAGCTCGTCGACTTTCATCGTCTTTTGAATGTCCACATCGATATCAGCTTTAGATCTTACCAAAAGCACAGGTATCTTGTATATGTATGCCTGTTTGCAAATATCCAAATCCAATTTGGTAAAACGACCTGCATATAAAATGATTAGACAATCAAATGCATACAATAACTTGTCAGCAAAATACGTTTCTGCTGGATGTTTGGCAGTGCCACCTCCAGGTATATCCCATAGGCGAAGATATGGAGCCTCGTTATTTGGATAAGAGTAACGTGTACAATCTGCTGTTGTTTCACTAACCCCAATAGGTGCTGGTCCATCTTCTTGAAATCGAAATTCGCTGGTGAGTTTTACGTCTTTTATTTTACGCATACAATTAATGAATGAAGATTTGCCTAAATATATAATTACACATTGGGTGTTTAGCAGTATGCTTTAAGTTCACTTCATTTCTACCTGTTCCACTACTACCACAAATGCCGATATTATAATAGATGCCGCAATCCATTCTTAATACTTTTCGGGCTCTTATAATCATCTCTGATTGTGGTATTATTTCCTCGGGCGCCGATGCTGGTCTTGGAGCGGATTTCTTGAAATAATTGTAAGCCATTAAAAGACCTATGCCAACAGCAGGACCAACTACGGCTAGTATTTTTGCTATTACTAAATGAAGAGCTCTATAAAACTATAGTTTTACGTCTTTATTATTTAACAAACCAAATATTACTTTATATAATGAGTAATGACGACGAAGGATTTGTCCAAATATGTCGATTCACCTTTTTTCCAACTATACAAATGAATGTCGTACCGATGATACTTTTCATCTTGATCTTATCGCTGTGTCATATAGAAAGTATCTAGAGAGTTATATAGGAGAACGAAAGAAGAACATTCCGAGTATAATATTTATATCAATGTACTGTGTTTTTACCTTATCAAGTTATTTATCTACTTAGTGTGACAGTAGAGGTTTTTTCCAACTCGATTATCTTATCTTTCCTCTCAGATCATAGTTTTTTCCTATTTTTATCAGCACTTTTCTTTTGTTTATTTATGAAGAGGGTCTCATTCACATATGAATTTTTACTTTAGAAGCATTGGTTGTTTAAACTATTATCAATGGATCCATTTGCGCATGCTAAGGATCATCGCTTTCAAAGGAGAGATGAATCATTAACAAGTCCTGCGGGAAATCACCCAATGGGTGGTGTTTTCGGAACTGCAGCGCACTATCTGCAACGATTAGTGAGATTGTTTTTTGAGAATTTAGCAATATTTTGAACAGCCTCAGCCACACTTGCCTCCTTCACGTGGCGAATAGCTCGAGAAACTGGCAGCTGAATCTGCTGACAATTTTGAAAACGACGGGGAAGTCCAAGAAGCAATGGAACATCAAAATTTCAGCAATTGTGAAAAAGATACGCAAAATTTTTATAATTTAGCTGTTTGTGATAGATCTAATACTGGTAAGAGTTCTATAACCATTCAAATAAAACTCTTTCAATTCATACTGTATCTATTTTCTTCTCAAGGAAAAACCACATTAGTTAATTGTCTTCGGGGTCTTCCGGATGCGAGAAAAACAATTGATTTCGTCTACAGAGAAGATGCACCGGCACCTATTGGTATCAATGAAACAACAACAAAACCTACACGCTACCGTTGACCTGAAAACTTTTTCCCGTTTGTTGCTATATGGGATATGCCACCTGGTGACACACCACGACATCCTACTGAAACTTACTTCCAAGACAACAATCTGCGTGCAGCTAACTGTTTATTACTATTAAGTAATGATCGTTTCACCGAATTCGATATTTCAATTTGTCGACAAGCAGTTCAATACAAAATCCCTGTTATTATGGTTATAAGTAAAGGTGGTCAAATGGTCGACTGTGAACGTAAATTTAAAGAAATGGAATTGGATCGTAAATTGACTGTAGGTGAATTTCAGGAAATAATTCGTAATACAGTGAAAACATTGAAAAACAATGTCGAAAGAGAATTAAAACTTCGCAATATCAGCTCAATCGCTCATATACCGTTATTTGTTATTGAAGCTCATAGTTTTCGACAACCAAATTCACATGATTGTCCACCATTGGAAACCGAACAACTACTTGACTATTGTATGAAGATTATGGCAGAAAACGGAAATCAGTATTCGAAGAAAACTTGATCGGCATGAACTTAATCAAATTATACAACGTTCAATTTCTAAGACTTTTGTGTTCATGATTTTACTGGAAAATAAACTACTATAACAGATTCTTTTATTCAAGAAACTCGTATTACTTTATATAGTATTGCAAGAATGCAGCACTTGGGATTGATGTCGAAGACAACAAAAAAATAGCTTTCATTAGTTACATAAAACATAACTAAAAACGAATAATCAAAGAAATTCATGTAGTATGATATAAATGATGCTGGACGAATATGCAAAAAGATACCAAAATGCTTTTTCTTCTTCTTCTTCTCCTGAACATTACATAATTAAAAGCATTGACTTTTTGGCAATTTATTTTCTTTATGAAATCGAAATAAACATGATGCAATCGTAAGTGTGGAGAAAAGGAATGAAAGACGAGAATAGTTTATTACGATACAACTATGATCGAACAGGTTTCCGAAGACGATTTCTTTTCAAATTTGGATCATGAATATTCAGCACATAACTAAGAATTGCTTTAAAGGCGTCATAAGGAAGAAAGCTAAAGAACAGAAAAATCAAGTTGTTCTATGAATCATTGATAATAACCTCTAGAATTACCTTTTGACAAATTCTAATAGACGATAGGTTTTGGGAATGTATAGAAATTTCTGGTTAGTGATGACACCTTGAACAATCCTTGCTGCACATATATTCGCTGGAAGGAAGTTAACTGAATCAGGACTGAAATTGTCGATCATCAACGAATTCTTTGCGGTAAAGATGAAGATGATAAACTTACATAACGATTTCTGTAACTTTTTTATTGAGACCACCTTTTAATGGACCAAGAATAGCAACTAAAACATAACGAAATGATTTACGTTTTTGGTTTGTCAATTTAGGATTTACTCGTTGTATTGACTCCTGAACATTTCGATCGAACAAGTTCATCTTCTACCGATTCCATATATCCTAAAGAGCAAAATAATGCAAAGTAGAAATCAGAATTCAAACCGTAAACATACCAATGATCGCAAATTTCGTTGCACAATAATCACCTAAATGTGACAATCCAAAGAGACCACAATTACTCGAAATAGCCACGATATGTCCTATGAAAAATACCAAATTCAATATGTTACAATTCGAATTTGAATATATTTTCTACCATAATGACGTTCAATCATAGCAGGAAGAAATGCTTGATTGATCTAATGAACGGAACATTCATTGCTATCAAGACAAATTCTATAAATACGTACGTGATAATGGGAAATAATATTAACATCAAATGTTCTTTTAATATCTTCAGGATTAAGATCGAGAACATTTTTGCATGTCACTACACCTGTGCTAAACAGTATCAACGTTCATTTTCACATTCTTAAGATTTGTTTACAAAGAAATCTACCCGCATTTTGTACAACAATCGAAACATTGCCAATGTCATGTCGAATCTTTTCAGCTGCGCGATGAATTTCCTCGGGTATTCTAATGAATTTTCAATAGAAAATAAATAGTCGAAAGAAACTATGTGTTAACATACGTTATATCTACTTTCATTGCCACCATTTTACGATGATTATATTGTGTATATAGAAGTTCATAGGTTTTCTGATTTTCACTTTCATCCGTGTCCCATAAGCAGAGAAACGCGCCGTATTTCGAAAATTCGACAGCAAGTGCACGACCTAGGTTACCTCCGGAACCGGTGATCAAGACAATTTCATCATTGATGGACTTTTTTGGTGCCGGAAAGATCGAAAATACAATAGCACGGGTGAATCTAAACGAAAGAGTTACTTTCGAATGAGATTTTCGTTCGAACAATGACTTACGCCATGATAATACGATAGAGACATTCAAACAAACTGATAGATGCCATAATTCCTATGACTTTAATAAGAGAGTTTGTTTTCTCGTTGATAAACGAATTTTTCTGTGTAGAAATAAATAGATAACTGAAGTGAAGAATGAAAGACGGACTCTGGGAGAGCTGATAAGAGCCAATCAGTGAGTCACAGTCAGCTGTTGGAATTGAATCGTTGTCGAAAACAAATTCTTGGTAAAAAAATTGAAATGTGTTTTTTTTCCTTCGAACTATTCGAGACATGATGCTTTATAATAACGAAAACATCTCCATGATAATCGTTGAAGGAAAGAGAAATTGACTAATGGCATCTATGAACCAATGAGAGAATGAGTAGAAACAGTCGACGTGGTATCTATAAATCTTAACCTATTTGACTCATCTTTTTTAACGAAACTCATTTAAAGTTTAAGTGACGATGGCATCGAATATTACATCAACTCAACAAAAATTAAACACAAATGGAAACGATAATCCATCATATCAAGATCCAACTAACCTTGGTAGGATTTATTCTTTCATTTAATCGAAATGTCAAAACTTACTGTTCTATCGTCAGACACGGATTCTTACGGAACATTTCTTGGTGATCCAGGAGGAATACGACCTGTGACAACTGTCTCTGCATTAGGTTCTCAACAACCGACTATAATTTACCTTGGCGGTTGTCCTGTTTGTAAAGTGTGTATAAATTGAATTTAATTTGTCTAATAATAAAATCTTTTGGATTTAGACAGGCATGTTGGAAACTGATTTTACATGTCTAGGTCTCTGTTGTGCAATAATCTTCTTCCCAATAGGGATCTTGTGCTGTTTAGCATTACGACAACGTCGTTGTAACTTTTGTGGATCTATTTATGATTAGAGAATGCGACGACCTTTTGTGATTTTTCTATTTAGACTAACTTAGATTACGATAATGACATAATGATGATATTTAAGCTGTGATATACAATTTTAGATTCGAAATTTTTGTTTCTATTTTAAATAGAAATGAAATTAAAGGAAATCGATCGAACTGTTCATGTAGCTTGGTCACCAGCCAAGACTGATGATCAGACAGCAAATGTGAATTATTTAGTTGCTGGTACAGCTGCTCAACAACTCGATGCAAGTTTTAGGTTAGTTTGAATGATGAAGATTCTCTTAAAAAGACTTCTTTTATTCTTTTAACAGTACAAATTCACAATTGGAATTGTTTCAAGTCAATTTAGCTGATAGAAGCATGGCAATGGCACCGATTGGATCGATAAAAACTGATTATCGGCATGTCATACCTAATCTACGTTGAACACAGAAATATTCTTGTCATTTTAGTTTTAACAAATTAATTTGGCCTTCAGTGAAATTATTAATTGGTGCAACGGAAAAAGGTCGTATATATTTAGTTGATCCTTTGGCTCAAAAGATTTCTCAGCAACTTGATAAACATACTGGAAGTGTTCATTCAATTGATATGAATATCCTTCAACCAAATCTGTTCGCTAGTGGTGGATCAAATGCTGAATTAATGATCTGGGATTTGAACGATCTCAAACAACCAATGATACCTGGTGGTACAACACCGTCTACTCATCATATTGATGAAGAAGTTCAATGTGTTGCATGGAATCGACAAAAGTCTCATATACTCGGCTCAACTCTCGGTGGAAAAACATTAATTTGGGATTTGAAATCAAGCAATGAACCAATATTCAAAATAACCGATTCTACATATCGTATGCGAGCAAATCGTCTTGTTTGGCATCCAGATATAACAAGTCAACTGTGCTTAGCAAGTGAAGAAGATCAATCAGCAGCTATACAACTTTGGGATCTTCGATATGGCGCAAGTCCAATGAAATTACTTAATGGTCATACAAGGTTTGTCGATGTGGAATGAACTCTATTCTTGAGTATTTTGTTTCATTGTTTAGAGGAATATTAGATTTACAATGGTCACCAAACGATGGTAATTTATTGATGTCAAGTGGTAAAGACAATAAAATTATTTGCTGGAATCCAAATGATTTAAGTGTGATCGCAGAAATTGTCTATGAAATTCCATGTAATCATTGGTGTTTCGATGTGAAATGGTGTCTTGGTATGACTTGAAACTTTTCTTGATTATTAATGAATAAACATCTCTTTTAGTTGATCCCAATTTGATATCTGCATCGTCATTTGACGGTACATTGAGTATTTACACACTGATGGGCGGTTCGTGTCAAGTTACACGAGCAGTGAACAATCAATTATTTGCTCAAGCATTCGGCGATGGACTTCCTGCATCACAAGAACCACTGCCATCAACTACGACACAAGACGTTCCACCTATTAAATATGCACCGAAATGGATGCGACGTAAAACAAGAATTTCATTTGCTGTAAGTCCTTTTTTTCATCCATGGGGAAAGTTCTTCACCTTTTCTACTATTAGTTCGGTGGCAAACTAGTCGTTGTTCAACCACCAGTTACTCCATCAACAACAGAATCGGGTCCATCATCACCAAGTGCAACGGGAAATCGTCGTCCACCAGTTCTTATCCAGCAAGTTGTCGTCGATCATACATTTGTTCAAGCTGTTCAAGCTTTTGATAATATATTACAAGCTGGTACATTACTTGAGTATTGTGATCATCAAATATCGTCAACATCAAACACACAAGATGAACAAATTCTTTGGCGTTTTCTACGTGCTTCATTTGATAGCGACTCAAGAAATAAATATATCGAATTATTAGGTTTTCGACGTGATGATATTTTGAATAAAGTTCAAACATTGACGACACGCGACGACAAGATCAATCTACCAACTGAATCTTTAAATGGATTACATTTAGATGATAAACAAGCAAAGAAACACTCAAATGCCGGTAAAAATCATTTGTTTCTTTGTTCTGAATAGAAAATTTATTTTTCTTTAGAAATAGAAACTTTACTTAGTCGTTGTATCATGTTGGGACAGTTCGAACCTGCCGTTGATTTGTGTTTTAATGAACAACGGTATACCGATGCACTTCTACTAGCTCATCTTGGTGGTCAAGAACTTCTATATAAAACACAAAAACGATATTTCGAAAAAGTTCAAACACCAGCGACTAAAGTTTGTCGTTTGCTTTACCCTCGAATCGATATCAAATTTTATCTTTTATTTTAGTTAATTGATATTATTACAAATCAAGATTGGCCACGGCTAATTGAAACGAGTAATATGACTAATTGGCGAGACATACTTGTTGCCCTTTTAACATACACAAGTGGTTCGACCTTTATCGACTTATGTAATCAACTGGGTTACCGTTTAGCTCAACAACATGTTGGAACGAACGATTCACTTCGTACATATGCATCGATATGTTTTATTTGTACTGGAAATTTAGAACAATTCGATATCGCTTGGTCTAGTAAATATCAACAACAGGGAATGTCATCAATGCAGTTAGAACGATTAATTGAAAAATTATTCATTCTCAAGCGATCATCGGATTATGCCAATGCTCAACAACAGCAACAACAAAAGAAGACAGTAAATACCTCAGGATCCATGGATGGTCCATCGATCAGTCGCCATTTAGCATCATTTGGTGAATTGTTGGCCAATGAAGGATGTGCAAGAGCAGCACTTGTCTATCTAGGAAATTTACAAACAGTGAGTATATTATAGATATTTGGAATCACAATCTATCTAAACTGTATCCATTTTACTTAGCCGGAGTTGGTTGTTTTACGTGATCGTCTCTACTATGGTCTACCAACGAATCAATTGACTGGTATCCCCAAACCGCCCAGTCCATTTCGACGCATTGATGTTCCTAATCCACAACAGCAACAACATCCATCACAAAGAAAACCAAGTTCTAATGCACCTCTACATTTTCGACCACAACCGACAGCTGAACCGTCATTCGTACCACCAACGAATCCAAGTTGGACACCGTCATCACCATACATACCAACAAGTGATCTGAATGCTCGAGCAGCAACTAGTTTAATAAATAAGTAAATAAATGAAAACAGAATATTTCCTCTGTATCCGTGAGTTTCTTTAGTCGACTCCCAACACAACCGGCAGTAGCGCCAGCATATCCACCCAATTTTTACAATCCTGCTACAGCTGTCCCTCAACATTTCACACCACCATCAGTGCCACCTCCCCAACACTACGTTCCTGGTAGGTATCACGAAAACTATCGTTCAATTCATTGTATTCTTTTGTTGACTTAAGGCCGCGCAACACCAGGGCTACCATCATCAATACCGAATGTACCAAATGTTCCAGCATCCACGATGCCTTCCGTTCCATCGTATCAAGATTCTAAACCAGCAAGTGCATGGAATGATCCACCCGCAGTTATGATGAAAGTGTCAAAACCAAATCCAGTCAAAGTAGATCCTATTCTTTTCATTTCATTTCATTCGTCTCTATTTGCTCGATCCATAATTTTAGCCACCGACTGCACCAACAGATGGTTTCGCTGCAAACAATACTCAATTTCTCCCAATTGCTAACGATCCACCTCAAACAAACTTTCATTTTAATCCAGCAATAACAAGTCAACCAACAGGATCAGGCTATCCTGCGACTATGGCACCAACATCCGATTTCATTCATCATCCGCCAACGTCTGGACAAGAACCAATTGTTCGAAAAGTAGCTACGCCGCCTCCTCCACCTGCACCTGTCGTCAAAGGTCCAATACCGACTGAACATCAAGTCATTCAAGATACATTCGATTTACTTGTTAACCGATGTCAACAAGCAGCTCAACAGTTACCATTAAAGCGAAAATTAGATGAAGTGAAGAAGAAACTTGATGTTTTATACGATAAACTTCGAGAAAATCGAGTAAATTTCCATCTGTAAACGTCATAGACAAAGGCAATCAAATTTCTCTCTCTCTCTCTAGGTTCCACAAAGTGTTCTACAAGGTGTTCATCAAATGATTGGTTATATTCGTCAATATGATTATCAATCATCTATGACCATTTACAATCAATTAGTTGCAAGTGAGAACCTTGCTGAAACAAGTCAATACATGCCAGCTGTTAAGATTCTTCTTCAATGTTGTATGCAACTGAACGTTTATTGTCAATGATTTTTTTGAAAATAGAATTTAGAGAAAAAACAAAGAAATCAATAGACACCTTCTTTTCTTTTTTGTTCATTTGAAAATTTCTTGCTGTGTCTTTGTTAATGTGTACGTGATCATACGGATGTGCAGTGCTTGGAATCTCTTACGTCTTTATTCTTTTATTTTATCAGAGAACGAAGTGGAAGAAAAACTTTAATTTATTATTATCATTACCTGTTTTGAACGTTATGGTTTTTTCGCTTCTTCGTTTGTTTTTATTGGTTTAAAAAATATATTATCAAAGATCTTTTGTTCTGTTTGAATTCACTGACTGATCATATGAATTGTACGAGAAAAAGCATTTCTGAAACAAACTCATCATAACTGGCATTACATGTCACAGTAACACGAAGAGTATTCGGATGTACAAATATCTCCTGGAGGTACCTCGGAATTGAAAAAAGTTATTTTTTAATACACGTTTTTAGAATTGCTGCCCGTAGGACAAATATGTACATTTTAAAAACGATAATTTGATTCTGATTGACTTGTACTTGATGAATGTTGATGTTGATAATTGTATCGATGTAATAATTCACGATAGATTTTATCTTTAGTTCGCATCCGTCGTCGATGTCCGAATGGAACAACTACAAACCAAATTATTAAAATGATATGTGCAACTACATAAAATGATCCAAGTGCTATAAATACATCACGATCAATCCATAGCCAATAATTATCCGGCTCCGGTTTCGATTGCCAATTGAAGGTAAACAACAGAGAACCGATAATTGCATGCCAAACGCCAAGAATTATAACGAAAAACATTGACGCGATACTGTACTTATCTAACGCTGTTAAATAAGCAATGGGTGGCTAAACAGAAATAATTAACCTAGAGTAGATATCAGATAATCATTTTTCAATAGTTATTTTACGGTGAGATGAGATACACAAATTGTCCAACGGAAAGCAATGTGAGTTAGCAAGAGTGTGAAAGCGACACCTAAACGTTGATTGGTATTCCTACGATGTATTACGACCATATCACTTTGATTCTTTTAAGTTCTCCTCTTACTCAGCTGTGATTGAGAACGCAGCGAATCCAACAATAGTCATTATAAAACTTATCCAATATCCATTCCAGAACATATATTGAGCTCGACGAGCTAGAATGTACTCTATATTATATTCTTCTAATCGACAAGTTATACATACCTGCATGACAAGAAATGGTGAGAATACTTCTTTCTTTTTCATGCCCAGGTACATCTAATTCTCCATCTTCATCGGTTTGAAATGCGAATCCTTTTACTTTCCGTAGTTTTGTTTCCACGTGGTCGTAAAGAATCCATTCTTGTAGGGCAACAAACGCTTCACGATTGATACCAGATAGAATTTCAAAATCCGGTTCCAATCGAATTTTCGATCCGCTTTCTGATGAACCGAATGAAATATTTAATTCTTGAATATCATGTGGAAAATGATGGAAATCAAACGGAGAGAAAAAGAAACCTTTGACTAAACGATGTTCACGTATGTAGCAAAGCTGACTATTTCGGTCTTTTCTTATACTGTAACGAATATGTTGATTGTCCGGATCGACACTGGTGTTCATAATAAATAGTTGAGGATGCCAATTCGTCTCGTCTTTTGTATAGTCCCGTAAACGAACTGCGTGACCTTGTGATAGTACACTATGCTCTTGTTCGGTCAATGAGGAAAGTAATTTGGAATCAGCTAACCATCTAGCTTCGATAGCAACATCCGCATTGTATCTTTCGAATTGAGTCTCAATAGGACCTACAAAAGATGGATTCACATTGATCTTAAATCGCATGATATCTTACCGATTTGAAGGAACATCAAACGAATTCCAACTCTTATCACATCCTGCTTCTTAATATTATCAGGAGTAAGATGAACAGTGGCTATAGAGCCATTCATTGTGAAGAATGCGTTCGTCGAGTTTTGTTAATGAAATGCGCAAAAACTCAGGTAATATCAAACTGAATATTTGAGTGCAAGTGTGTGTGTCGCGCACACCTACCTATACTTTAATGTGTGTCTCTTTTTTTACGCATGCTTGTTCCAATTGATTGACTCTATTATACTGCTTCGTTGTTTCTAAACATAGAAACAATCTTCTCTTCGATTTAGATAACAAAACCGTATATAATGGAGACCAATATTGACGAATTATCCTCTCAGTTAAGTACATTAACAACTAAATCACAGGAAATATCCAAACTAGATCATCGTCTTCCGTTGTCAACTTTTCGTCTTCCATCAATGTCATCTTGTCCAATGGCAACAGATGATTATAATCATCTACTTATTTTTCATCATCAAAGATTAATACTATTCCAGTTACCTACATTCGAAATTTTATTTTTCATTCCCACAGGAACTTTCACCGACTGTCAAATATCAGATATTTGCTTTTATACATTTTCCAATTGTTTTCTATTATCCAGTGCGAATACAATCTACTCACTTGCATCAGATAGATCAATTAAACTCTTCCAGAAATTTTCCAACACAATTTGGTCGATCACTTACACGTCAACATCGATATTTGTCTGTTATTTATTCGGCGCGTCGATGGAACAATGGGACTTTTCGTCGAAATCCGCATTTTTAGTGAATAGTTGGGTAAAAGAAGATCTCTTGGAAGCATTTGATCAAGGTATCAATTGTATTCGTGCTGTTAATCAATGCATCGGCATGACCATCAAAGAACGGAATTTTTCTTGGAGAATTGACATATTCGATTCGTTAACCATGACACGATTACGTCGTGGCAGTACAATTCAACAAGGAAATGGTTTGAGTAATTGGATTGGCATTCTCTTTCCTATGGATTCATTTCGTTGGCTATTTGCTGATGGTGATGAAGGGTTATTTCTCATTAATCAAACTGATGAACAGAACTATCAACACAACAACATTATGAAAATAGCTTGTAATATTTGTTTACTTCGCGATACGAACACTCGACAATACAATGCAATTGTTGTTCAATCCTATGAAGAATTACAAATTTTCGATGTTCAATGAACTTTTGTAGACTTGACGTAGTTTTTGATGAGAAAAATTTGTTTTTAGTTTTGATGAAATTGAACGAAATTATGATTGGTCGAGTTAGTGTTTTTTTTCTCTTTAGATAAATTTCATTTGTGATGGAGGGTAATCCTTCGTCGAAATCTGAACCAGAAACACCTTCATTACTTGCTTTATTGAAAAAATATACAACGCGAAATGATGAACGCGAAAGTTTGTGGAAAGAAGGAACACTTGCATGTCGACAAGAACAAAAAAGTAGAGAATTTGTTGGATTTGATTCTTGAATAAATGTTTCGTGTTCAGGTCAAAGTGAAGAAATCCAGCGATTGCAAGAAACTGTAAATAAATTACAATCGAAACCGAGCTCAGCTGCGTCGATAACGAATTCAACGATTGATTATAAGGCTAAATGGGAACAATCCGAAGCAAAATACAGGCAATTAGAAAAGAAATACCAAGAATTACAAAACAAAACCGATCAACTACAACTCGATGCGAATCAAGCGAAAGTGCGTTTTTTGTCTATCGATGTTCGTAACAAATCGTTTTCTTTAGATTATCAAAGAACACATTGCAGAGATCTGTTCATGTCAGAAATTAACGAATTCTCAAGTGGAACAATTAAAATCACTGGTGAAGAACAATGTTCCAGTTGAACCAATCGCAAGTAAAAACGATTTTCATCAGCAAACAGTGCATTTACGTGATATTCTTGCTGAACATAACAATAAACTATTAGATCAATTGGAGAAAATGATCAACAAAAAACGAAAAAGAAATGTATACGACGAGGACGATGATGATGATGAAGATTACGAGTAGTTCGATACCTTTCTTCATTGTGCGTTCTACTTAGCTGTTTGAAATAAATACAAAGTGCCCGATTCTCATTACATATCGACTTCATAAACAGTTTTTGATAAAGGAAAAGAAGAAAGTTGACTGTGAGTCGAGTTGTGTCTTTTACTTCATACGCGTTCTTATGTATGTTCGAACTAGGAAAATATGTAGTGGATAAATGATTGATATGACGTATCAGTAGAGACATCTTGAATAAACACTTCGAGCTTATTCGTCTGCGGAATTCGAATAGGAAATCGATTTTTGTTTTTTTGTTTAATTCAAATTCAAACTATCGATCGTTCATATGCAATTTGAGCTTAGTTAAGTATGGAATCCAAATCTACTTATTCACCATTTATTGAACATTCATTTCGTCGACTTTCTCTTCTCATTCATCAGCAAGATCGTCTTCATCCTATATCTAATCAATCAGCTGAACAGTCCCTCGACAATTTACCACGAAAAACTCACATTTCGAACGATGAATTGATCTCCTTACCATCGAAATATAAATCCTTTTCTCGGGCAAGTCACGCGAATGAGCCCAGATATCATGTTGAGCCAATGGCAAGAACACCGCGAACTTATATGCGTCCACCCAAACAACGAACAATCGGTAAGCTTTTTTCCTCGTAATTATTAAACTCGTCTGTTTACTCTGTAATTATTAGTTTCGTATCGTTGTTCGTCATCGCAAATTTCTGATCGATCTGAAGCATCTTTCAATCATTCGCTCGAATCTCTATGTTCTCCAACGGTAACAAAACAAGAATCGAATGAATTACCCATTCATACTCCTCATGAACGAAGTTTATATGATATGCAATTTGAAAGAGATCGTCAAAATGATATCCGTGGAAGATATAATGTTCCTGAACCATTTCAACGCACATGGTTACGACAACCACGTTATGTGCCACAAGAACGACCGAGTTTTGGTGAAGTTCACCAATCAAAAAGTAACTAATTCAATGTGTTATACATGTATTCTGTTTCAGGCTCCTTGTTTTCATTTAGGAAAAAAGATTAGTCTTGTTTTTCATGTAGAAGTTGATGAATATAATTTCAAAATAAAAACTTTCCAAAACTCAGCCTTTGTTACTCGTTACACTGATCAGTACACTGTTGTATTCGAACAGAAAACATAAGAAACAATAAATTACATTGTTTCCAAGGACGAATAATTGTGATTAAAGTAAAGTGGATCATGACATCGATCGCTCTTTATGCTCCGATTTCACAGTTCAGACACAGCTCAGAGAATCTATTCTACAGTCATGTCTACATTCTTGTTTTCCGATTGTTACATGTATATGTATCGTTTGTTTACCCTCAAAGTACACGAAAACAACTACACGTGCTCAGAAATAAAAGGAAGAAACGCATTGATGCAAAACTACTACCTGTCGCACGGAAAATTTTGATAAAAGCACACATAATCAAGTCATGCATAAACATCAATTGTGTCTGTCAACTATGAACACAGGTGCTAATGGGTCATTTCGTCGTTACTAGTTAAGGTACACTTTCACTTTTCACTAATTAACGTTCATTCCAAGAATCCTTAAACACATTTCCCTAAGAGACGTTCCTAAGTGAGAGAGATGATTGATGAAGAAAGAATGCATCAACCAGATTTGAATAGAAATTACCGATTTTTCACATATCTAAGCGTGTTTTATTTTATGTCTATGTACTAAAAAGATCTCTCTTTGACATACTTGGCTTAAGTTTTCTATCGATAAGAAATCATCTTCGGATAATTGAAGATCATTAATACTGTAGAAAAATCAAATCATTTCATTTTTTTCAATCGTTAACGACGAATGGTATAAGCAGAAGCGATCGGTTATGTACAAGGTCATTCCAAACAAACCATGCTTCTCAAAAAAAAAATATCCTTGACACTGCCACATGGGTTGAGTTGTTATTTTAATAAATAACCTATAGGAAAGAATAATTTCAACTATTCTGTTTTGATAAAATTTGAAAAACGAAGGCACATTTTTCTATTTTCGAATCGAATCGTGATGTGAATTCGCATCGTTGATTTTCGACAATGATTGTTACAGTCATTCGAATATTGTCAGACTTTTTCCTTCGTGATATTTAGAAATTGTTTGAATAGAATGAAAGAACGAACTGCCGTTGAAAAAATTACTTCATTTCAGGTTTTTTTCTTGTTCCTTCAAACACAAAACCGATATTAAATATTCTAGTGGAAAGAAAAAAAATAACACTTCCACTCTCGAACAAATTTTTTTTCTTCTGATTTACGAAAGCAAAAGAAATACATTTGGTTCCGTCGTCGAAGAACTTGTTTCATCATACTTAGAGACTTTCATTAGTTAAATTGAAGTAGTAAAAGACGAAGAAGCATTACCGTGACATTTTTTTTTATTCTCATTCCTTTTATGTGAACATCTATTCAATTTTTTCTCTTTCTTTTTCTTTTCCTCCTAGAAGAATTCTTTGACAATCTATTCTACTGTCGTTATTTCTTCATCTTTTTTTCATTCGTCAACAACAGAACGTCTAACAGATCATCATGTCTACCTACCGTGTATACAAAAAAAGATTTTTTTCACATTCTTAGAAATAAAATACTGTTTCAAAAGTGATTTCTATTTTTTTGAATGCATTTAGATAAAAATGATAAACTTCAGGAAAATAACACGATGTACTAGTCGATCACACTTGGCATTGGGCGTGATTGTTATCCTACTTTTCCTAAGTTTCATTAGTTTCAATTCATATACAAGAGAGTTAAGACAACGTGTCACAAGTATCACTGATTCCAATTCGGAACCATTGACGGTGGATCCACAAAAAGTCGAAATATCGGATACAAAAGGTATGAGTGATATCCAATAAGATTAAATCGACATTATTTACTAATAATAGAACAAGAAACAAAAGAAAATAAGTATTCATTTTATCAATATGCAACTGAGCAACATCTTCGTTCACTTCTTCGTAAACAAGCAAATTCACGTGGTCAAGTTATTATAACTATCATCGGTGGTGATAGTTATTCATTATTTGCTTGGGATTGGTATGAAAGAATGCTCGAAGTATCAAATGATACGAACAATTGTCACTGTTTTGTTGTTGCTATGGATGAGATTGCCGTGATATTCGCCGTTCAAAGAGATATACCTGTATATTTTTCGACATTTTCACTAAAACATCAAATGAAATGGAAAAATACAATTGAAACTCGACAACATTCACTTTATCGAGTTGGTCACGCAAAGTTCGATACATCGGCTCGCATTGTACGATTGGGATATTCGGTAATACTTAGTGAATTGGATGTTTTCTGGTAAGATCATTGATATGATGTTTATGAAGAATTTCGTTTCGTTTTTCAACAATAGGAAACACAATCTGCTTGATTATTTAAAACCACCGATTGATACGTATGATCTTCAAATCAGCCATCATTATGGTGCTCATCCGCGTGTCAACATTGGCTTGTTTTATGTCCGATGTTCAAATACATCTGTTGCATTTTTTTCCTATGTGGCAGAATTCTGGATACGTTATGGAAAAGGTGGTTATTTGTCGGATCAGCGTGTACTCGATGCTTTACTTAACAATTACGATCGATTAGATAAAACTTATTTGAGAGCAATGAAGCCAAAGTCACCATTGACGTTGAATTGGACAACACATGATTTCGGAAATCACTTTTCGCATTTTATGACTGATGGAAGTGCTTTTGTATTGTTTAATCAAGCAGCTAAAATTGGAAGACGGTCGAAACTATTTCATGGCGAAGTCAAACCAAAATTTTTCACTGTCACAGTTGCTCACGGGTAACAAAGCATGAATTCTTCGAAATTATTCTATTTTTTTTTCTAGAAATATGTCAGTCAGTCGACGAAATCTTCTCATTCGTGCTTTACTAATTCTTCAAAACACGCAACTGGAAAATCGCACGTTGATTCTGCCTGCATTTTCATCTAATTTGACTGTTACTCCGATTACTTATCAACTGGATATCAAGAAATTCTTTATCTACTGGTCGGAAGAACGCATTCGTCTACCAGAGTTCATCGATCTAGACAAGAGTCGTTCAATCAAATCAACTAGTGTAAAATACGAACCCAAAAAGACATACAACGATATCGATGGTATCATAAATTTCGAAGTCGATTCTATTCCTCTGGATTTACCAGCACCAGATCCACAATTTGAAGTGCACGTTCGAGATTCTCTTCTATGGTGTTCACCACCGACAGTTGGTGGTGTTTGGTGTTTTCATCATCCGAGAGATTATGGTGCAACAATGGAGATATTATTCGCTTGTCGAGGTGATCCTTACCCGCCGTGTGCAAACAAAACGGAAAAGAATGAACAGTTCCTGGAAAGACCCTATGAAAAGTTATAGGAGAAAATTGAATTATTTCGTTCGTTTAATAGAAATGCTCAAATTGACAAAATACATTTACTGTTGGTTGTTATATTAAATTTTAATAAATCAATTGCAATCATTGACCACAAAATTTCAGTTATTATCACATAACATCTTATTGTTTTAGAAGGAAAGTTCGAAGCTTGAAATACGAAACTGTTTCCGAGCAACTACGTCAAATCAAAATATTTGCAGATGCAATGGGTAACAATCAATATAGAATCCAATTTTTAAGTACCGTACAACCAGGAGAGTTTAAAAATTAATAATAGTTTTCGTTCAATATTGCGCCATCTACCACTGCGTTTGTAGTTCTCTTGACGTTTCACATAATTCCTACCAATACCGTTTCATAAGTCATTTTTGTCAAAACTAGTCTGAATCAATGTGTAGCCTCTCCTCTTTACATAAATAGTCGAGTATTGTAAACGATTGGTCGAAGGACGTTCCCGATTATTCATTTTATTATTTCTTCTATCGAAGTTCTTTTTACCCAGTAACTCGTTCGCTACAGGACTGTGAACAATGTCTGTAATCTTCGAAAAGTAAGTCCTAAAAATGTGTCACATCGACAGAAGGTAGTCATATTAATATTTTTGTTCTTAGAAATCGTCTGTATCAAACATTGGTTATTGGCGATAAGGGTGTGGGAAAATCAAGTTTTGCATTTGCCAATGCTGTATGTATAACATATGACTTTTTCATTTTATCGTTTTCGTCTCGCCTTAGAATTCTGTTTTACCAAGAGATCTCGTCAATTTTATGCATTTCCAACAGGTAAGTCTGTTATCAAAAATTAATCCTAAGAAACAATTTTCTTCAGGCAACACATACTTTTGAGGCGAATGGTAAACCTGTTGAACTCGCCGTGGTAAGTGTCTCATCTATTTCTGGCATAAATATGTGTAACTTATATTTTTAATATCAATCGGTCTAGTGGGTTCCTTTAACCGGCCGAGCATATGATTGTACTCGAAGTAACGTATTTAAATTTAGTAGTTGGCAGCTTTCTAAACTATTTCACATAGGAGCCTCATATAAAAATGTGCATGGGATATTTATTGTCTATGATGTAACGAAGCGAGTATGAGCACAGCGTATTGCGAAGAGATTTTGAAAGAGTCATTCATTTTTTGTAGGAATCATTTAACCACTTGCAAAGTTGGTTAACAGAAATTCAACAATGGAATGGTGGAAACGCCCAGAAAGTCATCATTGGAATGAAGAATGATTTGGTGAATCAACGGGGTGTCAGCTTCCAAGAAGCCAAAGTAATTTTGAGCCGGAGAAACACAAACGAAGATATTATTCGATTTTTGTTTAAGCAATACGCTGCTTCATTGAATATTCCTATGTTTGAAGTGTCTGCACATGAACATGACTTCATCGATATTATATTCAAAACTATGATTTCCTATATTCAGCCTGGTACAGAACTAAATCAATTTGAGATTTCAACTGATTTTAATATATTATCTAGATATACATCTCACTTTGATACGTATTCGTTCGGAACACTCCGTCGCTGTTGAAAGGAATATGCAGGATCAAGGTCATCAAAATGCTGCAGAGGGTGAACATGCTCATAGAGAGATTGGCATCGATGATGTTCCTCCTGTGGTAAAAAGTTGTGATATAGATGATGGTGAAATGGAACGCGCTATACTGGATCTTCCAACCGAAGATAAAAAGAACAACTAAACCGTCCGAACAGATATTACATCAATTGTTTTTTCAGCAATATAACAAGTAAATTTGCAATGAAAACATTCAATTTTTATTTACAATGTACATTCAGATCCCATCGAATGTTTTCGCTTTTTCTCTCAAGCTTTTTTCTGTACATTTGATTTATTCACCAGCAAAGACAATATTTCCGTCAAATTTCTATGTTTCTTTTTTATTTAATTTATCCTCGCACCAACAAGCTCAAAAGGAAGAAGTAAGCTCATATTTCGTGTTGTGCAAAAACCACTTTTTCTGTGTAAAAACTGAATGTGAATGTCAATAGTCGAGTGTATCTCTTTGTAATGAGGAAAGATCAAACAATGAAAAAAACCTCTGATACCAATGTCGTGTGATTTAAACTTATTCAACGCCGTTTTCTGAGAATTGCTATTTCCTTTTGTTTTTTATATTTGGAATTGACCTACTTTTCCACAAAAATAAATAATTAATATAGAAGACAATTAATTCGTTGCATTTAACAAGGACTACTTAGGTAAAAACGTGGTCGTGGATCTTTCGTATGCGATCTCAATGTATACACTGGTATCGATTATTTCGTGATTAGATATTATAGTCGCATTTTCAAGACAAGCGTTTATAGAATGAAATATCTACGTACCGCGATCTGTGCCACGAGTAATGCTGAAACTAAATGATGCCGTTTAGTAAAGGAAAAATGTAATCATGTATTACGACAAGTATCTCGATACATACGTGATCATATAGTGAGTTAATATCTAAAAATGAGTAAATCCTAGACAATATTCGACAGGTGATTCAATAACTAGAATGTGGTTAATGTATTCACTCCATGTAATTAATCCTTCAAGACATTTATTTCAAAATAATCAAAGTAGATCATGACGCAAAATATGTTTTGATGTTTTGACATAAATCCGTGATATTTCTGTACAGTTCGGGAGAAGAGGAAGTAAAACATGCGCATCGGACACACCTCAATGATTTTCGTGATATTTTTTACAAACAATCAGCATACATATTTTATGTCATTTTCATTGACTAAAATAGTGTACACGAAAGATAATATGTATTCCAATGGACTCACATACAGATTTTATCCATTTTTAAATCAGTATCATTATTCTCAATCACGAAGAGATCGAAATCCAATAAAAGATGTGAGTATAATGAGACCGTATTCGTTACCAAATGGTCATCTATCAAATTATGTCGATTTACGTCGATGGATGACACCTGTCGAACATCAACAAGACATGAATACTTGGTCTGATTAACTTTCTTTTTCAAAGAATCTCATTCGAGTTGATTCAAATACTTTTTAGTTGTGCAAATGCATTTGCTGGAGTGTGTGAATATTTGATTAAATTGAATTCGGGTCGTCACATTGATGTCTCCCGTTTGTTCATTTATTATAACGCACAAATAATCGGACAAAAAACAAGACATGTTCGAGATGCTGGATCCGAACCAAGAGACATTGCCTTAGGCTTGAGAAAATATGGAGTTTGCGACGAACGTACTTGGCCTTATGATCAAAGTTTGTTAAATACAGAACCATCAGCTAGAGCTTATGAAGAAGCTTCAAAGTACACTGTGGTTTTATTGAAAGTACCATTTGGTGTCAAACCAATTTTAAGATGTTTACATAATAAAATTCCAGTGGTTGTCAATATTAAAATGATTGAAAATGCTGGCGAAGAAGTTAAATACAACCATGGAATTCTATCGATTCCTCGTTTGGATAACACTTTTATTCTCAGAACAAACTCACATGCTGTTCTAATTGTTGGCTATGATTTACATAGAAAATTATTTATTGTACGAAATTCCTGGGGAAACGGATGGGTTAGTGTAGTTTTGTTTCATCTTCTTCTTTTATTAATTTCCTTGTTTATATGTCTAGGGCGATGATGGATATTTTCGCATACCTTTTGATTATTTGAATGAACCTCGTCTCACTCATTCCATTGATGTTCAGGATGGTCTGTGGACCGTTCAACATATTTCAACCCGAAAGAATAAACTTCCAACTGTACGTCGACTTATGATATCAGATAATCCACTACCACAACATCATAGAGGACATGTTCATCAACGAAGACATCATCACAAACACTTTTATTGAGTTAATTCATTGTAAAGTTGAATTAGTTGGAATGAAATCATCAGAGACAAAACTCGTTGCAATAATCTCGACTTTCGTTTACTTTTAATATTGAATTATTCGAATTGAATATTGGAGTAAAATAATATAAGATAAACACTTTAATTTATTTCATTTACTTATTTGAAACATATGAATTCACAATCTCTAATAAGTCATTTGAATCTCTGTTATCTGCGAAAGATTTCCATAGACAATCATCGTCCAACTATTTATCAATTAGTGGTCAAATGTTTCATTTAGAAACGGCGTTTTATCATAATTTCAAAATAAGTTCTTGCACATGGTAAACTACTTATGCGTTTCTGTTCGTAGGTAAAGTGTTGTTAAGGATTTCTGCCATTGGCAGTGCGTCAATGCGAAAACGTTTTTTGAAAATACGAATAAAAGCCAGTCGAAAAGCAGATGACGTTGCATAGTAAATGAAAAATGCAGCCCATGTATTGAGATAAAGGAGGAAATTAGATGCGAGGAATACAATAAATGCTTCTATCGCTTTTTGATCTTGACTTTTTCCAATTACATTTGCCGTCAATTGTTTATAGAGTGTGGTGATTGGTACAAGTTCAGCGGAAATAATATAAACAACAATTTGAGTGATTACCATACGTAAATGCTGCCGTTGTTGTTGTTGTTTTATCAGATTGTCCTGTCGAATATTCAACTTTTGCATGTTGAAATACGCTAGACAACTAAACGTAACCATTGCTATTGGTGGTATAACGCCAGCAATGAGCATTTGATAAATTGCGAATATCAACGAATATACACCTGTCATAACACATTGACCAGCAACAATTGTATTCATAATTGGAATGTGAACGGCGATTAAAGGACAACAAATAACAACAGCTATAGCATATTTAATAGCATATGAGTGTTGACTAAATACTCGATGAGTTAGTTTTTGAGAAGTCATCGAATAAATATCAATTGAAGCTAGAATTGTAAATGATCTTCCAATAAATATTAATGTGTGATTGATATACATTCGTAGTTTACAATAGATAAGAGATGTCGTGGCGATTGATTTCCAAAGATTAACAATATTTGTCGTTACACCGAATACGACAGCAAGCATATTGACAATAGCAGCGAGTAATAGATAAAATGCACATGAACTTGAACGTTGAGATCTTTGTAAGAAATAGGCGATACAAAATCCATTGCCAAAGATACCGAGAACAATATAGACTGGAAGTACAATGTACGTTAGCTGTTCTTGAAGCGTATTCAACCTAGCGGGCAACGTAAAAGTTGAGTTTGACATGTGTTTTTGACGTGTACACAGAACTGAAAAGGAACTAATAGATATGATGAATTAAAATCAGTATTTGTAAACCGTTACTTTTGAAAGAAAAACAAATTTAAAACTACAATTATACTTCCTCAGCGCCTCGTTAAGCTTAGAATTCCAAGGAGTACAACATGAAATTTTAAAATCTTCTTCATTCAGTGTGCTTGTCTTTAAGCACGAATCTGACAAATACATGCGTCTTCAGTTGATTAAAGGATTTCATAGCTGCAAGTTTATTTCGGCACTGTCTCTTTAATTAATCATCTATCTCAAAGATATAGAAAATATTTAGTAAATTCACCGTATGCATGACTGAAATAACCCTGCAGACAGTATCCGATCGCATATTCTATTTGATATGATGAAAGAAGAAGTGTAGTGAAGCATATTATCATAAATATCAACAAAGTGACAGAAAAGTTTTTTTACTGTTCATATGTGAAGATGATAATTTCAGCTTGTATCAAATCAAATAAAAGCATATTTAATTTATTGGTAAGTACTCCGTGCTACTTTAGTTGGGTTCAGACAACTTCATTCCTTAAAACAAGTACACATTGTGCTTACCTTTGATAGTTATGCGTCTCGATTGAACACAAGTTATTCCGAAGAGTTATTATGCTAAAACAAACTCAATAAAGAAAGACGTGCTAATCGTGACGTCTGTAAAGCTTTTTTTTTATTTTGAAGTATCTATAAATAAGACAGGACAATAATTATATGCAGAAAAGCTTCATAGTTTGTCGCTCCGAGAATAACGCGACGTTTTAATGAGATTTATCTGTAATGACGTTGTACTTTTCCGTACCAAAGATCAAAATTTTCTTTAATCCATCCGGACGGTAATCTCTAGTAGATTACCATTGAATTTTCACATCGAAAAAACTGCTGTTAATCTGCATCTGTATTTAGAAAATAAGTTTCTATTCTCTATAAAAGAATACGCTTTCCATCGCAAAATAACCATATTAAGCGCTTATAATGTACTTAATTTATTCGTTTATTGATGCGCTGGCACACGCTCACGAACACTTGAAAAAAGAACAATAACAGATTGATTTCTACATCTATAGTTAACTATAATCTTATGAAGAACAGCATTGTATAACTTTTCTTTGAAGAACATTGATCGATAAGATTAGAGCGACAACTATATTTAAGCGTCGATAGGTTTAGTAGTGTCCCAATGATAGAACAACATAAACTACAAACTAGTTAGACTTAGTTATGGTTACTTACCGTAACACATCAATGACGATATTTGTTTTAGAATGTAATGCTCAATAATTGAAGCGATTTTAGATGTTATTTCCATCATCTCTTGAACTTTTACCAGACGAAATCCTCTTGCAAATATGTCAATACTTGCGCGGTGCAGATGTTTTCTTTTCATTTTACAATCTAAATAGTCGTTTGAATACGACAATACGAGGTTACTGTCATTATGTTAATTTAACGGCTGTTTCATATAAACAATTCGAGTATGCTGTTCGTGATGTTCTACCACAAATCGGTCATCTTGTTCGATCGTTTGTGCTGAATGGCAATTGGGAAACGATTATTCATAGCAACTTATCGTCTATTCTGTTTGTCTCGCATTTATCTAATCTATTTCCACGAATTCGAAAATTACTTATTAAATGGTTTCAAAGTGAGAAACTTCTCTCTTTCGTCACTAGTCTTCGAGATCTTCCCGAACTTACCGAACTGGACATTCGATTTCTAAAAGGCAATGCAGTTAATTTCCTTCTAGAAAATGTTCTCTCTGCTAATCAGAATCGATTATCAATAGTATCATTCGATCATGATTCTACCGACTTAAACCTATCGGATGAGAAGGACCCAACATCCTATCCGCACATCGAACAACTCTCTGTTAACCTTACCCTAAGTAAATTTATTCCATGTCTTTTCCGTCTCGTACCGAACGTATGGCAATTATATTTGAGTATCGATGAATTGTCTAACGATACGAAATGTAAATCAGTGATTGTTAATTTATCACCACTTGTCCGTTTAACACATTTTCGATTACGAACGATCAATCTTTTTTGGACGTTCGAAGATATTGCTTGTATACTGAAAGCAATGCCGGCGTTAGAGCAACTAACGCTTGATCTTCGCACGGATGATCGACGACTTGTTACGAAAGAAAATCTTCGTACTCTTCTACCTTCATCACTTCTTCGAATGGATTATTTCATTCGATATTACACTCCTTCAAAATCGGATACAAAATTCGAACACCATGATTCGTTTTCAGCACCTCATTCGCCCATTATTTCAATGTTAGATTCACCTCGTCACCGTTTTATCATTTGTACAATTCCGTGTAATCTGTACGCTGTGATTTTACCAGCAACAGTGAGCAAACAAATGCCGGAAGGTTGGAATTATATGAATCAAACGAAAGATTTACATATTTGTGATATAACATCCATCGCGGAAATACTTCTCATATTACGACACTTTCGTAATCTGAAAATATTAACCCTCGATGCAAAAGACAAAGTACAAGTTTGTAAGTAAACTAAATCGTTTCTTAATCATTTCTAATCTAGCTTTTGTTTTCTTCATCGATTAGTAACATTGCCAGCACAGTCCCCGTCAGTCGATATCAAATTACCTTTTCTTAAACAAATTGAAGTTTCCGGTGTATTAGATTTGTCTCCTATACTTTATGGTGCACCTAACGTTGATTATTTGATTATCTACTACGATAGTTTAAAAATTTTACTGGACGATGAATCGACATTTCGTCTATTACAAACGCAACTTATTCGTATTAATATTATCGACTGGGTTGATCTCGAATCGGATCTATTGGAACGTATTGCCCAACTTCATTCACTACGTCATATTGTTATAACACTCAAAAACCCTGAATCGGTTATCAATGCTTTTGTATTGAAAATTCTTTCGTTTTGGAAAGACAAGTCTCGTCTGTCAATTGATGTCAAAGGTTCATTGACACCTACAGCTCCATTAGACCTTCGACAGTGGTTAATCGCTCATTCTCATATAAAACCAGAGGATTCGTTTACAGTAGAATGCAATAACAATTGGTTTGATCTTTGGTTTTAATTGGAATATAGATGTGCTTTTTCCACTGTTGTATTCACTTACCCTCTCGATTACATAACGAGAATTCACACCAGAATAATCATCTTCAAGCAGTTATTGTAAAGTTTTGTTATTGATGATGATAAAATTGATTGTTTTTGAAATATTTTATAAATAAAATTTGAAAAACACAAAGTTTGAAATCATAGCGATTGACGAAATTGTTAACGATCTGGGTGGTATTATGAGTAAAAACAATGGAAACAAATAAAGATTACAAAGATATGCACATCTCTATTAAATTGAGTTTGTTTTACGGAGAAAAAACAAAAATGTATTTGTAGAACTTCTGATTACACTGCTCGAATACGCTAGAAATTATTGCCGTCATCTTCATTGGCAAAATCATTCGGAATCTGATATCATTTACCGCAATTCATTTCTCAATTGCTTCTATTAAAACTGATCTGTTTTTTTCGAGAGTGAAACATGAGATATTGTGATGTTCGTTTTTGTTGATGTATTTGATTAATTATATTGAAAATAATTTTCATATGGCTTTATGTAAAACAAGTCATCATAGAAAGAATCGAATTTACTCGGTGCATCCAAAAAATCTTTCTTCTTTCAGTTTTGAGAACAGACAAACTGATTCACTGTTTGACGATATGGCAGTTCGATCTCTACGTGAAAAATCCATCCGCGTACGTCGAATTACAAGAAAAACATTGATAAAAGCGAAAACTCGACAGAAGACAAAGAAATCTTCTCGGTCAGCTCGGTCATTGATCACATCTGATTTATTGAAACAAAATACTCGTGTTATCCATATTCTCTCTACTGAAAAGGCAACATTATCAGCTAAAAAGAACAAAGTGAAACAGAATCATTCTCGAACAACGATACATGATCAAGTGCAGATATCTAACGAGTCCAAACAAAATCATGTTAATCAATCGAGAAGGCATAGAACTGACAAGCCGGAACAATCGCACAATATTAACGATGAGAATCTCGCTCTTCCAAACTCACCTTCTGAGAAAAGCTCGCTCAATCATACACATCACGCTGTCCCATCATTGACAACTGCATTTCAATTCAATCAAAAGGTATGTTTAGTTTTATATGCGAATGTTCTCATTCAGTTCTCATGTAGAAGAATCAGCCAAAATTATCGTCTCCGATCAAGACGTCTTTATCTACGAGAATAAAATGCAGTAAAAAACCATCGGTGTATCCAATAATTGAACACCCAGAAGAACCGTTGAAGAAGTATGAAACAACATCGTCGATTATTTTGACGTATGCATTGTCATTTTTTGTAGAAAGAAGAAAAAAGCACGTGTCGCACCATGGAAAATCCTTTTATGTAGTATTCTCTCGTGTTTACTTCTCAGTGGTATTATACTCGCAATTGTTATACCTTTAATTACAAGGGAAAACGGAGCACAAGCATCGGTAGCAAGTAGAGATTCACTTTAAGTTCTTTTTCTAATCTCGATCTACTGTTCGTTAAATGTTCATCAATAGATTCAACTTCTGTATGTACTGCTAGTAATCATACAACTTGCTCGACAACTATTTATGCCAGTTCCAATAGTGGATTTGGCTCAATTCCATACTGGACATTTGTTTCATGTTGTTACATTGCTCCAACAGTAAATCAATTTACAATTGATTTTATCAGTGAAGCTGATGACGGATACTGGTCAATTGACGATGTTAGCGCAACACAAGGAAACGGCGAGCTTATTTCAAATGGTGGTTTCGAACATGGTATTGCAAATTGGACAGTAATAGTTTCTCCCAATGGTACATCATCAACTACTGTCGATTCATCATCAAACAATCAACACAGCGGCATGTCCTATTTATATGCTGCATCAGTGAATGCACCCGATCATGTCAAACAAACATTTACAATCATTCCCGGTGAAAATGTTCTTATTAGTTTTTGGTGGCAGTATACAGTTATGCTCGGCTCAGGAGGCGGAACGAATGATTTGACTGTAACTCTCACTTAAGATATTTAGTTAAAAGCAAATTTTGCCGGAAGAAAGATAAAAATTTTGAAAGATTTCATTATTTTCATACAAGTTTCTCACCCATGCTTTAAACTTCTTTCAATATCACTAACAATTTTTGCTTGAACTTGGTCGAAGGACTCTTTTGTCGTATCGATTAATTCTAATCCCAAATGTTTATTTTGTTCCAATGCATCTGTCTTTGCGTTGACATAAGCTTGCCAAACATGTCCTTCGAAGTAACCTTCGGGATCCGGTGGATCATAATTTCGACTGGATCGTCGTCGTCGACATTCCTCATACGGCAAATCAAAGTAATAACCAAGATCAAATAGTTTGGAATGTTTTGGTGATGAAACGTTAAAGATAAGAAAGCCTTCGACTAATAAAAGATCACATTGAGAACGGAACGATTGAACGTCAGCAATAAACCGATCAGTGTCAAGTGCTTCTAAACAATCCCAATCATGATGATTGAATTCTTCTAAATGAATATGACGTGGGTCGTCGGTTGGATGGAAATAATCATCCATATGCAATGATTTCACACGTAGATGGTACTTGTTAGAAGAAAATAAATCTTCAAGAGCTTTACACATCGTGGTCTTTCCGCCATTCGTTACCCCACCAAGACCAACAACAAGTGTTGCTCCAGAAAACGAAGAGGACATTAAATATAATACTACAATAAAAAAGAAAGTAGCAATGATAAGCATTTTCATCGAATTACAACTCAATCATAAACAAGATCAGATATGAACCGGACACATCATATTGAATTACGTCTTCTCTTAACTTGTCTTTACATTTATTTAAATTATCAAACAATTGTATATATTAAACAAGTTATTTTCCATTTTTCATTCTTTGAATCACCGTTCGATCAGCCATTTATGTACATTCACATTCGAGCAACTGTTGGAAGTTGTGTTTCATTGATCTATCGATGTCTCCTCCTTTATGCTTTGTGGAAGAAAATGGCTGATTTACTTCTGGTTTCAATCATTTTTCTTGGCGCTCTCGCAGGTCTTCGAGTGATTTTTGACGTTTACGGATATTTCTCCGGCTACATCAAACAATCATTATACTATCCATTTCCTTCGTTTGAAACGAAACAAATGACTGAAGAAGTTGTTGATTTAGTCTTTGTATTACTGAGAAATTGTGTTGGGTTAGTGTTAAGTATGTATATGTTTACAGATCTGATTAGTAATCACACGTTATCAAATCATGGGACAAAAGAAACTGATCGTCGATCATCGATTTCTGAATAGAAAACTAAAAGTCTATAACATTTCATGTTTAATGTGTGTATATTAATAAATAATACAAAATAACTAAAGTGGATTTTGAATCTAAGTAAATTTTTTCAAATCGTTGGGATCATTTCTCACAAATATAGTTGTCGGTATCACACTGTCCATTTTGTATGGAGAAGCTATGAGTTCTTGTTGACGTTGCCGATCGGATCGTTCGTCAATGATACTTTTTTCGTGAGGAACAGGTGTTGTTGGTGTACCACGGTAACGACGTTCAATGTAATATCCAATACCACCGAGAACTATGAAAAAAAACGTACGACAGACCGATCGAATAGGAATTTTACATACCAACAGCAACGGGGAAAGTAATGACTCTTGTATAACGATAGACAAATGGAACAATTAGATTCCAGACCATCGTCTATCTAAAAGTGTAAGTGTTAATCTGGTGATTGTATATTTTATCAGATAGAAAGAAACAAACAATGTTTTGTCAGTATGTATGAGTCATAACAGTAGTGCGTCATTGCAGGTACATGCATACATACGATGAAATCTATCATAGGTTCTGATGCAATCTATTTCATTGAGTTTCAATGACACATGGTGTCATTTTTTCGTGACTCGTTTCTATCTAGAATGACAAAAAAAAACAATTTGTTTATCTGACAATAAAACTGAAATGGTCACTGTAACAGGTGCATAGAGTCCTTATTTCCGTAGTTAAAATTGACCACAAAGAACCAAGGAAACGGACAAAATTGACTATCAATACGAATCTGATGAGTGTTTAGTGTTCTTTCATTTTTCATATCGATTTGATTGTTGTTACAATCAATAACTATGGCTAAAATATCACTCGAGCGAATATCACGACCATCATACTTGTGGTCTGTCACTGATTGACGATTGTAAACAATCGATTGTCGACCTAAATGCCAGCCAAATGAGGTTCTCCTAAATCTATCTGTGCTTTCCATGGGTATTCCTTCAGACATAATCCCAACGAATGCCCAAGATGATGCACTTTGAAATTGGTCGATCGAGAGACGAAGGCGATGCACACCAGTCATGTATGGATATTGGCTAGCAAATGAAACGTGTCCCGAAAGACTGTTCTCATTGGGCGGTGAAGTTGAAGGGATATCTCCAATAAGATCATCCAATGTTTCATCAGATAACAATTCGAATTGATCGATCACTGGTGACTAGAGAAGTAGGAATGAAGAGCATTAGTAAAATGACGGTCGGAATGCTACTTGTTTATCGAAAGTTGACGATGTTGATAGGAAACGTGAGAATGGGCCGGAAGAATGTTCATTGACAAGAGTGGGTGAAGGTAATGTTTGACTAATCGGTGTAGGCGGAGCGATCAATGGTCGACGAGCTTCATCAGCCTGTTTTCGAATTCTATCGATTGCTTTTCGTTCCCATTCAGCAATTTGATCGAAATGTATATGACGATTGTATCGTTCAGTTGGTTCTATTCTTAATTGCTCATGTCGATGTATAATACAGTGTTGATTACAAAATATTCGTTGGCATTCTATACAGATAGACATCTAACACGATCAATTGCGTTTTTCTTCTTCTCAAACCTTGACAGATAAACCATCCATCTTTAGCGTTAGGTTCATTACACTCGACGCACTGTTCAGGTTGTTTTGCTATAGAGTACATTTTATCTAAAACGAAGAAACAAATTTTTGTTTATTGTCTTGGATAAATTCTCGAGAAAATCACTGGAAAAAGTTATTCGGAATGTATTGAGTATAAAAGAAGTATTTCAAATATAAATATTGAAGCAGAATTAGTACGAAAATATCACAAAGTTCTTCTTTCAAGTGAGAAAAAGAATACTCAAATTCAGGTCTGTTAATTATCCCAACTACCACGCACATAGTTTGGATTGTACTTTATACCATTTCTTTCTAACAAAGCTTTGAATTCTTCCGGATTATTCCGTTCTAAATCTCGTTGATAACGTAACTCACCTACAAAGACACATCAGAATCAAGTCAACGTTAAAATTGCAATTTCTCCTACCAGGTTCCCACAGTGTTCCATTGACTCGCGCACGTTGTTTCAAATCAGATCCATTGTGGCCTTGTTCTCGTGTGTTCCAATTCCACCAAATGCCACATTTTGCACATTCGATTATATTACACAAGCCTTTCTCTTTCAAAGTCAAATGACGACATGTTGGACATTCGCGTATTTGTCCTGATTGAATCATCTGTTGGAAGCCTATGAAAAGCGGAGACCGATGGTACTCATGAGAATTTGAAAACAATAAATTCCTACCGGTGTCTAAATCACCACCTGATCCTTTTTCTATCTCCTGTTGTTTATCACATATTTGACATGACACAGTTTCCTTTTTCGGTGGACCCAATTGAATAAAACCACCTTTGTGACAATTGGTACACGTGATAAAATTCGGATTACGACATAATTTTTTAAACATGAATTCCGTAAGAAAGATCAACAAGTCCGAATAAGTCAACTGACCATCTCTTACGATATTATCCGCATGACATGGAACAGAGCATGATTCAGCAGGACAAGGAATCCATGGAAGAATATCTCCAGCACGAATACGACTGCTTAAATACTGATTGAAATCATCAGCACACAAAACACAATGACCACAATTCTAAAAGTCCAGAGAACATAGTCGAGAATAGGACTAATTGACGATATCTTACTTTCATTGTAACCATCGGTAAATTTTCCTCCAAACAAATTTGACAAGTGGTGAACGTTAATTGGCCTTGAACAAGTGATTCGTTACGAACTTTTACGAAGCACTGATACTATTTTTTACCTTTAGATTGATTGTTTTTATATTCCAATGAATTGAAGAGTTCAATGATGTATTGATATAAATTTTCTAATTTTAATGTCTGTTGATTTTTCCGTTGATCTTTCATCAGTAAGATATATCGATTGAAATACGGCTCTAGCTCATCATCATTGATTCCTTTCTCTACCGGACCCAATGCTCCACTTGCCATTCCCGGATCTCCATCATCATCGTCAGCTTCTTCTCCAATACTTTCATTGTCTATATTGGCAAAAAGATTCATATTGAGATTTTGCAATAGTTGCATAAAATCAATATTCATCTTGTACGGAGAATTTTGACAACCTCCACAAACTAGAACCAGAAAAGACAATTTTCTTCTAAATAGAATATCATCTCTTGATTCGATCACACGCACTTCGAATATGATGGCCAATATTGATATAATGACAATGTGCACATTCAACAACTTTCTCATCTTTAGGAGGATCTTCTATAGCTTTGGCTAAAGCTTCGTCAGCTTGATAAGAATCATTATCGAAGTGTGGATTAGCGCTTTCACACTACACAACGCATAGAATGGTTAATGAAATAAACAAAAGCAAAAATCGTTTTATACCACTTCACATGTTGGTCGTTTTATCGACTGTACGAAGGTACATGCAGGACATGCGTATGTCTCCGATGTGTCACTCATTCGAATTGATCTACAAGACAGAAACTACAGATTCATTATTCTATTTCGAATATCCAGTCGCTTTTGAACGGACAATAATACAAAATAATCAACAACAAACAAGTATGTACAATTATTGTAGTAAAACAAAAACAAAAACTAATGATTTCCTATCAAATTTTATCTAACAGTTCATCAGTTGTTTGAGATTCTTCAGGTAATGATGGAGTTGTCAGTGTTGGCGGAATACCAGCACCAGAATGACTAAAAATACAACTGAATTTTTCATACTCTGCGAAAGATGATCGATTTACTTGAGATATGATCGAGTTGATATTGAATTGACACCAGTAACATATTTTCGTCTAGAATGAAAGTCATAGAATCAAACTCTTCGAGCGTTTCTCCATACCGTTGGTGGTGTTTACTAATCGTTGATCGTTTATAATCCATATGATCATCACCTAAATCAAGCATATTATCTTGATTTCGATCAACGTTTGTTCGCGATTGAGTCCCTGAACGAATTGGTATTTGAATCTATGGAAAGAAAACATAAATTAATCTTGAATATTCCATTTATTTATGATTTACTTCGTGAACTTCATCTTCCATGTATTGATCTTCGTCTCCGCTTGTGTCTGTATCACTCATAGCATGTTTCAAACGCTTTGAATCACCATCGTTCAAAGTTGTCATTGTCGTTGTATGCATAGGTGATCGACTGCGCGCACGTAGATTAGCAAATGCATCATTGGAACGTTCGTCATCAGTTTCACTCTGATGACCCAAACGAACAATTTCATCATCGGATTGATCGTGACCATTGACTCCATTGATATGTTCATGTTCATAAGATTCAACCTGATGTTTAAGTTTCGTTAGTTCTTCTTTTTTCGCATTTAACACAAGAGCAAACTAAAGATCATAAAAAGTCAAAAAATTTTTGTCATTCCAAAGAATCTTGAAATATTTATATCCTCTTCATAATCATCATAAAAGAATCAATAAAACTTCTTCTGTCGCCGTTTTTCGTTTTAGATTTTCGAAACACATGACACATCTTCAAACAATGAACAAAAGTGCAAACATTCATTCCACTTTTCTTCGTATTCCTCCCACTTAATTGACAAATCATCAAGAAGAATAGCAGTTTAATATGTCACGAAAAAGTACAACTTAATTCTTCAGATTGTTGGTATTCGATATAGTCATTAAGAAATCATTATTTTTTGTTGTCAGGAGGTAATAGAACGAACAAACACAGTCACCTATACAACAAAAACAAATTTGTGTAGACATGACTCAGAGACTATACGTCATTGCACAACAGCAGCATTTTCATCTTCATTCTTTCTTCAAATGGTTTTGCCACATCGTCTACTGAATCATGCGTGTATTTTTAACAAAAACTAAAAAGGTAAGCTTATTCTTCATACAAAAAGTACTAAGTTCCGTATTAAAGTGCTTCGTACATAGTTTGTTGTCATAATGACATCACGTCCTTTCCTCTTCTGCGATATACAGTCCAACAGTAATAATTGTATACCAACTTATATATAGGTAAAAACACTCGAACGTAATAAAATCAATATACCTGTACACACTGCAAAACGAAAGAGAGAATACAGAAGAAATTTGCTCTGTTGATACTGATAAGTAACTTCAAGAAACATTGGTAATGCATCGTTCACGATGATATTACTTTCTCTATCCACAGATTATTGTCATAATAAAAAGAATTTTTCAAAAACACAAATGCACATACCGGTAAGTCGTAGGAGGAGGAAAAAAAACAAAAAACTTTTAATCTTTTCTGCGAAATTGAGAAGTTTTTCTTTTACCCTCTTTGACCTGTTTAGACAATGGAAAATTAATCCTCTATATATAGAAACTAGTGACAGATAGGTTAATCTGTATTTAGCTTTTACTATACAATAGACAAAATGCTCGAATGACAGGATAATGTAGCGTAAACAAAATATGACGTGATATTCACAAAACATCATTAGTTCTTTTGCTTATGGTCGGTAGAGATATTATCCCTTTCCTTTTTTTTTCGATGAAAATGAACCGTAATATTTGTCATTCACTGATAACACCTACTCAGACACTCTTTTCTTTTACATGAGTGAATGCGTACCATAAATATATATAGTCAGATGTCACAGTCACAAGAGAAAAACAGAAAAACATTCTGATCATCACCTGTCGAATCATACGTATCGTCATTTAGAATAGGATGTGTCTAGAAGATCCTCCACGAACTCGAAAGCATATTTATTATCAAAAGCCTTTTCTTCAGTTTCGTAGTCTTAGTCAAGAGAAAATTGTTCAATCATCAGTTCATCATCGATCAGATTCAATTCAGTCTGTAGACTTATTTTCCTTAATTGTACCGCCAAATCATGGTTCGACATCATCATTAACATCTCTCCTATGTCCAATATGTTTATTACCGATGATGAAACCGAAACTGCTACCATGTCAACACACATTTTGCTTGAAGTGCTTGGAAAATATTCAACAAACTCGATCTGGTTCACTACCAGTCAATTCAACCAACTGTTTATTGTCACATGACAATCAAATTAAAACAATTTCATGTCCGAAATGTTCGCGGATTCATCGGATTCAGTCGTGTACGGATTTGCAACAGAATCAATCAGTTGAATTGTTAGTAAATACACTCCTGTGTGAGACATGTCATCAGCTGTATCCATCCAATCAATTAGATACGTGTTTCCATTGTTTTGGCGTCTTGTGTCCAACATGTTATACTCAACACATCGAAAGACATCGAACTGAATTGGAAACAAATCAGAGATTAACGTCACGAGCTCTATCATTGGAAGAAAGAACAAAAACTTCTTTGGAACCGAAAACGCAGACGAAATCGATCGATACAGAGCAACAAGTACGCAAAACACAATAGTTATTATTGAATCTTAACTGTATATGTCTCTTTAGAAGCCAATTAAACCGGATGAGAACTCCGATTCTCCACAAACACCTGTTACCAAGAAGAAATCACAAAGTTTTCTCCGAAAACTAATGAACCATTCTCGACATCGTCACTCAACTGATGAGATCAATAAAAAACCATCTTCACCATCAGTCAAACGTTCGACATCCGCAAAACTTTCCGAACGAAGGAAAATCACGATCGATATCACAGCTGACGATAAGCCAATTCTCGAGTCAATTCCATCCGTCGTTCCTATCACACCCGTTCGTCAATTTATCAATTTTAATGAACTCTACATCGATACAGCTCAACACATTAAGCAATGCAAACAACGTCAATCGGAATTAGACCGATCTGTACAAAAACTTATTGAAGTTTTAACAACGAAAACGAACGAAAGTATTCAACAGATCTCGCAATATTGGATGTATTTGAGACAATTCTCATTAGATCAATTACATGCGAAAACCAATCGTTTTCAATTCTTCAACTACCTTCTTAAAACATGTTGCTCAACGTTAGATTCTCAAAAGCAAATGGCATCCTATTTCGAACAAAACGATGAAATCAAAGCGGCATTACAAGTTCTTCAAACGACATTGATGATCGTCAATCAACAACACACACAATTCGCTATTAATCAGTCATTTGATCGAGAAGAACAAACAACATTAGGAAGACTAAGACGTCATTTAGATTTGTTACTCGCTTCCTACGCGGATGAGATTTCCTTTCTTCACGAACGAATTCGCGTCTACGAATCACGGTTTGACACATGGAGAAATTGTAACAGAACAGATTTAGATTCATTAAATTACGAATGGTCACAAATCATTGAACACGATTATCCATCGCTGATCGAGAAAATCTCCAATGATTTCATCATGAAAACTCCACAAATCGAGAAAATTCTCTTTCAAATGCTGACAAATATGAAGAAACGTCTATTAAACATCGATTATCGAGGAACGAGTCAAAGGATTAGTGTTGTTAGTTTATGAATTTATCTATTTTCTTTTTATATAATTGTTCTATGTACATTTAATATATGTTTACGTATAAATCTAATTTATTTACCTTTCGATAAAGATCAGCTTCAAGTTTTTCTTTCATATCCACGGTTTGCTTAACTGTCTAAAATGAAAAATCATCGAATAGGGAAACGTCGAATGCTATTTGGCATGAATTTACTTCGAGTGCTTTGTTTAATTGACCATTGAGACGTTGAATTTCGAAGATTTTTTGTTCATTAGTAGTTCGTAAAGTATCCATTTCGTCAATCAAATGATCCATCATTTTAGCTAAGATCTACAATTATTCCAAAGAATTGTCTTTTTCGAAATGAACGTTTCATCTTAATTCACTTCATCAACGGGTCGTTCTTGAAGTTCGGCATTGCCAATGATCTTCAACGAATTCAAATCATCGACCATTTGCTTCCACACAAACTAAATACACACGAAATGTGATGATTACTATTTGATAAACACTTACTTCGACGCGATTCTTTTCTAGTCGTTTACAATTGAAGACATAAGTCTTTCCATCTACTTCCGAACGATTTCCTTTGGAAAAAGCGCGTTGTGTATGAGAATAGAACGTATCGTGTTGCTCAGGTGGAAATTTCTTTGCTAATAGTCGAACTTGTTGTTGATTTACTAAATGCATTCGAAATGAAGAATTATCAATAAACGAAAACTGTCACATTTACATGTGCCGATCCATCCAGACTTTAAATTTGTCAGCTGCATCAAAATCGTGTTCGTTCTTTCGTCAATCGAACTCTTTAGATAATATCGGTCACCATTGTCATCGAGAATTTTGACAAAATAAGTGAAATCATCATCCATAGATCGTGACATCTCCTTGAATCTGAAAAAAGACAATGTTGGTTGACACGAACAAACCGATACGCACAAACAAGAAACGACAATAAGTTTATTGAGAGAAAAAAAATCGATATACAAAGATTATTTTGTCCAACTGACTTTGGGAATATCGTTATATTCAGTCAGTTTATCTAAGTACGAATTCAGTTCTTCCACTTGTTCTTTGTGTGATTTAGCCGCCTTTTTCAAGATCTTTTCTTCAGCACGTTTAGCCATGGCTTTTTCATACGCGATTTCTGCTGGTGTTCGTAGATCACGACGTGATGAACCTGGTTGATCAGTTGAGGTATTGATTGTTGATGCCACATGTTCCATTTTTGATGAAGGAGCTTCGGCATTGCTTGAAGATTTCGATTTCGACTTGTGTTTATGTTTTTTCGATACTTTGCCGCTCTGAACTGCGCTTGACGAATCGCTCTTTAGGCGAAGACTACCACCTGTAAATGAATAAGCGCCTGACATTGATGTTCTAAGTGGAAATTAAACCCTTTTTATTTAGTAAACAAGTTGCTTGAAATGTGACGAGGAAGAAAGAATGTAGCATGAAAGATTCTTGCTCTTTCTTACAACTGACTTCGCCATGATTGGCCAAGCTTATGACTCAATCGCAATCGACTCGTAGAGGTCGCAAACTCGCAAAGGTCTCTGATGTTTAAGAATTTGGCGAATAATACAGATAAATCTGGTCAAGTCTCTTTCGTACAAGGGATGGTTGTCGCAGACCAGGTATCGCGATTCCTACAGCTACTATATATACAGTAATAATTCACGACTATTTAAAAACTTCGAAGCGATCCTAAAATGTCCATAAAAAATGGGTCGGGTTAGTTTCGCCTGAGTATCAGACGGTTTAACGAAATTAACCATAGTATAGATAAGTACTATAGCACTGCTTACTATGGCACTGCTGAGGCTGTTATCACTAGAATGATCCTAATGTTTTTTCCTTCTATCTGCTATTCAGAGCAAAATTCTGTTTAATTTTCTGTTGTTATGCTATAAGCTTATATTCATAGCCCGCTATTCGTACAAACTCTCATCTAATAGTTCTTCCTGTTTAGTACGACATCAATTGTGGCACCAATAACCATAAACGGCCAAAACATGCGGAATTCTAAGTGAAAGCATCCTTAAGTCAGTGCTAGTAGTGTACTAATGATCATCAGCAACTTGAAGCCTATATAAAACTATCCATTCGAGCTATGATATGCTGTGCAAAATCGAAAAGAAAGAAATTAATTTCAGACAGTTACCATTGGAAACGATGAAGTTCGACGCCAGATTTGTAGACCTAGTTGAAATAGTTTGCAACTAATGACATTGAGATAAATCGGAATAAAGACAGAGACGAAGTTGCTTAAAATCTTTTTCCAAAGTTGCCCTTGATACAAAACAAGAAAATAAAAAGATTCAAAAATAGTTCTATCTTTTAACTATCTCAATTCTATTCATAATAACCAACCGGACATGATAGTCAAAAGCAGCCCACCGATTGTTGATCATTTTGTTCAAAACTCAGCTGACCTTGAACGACAATCTCTACTGTAGCAATTGTTATCGGATTCGTCGTTTCAATATTTTTATCCAACATATTCGAGCAGAAAAGTATGTACGAGCCTTTATCGCCAGAATTCAGTGAACTATACTAAATAAAAGAGTGGTCGATATAGAAATCCCGTAGCAAATGTCATTGAATAAACGATGTCTTTTGGGAACGTAGACTTTGAGCTTGCAGTGGAGAAAAATGATGAGAATATTCTTTTCTTTTTTATGACTTAGATGAAGTTATGTGGTCCAAAGTATCAAACAACATGTGTCATAACTTAAGAAACAGTCCACTGTGGGCATCAACGAAGATTAAAAACATATTTATTTGCTACTTTCAATCATTATACATCAATACAAAGCCGTGAGAATATCTTCTCATGATATTTTTCTCGAAAAGACTAATATCAAAACCTAATTGAAGGGGATTCTGATCCAATCACTTGGAACAATTATGTAACACATATCAGATAACAGTCGTTGCTCTTCAAGAACAAAATCCATCCATACCCCTATAAATGTCGATCTAATATTTAATTCGATGCCCACTTTTTGTGAAATAACATCAATATGCTAATCTATTTTTGCCTATTCCTACTTCACATATATGGACTCACGGCGATGGAGTGTGAATATTCATCGCGTGAATACCAAGTTGTGCTTCGTCCAGATATTTTTGACAATTCGTTCGAATCTGGTGTTCTGCGCGTTCTCGACGAGTTGATCAAGATTGGAAACACAAAACTGATTCCATTTGAGATTTCCCAATCATCATTGAAATTGAAAAATCAGACACTCGTTCCTTATACTCTTGATGCTTCTCGCCAATCCAATGATTTCTTTATTCCAGTCATATTCAAATCACGTCGAAAGAAACCAACGCATCCGGCAGATATTGTGATGAAAATATCCAATGCAGATCCTGCACTCACGTGTATCCCGTTAACAGTACGTATTTGATGTCTTGTAATATAGAATATTGTCGTTGTATAGATTTCAGACAACTACAAAAATAACACAAAAGCAAAGTTTGAACTCGATCTATATGCTGAAGGTGGTCGTCTTACAGCTCGATCTGCGTACAGTTTCACTGTAGATTTATCGATGAACTTTAATCAAACATCTGCGATTAATATGTCCGACATATTAACTGATGCTGCAGCTAAATTCACATATTCCAAACAACCACTTATCATTGTACCAGTATCAGCAACCAAGATTACAATGCAAACAGCAGAATTCAATATCAAGCTAGTCGGTCAGAAGATAGGAGCTACGATGCAGTTCTACAGAAAGCCGAATGGAATCAAAGCTGAATTTTCATTTCGAGTTAAGGGATTGACTGTGGAACGTGAAGTTCTTCTTGCTGCACAAAACTTAGTTCTACAATTATCACAAAAATCAACAATTGCGCTCTATGCCATCAATCAACCCAGCAATTAACTAAAGAATAAAAGCCAGAAACTCTGAATCTGTATACAGAAATGCAATCTGATCGAAGGCTATTAAAATAAATCTATTGATAAACTGATGCTTGTATTCTTCATTTATTCGACTTGATCCTTTTCGACAAGTTTGTTCTTTCTCTAAAATCTGGTATCGTGTATCATATAACCTTGATCTGCCTAGATACAGACGGTTAACTATATTTGACGATACTATCAAATTAGGTCACTGGATTAACAATCTAGTCGTTTTCTCTCGAAACTGTAAAGCATGCGTAAGAGCATCTTGACCATCAATACTTCTGTAGTTAAGCAGATAGCATAACAATAGATGTGGCAAATCGACATTTGATCCGATTGGTTTCGTGGCAGCACTGCTGAGTCATACTGTCTAACTGTCTCGATTGCTTAAATAAAAGAACAGGCAATGTCGTGTTTTTTTTTCTTCCTTTCGGTACCAAAGACGAGTGTAAGCGCCTTTTGCCAATGGATGCAAAGAGATCTGCATGCGCAACACATCGGCACGAGAGAAAACATATTTTTTTTCTTTTCAAAGCGCCTGACATTCATCATAAACGTCGTTTGTAAAACAAGTAAAGTATTTTTCTTCTGAACAAAAATGTTTTGACTTATATCGTCACTAATTTTTTGCAGTTAGTTATGTCGGACTTTTTGGGCCGTGTTGGTCAAATCGCTGAATGGGCTGCTGTATCAAATCTTACTAATCGTGCTGTTAATGCAGGATGTGACAAAGTGGGAGAATTATGGCGACATCGGAAAGACAATAAACATGGATCTCATGGTAAATCAGCTAATGTGGCTTCGACACCGCAGATGCCACCACAATCACAAATGCCATATTCACCAAGCCAACCTCAACAAGCATCCTATGCTCAGGCTTCGCCGATGCCACCGCCGCCATCTATGGGAAACGGTCAATTATTAATTAGCGTTCAACATATCGATGGATTAAATCAATCGAGCCCGCTCATGGTCATTCTTGAATGTAATCATCAACGATATCAAACGTCGTTAGGTCAGTATCAACAGCAGTTTACGTTTCCTGTTTATCAGTTTGAGTACGATCAGCTGTTCGTTTGGGTCCAAACGGAATATCAACAACAAACCATTGCTCACGGCGAGGTCCCCGTACGATTTTTATTAAACAATACCAATACTTGGTCCCCTCAACAACAACAGCAACGTTGGATCCCATTGCGAGATCAATATAATGGACCATGTGGACAATTACTCGTCAATATCGAATACAACGCTAATTATGCACCATCTCCTTACATGCCGGGACCTGCACCACCACCATATTCTTACTACTAACAGTTTTTCTAAATTTATGAATGTATTCTAGAGGGTTGAGGATGAAGTGTAAGGTAGAAGGGAAAGTTTGGCGTATATATGTACAAATAAAATTATGTCCTCCAATTTCTTCACCACGGTTATTTAAAAAACTTGTACTCATGTTCTATGAAAATTTTTAGAAAGATGAAGAAAATAAAATTCACGCTCTCTGGTAAGAACTTATGGACGATTAGATTTATCATCGTAAAAAGTATCAGATAAATGAACATTTGATATATCTATTTTCTTGTTTCTATCCTTAAAAGTGTGAATAAAAGTCAACAACTGAATTCTAACAATGCACGATCATTCAGCATGACACATGACAGTCAATTATTTGTGTCTGAGTATACTCACAAATTATTACTTGAAACATTGTCATTCTGACGATTCTTGTATGCTTTACCATATGCTCGTACACGACTGTTGGCGTTTAAAAGGAGAACAAAATCGGTTTCAAGTGAGAATAGTGTCACGTGATCCTAAGGTGCTTTTATAATTTAATAACAAGAAAAATCAACGAATACTATTATATTGCTGGACTATACTATTAATTTTAAAAATGAATACACAATTATCTTTATTCATGGCTAGCTTTTTCATATTGATACAAGTTCTTTGCATCATTACAGCAGCACCCCAGTAAGTTATGAGTTCGATTGTCATCAAAAGCCACCCAGACAGACAAATATCAGGAAAAACATGCGTGAAAATATTCAAATTTGAACGTGATGTTTTGATCTGTTTGGTCAGCGACTTATTCGGTTACTTGTATAATATCTCATTTAAAGTTTTTCGTTTCAGACATCTGATGGAAGCTGTAGTGGTGGTTGCCGATACAGTCCTACAGTAAATCAGTGCGGTGATGGATGTGCTTGCATTGTACAATGGGCAGGACATGGACAATGTCAAAGCAAAATAAGGTAAACTGTACACTGAGCTCTTTCATTATCGTTTTCTGTTTTTAGCAAAGAACCGAAACCAGTTGGAGAACAATGCAGTGGCACCTGTAGATATGCATCGCCTACCAATCAATGCGGTGACGGATGTTTCTGTTCTGCTAAGTGGGCAGGATATGGTGCTTGTGAAAGTTTAAGCAAATAGTTCGACATGGAATTACGTTTTATCGAAAAAATAAAAGTACATGATAAATATACTCGTACTCCTTAACAATTCGTGTCATTACGACAATATAACAGTAGAAATATACTTGTTTAGTACAGAATAGTTTATTATTATACCTTTTATTATCGTACGATTACCAAGCAGAAACCTTCTTTTCGTCTTTTGTAGGTTTCTCTTGAAATATTGACAGTTTCACTTGATCAAAGAGACACATTTGATCTGATTCGTGCTTTGTATCACATAACAAGAATATCGTCAAATAGTTTGTTTGCCGAGGAATGATATCAACAAACGAAAAGAATCGTATCGAAGATATGTTTTGAATTGTTTCTGAGAAAATAAAAGGAAAGGTCAAGACGAGAACTCGGTTGAAATCAACTAACTTCTGATTGAATGCGCATAATCGAATGACCCTTCCTCTTGTAAAAAATGTATCTGAACAGTCATTTCACCATTTACGTTGGCATTTCTCAATCCAACCAGGAAAGAAAAATTGAGCTTAGCCTGTTGCAGATTGATGAGAAGGGAAAATGTTATAATCCGTGCGGTATGCCAAGCGGTCATTTTCGGTTTTAACATAAAAAAGCAATCACTATTCGTCACATTCGTTGCGGTCGAAATCAGTTCATCAGCATTAATAGTTGTTACTGAAGTTTTGTTAAGTAGGTCAGACCAAGGAGGTGTGATATTGTGAGAGCACTAACAGAAAAAGAGAAGAAATGCCAGTACATATAATATGACAAATACGATTAATCAAACGCACTCGACTTGGAACAACTAAATTGTCTGTTTGAATATTGCTAAACGATCCGTTCGGAAATCGAGTGTTGAGAAAAGTATTTGGTGCTATTCCACCAATGGTGATTGGATATAATAATTGATCATTGATGTTGCTGTGATAAAGGTCGGTATTAGTTAGATTAACATTTTGGAAAATGCCACCAATGATTGATGTTCGGATCAAAGCCGCGCCGATCATATCAGTACCAAAAAGTTGCACATCGTGAAATTGTGCATCAGTCAAATTGGTTTCCACGAAACTCGAATATGCCATATTACATGAATAAAATTTTGTCGAACTCATTAAAGCATTATTGAATACGGCTGAATATAAAAAACAACCATAGAAAATCATATTCTCGGCGTAAATACTCGGTAGGAATAGATGAGAGAGATTACAGATTGTCATGGACGATTTTTCAAATCGAATGCCACTAAGATCTGCTCCGTCTAAGTGGAGAATTGGCTGTTTATCATGACGAATTAAACCATTCTCGTAGAGAAAAAGAATCACATCACGTTTACGTTGTATATCAAGTTGCCGAAGAACAGTGAGAGTTTGCACACGAATATGTAATAGCGATTGATTTATATGTTCGTGAAAACCTTTCCCAAGTAGTTCTTTCATATCGTCAATATATTCTTTGAAAATTACTCGTCGATTAATTTCATCTGCTTGCCGCTGATCTTGTTCATGTGCAGCTTGTTGATATTGATTTTGCTGCAATGTAAATACAACAGTAAAAACACCAAAAACAATCGTTGGAAATGCAGCCATGAAAAGCTTGAATATCTTTAAACAATGTCTTTGTTTCAACTTTTTTGTCTTCATCTCCAAGACTGATGAACTCTTCTGAAAAACTGTAAAGTAAAGATCAAAAAAATAGACACAAGTCAATGTTAAAATAAGAGTATTTCGTTTCCCACGTATGTGCTCAGTGTTGAATGATACTCTACGCAAAGTCTTAATCAATATTCTGAGAGATTGACTAAATATTATTATGCCGATGCGTAGTGAAAATAAAGTTACCTATTTTCATTAACATAAATATTGTCGTTGATGTCATGCGCCAAGATTGTTGATATCTAGATTAAGTTACTAAATATCAATGTCAACTCACACTTCTCTCTTTGAATTCCTATGATCTGCAAGGTAATCAATGACTCCTTTATCGTTCACTTATATATCATTGGTTGCCGTTCTTTTTAAGTAAATGCGTACCTGATTGATGTCAAAGAAGCTTTGGTAAAAGCGCAAAGAACTAATCTCTTCATAAACTATATTGGATAAACAAGTCAACATCTTAATTGAGTCGAAATAATTATTTATCTCCGTATCCGATGCTTGAATATACACATCTCACATCCCTCCATTTAAACGACAGGGAAAGATTAAATTTCTCTTGATAAATTTATATAAGTCACATTTGTTTATTTTTCTTCCTAACAGTTTTCATATATAACTTAGAAGCATCTTCCTCATTGAATTGAGCGACTAACTTTGAAGGTATGGATAATTCCGCTCACTATTATTTCGTGTCTAACGTGTTTTGTTTCATATCTTGTGAATGCTCGTAGATGTAATAAAAGCATTCCAAAGCTGTTTGTTTTTCATTGCAATACCCACATTTTTTCTTAGTTGCAGAAACGAGGTCTTCGCGAAAGATAATTAAGTACTTTCCATCATGTACAAGTACGGCGGATTAAAATATAATTGAAAAGTAAATGAGCTATTTTCAGAAAAACCTGATAGCAGTAAAAAGGTTTCACTAAGTACTTTTTATTTTAAAGTATGAACCGTTCTTAGAACATATATATCTATATAAACAGCACAACAAACGTGAGGCAAAAGTATATTTATTGATTGAGTCAATGATTACGTCGAGTACGTCTCAAAGAATTTGTTATTGGAGTAACGCGTGTTGTTCTCCAATTTAATCCGAGAAGGTCACCAATTTTTGCCCTCAATTCCGTTGATGAAATAATACATACCATGGGATACAAAGGAACAATGAAATAGCTGAGAAAAACAGTATACGTATTGAATTCGGTAATTAAAGGACTTGATATCAAATATATGTTCCGTATAATATAAACAATCGTATAAGGAAACAGGAATATGAGATGCAAAAACGAAATCGATAATGCTTGAACTGCCATTTTTCGATGTTTTCTCCAGTGAATTGCGCGATGCACACGATGCTTTTGGCAGATGACACGTACCACCAAGCCAATACTAAATATAGAAATAATACCAATGGGAACTATTTGATGAGCAATATAATCCCACATCGAAAGGGTATAGTTGTCATATAAACATGGATATATGCAAACGAAAGACGTCGGACGACAACGATTGTCACAAGGTGGGAAGAAATAGATCACAAAATAAAATATAAACCAATAGAGAAGCAGGAATCCAAGGGGAAGATAATGAACGAAGAGACGTCTCTTCCTGGTTGATACCCATTGATCATGAAATATCAAAATATGTCTTTCAATCATTGCCCAAGCAAAAATCAAAGTATGTGCAATGTACAGTGACCAATCGAGAAATCCTGTGAAAAGACAATATATGTATGATCGCTGCCAACTTCCTCGATAGAAATAATAATAAAGCATCCATGAATAATCTGTCGTTTCATACAGCAAACAAATAACGAGAAGAACAATAATGACATGGTTATGAAGAGCACGACGTAAAGCTCGATCGAGTAGAAGATGATATATGACAAAAAAGCAGCAGATGAGCGATGGAACCAGAACTGCAAGAATCGTCCAGAATCTTACTATGTCGGGTAGCATTGTTGCAATGAGTTGATGTGATCTCTGATGCTTCTGCAGACGAGAAAAACAGCAAATAGCTGTGCGAAGAAAAAACGTTTTATAATCGCAAGACAAAGTCTAGTTTTAGTCTTAATAAAACTCATAAGAACTCCTCGTGATAATCTGCATTTTAAGCATTTAGTACTTTTCATTTAATTAAATGTCTATTTTCAAATACGTGCTTTGCTAAATCGTTTCATAAAATCAAGCACATTAATTAGTTCATGGCAATCTTAACTAATATATAGAGAAGCATTTGAAAGTCGCATGTGTAGGCAAATGTAATAAGTAGGAATTGAAGGGAAAGCAAGTGTTTCAATATTTCCAGCAGTGTGAAAGACAGCGTGTAAATCAGTGCAAAAAATTATCCAATAGTTCTTGGAATTAAACAACGAAATTGAACTTGCACATCTTTCGATAATCGATCGACTATTTTGCGTCATGATTGGCCATAACAGAATTTCATATTCTACAGCTGCAGATACGATTCCATCTCAGCCTCTCCATATGCATCATTGACATACAAAGAAAGCTAAAATATCCATTTTGATTGATTTACACGGAAACTTTCTCTTACGGTCGATTCCCAATGTTTCCGTTTTCTATGTTTCGACTTCTTCACGTATGATGTTCAAGAGCACTTTTTCTTGCGTCGATTCGTTTCAGTGTATGTTCCGACAAAACTCAGACTGGTTTTAAATACAACTTTATGACCTCTATCGATTCCAAAAATACAATTTTGCGAAAAGTCACCTCTTTGCTCCCTAAAACTCGAAAAATCATTAATAAAAACATCGAAAAAACCTCAAATTTCTGGGAAAACTCGGACGGATTCGAATTAAAATCATCTAGATCGAGCTGGACAAGTTCTATCGGTTTCAATCATGAAGCTTTACGTCCTCACCGTCACCCACACTCGTGCTTATCCAATAGCTAGTCAGCCAGTAATGCTTCTATATATCCTGGATTTGACGAACCAACATGGCAAGTTCGATGCTCATAATTGACCTAGACGATAAATGGAAAACGATCGAGCGGACAAACGTACAACCTTTTATGTGAGAATCGGAGAAAACGCCGCTGTAAGCCAGCAAACGTACAGTCGATCGGGTTTATCTCCGAGCTCGACCGAGATATTGGTAGGATGATGCTATGCACCAACCTTCATGACACTTAGGTTAGTCTTTCAAGACCTATCGAATTAACAATCAGACATGCTGACCATTTCTGTGATATATTCATTGTTTGAATATACAAAAAAGCGTCAGTTCTAGAGCAATGTGTATTTTATTGTTACGTTTAAATGTCCTTGTTAAAATGTAAGTATTAGAGAAACGTCTTCATTGAATAGAAGGTATCATTCAAAATCCGTAAGATAATGTTGAGACTCGATATGAGCACGAAATTCGTCTGGAGTATACATGATATCATCATCACAGCATCGTATTCGAATATCAATCTGATTTTCATGTACTCCTTTGAAATGACGCATTAATGCTGTCGGTGTAAACCATTGGCGATGACATTCGAAAACACACGCATTCATTTTACCACCTAGAAAAATCAAGGCCTCCGAATCTGGAGTAACATAGATTTCGACAGGTTCGCCTGTATTCAAACAAGATATAACAACGCCTTGATCATCGACGATCTCTCGTCGTTGTCTTTGATGACGATTAAATTCAGCTTGAGTCCGACATTTGAACGAACACGAACAAATATATCCTGATGGTTTTGACTCATGTATTGCTGTATTGTGTTGGTTTAAGCCGTTAGTAGTTCCGAAATATCTTGAACGTTTCAAACAGTACTGTCCATATTTAGTTTGGGATTGTGATGTAGGCGCTTTCGGTTGTTGCTTGCTGATCGTTTTTTTGTCCTGGTTGTCAAGTTCTGCAAACACATCTCGAAGAGCTTGAACACCTGAATACTGGATTTTTCTATCGAGGATTATGTTTTGGCTGCAATATGCATTAAATTTTTGCACGATTTCGTTATAAATATCACCTTGACTGTGAACAATGATGATAGAACGATGCCGATATAAATATTGATTTACAACATGAGTAAGAGCATCAATTACTGATTTACTTGTTTTGTCTATATTTGATGGGTACAAGTAAACTTGTTTATTATTATCACGTAGTTGGTCGAATTTATTAGTCAATGCTTGGTTATTTTTGTTCCAAAACAAACAGCATTCACAATTCGACGGTATTTGCTGAAACACAGATATATCGCCGAATAAACTTGCACGTCGGTCTTCACAATCAAAGAGAATTATTATGGCTCGTTGTTTTGTCATAGTTTGCTTGTGTATTCACTATCAATGTTTTTCTCTTATGCAACCAAAATATCGAGAACTAAGGACAGACAGTTTGTATGTACACAAGATAGCAGACAAGATACTGTTGATAATAGTTATTTTTATTTCGCTTTAGAACAAAATAAATGTAGATATCCTAGACACGAATTTCCACGCAGATGTATTCTAACCCTGGATCCATTCGTTCAAAGTAAAACTTGACAAGCTCCATCTATTTCAAAAAAAGAGATTTTCGAAAATACTTTTCGCTACTACTAAACATATGCCAAGAACACGAAAAAAAACGTGAAAATTAAAGAAAAATACGGACAGATTTGTTTCTTCATTTTCAACTACCGTTCTAACACTATAGTTCCCGACTCAATTCGATGAGCTCTACGGATTCCAATCATAAAATTTCCCACCCTCACCTTCATCCTCAAACAACCCGTTTATTTTCTTATCTCTAAATAACTCATCATGCCCGTAAGTTTCGAAAAAACAACTATAGCGAGGTGGCTTAAAATGTTCCCAGATATAATTTCACTTCGATAAATCATTGCAGCTACTTTTGAACTAGAGAGTAACATTTGTTCACTAGTTGTAAAAGTACTAATTGACATCTGACTTCATTTGAAATCATTTTTTCACCAATAAAGACGGCAGAAATGAGCATTTAGTTGACTGACATTCCACCCGTTGCTATGTGAACACGCCAACCATGTGTATTGATACCACTTCCAATTGATTCATTTTTCCCTGTACGATTGATGTCTTTTTCAGACAACATAATACACCAATTGTGCAGTTTCCACATTCTTCTTTCGCATCTGTTTTCTTTTTCTTAGTCCATTTCAAATCATATATATCTATATAGATCAGAGTGCACTATACAGACAATTGAACAAAGATATGAACCTTTCAAATAGCAGTAGTTTAAATTTACTCGATTTACCCAATGAAATTCTACTCCTTATTTTTAACAAATTGAATACCGTAGATGTGTTCTATTCATTGATCGATATTAATGACCGATTTAATCAATTGTTATTCAGTTCACTTGATATTAGTCATTTTGACATGACAACTATGTCCATGGAATCTTATTATGATCGTGCGTTTTCAATAGATGATGCTCTTCTTGCAAGAATCTACAAAGAACTTTCACCTCGACTATCTCATGAACTAACGCAGCTGACTGTTGAAGAGAATTCGATGGAATACATTCTAAAGAATACTGCTTGTCCCAAACTTCATTCATTGTCGCTTGTCAATTTTCAAGAAGAAACTCTCCTTCAATCTTTAACAGGTTTATAGTCCCATCATCAGTTTCATTTTCTTGATTTATTAACAAAGTGTTCTTTGCCTCTCTTGTTTGCAGCTAATTCAATTCTTCGGCTTCTTCTCGCACAGCAAATTACACATCTTACAATTGATGTTCCATATGATCCACAAATTGAATCTTACGATGTTCTGTCAAATGTATTTCTATTGATCTTATCTTTATGTGAAAGACTGGTTTATTTGAACGTTGGTCAAGTCTATTCTGATTGTAATGCGTTCATTTCAACTGACAACCTTCCACCACTAAACTGTGTTCCTGCAACTTTAACTACCTTAAAAATTAATGTGGCAACCTTTGATGATTGTCTTTATCTTGTTGAATATCTCAAATCTCTTTCAACTTTGATCGTCAATGTGAAGAAAATAGCTTTAAAACTGTCAAACATCAGAAATACGGTAAATAACAATTGAACTGTCGTGTCCTCAGCAGCAGAATATGAAGGATTATTTCTATTGCAGGGAGAAATACGCAATCTAAAGTGTTTCTCATTGATTTCGATAGATTATACAATTCATTATGATGATCAAGTTGTTCCACTCCTTCGCCGAATGATCGATCTCAACGAGTTGACATTATTCTTAACAGTTCTCGAATCGTTCTCAACATATGTCGATGGCGTTCGATTATACAACGAAATTCTTGTTTATCTTAGAAAACTGAATAAATTTACTTTCAGTATTAACACAGGTGTTATCAATGAAAATGTGATAATTGATCTCCCATCACAAAGAGATGTTATACAAAGTTTCATGGGAAGAAAAAGCGAACAAATTGGTGCATATGTTGATTATAGAAAACATGACAATGTAGGCATTTCACGTGTTTATTCACTGCCATATCAATTTGAATATCTTGCTATGGTTGGCAGTTCGTTTCCTGGTGGTGCATTTCGAAATGTTCAATATTTATTAATGAGTGATGGAAATTCTTTTGAACATAGTTTATTCGTATTTATCTCTCAAGAACGTCCACTTCTGAAAAGGCTACAAATTGACAATTGTCATCCACAAAAGATGAAGACACATGCACCGGCATTGATTAAATTTCCTTATCTTATCTTACTCGATCTGACATCAGCACATTTAGATTATGTTGAACAATTTCTTTGTGATAAAGTTACATGTCTACCATCGTTGTTGGACTTATGCATCACGTACGAATTACTCACCACTGTGACAAACAATTTTACCAATGAATCGATGCGTCGAAATTGTGCTCAATTGAAGAGACTTCATACCAGTTCGACGATTCATGCGGATAAGTTGCATCATTATTTTCCTTTGTTGCGAAGGATATCTTATTAGAATCAGTTTCAATAAAATGAAAAGACTTTGTAAATGTGCGTGCACTTTTGTTTGTCTGACGTCCAATGGTAAGACTTGTTATTTTCATTGTCCTATGATTAAGAATCTATCTTTGAAGATATACGATCACAGGTTGGAGTAGGTGATGAAAGTCTGTGTAACTGTCCTAGCAATTTGTTTCAAATCCATTTGTTTTCGATAAAGAAAAACAGATCATTAAAGGTAGTCCTTTTCTGTTCCGTTCACCTTGTTGAATGGTGTTTATTCGTAAGTGATAGACAAAGAAGAAGACGAAGGAAACAGTAACATAAGAAACTTTCTTGTGAACATATGTTAATGATAACTTTGAGTGCTTTTTCGCCTTTTGATGCGACGACAACTTCATTCATCGTACCATTTTCAGTTGGTTTCGTGTTTAACTTCAATTGGAATTGAAGATGTACTATGACATAGTCTACATTTGTTGAGAATTGAGTTCCCGCGCTCTCACCCTCGACAGACGGAACAACCTACAAGAAACATTTTTGACTGACTTCAAGACAAATTTGTGTTTGCATTTGGTTCTGAATGCAGTCGTTTTTTTTTACATCTGTTCGAGTCATTGTTCATAATGCTCAATTTTCGATTGATGATTTTGTCCAACGTATCCAGAACTCACTCTCTCAGGAATTGAAAATTCCGAACTTTTCTTCGTAGTTTTTCAAGATTTCCCCTATTTTGGTGAATAACAGATGCAATTCTTAAGTCAGCAATTGCACGGTCGAGTTGAGCATATGTCTCTTGGAGTATTTTCTATGCCTGTAGTTCCTGCAGAAAAGCAACTATTGAAAAAATACATCTAACATGAACATGTTTTTATCGTACGTTATCTCGACTCTCGTAAAGGTTTTTGAATAACTGAACAAATGGCATGCTTTTTTCCTATTCGTGTCGTGTATGTTAATGAATGAACAAAGAGGACAGCTATGCACATTAATCGAATACAAAGGAAAGCAGAAATCAACGAAATTGCCAGGACCATGTGAAAACGCTCGCCATCTTGTCATAACCATTATTGTTTTGTATAATTGATTTCATTCTTTGAAGAATCTACGTACAATTTTTACATCAGATTCGTCAACAATTAAATGTGCTAACTATTGGATAGAACTTGATAAATCTTACAATTGATATTCTATATGATTCGGAATGAGACGTATAAAGTTCTGTCAAGTATATTTAGATCGATTTTATCTGTGTATGAAAGTCGGCCTTATTTGATTACTAGTCACGTGTATTCTAATCGTAATGCGTTTATTACAATTCACAAGCTTCCACCGCCAGACTGCGGTCCTAGATATTATTTTCCTTTCCTGTAAGAAGTGTTCGATCAAAACTTTTCTCAATAAAAGAAATAGAAGTCGCGTAATTGTAGTGCTATTTGAATTCACAAAAGGATAGTGTTCGTATTATATGATTTATTCGGTTGTTAATATTCAGAGTGAAGTATTCAATCAACGAAACGTTCACATGGGAACTTGTTAGTAACTAATGTTCACTTCGTTCTCAAACAATAAAGAGATATCTTCCTCGATGATGTTTGCTCATTATGTCTGTCATTTCGCCATTGCATTAGATATTCTTCATCACTCTTCTGATCTTATCATTGATGATTATGTTTGCGTTCTCTCTAGTTGAACTCATGATTTCATTTTCAGTAGTTTGTCTTTATTTATGTTTATATCTTTAATGATATGATCAAGCGCGAGGCAAAAAACAGAAGAAGAGGAAGAAGAAGAACTTTGCATATAAGTATATGATGAATTTGTTCTTCTCTTACACTTGTGTTATTTCTCGTCGAATGTGATTGAGCTGTACAATGTGAACGAGACAAACGACAAGATTGAGAGAATCGAATAAAAATGTTCACACATCAAGCTTGGCGGACGAAGCAGCGATCAACATTGACTTGCACTTTTTCACGTGTTTCCAACGGGACACTTTCCAAACAAAACCTAAGCAAAACCAGAAGTTAGAAGTGAACGAACCGTTCGTTGTCTTGAGCTTACTTTTTAAAATCTTCAATTTCTTTGTCAAGCGCATCCATCTCATTTGCATCATTATCTTGTGAAATCATGCCAAGGCCAATAAAATGTTCTTCGAAAAAGAAGAGATCAGTAACGAAAGAAGAACTAAAACTATTTTAATGAATTTACCTGCAAATCCATTTGATAATAGATTTGTTGGTGTCATTGATGGTGGAATAGTAAGACTAGCACCACTATGAAATGGATCGTATAGAGGAAAATCATTGGATGCTGTTGATGACTGAAGCGGGAGTGATTGTTCCTGAGGATAGTTCCATTGAGAATCATGCGTATTCGTCATAGGCGTATCATTCCATGCTGAGGTTGAACCACTAGCAGCGTAATTCATCGGCGAATAGAGCGGAAACGGCACGTTGTTTGTTGAATAAGACCATGGTTCGGGTGATGGTCGTTGAATGCAACGAGATGATGTATTATTAACAGAGCCAGGCGCTGGAGAGAATGATGGACTGGGCCGTTGCACTGGGCCTGGCGCCGGCGGCGGAATGATGGACGACTGAGACGGTTGAGGTAAGAGATAGTCGTTCGGATCCCAATAGAGAGATGAGGGTGGAATGGTAGATGTACCATTGGAAGTTACTGGAGCTACAAGAGAAGAAGAAGGTGATAGTACTGATGACTGAGTCGGTAGATAAGATGGTGTTGTCTGGAGCATAGTAATCGCTGACGATGATAATGGCAACGTGGAAGGTGTAGCTGGTGGCGGTGTTACTAAATAAAAAGATGAAAATGCTACAACAGATTCATGAACATCACTGTATCATACCTAGAGAGTGATCCTGAACATGAGTACTAGTCCAAAGATTCGACGGAGGTTGGACACTTGGTGACGATTGAATCTTTGACACATTCTGAGAGCGCGGCGGAACTATTGCTGTTGGTTGTGGTTTATTAGAATTTATTGGCGTTTCTACCAGAATAGTCGATGTTGTAACAGTTGGTGACATCACTTTTTGTTGGGCAGCAGACAGACCATTCGTCGATGAAACGGTTTTCTTTGTATGAGTTGTTGTTTGTGGTTGTGGTGGCCGACTTTGTTTGACATTCGCTGGCGGCACGACGGGTGGAATAGGTGCCGCAAGTAACGATGGCACAGATGCTGTTGGTGGTTTGTGTTTACTTTGTTTACGTGAGATTGTTATCCAATTCACTTCCTCTTCTGGAGCATCGAAATTCTCACTTACAAGATCAGCGTCACTTCGAGCTGATTTAGGTTCCTGAGTTAACGAAATGGAAGCAGAAGAAACGGGAGGCGCTGTAGTGGTCGACTTTGACGATGTTGTGTTAATTGAATTAGAGCTAGACGGCGGTACTGGTAGTTCAATACCTTTGGCAGCTTCTGTTTGTTTTTGTTGCTGCTGTTGTTCTAACTTTAATTTGGCCTTTTGTTTTCGTTTTGACAAAGGTTGTTGATTTTCGACAGCAGAAGTCGATGACGCAATCGACGGTGCTTTCGATGAGGATGAAGATGAAGCACTACGAGACGGTTGTTGAGAAGAACTATTGTCGAAAAAGATGACTCTAATAGAATTCGTTAGGATCTAGAAAAACACCTACGCTGACTGTTGGATAGAACTGGAGCCATTTTGTTTTTTCTGACTTGTCTGTTGTTGTTCTTTATTGCTCATTTTTACTTCTTCAGTCTGGTTATTAACTTTTGCTTGTTTATCTTTTTTCTTTTTGTTCTTTTTCGATGTAGATTCTTGCGCTGCTGGCGATGATGTAGTCACTGTTTGTGTTTGAGACGCATTATTATTCGGTGAAAATGTTTCGAGTCCATCAATAAATCGAACTAAATCATCGATATCATTTTTATTCACAGGACACGGTTTTGCCTTCGTATTATCCGATGCAGGTTGTTTTTTATCGTTTGCTGTTGGTGCTTTCTTCTGTTGTTCTTCTTTTGCTAAAGTTTCTTGTTGTTCAGTTTGATTCTTCACAGTTCTTTTTTTAATTTTCAACTGTAAACGTTCTTTCATTTCTACGTTACGTTGATTAAAAGCACCTGTGATCGTCGCACCCATTACTGATGTTGTTGTTGTTGTTGTTGTTGCATTACCAGGTAGAGCCATACATGTTACACAACTTGCAATGGGTCCGTTGCTTAAATTTGGTGCTGATGATAGATGAAGGCACGCTGACGACGACGAGGACGAAGATGAAGACGTTGATGAGCATGTTCGACTTTCGGAATATTCACAACAGCAAAAGTCACAGTGCTTGTTACTATCATTAGTCGGTAGATTTCGTTTTTGTTGATGATGGTAATGGTGATGATGGTGTTGCTGTTGTTGTTGAGCAAGGAAGTTTTGTAATGCTTCACTTGTTTTTGATGGTAATAAATGTTTCGCAGCAGCTGCTGATGCTGTTGTTGATGATGAAGATGAATCCACACAAGTTTGAGAATGTAATGATGATAAGATTGAATGTAATGCTGCTTCAGACACTTCACTATTCGACGCCGCATTTCGAAGAAGACGATCTAAGTCATTGTAAGCTGCTGATGATGAATCAGATTTGGATGAAGAGTTCAAAAATGAATGTGAGCTGTTTGCCGTACCTAGGAAAAAGTCCTTGTTTTATGCTTGATTCGAACATGAAAATACGAACTCAGTGATGGTTCATTCGTTGTTGAGCGTTGTTGTTTCGTTTTTTTAAATTGTTGATTATCCTTTTTTCTTCCACTGTTTAAACATTCTCCATTTCCTAGACCCGTTAGTTCATTGAAAAGTGCTTCAGCTATTTTCTGACCGCCATGTTCAGTTGACTTTACACCCGGTTTTCGAGTTAGATTGATACTCAATCGCGTTTGACCTGTCGATGTCGTGGTTTTCGCTGCTGTTAATGTAGTTGTCGAGCAACCTGATGAGGACGATGACGAAGATGTTAGGTTATAACAATCATTCGAGTCAGTCGATGTGATTGAACCGAATGTACCAGCAGTGAACGAAACGGATTGAATTTTTGCGGAAAGATCAGCAATCGAATTTGGTAGCACTAAATCTGCAGGGATGGATTTTTTCGGAAGTTGAGATGTGCTTGTTGTTGAATTTGATTGAGTAGAAAGTTGTTCTTTGCGACGATGAGATGATTTACTTGATTTCGATTTAGTAGACGAGGACTTTTTCGAAGGTACATCAGGCGATGAAGAAACTAAATATGAATTAGATGAAGATTTTAAGGAATATTATCAAATTGTTCCTACCATTTGGTACTTCTTTTGCCAACATCGCTGATGAGGAATTAGTTTTCGCTGCATTATTAGTTGTTTTTTGTTCTTGTTCACGTGCTAATTGAATTTTCTGAATAATTTCTTCGAACCATTTTCCATTATCAATCGTTGTTGTCGTTGTTCCCGATGATGATGATGATAGTAGATTGTTCGACTTCTCATTATATCTGGTTTGTAACAGTTCATGATGCATTGTTCCCATAGGTGATACTCCATCTAAGATGCCTTCCAATAGTAACTCATTCAAATCCTCTTCAGTAAATAAACTATCTAGAAATTCTCGTTCTTCTTGTGTATAACCCGGTGATGATGAATCATGATCGATGAAATAATCATCGACAGATGAAACAGATGACGATTCGTCACCACCGATACCAGAACCTATAGACGAACCATTTGAACCTTGTTCAGGTGCGGTCGGCGTTGATAATGCACCATTTGATGTTGGAATATCAACAGCTGTAGTCGATGAACTAAATGAATATCAAACATAATCAGAAGCTTTTTCAGAACGAACTAAATTTCGTGAAATTCTCTTTTTCCGGCAGCACTTGTAAAGATCTACATATATTGAATATCATACTAACTTATTTGGTGTTTCTTCATTTAATGCTTGCAATTGTTTATTCTTTTTACATTTCTTCTTTCGCTTTGTTTTCTTCTGCTTTTCAGTTGGTTTAGAACTTTCTTTCGGCAGGGAACTTGCTTTGACTTGAGAATCTTTATATAAACATGCGATTTCCGACATTTCTTCATCAAATGCAAGAAATCGATTCAATAATTGTGTATATTCAGCAGGTGAATATTCATTACTATCTTCATCATCATCATCATTCGACGGTTGTAATAAATCAATCATTGTTGACATTGAATGTTGAATTTTTCTATCCATATAAATCAACGTCTCATACAAATGTTTGTTATATAGCAACCAAGTTAAATGTAGAGATTTCATGTAATGTTCTTCCTGAAAGGGAGAATCTCTATTGCAAGAAACGATCAATGAAAGTCAATACGAACGAGATAGGATACAATAGATGAAACATTCGTTGCCGCTTGAATGAAAAGTTGATATTCGTCCAGAAGAAATGAAATGAATAATTGTACATCATGAGAAGTTTTCGAACATGAGTGAAAACGCTCTAAAACTTGATTTCGAATTTCTCGAACATAATCGAAGACAATTGATTCAAGTTTGTTGAATAATGATTGAGAATTCACATCCGTTAATCTAAAATGATCAGCATCGAGTTCATTGTACTTCGAAGTTCAACTTTTTCTCCTTACTTTTTTATGTATTCTTTCGCTTTAAAAATATCGTCCGAGAAATGATTTTCTAATCGAACAATACCAAATCAATTGATGACATTCACAACAAAAAGGACTTTCATACCTGAGAAATCTTTATCGGTTGCTCGATAAACACACTTAACAATATGAGAAAGATCATCCCACATTTGACGATAGTTTACATCATGTTCATCATCTGTACATGAATGACACCAATATTCATCATCTGAACTTGTATCCGGTACAATAATCATTTGATCAGATTCTCCTTCTAATTCCTAAAACGAAACAACAAATCGGAATAGATAGATCAATGGAATTACATTCGTCGTACTTGAGAGATTCCAGCTGAACGACTAGTTGTTTCTTTTTCTTCTGATCGAATATTTGCGTCACAGTTTGGACATGTATAGAAAGGAAGCTTGAAACGAAAAGTTCAAAATATTCCATATGAAATGAAACTTATCAGATAGTTTTTACCTTTAGGATCGGATTAAATATTTTCTCATTGGCATCTACGAGAAGAAAGAACGATCATTTTCTCGAAACTGTTACAATGTTTGTATCTTACCATTATCTTTCTTTAAATTATTATTTTCATCATTAACATTTGGATTTGGTGCATGACATAGAAAACACTTCAAACGTAATAAATATGGATCGCCAACCGATACGGTCTAGGAAATAATTTTCAGATAGAAACGTTTTTTTTTTCGAGAAAAATCAAATACTTGTGATTTTTGCTGTTCTTGTGTTTCCATTTCGTACGAAGATATAGGTAATAAAATAAAAACTAATGCTACAACAGAAACTCTAAAGAAAAAACAAATCAATTCAATGTTTCATTTTGATCTTTTCATTCAATATCTAATGTTCAGAGGAAGTCACGTATGTATATGTATACATGAATGAGAACAGGACAAACCATAAATGTGACAGCATGGCCACCATTGATCAATTTTGACAGATGGCTTTTTCTTAAAAAATAATCATCGAGAAATAATTCTCGAATAAATTTTCAAGGTTTTTCATTTCAATGGTTAATTCAAGGCAAAAGAGATTAACATCGAATAAACTGTTGAGGCCAAAGACGAATTTCTAATTGGTCGAATCAGTCGACCAATAGAAAACAAGGTTGTGATATTACTTGTTTTTTACATAGATCGGTATTATTAAAATAGATGATTGACGGTCTATTCACGGTCGCTTGAATATTTTCTATCAAAAATATCCTACTTGGTGAATATGATGATTTTTATAACGTGAGAATATGTTGATGATTGCACAGACGTCATAGAGTTAGTTTTGCGAGTTGATAAAGAGACTTGAAGGTAAACATGTTGAATATAGAAGGTTTTCGTATTCTATTTTAGATTAGAATGGGACTTTTTATGATGAAAATGTAGTTTATCATTGTTCAAAGACGAATGTCCCATCGTTATCTGTTGTTCTTATTTTTTCTTGCGATATCAAATGGTGATCAATGTAGAATAAACAATCGAACTGAGTAAATCATTTGTTCTTGATTGACAAACATCAATCTGACTCTTCGGTATATTTTAGTTTTTTTCAATCAAAATCAGGTCAATGTATATCATGTTTATCTCATTGTAATTATCAATCCAACGTATGTTTACGTGTTAATCAATTACGTCGTATTTGTTCATCAATTTATCTTGCTCGAAATATTCGAGAATGTCAACAACGATTAACACTCGATATCGTTCAAGCGTTTCTACTTTCAAATCAATCGAAAATTGTTGATGATAACAAAGACTATGATGAACCGGTATGGAAAAAAAAGCATTTCTTTCTTTTTCTTCTAACTATTTCGATGACTAAGGGAAAAGAAATGTAAATATTCTTATCTTATCTTGGAAAGAAAATCAGAGACAGATCTCGTTTTACGGAACGGTAACTGAACTATTTTCGGTGATTCTACAGGAAAAAAACGCATGACATGCACGTTCAGATTCTTTTCTTTTTCCTTTAGAGAAAAGTTTTTCTCATTAAACATTGATATTCGTTTGATAGGTGTGTTTATTTTGTGGAAATTCTACCCGTGGCCTTCGATGTGAGTCTTGCCGTCAGCGACCTAACAGCAAACAAATTTCACATTTAATCGATTTAAAAACACCAACGTCAACTTGTTTCGAATGTTCGTGTTCCGGACAAACGTATGATTGTCGAACGAATGGTAAAGAAAATCTTCGACCTTTGTCTTCTTATGTTTGATTGATCTGTTCGTTTTAAAGTTACGGATGGTTGTTGGTGTCTTTCACATCTATTAGATACAAATTTAGCTGATTTGAATCTTCATCAATGTCTTTCAAATCGTACGTATATCAATGATCAAGACCAAGGTCAATGTCGTTCAAGAATTCATCAACAATGTAACACTTGTAAACGTGGTTATAGTGGTGTTACATCAGAACGTGGCCATCGATGTTATAAGTTTGTTCTTTTCTNTTTTAAAGTTACGGATGGTTGTTGGTGTCTTTCACATCTATTAGATACAAATTTAGCTGATTTGAATCTTCATCAATGTCTTTCAAATCGTACGTATATCAATGATCAAGACCAAGGTCAATGTCGTTCAAGAATTCATCAACAATGTAACACTTGTAAACGTGGTTATAGTGGTGTTACATCAGAACGTGGCCATCGATGTTATAAGTTTGTTCTTTTCTTTTCTGTTTTAAAAAAATCTAATGTGTATGTTCATTTCTTCGTTCTCTTTTCTCTCTAAAGAGTATTATCAACTGATACACTTCAATGTTTCGAATATGCAAATACTTTAAAATCATGTTTACGTGACAATGAAATCATCAAAAGCGAAGATAATGGAACGATTCTATTCGAAATAACTCCGAGTTATCGCAATCTTAATATTCGGTAAGAAGAAGAAGACAACTGTAAAGATCAAAATGTGCTGTTTTGTTTTTCAAGGGTATTGATTGGAATCGAAAATGGCTTCGTCGATGTGATTTGTTCAATACGCAATGCCAATTTTCTCGTATTAAATGATCGTCGAGTGTATTATGAGCATCAATCATTAACCGATACCGAACCAGTTATTCGAGATTACGATTTAACATACGAAGACTTAAACTTTGGTAGACGTTCTTGAAGAATTAAGTGATCGAATATTCTGAATTTCGTTTTCTAGGTCTTTTATACTCAGATCCATCGGATATTGTTATTTTACGAAATTTATCTGCTCGCCATCGTTTAACCATCTTAATATCTCCGACAAATATTGATTTCACTCAACACAACCTTCATTGTTTATTAGTTGATCAACCTTCCTCTCGTATTCGTTTAGCTGATCTTGTAGAACCATCATCTCAGTCAGTATCATTTTCCTTATCCGATTACCGCGCAATATATTTGACAACGGGTTCATCACATACTTCATCACCAACGAATGGCTTTATTAAAATTTATCAATCAAGAATGAATATTGACTTGTTCGTTTTCTTCAGTGTCTTCTTCTCTTCGTTCTTTCTTTTCCTCTCGATTGGAATTTGTTTTTGGNTTCGTTTAGCTGATCTTGTAGAACCATCATCTCAGTCAGTATCATTTTCCTTATCCGATTACCGCGCAATATATTTGACAACGGGTTCATCACATACTTCATCACCAACGAATGGCTTTATTAAAATTTATCAATCAAGAATGAATATTGACTTGTTCGTTTTCTTCAGTGTCTTCTTCTCTTCGTTCTTTCTTTTTCTCTCGATTGGAATTTGTTTTTGGAAAGTCAAATTTGCTTATGAAATTCATCGACGACGGCGAACACTGAAACATGAATATCACAAACGTATGGCAAGACCATTTGCTAAAATTCAATTATTTATCAAACCATCAACAATAAATGAACATGATGAAGAAAACTTTCAACAGGTTTTTATCTAATAGAGAAAAAACAAAAGAATTGAGAAGAAACGTGTGTTTTTCTATTTAATTTCTATAGTTACCATCACCTGTGGCTTCATCATCTGTCGATATTCCATTACTTCTTCCATCCACACGTACAGATATTGATTATTCGCCGCATGTCGTGTCTGTCGAACCACTTCGTGATCAAAATCATTGTTATACAACATTATTTTTTCATTTACCTGGAGATCTTTCAACTCAGTATCGTCTTTGTGCTGGTACGACACTTACTCAGCTACCAGCCGATTATTCAAACGCACTTTCAAACGCACGTCTCGAAGCTGAATTACAGAAACGAAATCGACGACGACGAAAATTCAACGGACAGAACAGTCATCCCCCAAAAGTTGTTGTCAAGAAGACCACTGCAAATGTTCGACAACAGCAACAACGTCGAAGAAAACAGCAACAGCGTCAACAGCAACAGCCAAGAACAACAATTGAACCATAGAAGAACTCGTTTTAGAGTCAGATTTATACGTGTGTTTGTAGTCTCACTTATTATATTTTATCTTATTTTTCTTTTTTGTATATTAAATTCGATTGCAATCAGGCATTTTAGAACTGTCATTCGCAAAGAAAAGTATTTGTAAGAGTGCTGCGTATTTTAGATAAGAAACGTATTTTCATTCATGGATTGAAATAAAACCACCTGTTTGAATCTGCTAATAGCCAATCAGGTAAATCTCTCGCCATTGCTCTTTAATTAATCAAAAAATATATATTTGTAGTTTTAGAATGTATTGCGAAAGGATGCTCTGCAATAACAATGTCTATCGAGAGTGAAATATTCGAGCGAAATTGTTTTCTTTGTTTTAGATATAGATAGCATGTCTGCCGTTGAAGGTGATGAAAATGAATCATCAGCAAATGCTTTGAATTCTGCAGGAAATAATGAAGACAATACAGGTTCAGCACGTAGTGGCGCAACGAACGATTCGGAAGACGGTTCCAAAGTAGTTTTCCTTCTTAAAGCAGCTGGCGGTGCACCGATTTTAAAGAAGAAAAAATGGGCTTTACCGCGCGCAAGAACCATGGGCCATATTGTAGAATTTTTAAAGAAATATATGAAACTTGATGCTCAACAGCAACAGCAATTATTTCTCTATGTGAATCAATCATTTGCACCAGCGCTTGATACAACGATTGGGTCAGTGAATGATTGTTTCAGTAGTGAAGGAACACTTGTCTTACATTATGCATTGACCCAAGCTTGGGGATAAATACGAAACAGTGTATCTTTTTCAATGTACAGAAAAAAAAACGAAATAAACAAGATGATTACCTGAAAACATTGTTCGTAATAAACGTTAAAATAATCAGTCATTCATAATTGACATATTTTATCTTCTAGATTCATGTTAGGTCGTTGTTTAGGAAAGAATCTTCTGCAAAAAAGTCTACAGATCATTCCAATTTGTTTTATGTCTTCAACGTCATCATCATCATCGAATGAAAATTTCACAAATGAACTTATTCGTCAACGCTTAACACCATATTTAGATCAGACTCCTAGTTATGTAGACGAATTATCTCAAAATCTACCAAGATTGAAACGAGCGCGTCGAGCATCTGTTCTTATTCCACTATATTGCAATCAAACAACCAATCGTATTGAGGTTCTTCTCATAAAACGATCCGAAAAGATGCGTTCTCATACTGGAATGGTTGGTTAGTATAATTGAAAGAATCGAGATCGAATTCTACTCGACTTTTTTACTCTTCTGTCTTCAAGCTTTT